GATAGCCATAACTTTCTACCCCGAGCGCTCGATAGCGCGTTTCTTGGTTCCTAAAAGATAAGACTTCGTAGCGTGAGGCGCTTTACCCCACAAGATAGCTTGTAGGGGCCGGCCCCGGCAAGGTTGAGTCTCGGCCCCCCGCCGACCTCCAATGTCTTTCCGGGGTATCGGATAAGCTTTGGGAATCTATGAGTGAAGCCATGACTTACACGTGCTTTAATGAAGGTAAACATGATTGCAAAGGGTTCACTTTTTATGCGACGCCGGATATATGCGCAGACCAGCATCAGACCTTGAGCCCGCTCTCCAAAAGCCGGTTGACGCGGAATATCTTATGTGCTTGAACTGTGATCACTATCATAAGCTGAGAGATAGATATACAGCATCTTGCAGTTTCATAGGGATATGATTCATATTGCCTAATTTATAATACATTTTATGCTTTCAATGATTAATGCAATTATTTTTTGTCTTTTTTATTCTATCATCTACCATTGACTTGGCTAATTTCCGAGGCAAACTTGGACCGGTTGGCTTCATCAATTGCTTGGCGTACTACCTTTGCGTTCTGAAGGACCGTGGGCGCGTCAGAGTGAAGGCAGATACTAAAGGGTCTGCCGTCAAAGCCAAAGCTGAACTTGTTCCCGTTAATGTCCTTCCCACTATCAGTCATTGCCGCCCCAAATGCCCGTTCATAACAGAGCTCTGGTGTAGCCTGTCGAGATTGTGCAACAGGCACAAGTTTTCCTTCTGGTGAATAATCTATGTCGACATAAACCTCTCCTTGAAACGGAATGCCCATCTCCTTACACATTGCCTCTTGTTCGGGATTCTGAGAGGCATAAACGGGCACCTTGAATGTCGCACATGCCTCCAATACAGCTCTCATGATGCCCAGGTCTCTTTGCATGTAGAAAAAGAGTTCTCCATGAGGTTTGATGTGAGACAGCTCTACGCCCTCGGCATCTAGCATGGCTTTGAGAGAACCAACTTGGTAAAGAACCATGGCGTACATATCATTGACGTCGATTTCCATCTTTCTTCGACCGAAACCAAACAAGTCTTGCAATCCGGGGTGAGCACCAGCTCTAACACCGTGTTTTTTACAAAGACGAATAGTCTTGAGCATAATGGAGGGATCACCAGCATGAAAGCCGCAAGCAATATTTGCAGCATCAATGAATGGCATCAGCTCTTCGTCGGGGCCCTAATGTCCATGTTAGTGAGAGCTGCATAATTGGACTAAAGAGGGCGTGAATGTGAACTTACCATCTTCCATCGCCCAAAGCCTTCTCCCATATCGGCATTGATTTCATACTTGCGAGCGAGTCCTGGCGCCATGGTTTCGAAATGAGATAACGCCAAAGACGCCTGAAAATGCTTGGAAACAAGGATGCCGACAATGCAGACGTTCTGACTTTTAGGGTTCGATACGGACCCTCATGAATAATGTCATCCGTTGCCACAATTCATCGCAAATTTCCAATTACACCACCCCTCTTTCCTGTCCCGACATGCATATCCTAGTGTAGCCGATGATCCTGTTGATCGGGTGGTGGCGGTGGGTGGGTCGAAGTTGGGGTAGAAAGAAATTGGGGGAGAAAGAAGTTGGGGGAGAAATTCAAAAGAGGAAATTACCAGAGAAGGAAATGCAGAAGGGGAGAAAATGATAACGAGGAGAATGAGACGCCTTGATTCCCGAGCGAAACTATGGTTCGGCTTGCAATGTGGTAGATGCTAATAATTAGAAATCAAATTGTAGACGAATTGTTTTCGCATTGAATATGGAAACGTTGCTGACATCGCCGCTGGTGCACTATGAAGAAACATTAAAACCAGGCTCTGTGAATCATCGTTGAACTTCCATCCCTGTCTAATTCAGTACCGCTTCAGTTCCGCTTATCTTCATCAGAACATTCACCATGGGCTCTATCTCAGAATCCCAATACTCAGACTTCCGCAGTGAAGTGGTGGCTGGCCTAGCTTTCTACACGCCAAAGCAGAGAGTACCAGTCGGCACGGCGATTCTCGATCCTAAGAATGGTGTTACCGAGAAATCCGTTGCTCCTGCATTCCGACCGATCTCAATCCGGAGCCTCACGTTCCAGAATCGCATTTGGGTTGCCCCGATGTGCATGTATAGCTGCCAAGATGGCATGTTCAGTGACTTTCACGTAGCCCACTATGGACAGTGGGCAATGAGAGGGTCTGCTTTAATCCATTTGGAAGCGACTGCAGTGACAGCCAGAGTAGGCCAATTTCCTATTCACCGATGTTATAAGACTATGGAGACGTATTAATTAACCAAAACAGGGCCGTAATACTCCCCAGGATGCCGGTATTTGGTCTGACAATCATATTGCTCCTCTAAAGAGAATTGTTGACCTCATCCACTCTCAATCTCAAAAGGTCGCAATTCAGCTCCAGCACGCCGGCCGCAAAGGCAGCGTCACTCCGCCATGGCTGGGTCTCCGTCTTGTTCCTGACGAATTTGATGGGTACGCCAACCAGGTTCAGGGTCCTACTGCTGAGCCCTGGAATGAGAACTATGCAACCCCTGGAGAGATGTCAGAGGACGAGATTCTTGAGACCATCGAAGCCTACGGCCAAGCTGCGCGCAGGGCTGTTGAGGCTGGTGTTGATGTGATTGCCGTTCATGGAGCTCATGGATATTTACTACACTCATTCGCATCACCAGCGGTAAGACTATTGATCACGTTTCATCAAAGCCATCGTTAGAAGTAATGCTTATACCAGTGAGCAGACAAATAAACGGCAAGATCAATGGGGTGGAAGCTTTGAGAACCGCACCCGAATCGGGGTGGAGATCATTCGTGCTATACGACGCAATATTCCAGAGGACATGCCCGTCTTCTGGAAGATTTCAGCCGTAGACTGGCTACCAAAGGGAGAAGGATGGGAGCTGGAGGATACTCTGCGATACATCCCTATCCTTGCCGCAGAAGGCGTGGATCTTTTTGATGTCTCAAGCGGAGGCACCGACCGGAGACAGCAGGTTCAGCTTGGCCAACAATACCAAGTCCCATTCGCCAAGGCTGTCAAGGATCTCAAGCTGCCAAACGTATTCGTGGCTGCTGTTGGCTGGATTCGGGATGCCGACACTGTTCATGATGTATAAAGTTCCCTGATTTCCCGTCTTATGAGTTTGATGACTGGCCGACTAACTACTTCGATAGATCTTGAGTAATGGAAAAGCCGATGTCGTGCACGTCGCACGAGAGTTTTTGCGTGATCCTAACTTTGTCCAGCGAGTCGCACTCGCAACAGGCACTGAAGTTACTTGGGTTGATCAGTATCACCGCGCTCCCAGTAAGTGGCCCATCCTATAGTCTATCGAGTCCGTTCTGCCTAACAAGGATTTTTAGTGAACCGAAAATATGTCGAGTCTACGACGACGATCACAACAGACGCGAAAGTGTCGAAAGATGTCATTCGATCGCACGATGATCAGGTATCAAACAAGTTAGCTTCTAAGTAGGATAAAACTTTAGATAATAGCTCATTGAACCAAAAAGAAAGTGCAAGCTCATCGGTCTAGGCGGTACTCATAATGGTGAACATGGACCTAATGGTTTAGAGAATTGTTCGCAGAGAGTGATTACGAACTCTTCAAACATGCGTCTTATGTGTATCCAAATGGTGAGATGAGTACACACGCACTGCATACAATTAAGAACAGTCTCATACCAACTTTATCCAGCTATTTCTGGATTCTTAACTGCAGAGTTCACTCGTAACAAACGCTAATATCGCTAACATCGCCATTCCAACAGCCTGACCAGAGCAATCTGATGCTGGTAAGCATATCATTAAGCGCTAAGATTCAGGCGCGACACGACGCTACAAACACTTGAATACAGTGCCCTTTATACAACACCTATCTGAGTTCATAATTTTTATGTTGACCAAATTGAACGAAGTCTTTTCGATTCATTAGAATACCAAAATAATCATACAATCACAATTTACCAAGACATGTTTATAACGCCAAGTCAATTGAAGATGTCGGATACACAGGACACAGATAGTAAGCTGTAACGGCTTGGAGGGCGTGTTAGCAATGTATCCGAAAAGTGCGTCGGAAACCGATCCTTGATCGTGATTATTAGGCTGCAATGAACTACTGGTGGCAGATGATGTGAATACTGGAGCCATAGTGTCAGCCAGCCACGGTTTATTGCTTATACCAATAGAAGAACCGAAGATCTTAGCCAGAGCACTCGCATATGCAATGCAACCTCTGTCCGATATTGCTGATTGGTTTACCCGAAAGCACAGCCGCACAGCTACGGTTGACATGAACCCCCCACCCAGCATCAAACCCAGGACAGGTGTTTCCGAAGTGAAGAGGGCAATCAATAAGACCTTGGATATAGAAATTTAACAGCGCGATTGCTTTTGAAGCAGCAAGAAAAAAAAGTATAAGAATGACTTTTTGTCACCAAAAAAAAAAAAAAAAAAAAAAACCCCGGCAAATGAACACTGGAAGTCAAACAGCACGGTGTCTAGAATCATTACACGATCTGTCACATATACAGCAATCAGTTTTATGAAAAATAATATGACGTGGTTACAGTCTCCTTGTCCAGCCAATCGTACAGATGAAACTTGCAACGGGAATTTTTGAAGCTCTCCAGCTCTCCCAATGCAGCTGAGATGGACCATCGGCTCCTCCATTCGTATAGCTGCATCCACACACACCCCTCAGCTCCCCACAATCTCAATTAGGACTTTCACTTAATATATTCTATAGGTGGTGAGTATTCCACATCATACATGCGAATGATGAATGCCTGCAACAGAAGACAAATCTCATCGAGTAGGTTAGGGGCTTCGACGTATATGTAGAGTGATGCCCAGGACCTACAATATATAAATAGGCTGGCTAAGCCGCTCCTCATGATTTCCATTTCCTACACAATCATTTCGTATCCAAAAGACAATATCTTTCCAATAGTCGAAAATTTATACAAGCAGCTATGGCTACTCCGTTTGTCATCAATGCTAGGACCGCGGTTGCCGCTACGGCGACATCTACTGCTACATCTCGCGTATATTTCCAGGATACTGAGAACGGCATCCGTGAAGTCACTTATGACAATGGAAATTGGACCGTATCCAACGATGTGTTATTCTCTGCCAAGCGTTCCACTCCACTTGCTGTTATCAGTTGGGATGAGGGAAAACAGGTGATCCCCTTAATCACGCTGTATTTAGGGGGGAATATTGACAGAATTGTAGGTTCGGATCTACTGTGTTTCTTCTGAGGGTTTGCTTCAAGAGTGGTGCGGTGTCAACGGGCACTGGGGTCCAGGTTACCTCACAGATTTGGGGGTGCGCGTGGCATCAAACACTTCTATCGCTGCTACAAACTGGGATGGAACGTCTATTCGGGTCTATTGCCAAGGTAATGCTACAGCATAACAGGTCATTGTGGCATGAACTAATTTAGTACTCTTGATAGAGGAGAGCTCAAATGCTATTCAAGAATACTGCGTCGGCCATCCCTGGAAGAGAGGTGCTACCCTCCCAATAGCTGACTCAGGATCCAACCTCGCGGCCTTGTCATTTAAGGACGGCGGCAAAGTCCATTTGAGAGTTTACTACCAAGCTCCAGATCTTAGTCTAAGGGAGCACTGTTATTATGGCGGCTGGTCTGAAGGTAAGAAATCATCATGCTATACTATTTCGGGTGTAAATAAACTAATGATATCATTACAGGCGGCTTTAGCCCTGGAGTTGCGATCAAGAGTTCTGCGATTGCTGCCACTTCGTGGGGTGAAGCTGTAGATGGCGTGCAGCTCCGTGTGTTCTGGCAGGACAATCATGGGCTGCTGAGAGGCTATAGGTGGTCTAGGGGGTGGGAGTCTGCAGGATCTTTAAATCCCATGCCAGTTGGTACACAGATTTCTGCGACCAACTGGGATAATGGAAGCAGTGTTAGAGTGTACTACCAGGCGAATGATGGTACCATCTCGGAAGAGGTCACTCATAGCTTGACAACCACTATTATTCAAGTCTAGATAGAACATGGCCCTACTGAAGGCTCTTGAAATTGCACGTATTATAATCTGTCGAGCTAAATTGATTAATAGCATTGAGGAGCTCACAACTCAGAATATATTCCAATTTGCTCCCGCGACGTGATCATTTCCAATGGGGCCATCATATGATTCCGCTTCAGAAGCGTGATCAGGTCGGCAATTCCAAAGTCACAGTAGATATATAGAATCTATAGATATCCAGACAATTCTAATGTCCTTTCCAAACAAGAATCCTCACACCGCTTATCGAGAGGATTTAACCAGAGCACACTCGTGTCAATTATAGCTCCCTTCAACATCAGCATTCCGCGCGAACAACTTTCACAAACCTCTCTTTTTGGACACTCAGCTACCTGAGAAGATAAGAATAATTGAGCAAATATCAGTTTTAGGTGGGAAAATACAGCTTTTCCCACCTACAGAACATCCATGAAAATTTATCTCATTCTCAGTTACGTTTGATAGTTTATATATTGCTTCCAGTAAAGCCTATCCCTCCAGAATATAACGTAGTATTTCATTTACTGAAAAGCATATGGGGAAATATTGTATAACGATGGCTTCTCAAGGGGGAAAAAAAAATCCATTATATCTTAGGACGGTGGTACCTTTGCGGTGTTCGTATCAAAATCTACACAATGAGATATCCACGAGATATTTTGCGCCAGACTTACTAGAAAGAAACGCGTATATAAAACCAAATTTGACATCTTACCATTGAGCATGCACTTAAAGTTATATTAAGGTAAGACACTACTATCAAATTCCGCATATGATCTCGGCCGAATTTGCCAATTGCTTCCGAGGAGGCGACATACTTTTAGATATCTGACATAAGTCAATAGTATGGGTTTGCCCTTTTAGAAAAGTCGCCAAGACACAATAATGGAAGCCTAATTCTCATTTCCTTCTATCTCCTGGCTACCCAAGACTAGAAATCGTCTGCACACCCATACCGTATACTTGAAGATACAATTATCTACTTCGTCAACCACCCCTATATCCTCACCACTCCTAATGACCGGCCAGTGGCAACTATCACGACTAAGGAATAAAACCAACTCAGCTTCTCCAAAAGTTACTTCGCCTATGACTACGCTTTTACGTACATAAGCTCCCATTTTGGAGAGAGCAAGGTGTATGACTCGCGCTCATGAATCAGTCTGCAGTTGAAGCTAACTAAGCGTATTTCGCTCTCCGTCCCAAACACATCCGTGCTTTTGGCTTCCTCTTAGTGTTTTAAAATAATTACGAAGTAATCGCCTCAGTATCCCTATTCAACCCGAAGCACCAGGGGGGGAGTGGTGCTTGCATGGAGGAAAAACGTGGCTGGTCTAATCCATGATCCAACGGGAACGCTCCCGGTGGTTCCCTAGTGAGTTTCGTGGGGGGAAGGGTGAAGAATCACATGAAGCTAGCAAGAAGTTGTACAGTACTCGGCTAGTCAAAACGGACGCCTGAACTTCGCAGCCAACTTGGGGGTTGGTGTGTGTTTTAGCTTGCCGAGTGCCGCCTATTGTCTCAACTGCACGAACCCTGACGAGACACAAAGGATTGGATCTTATATTGCTGCCTGTTGAGCATACGGGGGGTTGCGGGGACAGCTATTCCGGGGCAACGGGGGATTGGAGAAGTGGCTGATTTAAGATGCTCTGTTGGGCTAGGTGCATTAGGTGGAACAAAGTCGTATGATGGAGCCAGCTGGAGCTGTAATTCGACGATCCGCACTACTGTTCGCTGCTCGTAAACTAAATAGCAGTAGCACGAAGTTCCACACTGGTGTTTTCCAGATGAAGAATAAGCTGCAGAAGTGAAAACAGCAGTGTAAGCAGAGCTCGGCTAAAGAAGTATTCTGCATTTTGCCGGAATATTTATGGACTAGCCAACGGCATATCAGGCATTCGGTCGATCGATAGATCAGAAAATGCGAGTCTGCCGGACCTCAACTAACATGGTTCATAAGAGTGTGCATGTATTAGACTAGAGGCGTATTACACTCCTTTGCATGGGCAGAATATCTGGAAGCTCCTTATGTAACTCGATACGGCATGGTCGAATGCTATTCCAGCTGGCTAGCATCGAGTTGCCACTTTTCATCTTCCAGAAGAGCCTTCAAATGGCCATCCAGCCACTTCACATCCTCTTTGCTCTCACCTGGACCACCGGCCCTAGACCTTTTGTTAGTTTTGTGTACAGAAAGTTCCCACATACTGTTGGCTCTTATTGAACATACCAGTGGCCCCATACGGATGGGAATGGAATACACTTTCCAATACCCTTTGTCATATGCTGCACCTCATACTCCGAATCTTCCGGCGGGAAATAGAGGTCCGTCTTGCCTGGAAGGACTAACGTTTTAGCTTTGATGCTCTTCATTGCTAGCTCAAAGTTCTTATTGTAAGGTTCCTGGTCTGAGCTGTCTGCAGCCTGCCACGTGTGAAGCATGGTGAGAAGATTCTCAGGGTCTAGATGGGGAGCGTCAGCAAGGACATGTACAATTCTCGACAAGCTGCTAAGCAAACCTTTTTTCAGGGCCCAGTCCTCCCAAAAGTTGATCATGAAATCCTCAAGGTTCTTGTATCCCAGCTCCGTCTCATACAGCTTTTCCCGATAGAAGGCCTGACTGAATCCCCAACCAGCGTATACACGACCAAAGGCCTTCAATCCAGTGACCCTTTCTTCCTGAGTCCACGCCCGATACGTCTGCGCTAACTCGCCGGCCGCGCTACCAGCGGAAGATGCCCCCTTGGCGGCGAGTAGTGCGCTCTTGACGCCTTCGAGAAAGACCTGGTTATGCAGCGATGTGCGCGCACTCCCGCAAAACGGCACGCCCAGATCCATGAAGTCGGGATACTGCGTCAGCCACTGATACGTTTGCCCGGCGCCCATGCTCCACCCAAGCACCATTCGAGCGTGTTTGACGCCAAGTTCCTCGGTTACAAGACGATACTGTGCCGTAACATTATCCTTTACGGTGATGTTGGGAAACGGTCTGAGCGGCTCTCGGTGAGTATTGGATGGACTACTGGACTGTCCATTGCCGAACAAAGCCGGGACAATAATGAAGTATTTGCGGGGATTGAGAGCTTTGTCTTCGCCAACAAGCCATTCGTTGTCTGAGATGGCACCGCTGAACCACGAGGGGTAGATGATGGCGGGAGACGAGGCATCGCCAAAAGTCTTGTAGGCGATGAAAGCATCTGGAAGGGTCTCGCCAGAGACGAGCTTGAAGTCTCCTAGCTTGAAGGTCTTGTAATCTAATTCACTTCCCATGGTTGTTACTTATCGCCACGACACGGGCAGGTTCTTGTTCTTGGATGAAGAGCTGAAGCTGAAGCTCTGCGGGGAAGAGACATTAATTGCTTCAATCACCAGGGTTTCACGAGGGTTTTCCGAGGCAAGCCGAATAAAAGCGCAGCCAGTGCTGGAATTGAGACATGCGTCGCAACCATTTTTTTGGAGAATGGCACGGATAATGGTACCTCTTTTGATGAGATCTGTATTGAGGAGGGCGTGAGTGAGGGGAAGCTCCTCAGTTACACCACGGCGTTTTGGGCACGTGAGGTGCCATGAGCCGTGTATGTTGATCTGGTTGCTAACTGTGGAAAAGTATTGGCGAAACAGCTATCAAACTGAAGGCTCAACGCAACTGGTCGGTGATGCCATTGAGACTTTCATGATGGCAGTGATGTAAGCACCTCTCACGGCATTGGTAGATCTGACATCTACTATAATACTCGGTAGTACAGAGCGTATGAGTGGGTGTCGTCAATAATCCGAGCAACTCGCAATAAGTGACACCGGCTCCGACTCCGGACAGCAGAGTTCATTGGTAATTTGTCTCTCTTACTTGTTGCTTCCTCTCCAATGAGTCCCTCTTACACTCTTTCAGCACATCAATAGAACAAATACGCTAGAGTCGAGTCAAAGAATTGTAATCTTCACGGCGAAAAAAATTCCCGATCGGTCCGTCCCGTCAGCAGCCACATACCACAAGACACAGCTAAACGAGTGTTGACAATCGCCGTACTCTGAGTGCCTGTGTATAAGTGAGAGGCATGGTGAGCAATAAGCTGACATGAGAGAAAATTTTCACTGGATTCCAGCGAGATGCTCATTTTACCAGCTGACAGAGAAACCTCCTTTCCCATCTCGAATCCCAATTTCCTGGGTCTAGTGCTCTGTAGCGCGGGCCGAGTCGAGAGTCCGTGGCGTCGCCGCGGCCGGTGCTGACGATGCAGGCATTCTAGCGCAAATTGCTGCATTCTCTCCCCGTTCTCTATTCCAACTCAGGTTGGACCATCTTACAATAGACGTCTAGAAGGATGAAATGGAACAATGAAACGTGGTATCCCTCGTGGGCGACATGGAGGATGATTCATCCAACAGCACGGAGAAACTTTCAGGGTGAATGAATATTAGTATAGCACAGGGTTGATGCTGAGGGTGTTGGCTAGATGAACAAGTGGTAGTTCAGCCGGCGCCTTTTTTGCTTCTGCTTCAAGGGTGAAAGGCAGTGACAGGCACCATGCCGCACGATAGATGAAAGGCTGGCGGTTTGAGAATGGCCATGGTTGACATGGTTGACAGCACTGTCGCTGTGATGGTGTCCTACTTTCTGCTTGGCATCTTAGCGCCAACTTGCATCCGTCTTGGATTGCACACCTGGAGAATTCAGCCCCCAGATGATGGCTTAATACAGCAGGCAGGCTCAGAAAGGGAGGGAGGAAAAATAGAATGGCCTGCTCCGTATTACTCCGTGATGCTGTAAAGATGCTGCCTAGGCTGATGGCATGACGTCCAATTCGACTTTCCTTTCCAGTCTTTGAGCTGCCACTATCATGCTCAGTGTCGTGTGGTGAGCAAGCAGCCATCCAACCAGCAAAAACGAGCTGCTGCTCCCTCTCGCCCGGAGTCTGTTGGCTCTCCGCAGTTCATGTCATCTCCCGCAGGCTGTGTGAGTGGACACTGAATAGCGTTCTGAGTGCCTGGGGTTAATGAAGCGGGATGCTGCTAGAGTTGGCCCACTCCACTCTCTGAGCGGAGGCTGTCTTGTTTTTCTTTCGTCTTGAGTTTTGGGTCCGAGCCGCTAGCTGCACTTGTACATATACTCGTACAGTAGGATTCTCAAGTGGATAGACGGGGCACATCATTTTAGCTGCCAGCGAGCCGTAGAGGGTTAAAAAATCTGATCAAGACCAAAGTTGACCTCGGCCAAGGGGGAGGGCACAAGGCCGCCATTGGTGAGCTCGGCGAGAAAGGAATTTCGATGCAAATTGACGCCGGCATGGCATTGGTGGTGGCTGCGGGGCGTCGTCACCCACGAGATATTGTCCAATTTCCTTGCCGCGTTGTGTGTGAGATGCCAGTGCTCAGGCACGGACTGCTGTTGGCTGTGGCGTTATACGAGATTCAGAGAGAAGAAACGGCACAGACAAGATGAAGTACGAGTAGTAGGTAGTCTACTGAGCCATCATGGACGACGATGATGTTTGAATCCGCGGTGAGATGATCAGCCTGCAGGGGATCCGGCCGGGATACTGTATTGTAATACTGAATTAGCAGCAAGTTAGCAACGCCTCTGCCTCTCTCTGCAGCATCGCATCTGACAGTCAGCTTGACCGATCCCATCACCATGGACACTGCTAACTGCTCCCGCTCTAGCCTCGCAACGGCACGGACTAACACATTCACTCCGTACGTGCTAGTGCCAGTAATCCGGTCTAAAAGTCTGTAGCATTGAGCTGCCAAGGACGGACTGGCGGGGGAGCTGCGAGAGATGCAGGGAATGGAGACGAAAAGCCATGATGGGATGACCTGACCTGAGCTTTGGGGACGTGCCCCGGTCTGTGCATATTGCGGATAATCAGATGCTGGAAGCATGTGAAAGCACCAAACCCGCTAGAACGCCACGTTTTGCTGCCGACAGCCACACCGCGGCAGATACGTAATAGTGCGGCTCGTGGAGAAATAAAGGGGATTGTGAGATTAAAAATTTTTACTAACATGGAGTTGTTGGAAATGCGAGGCTCGATTACGAGAGTACAGTAGCGAAGCAAGCCGAGGAACCGCCTAAGATACTTGCGCTGTAGCTCCAATACTTCAGTGCACTAATACTGCTAGCGGAATGAATCGCTTAATTCCATAAAGCGTGCCTGGTAGGACTCATCGTCCGGCGCTGGTATACAGTACCTGCTCCCCCATACTGTCGCTCTCCCAGCTGCTTAGAGCAGGTACTTACCCAGTGGCCTGACTCGAGCCTGTTGCTAACAATAATTGGCGTCACGTTATCAAAATTCTGCAATCCCTCACCGCAGGGCTGACTGCCCGGCTATGTTCGGAAAAGGACACAAGCACAAGAGGAGCATCACAGCAGGCAGGGATTCTCTCCAGGGATTCCAGTCACCCATGACGCCGGCGAACCTGGGCTTCGGCTGTCGTCTCTTTGGCGACTCTAGAGGTGAGCTAGTGAGCTATCGTTTCACCCTTCTTGTGACGGATGGCTGAAGCGGCGCGAAGGAAGCCCCAAGGAGGGCAGATCCGCGGTGCTGTCACATCGAGGGATGCAACGGCAGCTCTCATTCATCCTCTGGCTCTGCTCTGGCTCATCTCCATCACCGGGGGCTTGTCGCGCATTCGACTGCTGACATGATGACAAAAAGCTGTTACTGGTCTTTAATAGCCTCGCAGAATCGCATTGCCACTCGACGCCCTGCCAGTCGCTGTTCTTGTTGGTCTAAACGACTGGGGGAAGCCACAGACACCCCCGGAAAACAGCTGATTCGCCATCCTGGTTGGCTGGCTGAATCGTTAACGCTGGCCCCGTCTCTCTCGGAATCGCACCCCGCAGCCGCATGGCTCGTTGGTGCGGAGAGACACGTTCTGCCAGTGCTCCCCCCGGTACCTGCGTCTCCTCTCCCGCCTACTCGCCCGTCATCGTCTTTTTTCGCATGGAAAACTCAATTGCTTTGAGGATAGGATACGCTGTGTGTCAAGTCAGTGCATGAATTTGCGTCGGATTCGCTCCCGTTGTTCCGGGTCCGTATCGGCAACTAGCAAGTAACTGAAACCGCAGCAGTTCGTGGCAAGACATGCAGCCGCGCGTTGCAACATTGCATGCTAGACTCTGCATGGACTTGCATGTCGAGAACCCGGACGCTGTAAGCGTGCAAGTTCTCTGATATTACCCTGACTCTGCACCGAGTACACGTACACGGAGACATGCAGCTCTGGCAGACTACTCGTACAAGTACGGGTATTCGTATGGCTGGCACGCACAAATAAGGCATACGGCAAGGACTTGCATCCCTCATCGGGTAAAAAGTCTCACACGATATGCAGACAGACCCGGATGAAGAGGCGCCATGGCCAAAGGTTGTCCAGGGGGGTCCGAGATAGTCCCGCACAACATCAGCTCGCACCTATCAAAAAACTACGTAACCCTTCCTCCGGCCAATTGGGTCCTAGGCGGACCAGTGGCGCTGTGGCGTCTGGTCCAGCGAAATTGGGGCCCCGACTGGAGGGTCTGGAGGGTCTGGAGGGTCTGGAGGGTCTGGAGGGTCTGCAAGGCCAAAATCTCTTCCCCAAGGCTAGCACCACCACTTGGGGCACTTGGGGGAATGGAACTCACCAACAAGCTTCTTTCAAACAAGTCCTCGTACTGCTACCGCCACGAGTGCGAGTTCATATTGGACATGGGTCCCGTAGCGTCCCCATCGAAGCCTCTCCATTTATATCCAAGTGCGAAGACATCCTTTGTACCAAGTGCTCGCACACGGACGCTACCAACGCCTTCAAGCGGAGGATACACTCTCGGTCCGGTTTTTTTCCCCAAGCTATCGTCTGTCCCAGTCCGCAGCTGGCCTAGGCATACATCGTATGCTCTCTTTGAATTTAATTTTCATTTCAAAACCTCCTTGGAAGCAACTGGCTTGCATTCGAGAACCTGAAAGATCCTTTGACTCAGGAGCTTGTCCCGGCCAGCACACCTAGGGCCACCACCCTTGTCGACCATCAACACCCGTCGCTTCTCCTCCTCTCAGCTCCTCCCCCAGCTCGAGTCAACAAGCGAGAAAGCACTTCTTCCGGTTCCCTGTCGACTGAGCAAATCACTTCTCGCATCCTTCTACCTACGTCTGCGTACATCTCCTGTTTTTTGTTGACCCCGCGGGGAACCAGACACCACATTCTCTTCTTCTACACCATCTCGGGTCTCTTTATCCGCCATCAAGTCCCACCGCCCGAGCAATTCCCCCAGCCGGCCAACATGGAGTCTCCGCCATTTGCTACAGATCTGGATCGGATAGCGTGAGTCTGCCTCAACCCCCCCTTCCTTTAGTCTTGGACTTGACCCGGGGCTCGACCGTTCTGGGTAGACAAAGCGCAGACAAGACCATAGCCTACGGTACCTATTTAAATCGCATGGATCCATGAAGCTAACAAAGGCGCCTTGTCTTTATAAACCCAGAGACACCCTGCGTCGCATCGACACTGGTGCTTCATCACGCTCTTCGCGACAGAATGCTCCTTCCTTTGACCCCAACTCACCTGTTGAAAGGAACTCAGACATCATGAACTCAGAACCTCGCTACCACGTCGCCTCCTCTCGCGGCTTCCCAATGCCTCCCCCAACCAAGGGCGAGGCCGTCGCCCAATGGCTTGAGGAGAGCGATGATGTTGTCGATGAATATCACATGCCCCTACAGAGAGATTCAAGAGGATCCCTCCCCCGGCGACCGCCATCGAGGGACCAGCCCCAATCCATTCGGCGCGAGTCGGTGAACTCACAACGCAAATCATCCAACGCATCATCCAACTACTACCAGGCAGGAGCAGGATACAGCCTCTACCCTGCTCCATCAAAGCCACTGCCACCAATTCCCACTCCCAAAACCACTGCGCCCCCCGCTCACCGTGTACCTTCCCGAGACTCTTCAGATAGATCATCCATCAGCACACATCGCTCTTCTCAGGTCTCAGCGACCGCATCAACGCCAGATGCTACCTCCGTCAGCTTCTCACCGGGAACCCCTCGTCGTAGCAGGGTTCCAACTAATTTTTACAAACCTCCGGATCCTTCTGAGCTTCTTCCTCCACCACGAAAGTCGTCTCGTCCTGCCGAGGTTGTGTTTTGGAAGCGCCTTCAATCTGACGACAAGAAGAATGGCCCCATCCACTACCTCGACATGTCTTCTAGCCTTGCCACTCTGGCGACCAAGCATGGAAATAACATCATCAAGGTCTGGTCCACGGCGGGAGGCACTGTTCAGCAAGTCATCAAGATTTCCTCCTACACTGCGGCCCAGTCTCGCTCTCGCGAATATCTCATTCGCAGCCATGCCATTCTCTCAGAACCGACGAATCTCATTGCCATTGCCACTCGTTTCGGCAGATATATTGAAATCTGGAATTGGGCCAAGAAGAAGAATCTGCAGTCAATTGACAATGCTGATCGGTGGACCTCGGCCCAAATCGAGTCCTACGACGGTGCTCTTAGCTCTCTTGCCATTTACGGCGGTGAGAAGGGGATTATTGATCTCTATAAAGCGACGCCAGACAAGAAGCCCTTTGTCAAGACGCGCACCATTGATCTAAACAAAGTTGATCTGCCCTTCCTTCCCCAGTATCCAGAGCTTGCGCTATCCAGAACAAGCCCTTTGCTTGTCATTGGTGCAGGCCCACGTCCTCCGCGCCAAGGCCACCCTCCTCCTGAAAAGGAGACTCTTTTGGTGGCGTGGGATACTTCCGAAGGCGCTTCAGACAAACCTTACCGAGTGGCCCGGCCGTGGCAGCACAAGGAGTTGGACACGGCAATTCCATGCGACATGGTCACCTACGGAAGCGTCTGTGTCTCTATTTGGATTCCTGCTACTTTCCGTGCCGTGCCTGCTACAAATGGTGGCTCCGGCTTCAACCTTAGTCCCGTCACCGTTCCATACCGCTATGTGTTGCTGTGGGATCTTGCAGCCAACTCCACCCGAACCTTTGGCATTCCCAACACGACGTCTTGCCTATCACCCGATTGCCGCTTTGTGGCATATTGCCACGCGACCGGAACTGACATTGGAGCCCGAGGCAGCATTGTCATTCTGGATGTGATGACAGGCAAGGAGGTATGGAGCTGGCCAGACCCCGAGGCCCTAGCTATCGACTACACTCCTCGACCAGGCTTTGAGCAATTCGATGACCTTTCTCGAGTCTCGGAGCTTTCTTTCTCTGCCGACGGAAAGTTCTTGAATGTTGGCGACTTGGACGGCCATGTTGGCATGTTTGAAGTGCGTGAATCTACCGGAGACCGACTACAGCTCCACATGATTTAGCAAAGCGGCGGTTTTTTTTTTTTTACCCAGATGAATGGCATCATCTTACGACATGTGTGAAAATATTTGTTTTTTTATGAAGTTATGCTTGATTACAATGTATTATCGCTATGCTTGGACAACTGAAGAATGGGGTATGACCGATAACAATAATTCAGATACCACGGGTTCAATATTGGCTCTTTATTCACTTAATTACCTACCACTAAATCCATATCACTGTATATTTCCTTCTCACCAGCCCGTGTCTCTGACTGCGGATGAACTGCAAATAGCGAAATGTCTTGTTTCAGTAGCAGTCTCTCGAACCACACAATGAGACAGTCTGCCCTTCACTCACTTTCCCCAATCACGACACTTTTCTTTCCGCGCGGGAGTGTTGCTTAAGATCCACCTTTAATTTCAAGCCTCTTGACAGCGCCCCATCTTCCAACCCGCCCCACGATTCTGATCGATAACTCTAATGGAAAGCGTCTAGAATCGAATTAGCATCAAAGTGAGTTGTGACATTGGGCCATATTAGTCCTTGGCGCACGTTTGCGGGATGTGCAAGTAATGGGCGATCCGATCGGGGGGGAAGGGGAGCTCAAATGAGAAGCTTGAGTGAGACCACGTGTGTGCCGGGGTTGGGAAGATTACGGGATCCACTGCGAGTGGCTAGCTGGTTTTTTGCTTTTCTTTGATGTGTGGGGGGGGGGGGGGGGGTTGTTGGGATGTTTCAGGGTAGTGTGCTTGGGGAAGATTGTAAGTGAGTGTCGTCGATTGTTATCTTAGGTGAGTGAGTAGTGGATTTAGAGATTGATGTTTGAAAGTAGAGAAAAAGAGTAAGGTTGCTATGGCAAAAGGATGAATTGTGAACATATTCACCAATACATATGCGTAAATATTTACTGAAAGACTCATCCCACTACCTGACAAACTGTCGATGTTAAGAGCATAGAATTGATGAATCTTCCCGACCGATCTCTTTCATTATCGGAAAGTGGTCATGGAACAAGAAATTGAGAGACTGATAATAGTTACTTAGCAAAAGGCAATGGACGCATTTGTATTGGTCAAGGCCCAGTTGATGAAATATAGAAAACCTTGTGGGACCTGAAGCATAATATTGCTTATACACACTTGAACACTATGAAGGGTTATACCAGAACTATTGAGATATACCAAAAGCTGGTGAAGTTGCTTATAAGAAGTAAATTTAATGAAAAGTAAGAAGAAGCTTATTTGAAATGACTTATGGCGGAAATTTGATGCTTGCGAGTGGCGTAACAACATATTAGTATATGATAGTATAGCATGACTTGGTGTTACGACCTGTTCTATTATAGCAGCTATACCTCTTGAGTTATAGTCGTTGAAAATTGTACTCCGGTGGTTATTCACTTGCATGGGTGAGTTGCCCATATCATCTTATATATATATCATATCACATACTAGTATGCAAAAATATCAATTTGATGTCCTGGAAAAAGTCTGGAAATGTAAAACTGAAATGGTAAGTGGATTTGATAAGTGGATTTGAGGAGTATTAGATGCTGCCTAAGTTATATTGCCAACGAACGGCTTTGGCTACGAGTTTACTGTACGACTATCCGAGTACGTGACACAATATAGTCCATCATTCTGCAATTCAGCGAATTCTGTTGGAATGATGCCAACGGGTAGTCTCTTCTTTAGGGCATACATTAAACAAGATAGCGGCATACTCTATAATAACACAATAATAGGTTAAGTAGCTAGATAGTCGATAGTTGAACTATGGTGCATTTTATCATGAAGATGGGTTTGTTACGACAGCATGTCTTTGTCGCTTTGATTGGGAATATCTGATAGTATGAGTTCGATAGCTCTGTTACAAGATGCAGAAGAAGATGATGTTGGTCGTTTTTAACATCGTCTATTGATGACCTTGCCTTCTTGATTGCGATGATCCGATAATTGACATGTCTATTTTGCGGACTGCTACCCTTTTGGGGAGATATCATATGCCCAGTTATCCAATCAATCCAAGCAAGATAATTAGTGGCACATGTCGGCAATTGTTTGCAAGCTTGGTACTTCTATTATTGTCGTTGTACATGTGTAGAAAATGCTTAGAAAAGGCAGCGCATGGGTTGATAACTTCGCCGCTCCGAGAACTTTGCACACGTTCTGGCTAGCCTTCAAGACAAGATTACAGTCGCGTTGCCAATTAATTTTCGATGCGTCTTTTCCCTTTGCATGGTTAATTTTCTCGATTTAAAAGGACAATGCGCTTGTGAGTGCGCTTCTCTCTTGGCGCGGCCGTTTGTGAGCGACTTATCGCAACACCACATCTCCAAGCATTTGCGCCATAGATAGTACGCGGACACTCACATTCTCGTGAAGAAATAGTGGCAGAATACAAGCCGCAACAAGCATTTAGCTTATCCAACCGTCTTTATAATGTTAAATTAACCTTGCCGTACTTTTAAATACAATTACCGAACACCTCTAACCCGTAATGTGGCACCTGATGCCTCCAGACTATTGCCGTGATCCAATCGCAGGCCGAGTTTGGCGATTCCTCACAATGCAAAGATCTAACGCCATCGCGCAGCCCCGGTTAGCTCCACGCAACGTTATCATCTAGTCCCCCCATAAAGTGGAAATATCAGAGGAAGCTTTCCTCGTCCCGGACAAATTAATGGGCATGGCGATGAACTGTTTCCTATCGCGTATTAGATTTACGGCGTTTACTTGTGGTTGGGATTGATAAACCGGCTCTGAATTATGATATCCCCTGCATGCGACCCTATGGGAAGAGCTAGTTTGTAGAGGTCTCGTCGTCACGCTGTTGCCAATCAGCCGAAGAGCCAATGGTAACTCATATTCTCTATTACAAACATGTAGATCCTGGCAATGATGTGATTGCTCTCAAGCATCGCGACACCTGGAGTATCAAATTCTGCTGCACAACTTGCGTAGCATTAGGAAAATTGTCCACTTGCCCGCGACCTCGGCCTATCTAGAACCTTTTAGGGTGTAATAGATGCTCCGACCACGCGGTAATGGTTGCCGGCTCGTCGCCAATATAAAGATGTGAGCACCCTGCTTCTAAGGTATCAGCTCCAGGCCAGGCTTGGTGGTACGACGTCAATAGCAACAACAAGCTGTCCCTGCCACAATGTCTCACAGCACGGCAGAGACGCCAAAAGATGGCAAGCAGGCTGATATCCTTGATATTGCTGTCTTGTCATCCCAAGGCTCATCAGTAACGGAAGAAGCACCAGTGCGTAAAGATGAACCGTTTGGTTCAACGGATGATCATCCTTTCGCCGACCCGGCCATGGCCACGCATTGGCGTGATGTTTACGAAAAGGCAAACTATGAAAATCGCCATCGCTTTGATCCCGAGTTCAAGTGGACGGCAGAAGAAGAGAAGAGACTGGTCAGAAAGGTACGCCATTGAATACCTATACACATACATGTATACTTCTACGTTTTATCAAATTACTAATCTCTTGATAGATTGATCTCAGAATAATGGTGTGGGCTTGGGTCATGTTTTGTGCTCTTGATCTCCATCGTCGAAATATTAATCGTGCTATCTCAGATAACATGGTATGAGAAATGTGGTATGCCATAATTATAAAACATTGATTAACACAATTTAGCTTCCAGAAGTAGGCATGAACACGAATGACTTCAACTACGGACAAACGGTATGTTGTTTGTAGCCACACCACACACTATCTCCAACACAACCAACTAACTCGATTTCTTTTGATAGATATTTCTAGTCACTTTCCTTGCTGCCGAACTGCCTAGCGGTCTAATTAGCAAGCGAATAGGAGCCGATAGATGGATTCCGTTTATCATGATGAGCTGGTCCATTGTTGCTGGTAGCCAAGCATTCATCCATAGCAGGGCGGCCTTTTTCGCCATCAAAGCTTTACTCGGCCTACTTATGGGCGGTTTTATTCCGTATGAGTCATCAATCGATACAGAAAGCATAATAGCTGACGTGATATAGTGATATTGTTCTTTGGCTTACATATTTCTACAAGTCGAATGAGCTTCCTGTCAGACTGGCTTGGTTCTGGACTGCTCTAAGTACAGTCAACATTGTCGGCTCATTGATTGCTTCGGGTGTTCTCCAAATGAGAGGAATTGCAGGCTGGGGAGGCTGGCGATGGCTGTAAGAGATCTTATGCGCATCCTGTCTCGACTTCTAGAGTAACAGCCATCACTGACACTGTCTCCAGATTTCTGATCGAGGGTATTTTGACACTTATTGTTGGCACGTTCTCTTGGGTTCTTATGCCTCCTGGACCGTGTCAGACCCGAAACTGGTTCCGTGGCAAAGACGGCTGGTTCACCGAACGAGAGGAGTTCATAATGGTCAACAGACTTTTGCGCGATGACCCAAGCAAAGGAGACATGAACAACCGGTATGACTATAATGGATCCCCTCACTTTATCCTTTCTTAAAGCTGACAAGAATACAGACAAGGTGTCGGCCCAAGCCTCTTGCTAAAGGTGCTTCACGACTGGGAACAGTGGCCGCTCTACCTTCTTGGTCTCGTCGTCTACATCCCACCAGGCCCTCCGAGTACATATTTGTCCTTTATCCTACGAAACATTGGCTTTTCGGTGTTCAAAGCCAACTTACTCACTATCCCGTCTCAATTCCTGTTTGCAGTCAATCTCATCATCATCTCCTGGGTGTCTGAACGATTCAAGGAACGCGCCATAATTTCGTCAATTTCCAACATTTGGATCTTTCCATGGCTCATCGCTCTGGTTACGCTCAAAGCAGATGCATCGCCCTGGATACGATATGCTCTTCTAACGGGTTTACTAAGCTACCCATACTGTCACGCTATTGTGGTCAGCTGGAATGCCAAGAATAGTAACGCAGTCCGTACACGAGCTGTCAGTGCTGCGCTGTATAACATGTTTGTGCAGAGTGGCAACATCATCTCCTCCAACATTTACCGAGACGACGACCAGCCTCTATACAGGCGGGGAAATAAGATCTTGCTCGCCATCAACTGCTTCAACATTGTTCTCTTCTATCTTGTCAAAATATTTTACATTTGGCGAAATAAAGTAAGAGACAGGCAATGGAACGCCATGACAAAAGAAGAGCAAGAGGACTACTCGCTCAACACCAAAGATGAAGGAATGAAGCGTCTAGACTTTAGATTCGTTCACTAGGCTGTCGAAATTAAATAGTTGGATAAAATAAACTATAAGTGCTCAAGCTTTGTCGAGCGAGCACTCTCTTCGAGGAATCTTTGTGGGATATCAACGTGAACTGCCCGAATAAATTCTGCGAATCCTTTGCCCAGGTTGTCCAACCGACTTGAGCTGGTAACGCCCCTTCCCAGCGACCCATAGATGACAAAATGCACGGCATAGATGTTTGTAAATTCTACCCTCTCAAGGAAATACCAATCCTTCCAATCCTTTCTCATCAAGGAGCGTAGCCTATCCTTGGTCATGAATGAGCGGAACCATTCCCACTGCTCGGGCGTCTGCACAAACAAGCCAATGTTTATGTTGCCTGCTTTGTCTCCAGAGCGGGCGAGGATGAGATCTCCCAGTGGCGCATTGACAGTTGGGCCAAACTTTTCGAGAGGCACTGGATTTGCTGTCTCGTAATTTTCTCGCCGTGCTAGCGGCTCTGTCTGTTTGGGTGGGTGGACAGCATGGCGAATACTCTGCTCCGTTAAGCTGTCGCCGAGTATGGTAACAGTCTCTTCAATCTCGGTTTGAGGTATTATAGCTGGATAATAGCCAAGAAATGGCTTCGGAGCTAGTAAGCGTGTATCCATCGAATAATGCATTCCTTAAGCACAGATTGTCAGCCTCTTTCGCATCACTGGAATACTGAGGAGAAAATACCTGGGAAGTGAGCCATGAACTGATAGTGCCACGCCTTGTGCATTTTGGTGAGCACATCTTTATCTTTAGACTGCGCAAAAATTCGCATGTATGTGGTAGAAGCGTGTTGCGAATCAGGGTCTTTCATGTCAGTGCCTATCCGTTGAAACTCCAAGACGTCAAACTTTTCGAGTATACCCCATTCTTTCAGTGTATCTTTTAACTGCAATTCCTGAATGTCCCATTTATGGTCTGTGGCATATCCGCTGGCATTGAGCAAATGCTCGCACTGATACCCTCCCCTGTAGAAGATGGCAAGTTTTGTTGTAGGCGGAGGGGGGTAGCCTTTGACGCCTGACACATGGACTCGATCCTTGGATTCCTTGACGATGGCTATGTTGGAAACATCTGCTTTCACATCACTGTTGAGATAGATGTTTCCTTGCAGTTCGTAGACAAATTGACATTTGACTGTGTCGGGGGTAACAAATCCGTTCAGGGAATCGTGCTTAGTGATGATGCATTCGCCGTTGGGGAGAATCTCCGCAATGCCCGGACCTAGACGCAAGAAATCGCTGGGAGGATGTTTAGATGCACCAGGAAAGTTGCCGCCTGTGACATAAGTCGAGCATTCGATTAGATGACCTGCAATCAGGGACCCGGCAAGTCGATCAAAGTCTGATTCAGACCAGTTATACCACGCTGCTGCCGCTCCAATGACGGGAGAAGCATCAGAAACACGGCCACAGATGAGAATATCCGCACCTTCATCTAAGCCTTTTTTAATGGCACGATAGCCGAGGTATGCGCTGGCGGCGACGACTGGCATCTCCTCTGGTGAATCGAGAAACGAGGTGGTGTCTTTGTCATACCGAACATCGGGATTTGCGCTGTCGAGATGGGGGAGGGGCTTTGAGAGTAGATGGTGGACTTTGTGCATCAGGTCGTCACCTTCGACGTAGCCTACACGAAGCTTATAGCCTCTGCTATGAACCTTGCCCAGCGTGTCAGCAATAAGGCATGGAAGTGAGATGAGCGCACAGCAACTTTACCATTTCGTGAATCTTTTCTGCCAACCCCTTTGGATTCATGGCGCCACCGTTGAGGATTACCTTGATTCGCTTTTCGTTGATGAGATCTAGGGACAGCTGGATTCCTTCCAATGCTGATCGAATCCAGCCAGCGCCATTTGACGCACGCTGCATCGCACTGCCAGCCATGCTCACTTCTGTAGAACATTGTTAGCGACTTCTTGTGAGTTATTTATTTATTATTTAGCGGTTTGAATCGGTTGCAAATGCTCAAAACATACCCGCCAGATAGTCGCCTGTAATGACGTCGACGGGGCCATATTTGGCCTGGTTGTACATTAAGATGCCCGGATCAGCTGTTGTAAGATGTGAGTGAGCGTCTATGTGTGAAAAAGTGTCATGGACGTAGATTTGATCATACTGAGAGCGCCTGAGCAGTTGGCGATGCGGATCGGCCTGGATGGTGGCACAGCTGATGAGGCCATCGCGTAGGTGCTGCTGTACAGGCAAGTATACACCAGTTAGTAGGTCATGTAGTCTATGAAGAGAGCATGAAACAATACCAACGGGATCTGAATGATATATACATACCTTGTCAAGATTCTCCCAGACAACGACGGCATAAGCTAGAGCCGAGCCCGAGCGGCGTCTCTCTCCACGCAGTCTCAGTCTTTACTGTATGCATCAAAGCATCAAATCATCCCGTGCCAGATCCAAGCACTAACACGAGCCGCGGATGCAACCTCCAGATAACTCACCCCCAGACCCCGCTTCTCTCTTCTGTCTTGCAGCCCCTCTTCGGCCCGCTCCATGTGACGAACTGGCATGAAAAGCATCGCATCGCGGACTCTGCCAACCGCATCCGGAACCGGAAACCTTGAACCTTGGTAAAGTGACGATTGTGCTGGAATCGGCCGGAAAAAAGAAGCATCACGTGCAGGAGCCCCCTTTTCTACATCGAGTACGTCACTGAAGGTAAACAAGCGGTCGGACCACCAACCAAAACTGCTGACATAGCAAGAACCAGAAAATTGGTATAACCACGGCAAATTGATATAGCCACCGAAAAACACCGAAAGTAAACAAAACATTTTGACAGCCACAAAGACGAGCTTCATTTTGCCATTGTAATTTCAGTTTCAATCACACGTCCAATTCCAGTTACAACACAAGAAGAGCGCGTCACCATGCAGTCCATCATGGCTGCCATTCCTCTTTTTACACCCTCTAAGCCACCTCCAACTCGATCCTCACCACGGACTTCGCTAGGCACAACTCCAGGTAGTGGCACACCGCGACTTAAAAAGAGCACACCGAGATTAAAGAGCACGCCTGGATCAAAGAGCACGCCTGGATCAGGGGGACGGCAGTCGTATGCGAAAAGACAGGCCGCAGAGGCAGCAGCTTTACAGAGAGGGACCACGGATGACAGCGAGATTCACAACGTCAGTGATTCCGTGCAACTTGAGCAGGACGAGGTGGCATCAGCATCTACTCCCCGTGCGACTGCACGCTCCCTCAGCAGCAAAAAGGCAGCAGAAACAACAAGACCATTCCGACTCACTGGGCGTATCTCGGAGATTCTAGATCAGCCAGATATTGGAGAAGAGGAGCCAGCACAGCCAGCACAGCCAGAGAGGTCAGAGAAGCCAGAAAGGTCGGCGAAGCCAAGGAAACCAGAAGAAGAAGAAACGAAATACGTTTTCGAGGGCTTCGCTGGGTATCGCTGGGCAGGGGACTCCATCGAGCTACAGGTACAATGGAAGAGAGATGACGAACACGATGATAGCGAGGAATGGGCAGACGCCGAAGAATGGGAGGGTGGCAAGATGACTTGGGAGCCCGAAAGAAAGCTGCACGAAGACGATCCCGAGTTCCTGTTTGAGTATTGGCGCACACAAGGTGGACGGCCTGAGAACCCAACAGACCCTGGACTCTATGAGATCTTTGGCGTTCTCAAGCACAACAAGAACCGTACCAAATTGCTCATTGAATGGGTTGGGTACGAGCGCTCAGAGGCTACGTGGATGCTTCGAAAGGATATCCCAAAATCGGCACAGGATATCGTAGACGACTACTTTGCCAGTGTAAAGACTAAGGGCAAGAAGAAATGAGGAACCAGCAACCGACAGAAGTGTCTTTCCTTTTATCTATATCATTTTTCCAGCGTCGGAGTGTCAATTACGGAGATTGCAAGCTTGAAACGGAATACCAGCTGAGAATTAGTACATTATTATGATGGGGGAGTCAAGGGCTCTTGATTGTTATAGACATTATATGAAGCATGAGAGACAAAACGGTCTATCCAGTGTATAGGTAAACGAGTTAATGCTGGCTACACTGCAAATTCACACCTCTGAATAAGGTAGATGTCAAGACGATAAGGTTTACAAAAAATATAATACAACGAGGAATGAAAGCAAAAAGTTATCGAGAACCTCTGAATGAGATTCCATCCAAATCATACAGGGTCTGGCCGGGGATTGAACCCGGGACCTCTCGCAAACAAGCTGTAGGGTTATCCCTAAGCGAGAATCATACCACTAGACCACCAGACCAATGAGTAGTTGTGATGTCTGTCTCGGCGACCGTAATCGGCTCATCAAGATATCGTCGTCTCGGTGAGCAGAAAAAAAGAGATTCGATTGGAACTAAGAAAAAGAAGGGTCTGGCCGGGGATTGAACCCGGGACCTCTCGCATATAAGCTGTAGGGTTTTCCCTAAGCGAGAATCATACCACTAGACCACCAGACCTATCACGTGATGAGTTGAAAGAAGATCTTGTGAAATCGACCTATGATCGTTATGCTGAGTGAGTTGAGGAAGAGAAAACATTGAAGTTTCGCAACGGGTCACCGATGGTTCTATATCCCTCCAATCAAAGGTCTAAAATTGATGTTTGTGTGAAAATATTAAGAAAAGTTGGGTGTAGGCTATCAGCATCACCTGGATATCAGGCCGGTTGTGAGCATTGCTACATGTAGATGTTACATCTCGGGTCTAGTACGTACGTCCTCTAAAACGGAGTAGATGGCACAAGAATCCCTCGCTATAAGAAGGATCGTGCATCTGAGATGGCCAGATCTGCGTAGCCTTAAATGATATTAACATCACCAAGTTTCAGTTGGAAAGAAAGCGATCGTACCTGTAGCACATTTGCCAAAGCATGTGCTATGTGGATGCGATAAGATAGATGCTTGGTGACGCAAAATGAAGCAAGTCGCAAGCTTCTGCACAATGCCATCCTGATAATATGGATAAAAGCATATTGTGGGAAAGATCACAGATACCACAAGCGACCAGTTGCTGCTTTGTGAGTACCGTCTGGATAGAGAACCCTCAATCCTATGGATCATGGGCTGAGAAGATACCGCGCATCTCTCTCAGCTAAAACCTTGCAGTACTCCAGCGGCCATTCGGTGTACTCTTTATATGAAGACGGTAATCTGCGGGCTAAATCCCTCGTCCAGTTGATGATGACGAATTTCCTCCCGGGATATTCAGGCTCGTCAGATTTGGAGAGGCAGGCATTGCCAAGTACGTAGTCCAAAAGGAACATGTGGATGATCAAGAGATGACCTGTGTGATTCTCGTAATCAACAAATTCCATAAAGTCTTGATTGTTGAACGTAGTCGGCATGATGAATAAGATCACAAACTCCCTCCAAGCTAAACGAAGCCTTGTCAGCGCATACCCAAAATGAGAGTGTATGTAATATGATGGCATGAGCGATGCGCCATACCTTCTAGACATGAAGTGCGTAAATTATTGATGCATCTGAGCATACATTCACAATATGATACCTCGGTAGGCTTCTGGCACAACGGCATTATTCGCAGTGCGGATGCGTGAAAGCCCTCGATGGCTTCAAAATTTCTTGGCTGCTCGCTGATGAGCTTCTCTAGGGATCGATCATGTTCCATGGGCGTAAAATACTTGAAGATAGACTTTTCATAGTCTGTAATGATCCTTGATGCGACCAAGTTGCCGCCTCTTGTTGTTGTAATATAGTCAATCATGCTATCCGGCATTAAAGACGACTGGGTAACGAGGCATATCACTGCCGCGAACAGCGCATCCTGATCGGCAGGCTTTGTTGGCGGATGGTCCAGTTGTTCATTAACAAGCTTCATGGCAGTGACGCGATGCTGCAAGGCTTGCGACGTATAGTCGACGTTGCCATGTTGCGATAGATGTGAGGCTCCAAGGCCTAGAACAGCATGTGCAAGATAGTCATACTAAGTCATACAAGCACGCCCTTGTTAGTCATGCATGTAAGAACGCCATAGGGCTGAAGGCGAGTTTCAACGGAGGTAATCTCACCTGGTGTGACATAGCGGCAGCATCCATCCAGACATCTTTGGCTTTTAACGGCAGTGTTGGAAAGGCAGCCAGAAGAAACTGGTGGTAGAAGCGCAAATCTTCCAGCGCGATACCTGATAAAGCGGCACGCGGAGCAAGTGAAGACGACGAGGATGTGGACGACGACGAAGCGGACGATGATGAAGTCGGTGTCGGATAGCTGCAATTCAAGCCGAGACGACAGCACGGCGAACAGGACGGCCGCAATTCATTGCACTTGACTCTTCTACGCTTGCAATTGAAGCATCCCAGACGTGATTTGAAGTGGCCCCGTCGACTAAGTGGCTTGTTGGATTTGCGGACCACAGCATCTGACGAGCCTTGCTCTGACGGCGATTCATGTAAGTCTACTGATGAATCATCCGACGGATTTGGACTTCTGCTGTGCTGTGGCGGAGGCATAGTAGATATCGTGGTATCCGTTGAGCCAAGTAAAAGAATGATGAGGGGAAAGGGGGAAAAGGAGAATTAACAGCGACTCTTGGTGTTATCGCGATTCAAGAGGCTGAATCGATCGTTTGCTTGGCGGCGAGCGCAAAGGACGCATCACGCCGTTATCGCAATCGGCTCAATGACCCGATCGCTTCGCTCAATGCCAACAGCTAAAGAGCCCCCGGCAGTGGATACAGCCGGGCTGCAGTCTCTCTGAAATATCGGCAATCTCAAGGCGATTTACGCGCAACAAAACGCCGGCAGAACGCGCTCCTGAAGGCCCTGGGAATCTCCTGCTTACGGGATATGACTCTGTCCACGTTCCGATGCTCAAGCTGCGAGAGCCGCTTTCTATTAATGTCCAGCTGCAACCAACAACAATCGCGACCCAATGGGATCTGCTTCACGTGATGAAGCCCGACGCCTTGCATTCTCCAAGAATAGAGCGTGGCCCCCTCATTGAGCAGGACATTCTCTGATAGGTGGATTAAACCCAGGGGGAGCGCATCCTGCCAGCTATAGTGCTACCCTGGAAATGAGAGACATGGGACGGGATGAAGCAGGCCAAGGCGCGTTCAGCCGTCCTGAGGGGTCAGCTGCATCTGTACTCGTACCTTTTGCATTGTTGTCCGCATAGGCGAGGAAGCTTGCAACTGTTGTATGAAGTAACCTCAAGTGTAATGGCGCCAGTTGACGAGGAAGTTGACGGCTTCGTTCTTATATCACATGGCAATGACGCTATTAAAGATGGCCGTCTAATAGGTGATGCGGGTCCCAGCAACGTGCTGTCGGAACTGCGGTACCTCAATGATATCAGTGAGGCGGTGGACAGTCTCGATGAGGTCTTTTGGCCAATTAACAAAAAGATCCACGACAACCCAGAGCGAGGATTCAAGGAATTCATCGCCCACGATGCCTTGACCGGCTTCATAAAATCGCAGAGGGGCTGGGTTGTTACGCCGTCTGCCTATGGCATGGACACAGCCTGGGTCGCAGTCTTTGACACAGGAAGACGCGGTCCTGTCGTATCATTTAATGCAGAGATGGGTAAGACTTGCTTGCGCCACGAGATTCTTTGAGGCGGAGCAGATACCGATGTTGACCTTTATCTTCTGCGACAGATTGTCTCCCAGGCATTGGCCATGCATGCGGCCATAACCTCATAGCCACAGCCTCGGTCCTTGGCGCTGTTGCGACTGCTCGCGTTATGGAGCTGCGCCGAGCGCCCGGAAAGGTTGTCTTGTTCGGCACACCAGCAGAAGAAGGCGGCGGAGGGAAGATCAGGCTTCTCGATGCTGGCGCCTACTCTGACCACAAGGTCGATGTGAGCCTGATTTCGCATCCTGGCATCACCCCAAACGCGGCTTTAATGCGAACGACATCGTATTTGCAGTTCAAGGTTGAGTATTTTGGTCGAGAGGCTCATGCTGCGGCGAATCCATGGCTTGGAATCAATGCTTTAGACGCACTGATTGCAGGATACAACAACGTCTCAGCACTTCGACAGCAGATCATGCCTGAAGACAGAGTTCAAGGGTACATCACTGATGGCGGAATTGCTCCTAATATCATCCATGCCTACGCCGCAGGCCTGTTTGTTGTTAGATCCGATACGCAGAAACGTCTTGATGAGCTCAAAGAGAAAGTGTACGACTGCTTCAAAGCCGGAGCTCTAGCAACAGGAGCCAAAGTGACCATTACTGAAAAATGGGGATACAAAAACCACATGCCCAACCGTACAATGGCGCAATCGTATACACGATACTTTAATGCGCTCGATCCTCCGGGCGAGATTGCAGAGGATCAGGATATTGATGAAACGCGAGGCAAGACACAGGCAAGTACAGATCAGGGCGATATTAGCCACGCGATGCCGAGCTTGAGTCCGGCGTTCCGCCTACAGCCTGGGCCGAAAGGTCAAGGTCCGCATAATCCGGAATTTGCTGAGGCTGCTGGGACACGAGATGCTTATGTGAGGACACTGAGAGTGGCCAAAGGGCTGGCTGGAGTTGCATTGGATGTCTTGTTGACAGAGGGCCTTCTTGATGAGATTAAGAGAGACTGGGAGAGCATGATTGCAATGTATAACAGTTTGTGAGCTAACTTATATTGTTTGGTTTAATTTACATTCCTCGATGCTGTCAGGCTATATGAACCGAGATGGCTTGGAGAGGACCTTTCATGGGCTGTTGATTTCACTACCAATCTAGAGAAATAGGCATTTAGAATGCATCCCATCATCTCAACAGCTCGCCTATGCCGGAGATTTTATCCTACTACCCGTCTTCGCTCCGTATTGTTGGAGGGCCATAGGTGCACGACTGATATGGGCCTGATGCGCCTAACCTTTGGTAGCATTGCAAGGCCTGTTTGGGGGGCCAACATCCACATCCCTGCAGTGTTGCCTACAAGCTTTCGTGTCTCCGCGATAAAATGCTTTGGTTAAAATGTAGGATAAATAGGTACAGCCCCAGAAATTATGCGAAATAATTTATGATTCCCATTCTTATACTGTAAGAGGGCCCAGGGGCATTATATCAGCACTCACCGTTGCCGAGATGGCTCAACAAACACGAGGCGTCGTTCTTAATCAAGTCAACGTAAATGATACACGCGATGGTAGACCAGATGTCGACATCATTGCCGTTCACGGCCTGGACACAAGGTCACCCGACACGTGGACATGGCGATCCAAAGACCGAAACAAGCCTGACGTGAATTGGCTTGTCGACCGTGATATGCTTCCACACAAGATGAAAAGAGTTCGAATCTTCACTTGCAATTGGCCAGCCGACTTATTTCAAGAGTCAGACTCAATTCCTTGGACAGTCGGAGAATTTGCTAGGCGTCTACTGGCTGGAATCCACAATATAAGACTTCCCTTGGCAGCAGATGGTCGGGATAGAGACCGGCCAATTGTTTTTATCGCGTCGTGCCTTGGAGGTATCATTTTAATGGAAGCTCTTATAATGGCTAACAATCCACAAAGCGACTATATTTCTATCAGAAAAGCTACGCGTGGTATCATCTTTCTTGCTACACCATTCAGAGGAACTGCGTTTCAAGATATAGCCTCATGGGCAGATCCGTTGCTGAAAACATGGGCCTCGCTTGGAAACCGATCGGTGACACAGCTACTCGAAAGTGTAAAGGGATCTAACTTCTATCTTGAAGAACTTGTGCGCAGCTTCACTCGGCTATGCCAGGATACATGCGACCCTTGCAAAGTCCACACTTTCTATGAAACACGTGGGACGGTTCTTCCGGGAAAGTTTTTGCCGTCTTATTTCCTTACCTTTTTTGACCAATCGAAGCCTGTACGTAGGTAAACTGGCTATACAACCGTTTTCCTTTACAATATTCCCAATAGCCTGGGACATTGAAATGGGCTAACACCTGGTAGCTGGTCAATAGCGCCTCGGCAACTCTGGATATCGATTCAAACCCACTGCCGCTCGAACGACGTCATGTAATGATGAACAAATTCTCTGGGCCTGATGATCTTGACTACATTACTGTTGTTGGAAGGCTCGAGGCACTTCTTCAACTAGTTCGAGATAGACCACCGCGGCAGGCGGATATTTGGATCCACCACAAGCACTATACAGCAGATAGGCTCCAGATTGAAAGACTCTCTGGTGACAGGTTGCCGATGGAGCAGTGCTATATCAACCTTGTTATTGTGGCGCGGCCAGGAGAAAAGGCATATAAGCCAACTTCAGCTCAGTCCTTTCCATTTTCACTACTCGCCCGACAGAAAGCTGAAGCTGCAGATGATGTAAGTGAAAGAAAGAGTCGGGTTGATTTGTCAACACTCTTCAATGCACGCAAAGATGAAGATGGCGGCGTGGTCAATCCCAGAAGAGTCTTCATCCGAGGATCCGCGGGAGTGGGGAAAACTACACTGTGCAAAAAGATTATCCATGAGTTTTATCAAGGCACATGGAGCGACTGGAATAAGATCTTTGATCGCATCCTTTGGGTGCCTTTACGGAATTTGAAGTTGAAAGAAAGAACGAGACCAGGATACAACTATGAATGTCTCTTCAGCGACGAGTATTTCTCATTGCCAGAGAGCAAGCCGGAGCTGGCTCAAGAACTGTCTAAAGCATTAGTGGCCGATAATAGCAGGACTCTCTTTCTACTTGATGGTCTGGACGAGGTGTCACAGTATTTGAGAGGCGAAGATGCAATGTCCCTCTTCCTCGAAGACCTTCTGAAACAAGCAAACGTTATTATTACGTCTCGGCCGTCAATCAATTTCCAGCCCAAAATAGACCTGGAATTAGAGACGATCGGATTCGATCCAAAGCAGGTGAAAGAATACCTCTACGCTGACCCAGACACAAAGCCGAAAGTTAACGAGATTGAGACTTTCCTTCGAGACCATTGGCTGCTTCAGAGTCTCGTGCGAATCCCAATTCAGCTGGATGCACTCTGTTACGCTTGGAATGACATCAGCGCCGGGGTATCCTTGGACACTATGACCGATATCTACCATGCCATCGAGCAAAGGCTATGGAGGAAGGATATCGTGCGACTGGAGCGAATCTCAGGCAGGGTCCAATCGCCTCTTCCTACGGAGATAAACAATCGAATCAAATCCGAGGCTGAGATTCTGCAGTTTCTTGCCTTCAGTGGAATGTATAGTGACGTAATATATTTCACCGCCGCACATCGAGACAAGATAGTTCAGGTATTCTCTTCAGTTGGGTTACTACTGGACGAAACACTTGGACGACTTTCTTTCCTACGCACATCTGATTCGTCATCCAAAATCAAGGACAGAAGTTATCACTTTCTTCATTTGACCTTTCAAGAGTATTTTGCGGCAAAATATTTTGTTCAGAGCTGGACAAATAGAGAGGATTTATGCATATTAGAACTTGATAACCACCAAAAGAGAGCTAATGTTATAAAAGTTGATCCCAACAGTTTCCTGCGAGAAAGAAAATACGACGCACGATTTGACATCTTTTGGCGCTTTGTTGCAGGTTTGCTCCACACAGAATACGATGAAGACCAGCTGTGCCGCTTCTTCTTAACGATCGAGGACCAGCCACGCGACCTCTTGGGTCCAGTACATCAGCGATTGACCATGCATTGCTTGAGTGAAGTGGTACCGTCGGATGAGATGAGACTGTTTGTTCCTTTGAGGAAAGAGCTGGAAGATCAACTGTCTCAATGGTTGGAATTCGAATGTAACTTCCGAGAGACGTCACGACTGGCCAGTGAAATTGAGTTTCCAGAACGCAGCTTGAACAGTGTCTTACTACGAGCATCTGAAGATGTAAAGATAAAAGTTATAAAATCGCTAGAAAGGCGGTCACAGTTGCCACAGGGTACAATAGAGCTGATAACTGACTGGTTGAAGGGCAATCCTTCGCGGCTCTTAACATCTACTACGCTTGAGATGCTCTGGTCACATAATTATTTGCCACCCCAGTCACTCAAAGTTGTGGTAAAATGGTTATATGACGACAATTATGAGATCGCAAGAAAAGCGGCAACGCTGCTTGATATCCAACGGACTGTACCTGAGTATATCTGTATGGCTATAATAGCACATATCGAGAACCAACAACGCAGCGCTTATCGATGGTTATTATTTACCGCGATTAAGTATAAATTGCCTAGGAACATCCTCGAGACTCTAGCAGCGCAACTTGAGGATCAAGATCCACTTGTTCGACGAAAAGCCTTGGCCAAGCTTGGGGGGTCACTCCCTGAAAATATTCTAAAGGCCGTAGCAGCACAGCTGAAAGACCAAGATCCTGAGATTCGATTATTCGCTTTGAGGGCGCTTAGAAGTCCAAAATCCCCCCCAGATGATATACAGGTCGCAATAGCGGCACACCTGCAAGACGAAGATAAAAATATACAGAATGAGGCATGCAGAATACTCAAACATCTACCAGTTTACTCAAAGAACTGCCCACAGGCTATAGCAACCTGGCTAGTAACTCAGGATGAGGATATTAAGAAAGTTCGGTCACTGCGTTCAAACAAACGACTAGCCCTTTCCGATGCGATAGCAGCGCAGCTGGAAAATGAAAACCAAGATCATCAATTTACAGCAATGCAACTGCTCGGTGCTGAAGATGAACTAACTGATGATACTTTAAATGCTGTAGCAGCGCAGCTTCAGAATCAAGATGAAGATATTAAGGATATCGCCATACGGATTCTTTTACGCTATACGTATACCTTCCCAGAACAGTCCACAATACCAAGAGATCTCTTCAAGATTGCATCAGAACAACTCGAGAGCCAAGACAACGACGTAAAAATACAGGCATTACGTACTCTGGCAGTTCTTCGATGCCAACAAGGAATTCCTGGCGAAATTCTTTATAAGCTTGCCATGAAGTGCAAAGACGAAGATAAAGATGTTAGGGAGGCAATACTACAACTATTCCCGCAGTATTTGGTACCAGATGCTATCTTAGATTTCATCGTAAGCCAATTTAAGGATCAAGATCCGGATATTAGGTACTACACTCTCTTTGCTCTGAAAGATCACCCAGGGCTGTCTACAAACATCCTCAACCAAATAGCAGAACAACTGGAAGATCAGGATGAACAAGTTCGAAGCATGGCAGCATCTACACTTGGAAACCAGTCAGAATTATCTCATGAGCTCCTTAAAGCTCTGGCATTACGACTGGAGGATAAAGATGTTAATGTTAGAATCTCCGCAACAGAGGCGCTCTGCCGTCGGTCCTTACCTGAAGACATTATTGAAGCGATAGCAGGACGTCTTACAGATAAGATGCGAAGTGTTCAAAGGATGGCGTTAAGAGCCCTCCAAGCGCAGTTGACTTTACCGGCGAGGATCCTTGAAGCCGTAACGCAAAAAATTAATCTTGAAGATGAATACATTATGAGGGAGGCGGTTCGAGTACCCGGAATTCATTCGACGCTACCTGAAAACGCAGTTCAAGCTATGACGGCATGGCTAGAACATAAAGATGAGGATTTTAAACAGATAATGGTGGAAGCTCTTCGAAAGCAACCGAAATTGCCTGCTACTATTCTACAAACAACAGCCTTATATCGAGGCTTACTTGCAAGAAGCTTTGAGGCGCATGTCAGCTGCTATGTTATGGATGGAATCTCTTATATCGACATGCCAGGGGATCTTGGAAAAGTTCGTTTGGAAGGCCAGCTAAATGGATTCATGGACGCAGTCGCGGAAACTCAAAGGGAAGTCGAAATCCCGCCTCAGCTTGAACATGTACATAGATATAGCACTTAGACCGATGGAGCGCATATGTCTCGGGCCGCCCTGGAGAATTGCCAGCACCTTTCTGTTTGCGACCAATTCCAATGTTGGATCATCGCAGGCTGTCAAGGACTTACAAGTGCAAATCCGTGGAGAATTGACGTCAAAATAGCATCACGGCAGAGAAATCAGATGACTCGTCTACTGCGTTTACCAAATGTGGCATCATTGATCATTTTAATACACACATCATATTGGGCAGTTCCAAGATAGTGAGACTTTGCACAGAAACAAGAATGTAGCATACTTATATCAGTGCTACTCAAAACGACTTGCCCTGATGCCAAGTTCAACCCTTGATAGTTGTAAAATACATATACTCATCATTTAAATGCTAAAGTAAAATATTACAACTCAGCAATGTGTCCTTATGAAGCACATCTCGTAGATCAAGTCAGATCGTCAGTAAAGCTGTATTCGTCCTCGTACAATTATTACTTAGACTAAATAACATCATCATGTAACCAATGTCAAATGTCTTGTCGTATGAAGAAAGGGAAGGCACCGCAATCTACAAAGATAGCATAAAAGAATGAGATCGAAAATGTGGGTCAAATTCGCCTGTGATATTCTCTATATAGGCAGGCAATGCAGAGGCTTTCTAAGACGTCGGCATATTTTTTAAGAGGAAACTCTGTGAAGTCAGGGAAGATCACGAGAATTCGACAAATAATTTGTCCTTTGGAAATCTCAAAACATGTTTTTCCACTAGCCTATATTGTTAACGGTATAGCCCCAATTGAGACCGTTTTCACAACCATACATGCCCCTTGGGGACCATGAATGGATGACGCGCTATAGCTGACTTAGATCATACAAATAATCCACTATACTAGGAATTGCATGTCAGCCGGCATTTCAGTCCAGTTCCCTCGGCAAAGTCAGAGTATAAGCTTAATCCAAGCCACTAACGCGTAATGCGAAACTCCGAAGGACTTTGGAATCAACATCCCACCGGATGGCTCCATGGGCAATCCGTCAGCACAAGATACCCAGCTAACTATTGTCCACTTTTTCTGATATGAAGACTTTCACGGAAGTCTGTGGGAGAACAGTCTATGAACAATTTCATTTAATCTGCAAACGCGCGCGTAACACGCAACTGGAACCATATCCCACCGGATGGCTAATTGCATGATCTGCATCAGCTTTAAACCAGTCCTATGGGTCTACTTCAGCATTACGGTGAGGATAACCTTGCCGATACTATACTCTTTCCTTCCTTTCCTTTCTTTTCCAGTACGAGTAAAGAATCCACAGTTGTCTATCCACAGTTGCCTAAGGGGTGATGTCTTGTCCGACTATAAGAACGACCTACTTCTCCTTCTCTACGACTTGGATTCCATTCTGCTTTACCCTATCAAGTGGTTTCCCAGTTTCTGAGACTTAAAACCAAGCATATTTCATCAGTTCTTCTCTAAATTCTATCTTCTCAACAGAGAGACAATCTCAATGGCGAAGAATTTGGTTGTTGCCACACTTATGTGGCTCGCTTCGGCCCATCCACATGAACCCCGAGGCACTGCCAAACTTCCCAGTCCCCTCAAAATCATTGATGATTCTATTGAGGCTCTTGGTGGCCAAAATGTTCTCCGTGGACTGAAAGGGGTTATATACGAATCGGCAGAGTATGTATTCGCCGCCTATTACTTGATATGTCAACATGCTAATACCTAGAAAGCATCTTCCATACCAGCACTTTAATGCAAAACTACAAGCTATTCACGACCGATCGCTATATTGTCAACTTGGGTTCTCAGAACCTGTCATTCTCTTTCTCCGAAGATGCTTTTCAACACAGGATTGACAGGGTTTTTCAGCACTCAGGTTAGTAACTATTTCACAACTCCCTATGTTTTGGCCAAGACTAATGCTCTGGAAGACTACTTCTTCTTCGCCAATCCAACTCTCCCGCCCGGTCACTTCTCACTTGTCATGCAAAACGGAACGGAAAACGGGTATGCTTGCTACATCGATGGAAACAATAATGCATTCATTGCACCTGATCAAGTTGCTGGTTATGCCGACTGTAAGTAACTTTACGGATATAACAAGGCTATTCACTAACCCTCTACAGCTGCACTTACAGAGTATCTGTTATTCCAGGCCAACAAGTTTTCCCCCAAACTTCTCCTAGATGTTTGTTACGCACCCTTCAGGTATCATTTCTGCCGTGACTAATCAGAGAATAGATCCGAAGCCATAAGCTTGCCACACAGATTGTGGAGTTGAACAGAGTTGAGAATCTTGCCGTCCACGACTTCGACCTTGATATCACCGTAATCTTCGATGCTTATACACATTACCCGAAAATTATAAGATCATTTGAAGATCATGCGATATTTGGAAATACCACACAGGATCTCGAACTCTCAAACTATGCTGAGGTTTCGGGCATTCAGTTTCCCCATCGTCGAATGGTGTTATACAATGGAAGCGCAATTCTTGAAGACACAACCGTATCGCGAGTTTCCGTAAACCCGACATTCTCCCCAGGCTTTTTCGATGGTCTCGCAGCGAACGAAACCGAAACTCGCTCAGCTCCCCCAAAGAGAATTGCTGGGTATACACATGCGGAAATTGGAGAATACTGGTACAACACTTTCTGGGGAGGCGAGTACACGGGGACATACAACAACCTGAGTGTCGTTCAGCCAGCCGCTGATCTGCCCCGCGTTCACAAGTTGTTGTTCTTGGACCAGACAAATTTGGAGCAGCTTGTGCTTGAGTTTGATGATTCTATCATTGTTTTCGAAGCACCTCCCCACCAGACTGATTTGGTGATCCAATGGGTCAACGAGACGCTAAAGAGGCCTATCACCCATTTTTGGGTAGGTTGTTGCAATCACATACCGTTAACAGAGACAATTCCTAACCAAGATATATATATAGCCTTCGCATCATCACCATGACCACAACTACGAAGTTCGCAAATATGTTGAGTTGGGTGCAAAAATTATTGTTCCCGAAGTCTCTGCGCCTTACTGGAAACAAATCCCGAATGCCAAGTTGATAACTTTCAAGTATGTACTTGCCAGCTTTTTATATACAATATTTATTAATTCGGTGTGCAGCGAAAACAAGCCTTACATCCACTCGGACGGTAAAATGCAAGCTCGCTTCTTGTGGAGGCCCGAGGCCGCTCACTCGGTTGATTGGACCTATTCCGTCATCACAACTGCTTGTCCGTCAGCTAACAGCACGATCTTGACTTATGTTGCCGATGCCTGGTCCACAGCCTTTCCGTACGATAGTGCATTCGCTAGAAGTTGGCTGGTACAAGCCAGTGCCGACGGATTGAGTCGCAATGCTTTGTATGCAGAGGCCCTCAATTTCCCCTTCCAATAGATTGAAGCTGACGTTTTCTATAGGGCAGTTCCAGCACACGGCCAACCGACGCCGTTGGTAGAACTTATTGATGCATTGGCATTCGATTACCCCGACCTTAAGACGACTGATTTCAAGACGGGAGGAAACATCTGCCTAAAAGCTCATTATTGATAGCCTCATATAGCCTCATACAGGCTGGCCCATAGTATCGGCGCAGCTATGGACGGCGCAATTGGAGTGGCAAAGGCATAGAGGATTACACACTAATGATGCGTGTATCTAGTTTCAGGTTAATAGCTAGATTATAAACATGCAGGCTGATAGAAATGGATTCGCTATATCTCTAACGCGATGCCCTGTATTTTTATTCGGGAACTTGCTAACCAAGCACCCCAGGCCGCACAGCTTATAGCCTTCTGCGTGCCAAGTTTCGCAGCGAATGAGCAGATATCACTAGATGTTGTGCAGAATTGAGATATATATAGCATATCTTCTATGATAATGATGGAGACTATGGACATTTTGACCATCAATAAGGGCATCGATCACCAATTGCAAATGCGAAGAAACTTGGTATCGACATATGCATAGCCACAACTTTATAGTCAGTCTGCTCCTAACCCTTGTCTAGGCTGCAAGCGAAATCCGCCTAGTTAAGGAGGGGTTTTTGTAAAATCCTGGCCCTCACAGCATCATCATATTTCGTGCAATTGAACAAGAAAGACGACAAGCCCATAACGTTGTCCATGATGGACAACGGAATTCAAAAGACTGTCGTCGATTACCAGTATGACCCTCTAAAGGATGGCGCATCAATCCGACTGCTGTATCTACATCCGGACTCATTTCGTCAGCTACCTATTAAGGTCTCCCTCCAGGAATTTCCAATCAATGCGTGTCCGAGTTTTATGGCGCTGTCTTATACATGGGCGACTGAAGAAGGAGTCGCCTCTCTGTCCCGTGAATTACTCTGTAACGGTGCTTCCCTCAAGATAACCGAAAACTGCGAGGCTGCGCTGAAAAGGCTGCGACGACCGACGGAAGACCAAGTCCTTTGGGTTGACGCAGTCTGTATCGATCAATCTAATATTGGGGAAAGGAGTCTCCAGATTGGCTTGATGCGTCAGATCTACAGCCAGGCATCCTGGGTGGCCCTGTGGGTGGGCGAGTCATCTTCGGTTGTTGACGAAGAAACCGGTAAACCACTTTCGGACCTCGGCATGGACTATATTCACGACTTTGCCGTTGAGATTGCGGAAAGAAAAAATTCGGGCCAGGATCCTTGTGAAGGGCCACTCTATCAAGAGTTCATCAAAGATCGACAGGCGTTCCAGCATTTTAATAGCGAAGTCTTCACGCCTCGAGTGCGCGGCTTATGGGACGTATTCCACCGTAAGTGGTGGGACAGGCTATGGGTTATCCAAGAGGTCGCCCTATCAAAGGAGCCTACACTCGTCTGCGGCGGCAAGGCAGAGACCTTCCACAACCTCAAGATTGTCATTGAGGCCCTCATTAGTTCAGAGCAGCCTGTCGAAGTGATGGAGTTTAACACGCTATTCATCGCATCTACCTTTCATCAGTTTCATGTACGTCATATGATTGAAACTGGCGGAATGGGCCAGATATCGACTCCCGGGGCCAAGGCACTCCGAATCCTAAATGCCACTCGGAACGCCAAAGCTTCGGATCCGCGAGACAAGATATATGGCATCCTTGGCTTCTTTGGTGCCCCGGCAAAGGACCCCGAAAACATATTTCCAGAGCCAGATTATAAAAAGACAGCTGCTGAGCTGTATGCAGATGTATCGCGAGCCATAATCATCAATACCGGAAAGTTGGACGTCTTGAGCTCGTGTTATGGCTTCATTAAGTCGAGTGTGCCTAACCTACCGTCATGGGCGGTTTCTTGGAACGACACTCCGCTGAAATATTTTGATGATGAAATTTTCGATGCAGCAGGTGCTTCCTCCGTTATTTATGAAGACTCTGACGACAAATTGCTCTTGCGGATTAAAGGCAACAAAGTTGACTCCGTGAAAGTCACAGGCCAGTTGCCTGACTCTATAGGGTATAGTAACGGGGCCTACATCGAGTTATGGCGCTACTGGTGGAAATTTGTGTCAGATCTAAAGACATACCCAACTGGAGACACTGTTTCGGATGCATTTCAAGATACACTCTGCTGGGGTTCCACTCTCCACTATCACAGAGCATCATTGGAGGAATACAAGGAGACCTTTAAGGCCTGGCTTAAGGTTTTGACAGGATCGGACGACACTGATACTGCTGCCAAAAACATCTTTGATAGCAAAGAGCCATACAAGTACGCTCATAGAGCCAGTTCAATCACCTGGGGGCGCAACATGGGAATAACGGATAAAGGGTATCTAGCCATGGTGCCCATAACGACCAAAGTAGGAGATGAAATCGTGATTTTTGAAGGAGCCAAACTACCCTTTGTCGTACGAACTGAGGGTGGCAAATCCAAGCTTGGGGGGCCTTGTTACATACGCGGCATGATGGATGGAGAGTTTTTTACCAAGCAAGGCACACAAGCGACAGACGAACTAGAATGGTTCACATTACAGTAATGAATTTTCTATATACAAGCGTATATACAAGCGCAGGACATAAATCAGCGCTTCAATCTTTTATGCAAGCTCAAACACGACAGTGTCCACAGCAAGATCAGTGTTGATGGTTGGGCCTTCGCCAATGGGCTCAATGGCAAGAGCCTCAATAAGAACGGAAGTAGCAGGGGTGCCACTAGTTTCGATGTGATACGGGCCGAATCCATCCTCAAGGGTGTGGAAAACATAGAGGTCTTGCTCTCCTCCGGACAGAGTAGTCTGAATCTCCACAGTGGTGTTCAGTTGGAGCTCGCTGTCGTAGAAGATAAGATCAACGTCGAAGGCAGCCTTGGTAATCTTTTGTGTTCCTTGAACTGTGAACTTGAGCTTTCCGTTGCTGTTGTAGACAACGTTGGAGCCAGAGGTAGACCACGAGGGATAAGGGCGAGTTTCCTCTTCAGTTGGGCAGTTGGGAGTCGCCGTGCTGTTCAGAATGCCGACTCCGCCACCACCAGTAATGAGGAAGCCCTGAATTTCGACAATTAGCTCATGAATAGATGCAGCGAGCGGTTGTCAGTGTTGGCAACTTACGTTATAGGCTGTCTTCTGGTTCAAAGCAGTCTGACCACACTGTTTGTTGTTGGAGACGGCAATATCGTCAAACTATGGAAATTTAGCCATCTTATTCCTAGAAGTTACATGTACATCCGCGACTCACGTTCAAAGTGACTGTGGCAGCAGAAACACCCAGAGCGGCGGCGGCAGCGGCCAGCATGACACGAGACAGAACAGCCATTGTGAATGTTATTGGAGTCGCAAACGTTGGAGTATCTGTGAGATTGAGTTGTTGAACTGTTGAGTAATTTTGTTCATCAAGAGAGAGAGCATCGTTTTATAGAAGTTTTCTATCAACAAGCTTTCTCTCAGCTTCAACATCTTCTTCTTGGATCGGCACAATATACAATCCGATGCATCAATGTGGAGTCCGATTCATGCAAGGGGTCTTTTTCTTAAAGAAGCAATGATCTGTTGCTGTCTTACTGTATTTCTCTTCAATTATGCTACGGAATAGAATGAACAAATGCTAATCCTAGCAACTATAGGTGAGAGTGGCAATAGGTATACCAATGACAAATAGTTCCTCCGCATACAACCTTTTCCCTCACCTTTTGATCGGATTAATTACCCCCTAAGGAATGGCTGGCAGGAGAGGAGATGGTTGACAGTAGCATGGGCGTCAGTCGTGTCAGCTTAACGCCAGGGGACCCCATTCCTCCATGGAAACGGAGAAATAAGACACAGGCCAACTCCACTAGGCAGCTTACTTTTGCAGTTTTCAGCTACGTTGATGCCATTTCCGACGGATATGCAAGTATAAGGTTAATATTAATGTTTTTGACATCCTATTGTGGGCCGAGGCGCCTAGAGGTACGTTTTCTATTTGTTTAATTGTGGCTAACTGATTGACAACTGCGCTTTTTGTGTTTGGGCTGAATAGTTTGGGAAGCTTCTCATTCAGCTTTTCCGAGTTGCGCTGTTTCTTTAAATGCGCTGCACTGTCATATACATTAAGTAAAACAAACCGTGGTGCGTGAGGCTAGGGATGTCCGAAGTTGTACTCAAATATGCAGGTCAATTAGGCTCCGTTCGGACTGGGGTCACTTTGACAGAACACTTACCGTATTGAGTAGCCGATTGTAACTGCTACCCTTGCGATCCAAGACTATACTTCTTCAATCTATTACGCCTGCTATTAGAAGGTGGTACTAATAGGTGTCAAGTTCCGGCGACGTGTTCCGCCGCCCACCTCACCGCACTTCTTGAAGGTTAACTTTTCTCGTATCAACGAGGTTGAATCTGGTATACAATACGCCATATTCTCGGACCTAGAGTTGCACCGATTGAAGCACGCGATAGAGCTTCTCTTGATGCAAAGTCCCAAAGACTCAATTGTGGGCTTTTCAGGGTTATAGCTGTTAAAGAAAGGCCACTTTCTTCTTTGGTGAACAAATTTTTCAATGCAAAGGGGAGAAAAGACTATAACCGAAGCAAATCAGTTGCAAGATGTTCTATAGCTGCTAAAAAGGTATACCAAAAGTCAGTTCTATTTCGTTCTAATCCACTACTGTACTGCACCCAGGAAAGGATGCCTCAAAAGATCTAGTGCTGATGGACGCTCCTCGGGATCGATCTTCATTAATAAGTTCATAAATGAAACGAAAGCCTCTCTTAGGCTCTGGCCCATACCAGTTGTGATAGTTTCAGACATTAAGCCAGGACCCTCCAAGGGTTCTGCGTCTTTGATACGCCCCTCGTCGTCAAACAGATCACGTACTAGATCCTGGTTCCCCTTCTCAAGTAGCTTCTTGGGGAACGGCCCGAAGAAGTCAATGATCTCAATCAGGTGCTCTCTGGTCTCGTAATGTCCGTCCGGGGGAACTCCGCCATCAAACATTCGAACAGCGCGAAAAACCTCAAGCAGCACGGCACCAAAGTTCCACCAATCTGTGGAGGCGTCCCAAGGAGCTCCAATAATGACCTCGGGAGCGCGAAGAAGTACTGGTTGGATGACCTCAGTAAGGTGCTTCGTAGTCCAGCTAGAGACTCCCCAATCTCCCAAAGTAATATCAAAGTCAGCTGAATACTTGGCTTTATAGTCAAAGTAGAACCAGCGAAGCGGCTGAGACGGGACTGGGCGATATTCCGTCTCTTCACGATCCTGTTGTGGGACGGGGATTTCTTTGAGATAGCCAGATTCAATAAATGAGTAATCACGGAACTTTACAAAGATATTGTTCGGTTTGATGTCTATTTGAGAAATTTGATAAGCTTTGACAGAAGCCATGAGGCTGATGGTGCATGCTAGGGTACCACTCATACCTGTATGAATAACGTCATGATCATGGGCGTACCATAGCGCAAGGACAAGTTGAATTGCAAATCTGAGCATGATCTCGTATGGGATCTTGCCATCAAGGGGAAACCAAGTACCAAAGCTGCGAAGGGTTTCACCCATAAGTTCAAAGATGAAGCATACGTGGGTGCCGTTGGGGCCTTGATGCTCAAAATCATCTATCAGGTGGCAGACATAAGGATAGCCTGGATGCTCGCGACTTCCATCGCGAAGACATCTCAAGATTTCCCTTTCAAATGTGTCGGTCCCATGGCCGTAGCAATCAGCTCTCAACACCTTGAGTGCGCGGTACACATTTGATGCATCGCCATCGACGCTGCAATTGAGAATGTCAGCCCACGGTGTAAAGGATGTATCATGCAACTGTTCACTCACGTAGCTTGTAAGTCTTTGACCAGCCAGACTGTCGAATACCGACCGTAGCCAATCTTATTGAGAACCTTGTATCTGTCGTTGAAAATGTCACCGATATATACGGGATGAAACCCGCCCGGTCGGTATGCAGCTTTGCCCTCTTCTTCATCTTCAGACGTAGCATCAGGCTGAAGTGCGGAATCTTCTGCGAGTTCCACTACCTTTTCAGGCTCTTCAATACTTTCGAGGCCATTGGTTTCTTCATATTCAACCACAAGCTCAGGCATAGATACGATCTTGGACGCTAAAGCATCTGAAGGTGCTTCATCTGGATTGTCAGCCATGTTTATGCATGTCAATTGTCAAGGAATCTTGTGCCAGTTCGGCCTGTATATGTAGGGAATTGCTCCCGGCGTTGGATTGATGGCAGTGATGACATGCCGGCAGCCTTGAACTTGAGACTAATCCGACCAACACCATCACCGGATAGCGAATAGCAATTCCAAGTGTAAAACAATCACCAGGGTTAGTCGGCTTTCAGCCCCCAAGTTCCAAGCCCCCAGGTTGTATCGATTCCTGCCGCGCGGCAGTTTCGGTGGATACTTTTCTTTTTCGCTTTTTTTCTTTCTTCTCGCAGCGCTTACAGCAATCAACACAAAGCGTACGCATTTTATCACCCGGGCGGTAGCATTATCTGTCTGATACGTACTAACCATCAACGTTACATGCGGCAGCTTTAACAGCGGGAACAAGAGTCTTTGGCGAGCTTAGTTCCGCAACTAACAATGCTGCTCAAAATGCAGTAACAGGTCTGTAGAATTTTAATAGACTTTTCCTGGTTTATATTACCTTCAATTATATCAGATTTCGTATTTTTCATGACTTCCGTGGTATTTGCCGTTCAAACCCAAGATTTGTGTGGCAGAGCATTGCGTATAGTTGAATGTGCGCACATTACAGGAAAAATAGTATTTGATACATAGTTTGTGTTCCTTTCGTTTTACTCCTTCTTTTTTTTCTTTTGCTGACTTTAATTCTCTGAGGATAGGGGCCTTAATTGCTTTCCCCCTCTAATCTAGCTTTGTCTCTCGTATCTTCTGAAAGCGTCTCATCACAGTTGAGCAGAGAGTGGAGTGTCCCTCTCCTACGGCTATAATTTTTGGGGGATGTTTCGCCGGAACCCTCTGTGCCCATGGCATCTCAAACCATATCAGTAACCCTAAGACAAATCGCGTTTTATAAATCTCTGGGGATATTTCTAAATCTTGAGGATTCGATACACCTCGGGAGCGCCGTATTGGTGCGGTTTACTACGAAATCGGCCGCCCACTTAGTGTACTGTCGGCGGCGAGATTGACCGCAGCTAGCGGAGAGTTACTGAGCTTGGGCTAACAAACTGAGAGTCTGCAAAAGGCCGGCATCGCGTGCGTGCGGGTTAGTTTGCGGGCTAGCGCAGGTTGTCGGCTCGACTGTCGGGCGACCAAGATCCCGTTGCTAGGCCTGTACCTAGATGCAGCTGGCAGCTTAGAACTTTCATGGCGTTTTGCAGCAACCGGTTGAGCATGCGCCGAGCTCTTCTACTATTGAACTTTGTGCTGGACTAACAAAAATCAACTTCTCAGACTCCTTTCACTGTTGTAGGTATATGACTTCGTAAAGAAGGGTATATAACTATATCATTTAGTAGGAATTGAGAGTTGCGTATAAGTTCCGATAGCTTTTATGGTGCGTCTACACTGTATGAGCCAATATTTTTAACAACTTTTTGACACATGCCCTGTATTTGAACTAATAATATTATTATCTAGAAACAATGATCTGGCTATCTTGGAACAGTCTATTATGAAAGAAAAGTCTAATATTCTAATTTGAGCACTATAGCCCGACTCCAAAGTCCCGATCCTCATGCCCGGTCCCAGTAGTTGCCAATCTCTCTCAAGTCTTGAATAAGAGCCGGTGGGTTATCAAGTCCTGGGAAGTGACCTCCGAATTCATGATCTAAGAAACGTCAGATTCGCATTCCTAGGCTGAATAAAAAGACAAACTCACTGTTATACATGACCAAGTTTCCAACCTTTGCTACCAGTGCTTGAGGCCAAAACGCAACGTTATACTGGAAAGCACTGAATAGAAGAGGTGCATCCGTTTTAGCCTTGGTATACACAGACTTGAATCCGTTCGGGTTCTGAAAGTAAACGTATACAGAAGAGAGGAAGGACCGTGTGAGGTAGTAAAGTGACGTAGATAGTAAGATTTGGTTGTGGTTCAGAACCGAGGGAGCTGTTCCCGCTTTCGGATCGGACCCTATCCCCTCTATCAGTGCTCAATTCTTCAGAAACATCAAATTGACAACACCTTAGTATTAAAGTCGACTTACAAGATATGAACTTTTCGCCCATCCACGCCAGCTGTCCAATTGGGTTATCCTGAAGCGCAAGTCCGATCGTATTGGGCTGTCTCAATGTCAATAAAGTCAAATGACGTTTTTGCTTTGGAAAGGGTTACCTTGGTCGCTTGTTCAGAAAAATATGCGTTTCCAGTGGTTGACCAGGTTACAAAGTTCTGTTCCTCTGACTGCTCCAATTTCGAAAGCGTAATATTCTCTGCCGCCAATTGATCTGGGGGGAGTGGAAAAAACGGTAGGAAGGCAAAGTGTGCGGCGCGTGTTGACGAATTAAAGTTATCGTAGAGACTGTACGCTGGTCCGGCGCCAAAATCGGTTCCAAAGGTTGCGAATGTCTCATAGCCCAAAACTTTGGTCATCAGGGTGTTGAAGACGCGTGCCGTATCGTCAACGGTCCAATTCGCCGGCGGGGCCGATGAGAAAGCGAATCCTGGCATCGACGGTACAATAACGTGAAACGAAATAGGTTTACCGGTTGAAGTGGTTGCTTTCTGCGTCAAATTGTTTATCACTGGCAAAAACTCCAGAAACGATCCCGGCCAGCCATGGTTAAGTAGAAGCGGAATCGCTTCTGCGTCGTGAGACTTTTCGTGGATAAAATGGATTGACAAATTCTCGATATCGGCCGTATAATGATGATACCTGAATGAGTCGTTAGGCTGTAAAACGAAGGCTCTGATATTGTGTCACTTACTTATTCAACTTGGCTTCTTCTTTGTGCCAGTCAAAGTCAACAGTCCATTCTCTCTGCAGACTTTTAACAACGTCAAGACCAATGCCAGCCGATGATCCAACCCCCGGATACTCCTCTTTGTCTGGAAGCTTTGTGTCCTTGATAAGTTCAAGCATTCGAGGAACTCCTCTCGAGAGATTGATAGAGAAGGGCCTCAAGTCAAAATGGTTGGCATGCTCAATAGGAGTAGCAAGGGAGATGGATACCAGAGCACTGAGCCCCGCCAGGTTCAGAGTAAGCGCGCGTGAAGAGACCATGTTGAGTCGTAATATTTTCTTTCTCCTTGTTTTGACCGTGTTTGCCAATCGAAGAAGGGATTTCGGTTGCTGACTTGGCCTTTATATGTTGTCTAAGACTATTCAACGACTTCAACTTTGTGATGCATCTTTTAACTCCGAAAACCTGAACGTCATCCACGTCCATTCAGCCATGTTAAAGAAGTTTCCACTTATCCAACTATCCAAAGCCATCATGTTATGCATTCCCCCTGAGAGTCGACTTCTCGCGCTAGCCCGCGCCCGCATCAATCGTGATATCTCTCAACCGTGAGCTAGACCGCAACGAAAATGTTTAGTTAGAGCTCGGCAAACTGAAACAAGTAATCAACAAATACCTAATTGATATCGCGCTGTCCGTTGCAATCATTCTTGCCTCTGATTATGGAACCTCATGAGAATGGAATTACCACACTTTAATTTATAATTCATGCTGACAAACAATAAGCTCGGAATTACAATTTTCTCTCCGGTGCCAACATTAGTTGTTCGATTTCGTACTAAAGATCAGTCTATTGCCTACTACAAAACCAGCAACCACTGTTGATTAATGTAGCTTCCTCCCTAGGATGCCTGTTTGTGCCTTCGACTTAGTTTCATCGGAAATATCCTCCATCCATAGCGTCCGAACACTACGGTGAGTATAATCCATATAGGAACCAAGTGTAGCCCATGCTTGTGATGGGTCCGCCACATGAACCCTCCAGTTGGTACCCATTGGTGATCCTTCTACGCCAAAGTTATGCCATGCCCTGACGGTCACCTTTCGCTCATCTGCAGAAACAATGATTCCGATATCTGTAGGGCAGCGCAAACAGGAGTTGTATATCCAATTGCCGGGGAATCGGAAAGCAAAGGCAATCCCATCTTCGATTAGGGTCATCTCTTTAAATAAAGTCAATTCTTCAAGCTCAGTCATCTTGTGGCGCAGTTGCAGACGTTCCGCATCCCATTTCTTTCGCATGCGAGAGGATGCGAGTCCACTAGACGTTAGGCCCAGGTGTGGGCACACCGGCATATGAAATGTTCCGTTTTCTGGGAAAAGCGGAAGTGTTGTACTGGTATCATTGCTAATATTCCACTCTTCACGTAGAATAAATTGTTTCGTGATGATATTAGGCTCTGCTGTATAAGAATCTGTAAGTGGATTCAGCAATGATATCCTGGTATCCGTATAAGGCTTCATTAATGCTCCAAGGTATTGTTGATGTTTGCATAGCCGGGAGAGCTTTAATGCAAATTGTATGTGATGGTGGTGGATAGAATACATTTCTGTACCGATTCCTCGAGAAATGTCAGCCTGGCATGGAATCAACTGCTGTCTATATAGGGTTGCTGGTACGTCCGAGGTATTGATAAGATGCAGTTTGCAGCATTTGGGACAAGCCCAGTAATCGGGCAGAGTGTAAGCCAACCCTGCCCAGAATCCAACTCTATCGCTAGAGGAGAGCCGCGAGATCTCACTATCCCAGTCATGATATGTACTATGTCGAAATGCTTTACAGGTGTGTGAAAGAAGAAATTTATCATGTAGAGCTAGGTGTTTAAGGATGAGAAGAAAAATGTCGGGGGACAATTGGAAAATAGCGGCATTGGGGTCCATTTGACTATGGCCCATGTGATGGTGATTGCATTTGCGATGTACACTATATAATTAGTGCATGGATTTTGGGACACTGTAAACATGTTTGGAGATTAGCGAAGAATTTTTGGAATCGCTGAAGGGGGATTGGCCCTTTTTATATTTTATGAAAGCTACGTAACTATGCGCAAATGGCGTTCTCCCACATCCCATCCATTTCAGATCCCGTCACCTGGAAGAGGGTGTATGACACCAAGCAATTGCTTATATAAAATTTGATGCAACTAAAAAAAAAATAGGTAGATCAAAGGGCTTATATTAGGAAATTATTATATCGTGATTACTTGAGCTGCCGCATCCTCAAACACTGAAGTCGCAGTCGGCAGCCAATACTGGCATAGTATTCGCTCTGTATATTTCTCTTCACGGATCATTTTGGATGAAGCATTGATGAATGCCCCTAATTTGCCCTGCAAATTGACAATAATTATATTTTCGGGGGCCTATGATTCATTATTAGCGACGCCGGCTTACAGCGTCGAGAGAATGTTGTCAGTTACCTTTCCTCGTAAACTGGTAGTTGAGGTTAGGGTGATTGAGGGCAGGTTAGTCGAAGCAAGGACCTGACTTTCAAGATTACTGTGTCAATTGTTGCCGTAATCCTCTGCAGCGATATTTTCCGCGTCGTTTCCCGGCTCTATCAGCAATATTATAAGCCAGATTGCCCGATTAATCGCACGATGCCAACATTTCTGCAATCACCAGGCCGGGGGTTGGACCAATCAAAATCTAGGAAGTTCTCATGCGACCGGCCAGCCAACAGCAACACACTGAGATATTTTCTTTCAAGTTGTGTAGTGCATCTTCATATCGATTCGCCGTAAAAATGATTGACCGTTTTCAATACAACATCGGCGTTCCTGCAGAAGATTTGGCCAAGTATTGCCACGGAGGCTACCATCCAGTTCATCTCAACGACCTACTATGTGACGGACGATACCGAATTCTTGATAAGCTTGGCTTCGGGTCATTTTCTACCGTCTGGCTTGCTCGGGATGAGGTGTAAGCAGTATCTTCTCCGTTAGGCTGATTCCCGCTTACGGATCGACTAGAAAGGAAATATATGTTTCTATAAAAATTGTAGTCGCAGAACAGTCGCACAATCACAACGGCGAGTTGCAAATCCTGCAGACCATCACACGAACCGGCGACACTACCCATCCAGGCCACAAACATGTGTCTCATCTTATAGACTCTTTCTACCATGAAGGGCCAAATGGGCGCCACCTCTGTATGGTCCTTGAGCTACTGGGTCCTAAGATATCTTCAGTTGTCAATAGAAGGCCAAACTACCGCCTGGACGGTAGACTTGCTCGTCGAATCTCTTCACAGCTCCTTTTGGGAGTAGACTATATCCGTTCATGTGGCGTGACACACGGAGGTAGGCCTAGAATGAACTCACCTTGTTCCTTCTCTCGTTAACCGTCATTATTAGATATACACTTGGGCAACGTGTTGTTTCGAGTCTCTGGTCTCAACAGGATACCAACTTTTGACGACTCTCGAATAGGAAAGGTGTCAAGGAAGGATGGGGCACCGAGTGAAAAAGGTGTTCCGGAATACCTGGTAGAGCCTGTGGAATATAAGTTTGACAAAAGCGAGATTCTCGATGAAATTCAGCTTGTTGACTTTGGCGAGTGTTTGTCTCCCCTCACATGATGGAGTCAACTGTATATTAACTACTGTTGGGTCTAGCGTTCCTCATCGGCAATCCACCTAAATCAATATGTACGCCTACGTCTCTCCACCCGCCTGAGCTGGTATTCAGGCACCCCTTGACAGAAGTAGTTGACATCTGGAACCTTGGATGCACGGTAAGGATAGACAAGCTATATTTGTACACTAACTAATGACATCAAAGACATATGAGCTTGTCACTGGGCGCACGCTATTCGAAGCATGGATGGATGATCGCGAGCTGGTACCGCAGTTTCAGAAGGTGCTTGGTGGTGTCCCTGATCAATGGATCCAGGACGCTCTAAAAACTGGAGTCCTTACAGAGGAACCAAACAATTAGTCCTCATAATGTAACTCAAGACCTAGCTAACTCTAGAAAAGGCTCGGCTGCAGACGGCTTTCTATCCCTCGAGGAGGATATACAAGCGTCATACGCTAATGGCTATGACAAAGAGACACTCGATCTTGATGAAGAGGATCTCACGACATTAGGAAGCTATCTTCGCAGGATGTGCATAGTCGAGCCAACCCAACGAGCGAATTTGACAGAATTGATGTCACATCCATGGGTTCAGGTAGACAAAGGAACCCAAAAAGAACAGTGAGGGGAAGCCTAGAGGCACTGCTCATTTAGCTGTAACTCGCGGCAAGACCAGCGCCAATCGCCAGTTGAAACAGCGGGAATGGCAACCAGGCATTAAGGTCGCATAAGACACGACCAACTGTAAGGCTCGTCACATGCAGCCTCTTGCAGAACACACGCCCAACAGCCCTGAGGGGCGAATTTCACAGCTGTTCAAGGACATGAACCTATGCGCAATAAGCAGGGTACTACAGCGGACTTTTCGGGCCTCGGACGGTGGATCAGGAGGACAATACTCCGTCTGCCGCGGTTTTGTATCCATGTTATTGCCGAGGAGTGACATTTACGTATCGATTATCCCAATCAAACAGTTTCTTGCACATTAGAGAGAGATACGTGTCATTTATACTACCAATTGATCATGTGTGGAAGATATTACTGCTATACTTGGAAGCTATCTTCGGAGGATACTACTGGACTTATTAAAGGAGCGAAATTGATAGAGCTAATGCCATACATATGGTCCAAGTGGATAAAGGGATCGGAAATGAAAAGAGAAAGAAGAATGATCGGCATCAACTCCGTATATCCACCGGTTGCGCGTATTTTGTTAGCTTCAAGGCTTTGATACCTTCCTTCACCGCTTTATACTATAATTATCTCATGGTCCGACCCGTGGCTCTTATTTCCTGGATTTAGCTTGATATTTTTTCTCCGTAGCCTTCAAGGGTTCATCGGGAAGCATACAATTACTCCACTCTATACACGGGTTCACGGGATGGAGCGGATGACCCCGGCACCCCTTTCTTAAATTCCATGGGAAAATGGAGGAAGCCGCTGCGGCAATGCAGAAGGGAACTCTGCCGCAGTCGATCCACGGCTCACATCCTTCCGACCCCGCAAATATTGCAGCCCCTAGGTACGAACGGTCCACGATGAAACATCGTCTTCACTTGGAGGAGAGGACACATAAAGCCCTTTCTCCCGCAATGAGGCAATTGACCTCGGGATCGGCATTCTAACAAATGTTCTGGAGACATATTCGGATACATCCTCGGAACACGACTCCGTGACACGGAGTCGGCATTCATCGCGTTATGATCGCGAGGCCATCAGAGCGATTTAACCGGATGCCATCATCGGCTTCGTAGTGGCGAATGAGTCGGCCGAGATAGAACTAGCATTTTGACGAGGCTTGAGCAAAATCGATGAAATAGTTGTCAAATATTATACCTACCCGAGTTGACTACATGTATGTAAGCGGTCACTTATAGAGAGAGACAGGGGCATAAGTGGCCGCTTAGTCAATACGCGGAGTAGCATGTTTTATACTTCATTGGACTTGATGGTCTGTATAAGATCATTAAATGCTTTTGCATTACATCTTCAAATTAGAGAAAACTCCAACAACAGTGGAAAACATATCCCTACGGACACTAGTTTCTACTTTCTGTAATGATCTCAAGCCTAGTATACGCAAAGTATTTAAAAATCCGTATTGCCTACAGCAAAATCCAAGCCAATTGGGGTAAGATGTCGCAAATCGAGGGGCAAGCAAAGACATGAAACCCTCCAAGTGAGTAGTGTAACATTGATACAAATTTGATGCATGATTGGCCCAATATCCATCAAGTGGATGTATCACATGGGCATGAACGATCATGCCAATTTAAGCAAACAGTATCCCCGGTATGCAGCTCAACCCCTCAAGGCCCACCATGTATTAAACACGATGCTACCTTGTATAAACGACGGTCTTCGCGAGCCCCGACATTGTGTCATTGAGTCCATGCTGCCTACAAAGCTTGAATTATGTCTCCGCGGAGGCTCCGGCATGGAAACCCCATCTCTACTATTTCGTTTACTCCTTATACATTTCGATTGTGATATAAGAGGTAGCCGTCTTCTCGCTCAGTGAACTTATATTGAACTCGGATATCACTATCAAGTTATACAATAAGGCTTCACTATGCTGTTAACTGCAGAATCCCTACTCTTCTCACTACGGCCTGGAGTCGCTCTAGTGCTCTGGGCTGTAATTCTTGTGCGTATATCTCAGCGATGATTTTCTTCCAGCTGCTCACCCTGCCTATCTCGTGGAACCTGCAATGGAACTAACATAGTCAATACAGGGGTTTGTTTACCTGATCTCAATACCAATCTATAATGTCTGGTTCCATCCGCTTCGCAAGTACCCCGGCCCCCGGCTGTGGGCCGCAACTCGAATCCCATACGCCCGCATGATCTTTTCTGGAAAGTCCCATCGAAAGATTCTCGAACTTCATCAGATTTATGGAGACGTTGTGCGAGTGGCACCTGATGAGCTAGCTTACATTGATGGCACTGCTTGGAATGACATCATGGGCCATCGAAAACGAGGCCAGGGGGAGAACGGCAAAGATCCCGTATTCTGGAAGTCCCAACAGCACAGCGTCATCAGTGCTGACCGCGAAAATCATACTCGAATGAGAAGGACCCTGGCTCATGGATTTTCAGCACAGGCAATGATGGATCAGCAGCCTCTTATCCAAGGTTACGTCGACATGTTGATAAGCCGACTGCGAGACAACTGTGCCGATGGCACTCGGCCTCTGGAGATGACATCTTGGTATAACTGGGCAACGTTTGACATCATCGGCGACTTGGCCTTTGGGGAGCCATTTGGTTGCCTTGAAAACTCGGACTATCATCCTTGGGTATCTCTACTATTCACCAGAATTCGTACAAGTGCGGCAAACAATGTTTTACGCCGCTTTCCATTTGGTGAAAAACTTATCCAGCTTCTTGTCTCAAAGCAAGACCGCCAAAAGTTTCAGGAACATTACCAACTTACCCAGGAAAAGGTTAACAAGAGGCTGGCTGAAACCAATCCGCGAGCAGACTTCATGGATGTCATGACTAAAAGGGAGGGTGCCATGGTATGACTTTGCATAAAAAACAGCACCTCTGGATGTTTTTTGTCGCTTACATGATCCACAGAAATTCTCCTATCCTGAGCTTTTGGACAATGCAAGTCTGCTTATCATCGCCGGATCAGAGACAACTGCTACCACCCTATCTGGAGTCACCTATCTGCTATTGACCCACCCAGACGTTTTACAAAAGACAACGGATGAAGTGAGATCAAGCTTTTCAAATGAAAGCGAGATTGATCTTCTCAGCGTGCAGAAGCTGAACTATATGATGGCTGCGCTGCAAGAGACACTTCGAATGTACCCTCCTGTCCCAACTGCCATACCACGCAAGGCACAGCCAGGCGGCGACGTAATTTGTGGGCAGTACGTTCCAGAAAACGTAAGTACTATTTCACTTCCAGGACAAATCTCAGTCGGCTCTAACAAGATAACAGACTGTCTTGGGGATTTGGCAATGGCCAATGTACCACAACGCGAAGAACTTTACTTTGCCTGATTCCTATATTCCAGAACGATGGCTCGGTGATGCCCGATTTTCGAGTGACCCTCAAGATGTCCTTCAAGCATTTTCCTTTGGTCCTCGAAACTGTATCGGAAAGAAGTTAGTGGTTACTCTCCAAAACGTTTTATCATCGACATTCTAACATCTTTTTAGTCTTGCATATGCCGAAATGCGCCTGATTCTAGCAAAGATTTTATGGAATTTTGACATCAGTCTGCATCCTGACAGCAAAGATTGGCTTCAGGATAACAGAGCTTTTACACTCTGGCAAAAGCCAGACCTCAATATCTATATCAAGCCAAAAGAGATCTCGTAAATTGAGCCGTCATGATCTAGGATATTGGCTACTTAGCGAGCGAGCGGAAATTGTACACCTTATGTTATCATTGCCTACTTATTGTATTACCACTGTATCTAGTTTTAGTTGAATTCTTGCAGAAAAATGAGCTATAGCCGACGTCGCACCTATAAGTTGCAACATCTTTTATACCACATCACAATTAAATAACATGGCTGTTTTACTTGCTCAAGTCCCCCAAAATAAACGTTCCAGAAGGAGTATGTTAGAAGTTGCTTCATCGTGAACAACGATTCGTTCATCATAACCATCAAATAGATAGCTGGCTCAATTAGAGGACAGAAGAATAGCTAGGTCAATTCTCTCTACACACCTCGGCAAACAAATTAAGGCTATCCAAGAGAAGCAGCTACTGCAGTCTCTATATCCCTAGGCCCGCACAAGAAGATGATCATAATCCTTACAAGTTGTTCAACCAGGATGACATCTCTGTCCCAATGCGATGAGGGTGATCCTCTTGCAAGAAATGCATGCCTTTTCCAACAAAAACACCCTTGACATTTTTTAGATGATCCAAGTACCATTGAGCCTTCTCTGCAGACACAATTCTACCAGGGACAGCCCAAAAGAACAACTTGGGAACCTGCGTCTCCAGAAGCCATTCATGATAGTTTGATGCTCGCTCATATACATCAGGCGGGTGGCCTTCAATGGGAATCTCATTGGGCCACCGAAACAAAGGCTCCTTCTCGTATGGCTTTGCGTAGAAGGCCTTTTCCTCGGCAGTTAGTTTGCGCACCAAGCCTCGGTCAAGCATAACATTGATGAAGGCGTTCTGTTCAATGATGAGCTTCCGCCCAGTGGGCTCGTCCCGAAAAGCGCGAAACGTCTCTTGCGCCTTGCTGTGCGCGGCATCATCCCAGGTAGGAAATGGCCGTATAAATTCCATAAAAACAAGGCCGGCCACACGGTCTTGATGACGAAAGGCCCAATCAAATCCAAGAGCCGAGCCCCAGTCTTGAATTACGAGTATCAACTTGCCTTCAGGTATGACTTGGTCGATGAAGCCGCCCAGATATTGAGCATGCTCGGCGAAGCGGTAGGAAATGGACGGCTTAGATGAGGCGCCCATGCCGACAAGATCGGGAGCAACGCAGCGCACCTGTTCAGACACATGCGGAATGATGTTGCGCCATGAATAAGACGATGTTGGGTTACCATGGAGGAACAGGCAGTTGTTTTTGAATGGCGGCTGTCGGCTGGCGCGCCTGTATCCACGTATGCCATTTGAGCATCTTCAACACTGACAAACTTGAGATCAAAAGGGAATTCGCTCGAGACATCGGTCTCGGGGTCCCGTGGGGAGTCTGTAGAAAATGACATGTTGAGCTTTGCCGTATAGCTTGTTGGTATTAGAGGTAGTTTCAAGGTGGTTCTATGTTTTGCTACGAGTTGATCTATAAAGATTACGAGAGTCTTTCGATCCTTTATCCTTAGTTTATAGGTTGAGATTGTATTGTTCACAGCATCGCCATTCCAGGCAGGCTACGACAAAGGGTTGTACCAGAACCTCGCACTGTCCCTGCAGGTTCACTTCGACTGCTGCCCCGAGTTAGTTTAGGCTTGAAGTTAGATTTACCAGTTCTCACGGGGGCGCAACAAAACTGGAGTCTATCACTTTGCTGTCGTCTCATCAGCTTTTCTCAGTCCGGCAATAGCGACAGTACCAGTGTTTGTAAGCTCAATTCACTCTGTATTGCTAATGCTAAAAGGGCCATTATCAAGACGACACGAGAATCGACATCGAGATCACCAGTTCCAACTGGCTCCATTTCTTGCCAACTCGCCCTCCGCGGGATAGCGAGGCTTCGTAAGCAGCATTATTAACTAACATTTGCTGGACTATTACCCACCATCTCCACGACTGATCAGGCTTGTCGCATTTGCAAAATTTGATCAAGAGATACCCTTATCACCATATCCTGCGTACTAAATTGGACTCCTTACCCAACGCAAGTTTACATGATATTGCAATTTAGCCAAGATTAGTAGTATACAGCGACTTATAACAGTGAATAATATTTTTTGCTTCATTTAAGAATGTTTCTATAGTCGTTTATACTACTCAGCCTCATCAATGGGAGACCATGAGCAAAAAATGGATTTGCGAGGGTAAGAATGCACCTAAACAACCACCGGTGCCTAGACGAATATTTTGAAAGGCATGCAAGTGTCCAAATAGAATCCACGGCAAATTTCGCCGGTCCAAGTGACCCAGCGTCAATAAGCGCTCACGCTGTAGTCACCAGTTTTTGCCTTTTGGGCATGATTACCAGACCCGTGGATTGGTATTGAGCGCCCGCCATGGAGCCAAGCTCCAGCTCTAGTCTAATAGGCAGCTATCATCAGCAAGGCAGTGAGCACTTCTAATAGGCCATATTATGTCTGCTTATATCTATCTATTAAATGCGTGTAATTAGTGAATACCGAGACGCTGATAGGGCGCCTAGACGTCCCACCGACGTCCCACCTAGAAGTACAACTAGCTCGAACAGCCCATAACTTGTTTATACTCTCTCAACGTGTCATTCTTATCGTTTAGCTCGAGAAAACAAGAAGATGCAGAAAGGATCAGACACAACCGCCATGTTCCGGACAGAAGTTTTACCCGTGACCGACAAAAGAGACTTGGAGAAGATTGTCGATATCGAGGAAAGGGCATTCGGAGCGGCCTCACCTTTATTACGACTGATTTACCCCATATCGCCCTCTCCATCTTCGGCCATTCTTCGAAGTTCAAAAATCGCCAGACATGAGCATGTCTGGCAATCGGACCCAACGGTACATTACATCAAAGCGGTTACATACGAAACATCTCCCGAGGGTGCAACATCTGAACGCATAATTGGCGCAGCCGTATATAACGTCTATGAGTCCTCCCATACAGCTTCTGAACGAAATCCATGGCCTCACACTTCAGACGAAGTTCCCGAAGGAGCAAACGCGCCTCTTTGTCTTCATTACTTCGGGACATTGACTAAAGCTCGACTGGACTTTACCAATGGCGAACCACATGCATTCTTGGAGAATTTGGCTGTTGATCCCAACTTCCAGAGACGCGGAGTTGGGACAAAGCTTCTCGAGTTCATGATTTCCGATATATCTTCCAGATACGCAGATGAAGGCCTCGATAATGTCGGTTGCTGGCTGGACTCCTCCCCTTCCGGACTAAAGATGTATCAAAATCTTGGGTGGGAGGAAGTTGGTTCCAAGTCTTTTGATTTGGAGCCGTGGGGTGGTGCAAAGGGCCAAGTGCACAAAAATGTACATATGCTGAAGTCGATATCAGTTTCTGAATCTTGAGGGCAGAATCGTCATTCTCTCACAATTATCAACTCACTCAATCCTCTAATCAGATGGTGTTGCCGTTCTCAAGGTTGCCTGCCTTTAATATCACGGTGATAAGTGAGGTGTCCTCATCCTAGCAGCTTATAATTTTGTTGACTTACCATACGCTGTTGCTGAGAGTTCTTACGACGTTATTCTCCTTGGTGATACCGGGGCCTTGGATCAGCCCGTGACATTTCAAGTCCAACTACGTGAAACGCTTGTAGCTCACTACGAGAGACAGCAAGGTTATGAAGTTGCTCAAGGGAATGGAACGGCGTGCGATCTACTCCCGGATTACTTCAGGGTGCGTATATAAAGAAGTTATTATGAAAAGAGCTGCCATTTTCCAAGTTGGGGAGGCCGGGAGCAATTGAAGAGAAGTGAAATGTACAGAGGTTGAGAAGTAAACACAGCCAATCAAAACATGACCAAAGAGTTCACAGTCAAATATAAATATAAAATCTCCTGGAGCAGGATTCAACGGTCACGTCTACTCAAGTTATAGTAAGATGAATATTTCAATTAGCATTATTCCACCTTAAAGCTATTATACAATCGTCAAGAGTCTATGTTTTGGTGTATATCTTGGGTGCAGTTTATGCCCCTACACATCTGAGCATCTCTAAGTTACCAGATATAGGGATGTAGCTACTTACATAAATGAATGGTAGGATCTAACACAGTGCCATCTATTAAGGATAGGATGGGAGAACGTCGTGGGGTTCCGGCATAGTCCCCTCGCGAGAGCAATATGATTAGGCACATCACGCACTTATTTGATGGTATGATTGAAGTCGACTTCGGGTATTCATTTGCGTCGCTAGCCTATTGCGAGTATTTTAAGCCTGAGGGTAGTATTCCATTAACCTAACAGGTAAATGCCAATTTCCGCTTGTTTCGACTAATGTATTGCCACTTTAGCTCATGCTTTAGCCCATGCTACCATGTAAGCCCTATCTTTACTTCGGATGTAGACCATGCTTCGGACACAGATGTCCAATTGAGCTCCCGGTAGGATCACCTACATCGATACTAATCTATCCTTCATCTTGAGGTCTAGACTAACAGTCTAGTGTAGGATCAAGTAAGCCCGAGAACACTAAAACACACGTCAGCACCATATAAGAGACACGTACATCTCCAATATGGTCTTTGCCAACATCGCATGCATTTACTACGCGATGAATTTTTTCCGTGGATCATTCGATTCCAGATCTTTATAGCATTCAATTGAACATTATGTCTTTATCTGAAAAGTACACGCTGTTGCGAGAGTCTAGTATGCCAGCGCCACCGACACGCCATCAGCAAACTAACATTTAGCATCACAGGCCTCTACGACCGCATGTTTTACTGTTTTCATCGCCTAGGCATCCAATCGAACATCCTTGTCTCAGCAGAATATTCCTCACATGGTAGAACCCTATCGGATGATAACGTTTACGCAGCTCTTGCAACTGTGATCAAGGCACACCCACCACTATGTGCCGTCGGCGTGAGATTGCCATCTTCCAGCACCGGAAAGCATAGCCTCCATCTCGCGTTACTCCACAAAATTGATCTGCATAAATGTGTGGTGTTCATGGATGGTGACGAAGACTCGGAAGTTGGCCCAGCTCTCCTTGAGAATGCGCACAACACGTGGGACTGGACCGACGATGAACCAGACGCTCCTTGGTGGAAAGTGCTTGTTGTTGGAAGGAAACACGTCGTGTTTGTGTACCATCATTTCGTTGGCGATGGCATGTCAGGCACAGTATTCCATCGCGCGTTTCTCGCCGCCCTCATCTCCTTACCTCTCGATTCGAAACCGGTGTCAACTCAACTCTCACTCACTTACCCTTCCCCCATCCAATACCCACTTGAGCCTACCGAGCATTCAAACGTTACGCCATCTATTCCTAGACTACTCTGGAAGATGCTTGTTTGGTATCTGCTTCGCCTCTTCTTTGGTGGGAAGCTTGTCTTTGGTGATCTTCCCCGGCCTCGACCATACGCTCAATCAGTAGTGGCAAAGACTGTTTACACAAACCGAACAATCACCGGAGTTTCGAGTTACCGCATTCCCTCGCATAAAATGCGTGCTGTGCTCTCTGCCTGCCGTGCGAATCAGACGACATTCACACCTCTGCTGTGTACGTTGCTGAATCTCACTCTCGCAACTGATTTCTATCCTCAAGCGATGTTTGGCGCGTCACGATTTGCCTTTGATCTTCGGCCGTATCTCCCAGCAGCCCAATTCGGCGACCTGGTTCGCAGCAATGTGATTATGAATGCCGCCGCAGGTTCGGCACATCTTCACTACTTGGAGCCATTCCGCAAGGCTGTTGCAAAATACAGCGGCTCAAATGAGGAAGCCGTCAAAGCTTCCTTGTTTCGCAGTACTGTATGGCAACTGGTCCGAGAACACAAGTCAAAGATGGACGGTGATATCTACGGGTCTATCCGTGACTGGATGGCGGGTACACTAATAGGGAGTACTATCGAGGATTTCATGACCACCTCGATGCCAAGGATAGGACATTTTACTAGCGATACATATCTGGTCTCCAATCTCGGGCTGTTCTCGAGTATCCCAAAGGGAGTTACGACGACGGGTGATGCAAAAGAGACGTGGACTATCGAGGACATGCAATTCTCGGCTGCTGCGACGAACGGGAATGTAGGATCTCGCAGTCTTGTCCTAAACGTTGCTGGTGTGGCTGGTGGTGACACAGTCATCAATGTGTCATATGAGGATGGCATTATAGACCGAGAGACGGTGGACGCAATTCTTAGCAAGGCGATGGAAAAGCTAGATTGGCTTCTTGAGTAATGTACAGCGGCATGATATCCAAGTTTGATCGTCTACCCTTCGTATATTGCCTAGGGGCATCGTGGCCTCTCATATTTGCGATGCGATACGCCTCTTTGAGGCAGTCAGCTGCATTGCCTTGAGAAGATGAGTCCTCGCGGATCAAGTAGTTCGCTCTGAGGCCATCACCAAATTATTGCAACTTCGAGTTGAGTTCACTGCAAGCTCATTCATTCCCACACACGTATATCAGCGTCATCTCGGCAGGAGCCACTACCTACCTTTCAGAAAAACTGCCGAGAAATGTTTAGAGCTTCATTTAACTCTTCATGAAGGCAGATAGAGGCTTATAAATAGAAAGCGGATGTTTGTATTTCCATCCATAGCAGGTGAAGCTCATGGTGAGAGTAATGCAGTGGGTACCGGAGTTATATAATTAGGATATCCCAAAGGTTGAACAACAATTCGAGCGCTTCCGTAGCTCAGTTGGTTAGAGCTTCGTACTAATACTAGAGCCTCGGCTCAAATATTGGTAATGCGAAGGTCGCAGGTTCAAGCCCTGCCGGGAGCAAATGCCCCAGATGCGTTTCGAAAACTTCTTTTTTTGCAAATTTTTTGCTCTTAGTTTTTTTAGTACGTCGTCATATTTTGCTGTGGGAACAGCACAGCATGTGCCCCTCTATGAAGAAGACATGCCGTCAACAGATCCATGCGTCCATGCAAGGCTTGTCCGGATCAGGCCCTTGTTCCGGGATGTGCTCAGATGACAAGCCGCTGTATTTTAGTGAGCCCGCCGCGATATCACAGCAGTTGTTCCGCTAAACCAAGAATTGGCTACAGTGGTGGTCCAAAAGTGACGATGCACCCCACTTTAGTCGGAAACCCTCATCATGACCACGCAACTTCAAACGCGATTTTCTTAGCCAAATTGCGGTCAAATTTGTTTTAAATTAAAGATCTAGATTCTTTAGAGTGTATAGTTATATGCAGGCTATTTTAATACTTCGTATACCAGCCGTGGGCGGCGATAACGGCCGCTAGTCTCCGCGGCATCGATTCTACAAGCTGTTGTAATAGGTCTTCCGAAAAGTCCTCCTATACCTCGATCGCGGCCTTGCAAAGCCGTTGAATTGATCTCTTTGTCTTTGGTATTAATGAAAGTTTGGGATATCTTTTGTATATCTCTTCCTTTAGCAGTTTCCATAGGTTTTCGATGGGGTTAAGATCGGGCGAATACGGCGGCCAGTCGACGATCGTAAGGCTATTCTCTTGCGCCTAATTTCTTAACCAATCTTGCACTATTTGCGCTGTATGTGTAGAGGTATTATCTTAGGCGAATATTAAACCAGGTTCGACGATTGTAGGTAATTGATCTTAAAGGTATTTGAGTATTCTGCGATTTGTAATGCCGCTGCGGGCAGATTCGGGGTTTCTGAGTAATGGGTAAAGAGATATATAAGAACTAAATAAAAATATACCCTAGAATATCTGCGAATGGCGCGTTAGCTTGCCTCGAGGCTGTATGAAGACTGGATCTAGGCGTTCTCTCTGTAAAGAGGTTAAAAAAGAGTTAAAACGGCGCGCAAAATCACGTACTTTGCGGCAGAAAACCCAGGCCTGCCTCTTGCCTTAGCCTTTTGCGATTGTTGACTCGTTACTGAAGATCTAACGCCTCCAAAAGCTAGCTGGTTGATTATAGTGTGCTAGGGCAAATTCCAGGCGTTTTTGAGCAGCTTCTGGCGTTAGGAGCGGGCGCCGCAGGGTACGTTGGTGATAGACGCCTTCTGCCTGAAGGTATTGCGTTATGGTCTGCCTAGAGACCGCTAGACCGGCTGCGGCGATGAGATTAGGCATCTTGATGAAAGGATTTTGATGAATAACTCGGAAAATCGATCTTTTATCTCGTTCTGACAGCTTGGGTGGCCGCCCTGATCGACGTTGACTTTTTGCACTTTCTTGCGTCTTGTAGCGCTGGATGATACCAGACACGGACCCTGGTGACACTCCTTCTCTGACAGCGATACGGTGCTACGTTTCGCCTAATTTATATATTATTCGAATCCTCGTCCTTTTATGAGGACTATATTTAAGTCTGGGAGTAATTGGAGGCATATTCGTTAAGAAAATTCAATTTAAAGATTAATAGGTTATTTAATTGAAAATCAAAAACGCGACGCGGTCGCAAGGTAGGTGGGGCTTGCATCGATACTTTTGGACCACCACTGTACTAATAGATGGACGCCTAGCGATTGCTTGCCCAGAGAAAGAGCTCCAGTCCTTTTGACGGATATTCTAAAGCATCTACAACACATGCATCTTTTATAATGGCCAAATTCTGGTGTATCAACCATTACCCTCTTTACCCTTGATTCGGGCTATAAATATGTTTGTTCAATTTTGTGTAACGAAATCCCGCCAAGCTTGTGAACGCAACACACAAGACAATTTCCAAGACTTATATACAAGTCTCCAAGGCAATAATAATCCTCCTCAACACTGCAAAACTACATCACGAGTCTCAATATCCGTACTCTCACAAAGTAAAAGCCCAACAAACACGTTCCACTTGGGCCCTGACAAGCACATGCTCTCTGTTTCATATCCCCTCAATCAAACCCCCCCCCCCCCCCAAAAAAAATAAAAGGCACCCGTGCCAACGAACCTATGATATCTCCCTTCACACTCTCTCTTGTGCCACCTCGTCCGACAATGATGGCGTGTCCGCACTAACACCAGCTCGCCTTACCTGCCTCTTCCGCCTCTTGGACGAATGCTGGACAACTGACTGTCAAGCACCGCACTGGAAAAATGTAACATGTAACCGACGTCCGGAAAACGGATTTGCTTCGTTCTTTGCCCAACCGGACAATGAACAACGTCTGTTAAGGTTAAAGACAGAGCGAACTCCGGTTCTGCAGTGAGGCGAGTTGCAGCAAATGACCACATCTGTGGCCGTCTTGATTCATCTGCACGAGTTTCCTCTTTCAACATCCCTAGAGACAAGCAACAGGCATCTATATCGCAAATCTCCCACAACAATCATGGAAAATGTCTGCCGTGATTTCAGAGCGGCATCATGAACTCCTGCGGGCGAGAGGGGCGTCCTGACATGTACGGTCTGGGCATCCGCCTCGGAATCTATTTCCAGTGGTTTGGCGAAATTATCGTCGAGTTCTTTGACGACACAGACGTCTCGGATATACGACTACTAGGCCTCCTTCTCTCTGGCGCCGTTGTTCTGGCGCTGCTTGTCGAGATTGTGAACCACAATGTTCAGGCAGCCGACATTTACATCATGCTCCAACTTGCTGGTGGCTCATACATCTTTCTCATACCTATATATATCTGGAAGACGCTCACATGTTGTGACCGCAAATGGGATCCGTTGAAGTGGACGAGGGAAATCCATGTGCCGGTTTATGGCGTCTCGACCATGATAGTCATGGTCATCATTTCATCTCTTCAACTCTGGTTCTTTAGCACTTACATGCCGACCAGAGGGCACCAATGCGAATATTACGGCTTCTTCTTCACAAAGGTCAAACTCGACAACGTCGGATTCATTGTGGTCAATATCATCTTGCACATCATTGTTATTCTCGTTTGCGTTGGAATCGTCCTGTCGTATACGGGGTTTTGGAAAACACAGTTTCGAATACGCAGACATCGACGTCGAAAGAAGCATCGTACAAGACAGTCAGTCAGCCTCCCCTCCCAATGCCCATATGATCATCCAGTGCTGTATCTGACAGGAGAGCCCTAGGCCAGAACAAGATAACCAAGAGCGCATTGCCAGACGGGAGCGTGCCAGACAGGAACAAAAAGATCTCTTGCGCACCATGCGGAGCATATCCAACCTGGTTGTGTACGGACTTCACATCACTGCCATTGAACTGACGATCAAATGGAACCAGTTTGACAATGTCGACGGGGTCAACACCAGCGGACAGACAATTCCGCTGCTGGTTAGCCTCGGTATCCTGATTCGCCTCATTGTATCTCACTATGCAGTCCAGGGCGACGGCACATCGACAAGTGTTGGGTCTCGTCCTCGACCTGGGGGCTCCGGCGGAAGTCGAGGATCGAATCGCCAGACTCAAAATGAAGCTCAAGACGCGACTCCTCAGATGGGAGATTTAGATGAATTCATAGCTGGAATTACACTGGACAACGTGAGCGAGTATTTCGCCCACGGTTCTGAGGCTTACTGGTATGCTAGGACGGCGATCCAGAGGCGCGAGGCTGAGGAAGAAGCAGCGGCGAGGGCAAGATTGGCTGCAAGGGGAGTGTTTCCTCGGCCAGCGCGGATTTACTCGAGAGGCGTGGAGATTGTGCAGGAGGTGTAAGAAGACATGGAGAGCAAGAGTTTAATGACGAGTATGTAAGATGGGATGATGAGGTGAAGAGGCTATGGCGGAGAGAGATTGGTTGAATATGAGACGGCACGTGATTTCAATTGTGTGCAATCAAGATGAATCAAATTCAAGAATCTGGAATTCCAATTATTCTGATTTTAAATTATTGTCGCTCCAATATAACACTGCTTTTATACTGTAATATAGTCCCCAGCTTAACGTTTTCAGGCCATCAAGGTCATCTCCATCTGCCAGGCACAAAACAGCCTCTGATTCGACAAACCCCCCAGCTCGCCGCCCCGCAACCGCCCATCACCCAAAGTAAACAAAATCAGCTAGAGCCATCTTCTGTCCCAAGATCGGACCTGGAATCTTACCATCGTCATCATCATCTCTCCTCTTCCTCTCTTCCTCCATTCAACTCCAAGTCCGCCCTCCGCCATGGACAAGGAAGCCAGAAAACCATCTTCCAAGTCCGCGTCGTCCAAAGACAAACGGCCCAAGGACAAGGAGAAAGACAAGGCAAAGGACGACTCCAAGGTGCACAAGCTGTCGCTCAAGGGCAGCTCTAGGCTGGTTGCTGAATTTGTATGTCTGGCTTGAGGCCTTCATCTCCCTTGTCAATTGGTACCAGCGATAGTTTTTCTAACAGCTTTTTCTTCTCGTCTCTAGTTCCAATACTCGATACACACAATCCTGTACGAAACACGATCTCTCAAACCTACCGGAATTCCTCCTCGGTGTCGAACGAAGAACTGACGGTGCTTCTCCCATGACAGATTCCAACGAGGCGTCTACCCAGCCGAAGACTTTACAGCGTACGACACACTCACCTCCCCAGAGCCCCCAAACCACCCGATCGATAAAAAACACCATCCGCTAACACATCTCCAAACCACAGCGTCAAGAAATATGGCCTCAACATGCTCGGTACTATCACCTCCCTCCTAAGACATCGACAGCCAAACACGAAACTAACCTTGCGATCCCGTACTCTCTAGTCTCCGCCGATGACCAAGTCAAAGCCTACATCAAGAAAATCATGAGCCAGCTCGACAAGTGGATGATTGGCGGCAAAATCTCCAAGCTCGTCATCGTCATCACCGACAAAGACACGGGCGAACACGTCGAGCGCTGGCAATTCGATGTACGACGCAAAATCTCCCCTTCACCACCACCACCATCCTACATCCACCCACAATCGAGAAGATAAAAGAAGAAGGAAAAAAAGCTAACATTCACCGCTCCCAACCACAAAAGGTCCAAATCTCAGCTCCTCCACCAAAATCCAAATCCAAACCCCCCACAGACCCTTCCACCACCACCACCGCCAACGAAGAACAACAACAGCAACAGCAGCAACAACAACAAGAAAACGCCGCCTCCTCAACAAACCCCCTCTTCGCCGAAAAAGACAAGCCCGAAGCCGAAATCCAGGCCGAAATCGCCGCCATCTTCCGCCAAATCACCGCCTCCGTCACCTTCCTCCCCCAGCTCAGCGGCGACTGCACCTTCAACGTCCTCGTCTACGCAGACGCCGACAGCGACGTCCCCGTCGAGTGGGGCGACTCGGACGCGAAAGAAATCGAGAACGGCGAGAGGGTCCAGCTCAGGGGCTTCAGCACCGCGAACCACCGCGTCGATACGCTCGTTAGCTACAGGTTGGGAGACTGAAAATGAATTTTGAATGATGAAAACTATATAATAATATGGAACTGATAGATGGAACGGGGGTTGGCCAGGTTGGGGTTACGGTTTACGAGGCTTTGTCCCTTGATTTGACTGGCCGTGTGCAAACGAGACAATGGGCTTTTTGGTACGGCGTTAGAACTGGAATAAATCGGTGCATCATGCAGCTTTTCACGAGATTTCGTCGCAGGCTAGGGAGATATATATTGATGAATATTCTCTTGTTGGTATCGATCTCTCTGCAGTATTTCATCTATATCGGATGCAAATGGGCAAACAAACCCCTTATTCATGACCCCTCAAACCAGCACCAATGACCAGGCTCACACCTCCAAACAGTCTCCAAGCGTTGCCATACGAACGAGGCAACGCATCAAACGCCGTCTCTCCGAATGCCCCGTCACCTATAAAAAAACGTATTGACCTCTTCTTCAAGTTCTCTTGAAAAAGTACACATATGCGAACTTGCGCATTTCCTCAACGTCGTGAGCTTCCACGACCTTTTCGTCGTTGAAGAGCACCCATGTGGGCGTCTCCCTGCCTTCCAAGGATTTGCGAATAAAGGCAACGTAATGACTGATGAGAAGCTGTTAGTCTACTGGCAAAGATGAGAGATACATTCAAAGAGATGTATACTTACCCGGCGTGAATGCTTGTGCCCTTGTGGCACACAATAGACTGCAGCTGGAACCTTGCCGGCAGTGTAGCGCTTCCAGCAGGCTCTTTAGGAGATGTATCTGCTGCTGCGCCCGAGTTCTCGTCCTCAGTGATGCCCTGGTCGTCAGGGTGGTTAAAGAGCCACTCAACAGCTCGCTCGACATCGCCACCCGTTTCTTTCAATGCCTTTTTAGCTTGAGGAGCACCAAATCCCATGGCGCCCAGCATCTCAATCTTTTCGGGGTCAGCGGTGCCAGCATCTCCCGACCCAGATCCTAAATCGAGCGGCGCATCAATATCGGCATCATCGAGGTGTGCAAATAGCCACTCCATGGCCGCATTTGCATCAGAGTTACCCGTCGCGTGCAAGGCCTTCTCAGCTCGGTTCAGCGGAAAGCCCATGGCCTCGAGCTGTGCAACTGCTGTTGCATCTGCCACAAATGCGGGAGCCTTGTTTTCAGGCTCTTCCGGCAGCAACTCTTCCGACGGCTGGAGTCCCTTGGAGAGGTAGTCGTCCAGCAAAAATGGTTCGTCTGGGACAATGACGGGGACATCAATCTTGATAGGGACCCAGTTGACAACGGCCATCTTTCGTGCATTGACGGCCAAAACGTTGGGGAATGTCTTGAAGAGCGACTGCTTGGTGAAGCCCGCCTTGCTACCGCACGATGAGCATGTCAACTCGACTTTCTCGGCGCCAGTAAAGTTGTCCAAACATTCCTTCAGAGTGACTGGCTTGTAGGCGTTGGCCGTCTCGCCACCCTCGCTTGTCTCGAGCTTCTCCAACGGCACGTCGATGAATATGTTGTCCTGTTCATTAGAGCTGTACCTAACCTTGTGGCATCCGAGACACTGCAGCCGCTGCTCTAGAACGAATCGGAATTCGGCTGTGGGATCCTTTTGGCCGTCTTCGTTGTGTGGTGATCGACTAATCAGCTTGAAGAGATGCTGGAAAAGTTCAAAGGCGTCTTGCTGTCGCATGGTGGAAAATTCCTCATGGCCTCTACCTATCAGATGCTTGAACATGGCTGGTGCCAATCCTCTCTGGTAGGCAATCTCCGATCCCGATCCTACAGAGGTATCAGGCTCTGAATACCGGCCGGATAACAGGCCGTGGGCAATCTTTCTCAACTGAGTCTCAAGATCGGCTGCAGGCTCCTGGATGATGGGCAAGTCGTTGTCAGCACTGTAGTAGCGCTGCTGGAACGAGGGCATGTCGAATAGGCACTGGATGATGCTGGCTAGGTAACAGCTATTGCCAAGATTCTTCAGTCCAGTGAGGCCGGGTCCAAACACAGGCTTCAGCTCTTGGCCATCTTCTGTGGTCATGCTAAAGTCCCATTTGAGGTTCTGCTCAATCTGCATCTCCGTCAAGCTCTTCTCCGTCTTTTGGCGCTCGGCTAGGATGATTCCCCAATGGGCCAGATGGTCGCCGAGAAGCTCGTCGATGCGCTCCTCGTCGCACCTATAGCAGTAAATATCGGCAGTGCCCTCTGGTGTAATAGATCCAAGCTTGACAGCCACGCCGTGGCCAGATTCGGTGGCATGGCCCAAGGCGTGCGAATTGCCGTCAACGCCACCCATCTGCTTCCGGCCACAACCCAGGTTTCCACATTCCAGGCAAAGCCAAAGGTTCTCTCTCAGATCACAGCCTGAGCAGTGGCCAAGCTCTCCCTGCTCGATTTTGCGGGAAGGATGCTGCTGCATGGTCAAGATGTGCTCGCACGTCGTGAGCTCTTGCTCCCACGCCTTGACCTCTTCCTTTCGGCAAAAGGTGTGCGCCTTGAGAATGCCATCGACGATGGGGGCTAGCTTCGCATTCGTCGTGTCCAGTTCGACTTGGCACTCGATGCATTTAGCGGCCAGAGCAGTGTCGTATCGATCTTCTTCCGTCTCGGCCGCGATGGCAAGCTTGGTCATCTTGGCGGGGGGTTCATCGCGATGGATCGCCTTTCGGGTGCGGCGGATATTGAGGGCAAGCGGGTGGCCCCAGACTGCGTTGTGAAGCAGAGAGTGCTCCCGATCACCGGTGCAGCCTCCGTTGAAACACTGAAGGCAGACATCGAGGCCTCCAGCGTTGTCCTACAAAGAAAAAAAATAGAACAAGATGGTGAGTTTTCGCGGGGCTGCAGCCTAGAGAGGGGGAGCTGGGCGGCTGTTTATGCACGTACAATCGAGTCAAAACATTGTGTGCAGTCTTCCTTGTACACAGACTGGACGGGAGTCGGCGGTTTGAGCTCTATGAAGACGAAAGATGAGCTTTCTTGAGCTTCAAGGCAGCTGGAAGAGCTGCGAAGCGCAAGCTGGCGGGGTAAGGATTTGACGTACCGATGGACTCGAGATGCGGGCACGACATGTCTTTGGGTGGCAGACAAGAGAGAGCAGAAGATCGTGACGAAGAGCTTAGTAGGACGGCGAAGCGAAAGGGAGCTGTAGAAGCAGGCGGTTGTCAAGTGAAAGAATCAACGACAAAGTTCTGTGATGGATGCTGTTTTGGAGTTGCTACAGGCACGCACTAGCTGTAGCGCAAGCCGAGGGCGCTATCGATTGGGCGATTAGTGGGTGCCGCAGTGAAGCTCAGTGACTGCAGCACCACCTAAGCGGCTGCTGCCAGGCACCCACCACTAATCCAGGCTGCCCCTCGATGACGGTATCGGGACTGGACAGACGGTGGAGGGGCAAAAGCTGAAGATTTTGTGTTGCATGATTCAACGGGCGCGCTGTCGAAGATTTGTCATTTCTTGAATACCTCGAATAAGAGAGGAGCTGGCCTCGATCGCTAGTATAATAATAGGGAATACTGCTTAACTGCTGTTATTCTGCCATATTGAATATGTAGATGCAGCGAGTTATGTGCCGGACAGCCTCTTTAATAAATGACATCATCCCGTCTTCTCACGTCCCATCCCATCCAACGCGGCGGCCCTCATGTCGATTTGCCCAGAACAGACAGATCTGGGACGGTCAGACTGCGGGGTTGCAGCGAATGCTTGGCTGACTGATATTTCCAGAGTGGGATCCAATACTGTGCCAACGCCGCAAATGTTCCGCAGCCCGTCCAAATTTTAGGTTACCAGTGCCGGAGTCGTGACAATGCCCGACAGAGTCAAAGTGCAATCAATCATTGTATCAGACATCAGACAAGCATCAACATCAATGCTCATCTTGTTCAAGCGGTGTCTAATACAGAATCGGCTCGGCGCAACTCTGCACTCAAAACCCCGAGCCAACCCCAGCTTGGCTTTATATGAGTACACATCAGGCACTCTTCTCCGTGCAGCTCGGGGAATTCAGCAGCCCCTTCGTTTCGCCTTCCACAGTCCAAATCCTTCCTCCATCCTCCCGCCTCTCAATTGTCAAGCTACTCTGCATCCAGTAAAACGCGTCACCCTCCAGGGTAATACGGAGCAAATGAGTTGCAGCCCCCCCTCGGAGGACGTGTCAAAGTCCGAACCGGCTTGTGAATTTCGCGTCCCTCTGTCGCCTGGCCACGTGACCTATCCCCGTCTCACGTGCATCTTATCAGATTGATTTCCAATCTTTTTGCGGAGCTTTTGCACGCATTTACGTATTTGCATCAGAATCTGATAGATGACTCAGCTGTTCCAGCAATCTAATTGGCTTCCAGCTCCGACAAGGACCGAGCTCCACAACTTTGCACAGACGTAATGGCCGAGAGGGGCGACGTCGCTGATTGGCCACCGGCGAGGCGCACTTGGCCGAAATCGCCATCCGCACCCGGGGCTGCTTTTCCTGCTGGATTTTCTTGGGGAATTGATTAAGCGGCTGCTCCTCATCTTTGGAACCTTCGTCATTTGCCCTCATTCTTACCATCTTCACTCTTCCACCATCTTATCAATCGCCTCACCTCAATTCCCAACGCAAATCTTCCCGCCGCAGCTCCTTAACCTGATCACAGCGCAGTATCGCTCATCATCAGCCGCATCACATTCGCATCCGAGCAGGTTCTCGATCATCTTGCTTGCAGCTTAACTCCGCCCGCCCACATCACAAGCACAGCGGCCTGCGAATTCAGATATTCGCCTCTCCCCATCCCAAATCAACAAAATCCACCCTTCACAACCGTTCAAAATGTTCTCCAGAGGCCTCCGCGTCATCTCACGGCAAGCTATCGCTGCCCCCCTCGTCAGACCAGCTCTCGCTGCTCGACAGCTCGCTCCCGTCGCATCCATCGAGGCCAAGCGATCCTACCACGAGAAGGTGCTGGATCACTATGCGCGGCCGCGAAATGTTGGCTCCATGAACAAGAGCGACGCTGACGTCGGCACCGGCCTTGTTGGCGCTCCTGCTTGTGGCGATGTCATGAAGCTGCAGATCCGAGTCGACCCGGAGACACAGAAAATCTCCGAGGTCAAGTTCAAGACTTTTGGCTGCGGCTCCGCCATCGCCTCCAGCAGCTACCTGACTGAGCTTGTCCGCGGCATGAGCCTCGACGATGCCGGCAAGGTCAAGAACACTGAGATTGCCAAGGAACTCTGCCTGCCCCCCGTCAAGCGTATGTATTTCCATTACCATATACCAACCAAGTCTTTCGTTATGCGACAACGTCTTACTGACTCTATGTCTACAGTGCACTGCTCCATGCTTGCTGAGGACGCCATCAAGTCCGCCATTTCTGACTACTACACCAAGAACCCCTCACGGAAACCCACCGACCTGAGCGGCACCGGCATGAAAATGCCGGCTGCCGAGGCTGTCGCCGCCTAAGCGCATCCTCGACATCGGTGAGATTGAAGACGACGAGAAAAACACAAAAAAAGAAAATGTCTACTCTCTGTTTCCTACGAATTTCTTTTTTCGCCAGCGATGGTATGGGATGAAGATCGAGCAATACATATAACTCAAATTGTATGTGGGAGTAGGCCACAAAAAAAAAACAGAAAATGAGAAAAGACTCATATTGAGAGGCTTCTTCCATCGGGATACTATTCTGATTCAACTTCTTTTTCCCCCATTCACTTTTTTTTTTTTTTTCCACGGTTAAAACGGTATCGGAGATGAATAATGGAGCGTGTCCACTACCAGAAATCGAGTAGTGAAGGGGCTGGGCAAAGAACAAAACAATGTATGTACTTTACTTGCGGCTTTTCAACAGTCGCTGAGAGGAATTTACGATGGGCCAGGATGAAACTGTAAAAGTAGAGACGCAAAAGCTACTCTTAAAAACATTTGATAACCAACCACTTGACAATATTCGCTGCTTCTTCCCAACCGTGTCTTGCCCTGCTTTATCTATCTCCTCCGTACAGCTTCACTCATCCTCTCCAACTTCAACTTAGTAAACTCACTCATTTCACATTCACCGGCCTCTTACTCGTTCTTACTCTTACCCCGGGAATCTTGCGCGCTATTGCTTTTCTTAGTCTCCAATTCGCCGCAAGCGCCGCACGCGCATAGACCCGGGCCGCCAGCAAGGGCCAAAAAGAGAAGAAGAAAAAAAATCTCGCATTTCTTCCCCGAAAAGTCCGAGCTTGTTGCCGACAGCATGCCGAGTTTGGGATCTGTATCCACATGATTCAAGATGCCGGGATCGAGCTGAAGATGAATGTTTGTCTTGTTACGGGTTGTTTACTTTCATGTACCTAACTTGTATTCAAGTTTCTCAGGTTTCTCTTTTCTGTTATCAGATGGCTTCTTACGGTCACAGAGGTAGACTTGCGAAATGAGTCTGTCACATATGAGCTACACTGTTCCAGTCTTGATTGCTCAGCTAAACACTACATAGGGAAACTTGTACTAAATGAATGAATCTCAATAAGTTGACACCCAATTCCCAGAACCTTGTTTCATATCGTAACCGTGCCGTCAATAATCAATAACCGTCGATCCAGATCACGTCGCCCGTCTCTTGCACCGAAGCCGGCCAGAAGACGCTCGCGTTATCACCCTCGTTGCCCGCAGCGGCAAAGATAATGATGCCGCCATTATTGGCATTGAGAACAGCTCTACTAATCGGTTCAAGTTCGTTGTCGTACCTGGGAAAGCCAAACGACAGAGTTAGGATGTCAACGCGGTCTTTGCCCTCCTGGGAGAAGTGGGTGATTGCTTGATACCAGACTGGTCAACGAAATTGCTACAGTCAAACAGCCGCTGTTGTCTTCAGCAGCTGGAGGTGCAGCTACAAATTGCTCACTACGCTTCGGACTGAAGGTAGCGTCAGAGCGGTCACCTTTGGTCATCATGGAGATATCACAGCTTTCTCATCGATCGCCGTGGTACTTGGAATCCCCCGTGCCAGCCTAGGCACTATCTGGGATATAATGTACTTGTATTCTCATCAACATTCTGAAACTCAACGAGCACTGCATTATCACGTGGTTGCCTTTTCTTCCATTGGCCATATAGGCGCCATGTACGACAGTATACGCGCCGTGTACGACAAGCATCCAGTCGTTATAAACTCCTCTCTTCTACAGCTCCATTTCCCACTGAAATCAAATCTATCACAAAAATCTGTTATGTTCATCTACCCCAACCTGTGGCCATAAAGTGATCTTTATCCTTGCACCGGGACAGAAGCGTCGCAAGAATGCAAGTACCAGCTAAATCCATGAGCAACGAAGCCTTGTGGAAACATTGTACACTTTGCAAACCCAGACGTGAATCATGGCACTAACTTTTTGTTTTTACCAGAGCTACTCAATACTCATTCTAATATGAATTTTTTCAAGAAAAGCTACTTCTTAGCCCCAACATGGGATCTAGACCCATCGGAAATTGCCCTCGGAAGCGTCATTGCGGATATTACAACCCCTCAAATGTTTATATCTAATAAGGACCTGCCAACTGAAATCGACAAGAAAATACACAGTTGGGAAGTTAAAGGATGCTCGGGCGGTATGAAGCATTGGCGTAAAGGGGGTATTGGACTGTTCACGACCTTGTTACAAGCTATAAAATCTTACTTCGCGATATCTTACGTTTCGACGTTATCGTCGGAATTTAAGTATACTTGTGAGTTGATTGAGACACGAACATTCGCGCTCTCACCGCAGTTTGTTGCAAAGGCTGCAGCCGATCCAGCTGTTGCGACTTTTCTTAAAACGGGAGATAAGGTTTTTATCATCACCGGCGTCAAGATCGCCAAAACGTTGGACATTATTACAATAAAAGTAATGGAGAACAGCACAATCGTCCAAGCGAGCGCTGGAATTCCAATACCTGACTTGCAGATCAAGGCCGAGGCTGGGCAAGATCATGGAAGATATCACACACACACGCAAAGGATTGACGGCCCCATCCTATTTGCCTTCCAAGTCGCCAGACTTCGCCTTAATCGGAAAAATGTGCCAACTATCGAGGACTATGCAGGCATGGAAATACATCCATAGAGGGATAATGGGACTGGGTTACGAAGGTATAGTTGATTTAAGAGACTTGTGGAGGGTTTGAGGAGACGACGAGAAATATTAAATCATTGCTCCACATATGAACTAGATACGCATTATGTCGAATTGAATACGGCAAATGTGAAACTCTACAGTCACCTCTGAGATAATAGAGGCAGTACACGAAGTTATTTTGCCATGAAAATAGATTGGTAAACCATGTGGCCTCCCTTCCACGGACTTCTACGGAGATCTTTCATACAATGACAACAGATCAATTTTGATAAGACCAGCCAGGCTTGTTGCCATTCTGTCACCGAAACATGAGTTTGATGTTAGATGCTAGGATCGAAACGAAGACGAATGTATTACAGCGATAAATCTTCTGGATATCAAATTTGGTTCACAAATTAAGAGCAATACTCATGGTATATCCATTCCCAGAGCATAAGGAAAAAAGAGAGGGAGAACAAAAATAAGAGCCAGACTAGTGTAACAAGTAACATGAATCGAAAGAGTCAGATACATAATGAGAATCAATAGTATTCAATACTACATGGATATCAAAACCGCAAATAGCAAAACCCCCATCCCCTCACAAAACATACTATACAATAAAAAAAGCCCATCTCTCCTCAAAGATGCCCCTTAGCTTGATGCGCTCCATGCAAACTAAGCGGAATCGCAAAATCCGCCTCCGCCCTGCCCACCTCCTCCATCGTCCTCGCATCCAAACACAGCAAATACGACTTCTCCAGCGTCCCATCCAACACCACCGACAGCAGCACTCCATCATCCTCCTCCGTGCCTCCCGGCCGAGGAACGAAAATCGCCTCTCCGGGTGAATGCCCCTTGGGGCCGCTCCATATCAGAGCCCCCTGGGTGTGGGTGTCCGTCTTGGCGATAGAGTCTGCAAAGAGGTAGAGACCTCTGTTGGCTACTGTGTAGACGTATCTATATGGCTTTCCGGCACGTTTAGGGTGGATAGTTGGAAGCTCGCCGACGTGAGGTGAGGGAATGGAGAGTACCTCTTCCGCCACGGCAGACGCCTTTTCCTTAGCCGACTGTGGCTCCGACGGGATCCTAAAGCGATATCGCGAGAGACGGTTTGCAGTGGTTTTGTAAAACTTCTTGTCAAGCATAGTCTTCTTCGTGGCACCGTCTCGGTCGAGGAGGATGTCGTAGTAAAACATATGCAGGATGTCAGTGTTGTTGTACGAGATGGCATCCATGTTAATCTCTGTATGCTTATTCCCGCTTTCATCCGTCACCACCTCTTCAAAGGCATTGGCCGAGTGAAAGAAGAAACCAGCTGGAGTAGAAAACTCCGCGACAACACCCTTTCCGTGTCTCCTGTCCACAACCACCCACGTGCACGGGATGGAGGGATCAAAGGGCTTGATGGCGTCGAGAATATTCCTCTGCCAGGGAATCTTCAAGCCTGACCACGCGTACTGCGTCGATTGGACACAAAACACAATGTAGTTTTCCGTCATGAAGAAGCTGTGCATGTATGCCGCTGGGTACTTTTTGTCTGAAAAGGTCGCGAGAATGTCGACGCTTCCATCCTTGGCATTAACGCGAAAGATGCGATAGGTTGGATGAGAAGAAAGCTCCAGGTTAAAGTTGAACAAGTCTCTAGTTTCAGGATCACGCTGTGTATGAGCGCAAGAGATTGGACCTTTTAGGTCTGGGTGAAGCGACTTCTGCCTGGCATTCCCAATGGGCTCAAGAGTCTTTGGGTCAAGCTTGCTGACAGTAGCGCTATCAGTGAGGACATACAGGGCCTTGCCTTTGGACGCATCTCCTTCCTTCACGTCATCACCACCGGGCATGTCTGGTACGACGGTGACGTTGATGTTGGCTTTGCTAGGGAGAAAGATGGTCATGACTTTTGCGAATAGGCCAATACATGGGTCGGCGCGTTGAGCAAATGACAGGCTCGTTTGCCAGCCCTTTTCCTTAATTTCGGCAACGACAGCATCAGCATGTCGACGAGAGGAATACGTGACATTTGCGCTGCCCTCGGCCGATTCAGAGGAAGTGATGTCGAATCGATGGCTGTGGGCAATACCATCAAACCAATGGTGAATAAAATGAGTGCCTCTGGATGTGCCCTCTACTCTATCCAGGCCAGGCCCTGTTCGGAACAAAGAACCAGCAGCCCAAGATGGAATGGTGCCCTTGACTTTCAGCTGGACTGGTCCACGATGCTCCTCTAGCCCTTCAAACTACACAGCTCCGCTGTCAGCATCTTTGTCAAGTCTGAATAAGAAAGCAAAAGGAGAGTGAGCGAAAGTTTACCTGAGCCTTTGATGGCCATTCTTTCCACGATTCGTTTTCCCAATTGCTTAGTCTCAACTGCTCATCCTCACCTGCGTCTTGTGCCGTGCGAGAGATGATTCCCTCGCCGTTGAGTGCCATGGTTGATGCGAACTTTGAAAGAGAGAGAGGCTTGAGTGAACAGGCTTGTTTCCGCCCAGGATCGCTCAAACGTACGAGAGACAAGCGCAAATGGCTGTACAATGACGTTAGGCGGGGGCGAGTGTACATGGAAGACTCTCCTATATACTCGAATGGTATGAGAGAGTCGAGTGGATGGATAACGGCTGGTGATTCAATTGTTTGACCAAGGCAGACATGACTCCATCCTTCCATGAGAGGATCACCCTCGTTATATATGCGATGGCCGGGAGGGCACAGTCACAAGCCACCAGAGTGAATGCACTCGCACGCATGGCCAAACGCGTCACCTTTCTCCTCTTGACACCAAGAAGTAGGATCCTTCTGCCCCTCTCCTTGACCTCTGATCCTGCAAAGAACCTCGCATCGTTCATCTCGTTCATTGGAGGGGAGATGGCATCCAATCAGGAGACAGTGACAGGCCGGGGTAAGCCATGCAGGCATCGGCAGCCACAGGTTAATTTTGGCCCACATGGCGTCGATGCGCAAGCGAATGCGAGCTGAAAAGTGCCGAATAATAGTTACATTAAGTTGACAGTTAATCGATGAAGCATAATAATCCTGAGCTGTCCCGTTGGTAGTAATTCCAAGTGGCGATCCTGAACAGCCGTTGACGCCATACCTCGGGTTCTTTTTCGACAGAACGTTCAATGATCTGAAAGCGCAGTTATGGCATCTGAAGGGCCTTTGATTGCGTTCTCGTGTGTTTCTTGATAAAGATAGACAGCACCTAGGAGTTTGGCATCTACTACAGAGGACTCGCATGGACCGAGTTTCAAAGCCACGGCCTCCGTATTGAACTGCTTGTCAGAAGTTTTAAAATAACATTGCATTTGCTCTCAAGAACTCAAAGACTTGGTCAACCGCGCCCCGCCCGGAAATCAAATCTGTCAGAGTTTGGACCAACTCAACTTTCCGCTTTAGGCAATGAATTCGAGGTTGCAAGGATCAGTCACACTCATCAACGCGCGTATTCCACATATTGGGGTTGTTGGACACATTCATTCAATATTGTAAATGGTTCGTGTTCTGCTCTTGACTCCGCTGCGTCTGACTGGCTGCGGGGATTCCTGGTGTTCCCAATTCCAGGCTCAATCGAGCCTCTTCGGCTGTTGAAGTAAGATGTGCCTCCACTCGAAGATTGAGCTCGCATTCGCTTCGCTTGCCACTTTCTCTTTCGCTAGAATCGACAGCAAGAGGCTCGACTAATGCCAAGCTTTCATGGGGTATCTCCTCCTGCTATTTGCATCGGGAACTCCAAAGCCGAGTGGCTACAGGTGTAAGCTGAGAATCAGTTGCATGTGAACCATGCCGGCTAATCTCGACGTTGTCTGGACTGTCAGACATGCAATGCCCTTCTACGAAAGAAGGCAGGGCATGTAACTGCGACGGGTTTGGCTATGGCGTCCGGCACTGATGAGATTCGTAAGCCCTCGGGTAGTGGCTGCAAAAGTTACACGTCTGTAACTGCAGTCGCTGCGTCGGTGTCCGCATTGCCAGCTCCCGGGGAAATAGCTTTGTATGGAATCCTGTTTGGAATCCAGCCTCTCATGAATGATGTTATGACCTCGAGTTCAGGATGGGAAAACACGACCATCTGCCAAAAACTCTTCAATATGCCTTTTTCTTGCCTCAGTCAAGGCTTTGAGCTCTACTTGGCCCGAATCCTGAGTCGTATCGCTATCGGACAAATTGCTCACACGGCCAGCAACGCGCGCAAGGAGGAAGCGCATCTTCTCAAGCTCCTTCTCTACTGGACCATCGCGAGTCACCAGATTCTCTTGGATGCCGACGCCATCCGTGGTCCGAAACGATTCGACCGTCTTTTGTAGGCTGCGAAGACGCTCAACGCGCTGCCTCAGCTCTTTGCGCTGCTGGCTGAGGTCGGTGAGTTGACGAACTGTCTCGGCGTAGCGATTGGCCTCCATTGGATAGGCTTCGACATCTTTGTCTGAGGGCCAAGTCGCAGGCAGTGTTTCGATAGCGTTCTCGTCAACTGTGTAAAGAGGGTATTATGTCAGATACAGCGTCTTGATACATGGAGGCAGCAGCGGCAATTACCCAGATCAAGCTCTCGTCCAATCCCGCCCTCAGCATCGTCCGGATTCTCCATCCTGCGCTCAGCATCTCTCGAGTACACGGTGCTGATCTGCTCAGCTACGTTTCGGTTTGCCTGTGGCGCATAGACACGGCGACTGTGCTGCAGGATCGTGCGATTTACGCTTGCGACGGCATCTTCGACGAGGCGGTTCGGGATCGCATGTTCGGACGCGTCGTTGGAGGCGCGCCAGGCTCGAGACGGCACAATCGGCTGGGACAAGACGTTGGTCTGGGCAGCGACAAACGTCTGCTTGACGGAGGTGATTGTGGGAGCAGGAGGCATTTGGTCTCTGCAGCCAATCTAGGCGAATGTAGAAAAGGGCAGGTGATGTTTGGAGTTATCAACATTGAAGTTATCTCGATTAGAGCTTTGAAGCTCTAGAAGCTCCAGTCGCTGCCAGATCCCCCACTGACAGCGCTACAGGGGCCTAATTATGTCAACAGAGGGGCGCAATGGCGGGGTACGTCCGCGACAACTTCCTGCATTGAGCTATCTGGGCCTAACCTACAGTGGTCAATTTACATAGAGTCGATGATTCAATTTGCTCTGTTCTTCTCTTTAACGTGTTGGTCATTTATCTCTCTCTCTTTCGCAATACTTATCAGATCATGATAGATTATCCTACTGCTGTTGACTCACGTCGTAAGAACAGTTACATAATAAAGTTACGTGTACCCCGAGTCCTTGATCCCCATCATTGCTTATACTTCGACATCTATCATAGAAGGGGCCGAGTTTGCGAGAATCCAGCTGAACTAATGCCTTGATATACACTCTATTTGCGTTTTCAGTGATTTTTCAATAGTGCATCTGTAGTGTAAGAGCCATCTTCAGCATCGTTCAATACATCGGCTCTATGCCAGGTCTCCCTGAATAAAATACGGCATTCTTCCCATGGCAATCCCGGGTAGAGCGGCCACCAACTGGTCGGAGACAGCCTCATGCTGTGCCACGTTTTACATGGCCCCCAAATCCGATGTCCAGTGCGACTACTCTGTATACTTGAGCCAATTGTAAATCATGGTGAACATATGTCTGGCAATCTTCGACACAAGTGGCTGGCTGCATGCTGCATCTGCTGATCCGGAGCTGCGGAAATTTATGGGTGTCTCATGCTGGACAAGACAGCCGAAAGGGCCACCAGTATGAATAAAGGTAACACAGCATTGGCCAAACCTTTTCTATAGGCTTTACTTACAAAAGAAACAAATCCATCTGTACGCATGTAAAACCAAGGGCACACATTCTAGTTAAAAGAGGAGCGGTGGGAAAAGCGAGACTAACATCAGTATACGTGTATGCATACATGCATCCATAGCAAGAGGTGGGTTGGGCCCTGATTGGGTTGAAATGTGCCTTGTGCATTAGAAGACCTGCATGACATGCAGCCTCGCTGCCTGTTCTTCCCTCTAGCATTGTATTTTTTATTCTTCATCTACTCGATTTGTCTCTAATCTGGAGGAATAATTCCATTCAGATTGGTGAAAACCAGGGCCGCAGCTTGGTTCGATATCCGGATGCCCCATACTGCTTCAACAGCCGATTGCGAGACACCGACCCAGACCTGCAGTTTAGAGTCAAATACTTCACTCCGCGGGAAACCCGTACATCCGTTGTTCCGCGACAAGACTTTCTACTATAACCATAACTGCAATCGCGAGACAGTCTTGTCCCATCACCACCATCAAATGGCTCCAAGACGAGCAGCCGCCGATGCCTCACCGAGCCCGCTTCGCCGACTCCGGCTCCAGGCAGACCATCCTCTCCGACGCCACCGGATCTCCCGTCGCAAAGTCCATACGCTCTCCATAAGAGAAATTCGGCGCATTGAAATCCTCTCGGAAGGATATGTATCGGCAGCAAAGGAAGAGACTGATCATGAGGCCGAGACCGAGACGGAAACTGAGACACGGTGGGAAAGAAGCACTCGTGGAGATGCGAGGGCGTTGTGGGTGGAGCAGTTGTATCGTTACGAGGAGTTGTGATTGATGGTACCTACGGCACCAATTCCACGTGATGGCGGTTTTCTTTTTCTTTATTGTTATTTGTTTTCTTATCTTTATGATTTCTTTTTGGACCTGGAATTGGAATGCGAACGAGGTACAGTTGGATGTGGTTGAGTGGTGGGTGAAGAGAAAAGACCTGGCTGCCTGGTAGATGGTATCCGATCGCCTGGAGGTTAAATTGCTTCTGCTTCTTCATGATGTATAATGACTAACGAATATTAATGAATGGTTTCAATTTTAAATGTCAATAAGAATTGCTCCATTGTTAAGCCACAGTGTTGCCAAGGTCAGTCTCTCGTTGAGAAGTACTTGTGCAATGTGTTAGCATACTGATGACATGCTGATCATAATTGCACAGCCATGTGAGATACTTGACACAAGACCAAGGCAGATCTACACGCTGGAATCTATATAAACCTTCACCACGACTTCATTTCCAAACATCTCGCATACGACTACTTTGTCCATCTTGAACTAATCTTAAAACACATACCCATCCAAGGCTGTTGATATGATGAGCCCCCAATTATACGAGGGCGGGGCAACGGAACCCCTCCCCCACTCTAGAGGGGCAGCATTTCAGCCTTCGGAGTAATTCATTTCATCTTGAAGAGCTTTGTATCTTCATTTATTCAAAGATTCATTTCTATTGAAGAGAGCTGACTCATTGGCAACCACACATAGGCTGTACGATAACCAGTTGCCATCATGAAGCCCACTATGGGAGTTGCCATTATTGGAGGAGGCTTGTTCGTCAAGGGGTCACATCTGGTATCTATCACCACAAACATGACGTTTGCTGAGCCCCTTAGAAGAAACTGGCCAACTAATCACCCTCTCAGCCTGCTGTTCTCAAATGCGAGCTCTTCAGCCTCAAAGCCATCTACTCAAGGTCTCTCAAATCAGCTCAAGAAACGGCAAGCCTCATTCCCGACTCAGTCCCCAAGCCGGATCTTTACTCTGAGGATTCTGGCGCTGGCAAGTCGTATCAAGACATTCTTCAACGAGATGACATCTCCGCCGTCATTATTGCCCTCCCCATCCTCAGCCAGCCTTCCTTCATCGAGGCGGCTCTCTCTGCTGGCAAACACGTCCTTGCGGAGAAGCCCATTGCCAAAGACGTCACTGCTGCACGCGCCCTGATTGCCAACGCTCAACGTATTTGCTCGTCGACCAAAGCCACCTTGTCCATTGCTGAGAACATTCGTTTCTACCCCAGCTTTGCCTATGCCGCCAGCGAGGCTGCAAAACTCGGCAAGGTTCACAACTTTAGCGTTCGCGTCCTGTGGCGCATCGAGGCAGACAACAAGTGGTACAACACCTCGTGGCGCCAAAAGCCCGACTATCAGGGAGGTTTCCTGCTTGATGCCGGCGTCCATTGGGCCGCTGCCACGAGGCTGCTGCTGACAGGCGACGAGAACAAGCCGGAGACGGTGCAGGCATTCACCGCACAGATGTGTGAGCATTTGCCGCCCATCGACACCGTCAACGCCATCATCAAGACACAGTCTGGAGCAACGGGCGTGTTTCAAAACTCGGCTGGATCCCACCTCCAGGCTTTCGAGTGGAGCTTCTCGTATGAAAAGGGTGCGGTCAAGATCGCCGGCGAGACAGTCACAGTAGAGCCCGCCAATGGAGAGGCGTATGTCAAGGAGTTCACCAGGACGAATGGCGTGACGGAAGAGGTGGCCGCCTGGGCTCAGAGCATTCTCGACGGCAAGGTTAACCCCTTGCAGACGCCTGAACAGGCTCTCGCCGACTTGGAGTTTGTGGAGAAGATGTTTACCAGCGGAGATGAGAACGGGTCGACGCAAAAGTATGAGCTTCTATAGGAAGATGGACGGGTAGCGCTAATGCCAATATACACAATGTGAATCCATATACGAAGCGAGCCGCTGACAATAATATCCAATCGCTGACCAGAGATAAAGAAAAGTGAAATAGGCGGGAACGAGAAGAGAACCAATCGCAAAGGTCAGAGCTTGCTCGCCTCCTTGGGAGGAGTGACAGGCCCCAGATGAATCTTATCCAATGCCTCCTTCAGCCGGGGTTCCATTCCATCTTTCGGGGGTCTTCCTGTGGACCTCTCCACAAAGACATGTACGAAGCCTCCCACAGCCTTGACTTCATCACTGCCCCTTTCAAACAGGGCTACCTCGTAGGTGACGCTCGACTTGCCCAACTTGGTGACACGCACGCCCACCTCCGCCACGGCAGGATAGGCGATGGAGGCCAGAAAGTCTGTGTGGGAATGTACTGCTAAGCCATACTGAGGCGATGAAGGGGGGTGAATGCCACATCTTTCGACAAGATAACTGTTGACGGCGGAGTCGAATCTAGAATGTCACAGATCCGATGTAACCAACCAGTTAGCGAAGCCTTACAATGGGGTTCCGTAATACCGTTTGAGTTAAAGGATAAGCATCAACTCGAGTCAGGAACGGGGAGTGGAGAGGGAGGAGTGGATGTTGGATGTCCCCAGGCCAGAGGTTATCCGGATGGATCAACACCCGCATGAGGTACGAGTAAGTGAGTCTTACAGGAAGTTGTATACTGAGTTGTTCATATGATCATACATGTCATTGTCGTTCCTGTGGCGATAAAAGACACATTAACACAGCCTCTTGTTTATGTGAACGTCATATCATCCAGTAATCTCTCCGACTCTCAACATTGGTCGGCCCTCGGCATCTCAAAGACTGGCCAAGAGGAGGATTGGACTTGCATGATAGGTTGAAGGGCATCCTTTTGACACAAAAGTTCGCCCCGAAGCATTGGGACCGCGTCAAGGCCACAGTGGAGAGGGGGGTGAAGAAGAAAGAAACTAACTCACCATCTTGTCCTGTACTCCAGGAGGTACGGATAGTCCTGGCGTCGGCGTGTCTTGAGTGCAGCGAGGCTCATACTTGGAAAGCGTCTTGAGACGGCGAATCAGGAGTGCATATGCAAGGTCGCGAGTGAGTTCGAGAATGAACCAGGCACTAAAGGAACAGGCAACGAAGGATACGCCGTAGCCAAACCAGGGAGGCAAAAAAGAGACCACAAAGATACAAGCAGTGACAGTCTTGCAATTAACCACTGGATGTCCAGGTACGAGTATGTGGTGAGAATTCGACAGCAAGGGAGGCGTATATCGAGGCAGCCGAATCGGAGGTTTTTGGCGTTACTCGCAACGGCCCCAGCAGCCAACCGAGGTTCGGTATTCTCCCTGCTCCAGCTCCAGGGTAGGTAATCAACGGATCAATCTCAATAATACATGCCACAAGGTTCCGGTGCCTTCGGTCGGGCTGCCGGCCATCCCGGACCGGAGCCACGATTCCCCGCAAGTGCATAAGTGCAGCGTTCTGCCGCTCCCGACCGCCTTATTTTTTGCTGCCCCTCGTTTTTTTCTTGCATGGCGGTACGTCACTCCGCAGACGACACAAATCTCAAATACTTGCATTTCGCCGGGGAAGTCCGTCTGCCACCATCCACGGAAGAACACGGCGGGCGAGAGAGGCTGGTGCCTGGAATTGTTGCTGCGGGTAAACGCGCGGTCGAATTCGAAAAGACTATTCCCTATCTCCTTCTGCAGCGTTCGTCTGCTGATGCTGCGAGCCTGTTCGAGAAGCATCGGCAAGCTAGCAAGAACCGGAGCCTTCGCGATGACGACCTCTTCCACCCTCGCCACCAGCGCCGCAGCGCCCGCGACTAGCTCGACGGCTTTGCTCGATGATTCGATAGACGCAGCACTGCCCGGACCTGAAGCTGCAGCCGAAGTCACCACCGCGACCCAGAGGAGCAGGAATGGAGATGCAGAGGGGGGAAAGGGAAGCCCCCATGCGAATGCGAATGGAGACAAGGGCAGGCCACCCAAGCAGAAGAAGCCAAAGAAGCCAAGCCCCAGGGACCGCTCCGTGATCCCCGACGAAAACGCCGTCCTCATCACTCCCGCAGGTGACATCTGGCCGCGGCCATACGTCTTCGAGGACGACCTGCGCCGCGTGCAACCATACCACTTCACGTACAACACGTACTGCAAGGAGAGATGGCGCGGCCGGGCCCTCATCGACATCTTCGAGTCCGAATTTCGAGACCGGCCGCTCGAGTATTACCGAAGCTCCATGGTGCGAGGCGACATCTACGTCAACGGCAGAGTGGTTGGTCCAGACTACATCGTCCGCAATGGAGACATGATTTCGCACACGTTGCATCGACACGAGCCACCAGTCACGGCCGAGCCTATCGGCATCATTCACGAGGATGACGATATCATTGTCATCAACAAGCCCTCGGGTGTGCCTGTGCATCCTGCAGGCCGCTACAACTTCAACTCGGTTATCGAGATCATGATTGCGGATAGGGGCAGAGACTTTTTGCCACACCCATGCAATCGGTTGGACCGCCTGACCAGCGGCATCATGTTCATTGCCAAGAGCGTAAAGGCAGCTGAGGCCATGGCCATCAAGATCAGGGGCCGCACTGTGAGAAAGGAATATCTGGCGCGCGTGGTTGGCCACTTCCCGGACGGAGAGGTTGTCTGCGACCAGCCGATATTGCAGATATCGCCGAAGCTAGGTCTTAATCGCGTGCGTGCCAATGGTAAGGAGGCCAGGACCGTCTTTAAGCGGCTGGCGTACTATCCGCCACTGGATGGAGATGCAGATGAGCCGGCTATGCTGGCGGAGGATGGGCGACCACACACGCCCATGAATGGAGACGAGCACGTCGAAGATGCGACGCGTAAGCCTTGGCTGAAGAAGAAGGGCTACTCCATCGTGAGATGCTTGCCGGTGACTGGGCGGACGCATCAGCTGCGAGTGCACCTACAGTATCTGGGTCATCCAATCCAAAATGACCCCATCTATGCCAATCAGCGTGTCTGGGGACTCAACCTCGGACAGGCTGACGCGGATGGCTCACAAAACACCGACGAGGACATCATCAGCCGTCTGAATCGAATGGGAAAGGAAGAAGTAGCCGAGGCCGTGGTGTACTACGACGAAATGGTGGACAGATACGAAAAGCAGAGGGCAGAGAAGATGACAGGCGAGCTGTGCGATGTATGCCAGACGCCTCTGTACTCTGACCCGGGGAGTCACGAGTTGTCGCTCTGGCTACACAGTCTCCGATACGAGGACGCCGACGGGAGCTGGGCTTATACCAGCCCGCTGCCTAAATGGGCGCTTCCGCCAAAGGGCATGAGTGGCCCGACTACCGTGGGCGGAATGGAGGAGCTTGTGGAAGCCGTCAGGGACGAGAATCCTGAGATTTCATCAGAGGTGCAGGCCAAGGTCAGGGCAGAAGCCGATGCAAAAGCAAAAGCCGACACGACAGAGCCTGAGAATCAAGATGCTCAACTTCCCAATGGGACGTAATGATATCATGAGTTATGACACATGACAGTAGAACAAGTACAGTTCATAGACATGGAACCAAAAAGACAGAGAGCGAGAGAGAGGACGCGTAACCACCAAGTAGAGCTACGAAATCTAGAAAGATTCGAGCCGATTTCTATAGATGACGTGCCCATATCAGGCCAAAATCCTAGACTTACCATTTCACATCGTCGCATGCTTGACACCACTCAACAGTTACGGTAAAACAACCCTGGCTTACAATTGCGACGTCTATGCAAACAGCATAGGCACAGGCACATGCAACACAACACAACAACGATAGACTTGTGAACAATTACAAGTACGAGATCAGCCCTGGCACTACCTCATTCTCTTATTTAGAACACGCCCCCCCTGGTCCTGTCCCAGTCAAAAGGCATGGAGCGGAGATGATCCCTTTATCCATTTCCGGCGTTAGATTGGGCAACGCAACGATAGAGCTTGCGGGGGAAAGGGAAAAAGGAAATAAAAGAACAAAGAAAGAAAAAGAAAAAGCATGTGCTGCAAATTTATCCGAGATCGACCTCGAGTTGCCTCCCCCCTCAGCGCTGCAAGGGTCCAGGAACAATACATACATTACATTGAGCGGGCGAGATATGACGAGCGACGTATATTTGATTGACATGATTATGATGTGACTTGAGCGGCGACATCACCAAAAGCAGATGCTGCGCACGTGTATGTTATGTTATTTGGACATGCCCTAAAACATGGGGGTGGAAAAGAGATGGGGAAATGGGAAAATGGGGGAAATGCATGTGAAAAGTGAGCAGATGAATGAATGAATACTAGCATAAAACACGAGAAACAGAAACAGAAGAGCGAGAGAGAAGACCAGCGACGTGCGAAAAGTGGCCTGTTGCAGATCCGAATCTCTCTCTGTCCGTCTCTCTGTCTCTCTTCAGCTCACTGCTACCAAAAATTGCCACGACGAACGATGGATCGGCCAGCACTTTCATATGGGGGGGGATGGAGGGAGGTCAATGCTTTCAAACGCTCATCAAGTTCGTTCACGCTTCATGTTCCATGCTTCATGCCTTCATGCTTCGACAATCCTTGGCAGAACGAATATGCGGGCATGATTGAGTAATGCCCCGATAAATAGATTAAGTGCTGGGACAGCTTTCTCCGGCCTGCTGGTGCTGCTGGGTAGGGGGTGAGATTGGTTTAGCTAAACTGGGCCGGGCCACCGAGGCCAAAAACGGGGCCTCCCCGAAAAAGAGAGAGCCAGCAAGTGAGATTTCCATGGGATTTTGATGAGAATGAGAATGAGAAGAGAGGCTGAGAACTTGTACATCAGCAAAGCAATAAGAATGGCTTCAGCCCCCTCTCATCATCATCAGCTGCAGCTTGGACCTCTTCTTTATAGTAGCGAGCCCCGGTAGCTAAAAAAAGAAAAGTCCAAAACAGCGCGGCAAGGGAAATTTGCTGTGTGAAATGGCAACCCAAAAAATAGACACTTTGAGTAAGAAAACGAGAGAGAATGAAAAGGTGTCTAGCTTGAGAGACCGGTCCGGTCCGGTAATCCTATTCACGACCGAGATTTGGAATAGCCGGCGGTCTGAGCCAAAAAGACAGGACCAAGCTCACACAATCTACCACTCACCATCTGGACTAATTAACAAACCAACCGCCCCCGGACCCGTATTAGCAAAAAAATAATGAAAATCGGCGAGACATGCCCTTTTTGAAGAGACGGGGACCTTGATGAGAAGCGGCGGGCGGGCGGTGGTAAGTGCGGGTCCGTCCAATATCTGGAACCATGTCTCAGCCCGGTCTTAAGAAGAGCGGCACGAGCCTGTAGAAGGAATACAGTACGCCGTGTCGTTCTCTCAACGTTTTTTTTTTTGTCCCCTTTTCCCTTGTTTGGTGTGGAGTTTTTGTTGCATGTTGTTGCTGGTAAGTACATAGTGTAAGGTTGGTTGCACGATGCAAGGGGGGGGGAGAGGAATCCATAATATCGTGGAACTAGAACGAGTCAATCATCTGCATCGCCGTCGAATAGGGTGCCTCTCCGTGCAAGTCGCATGCAGTCCAAACATGCATGAGAGATGGATACATAGATGCCTAGAGGGAAAAAAAGATGGATACAACGGCATGGAACACAGATGATGATCGAGGTTTCCCCCCTGGCTTGTCGTCCTCTCACTTGTCAATCCCCCAAATGCCCCCAAGGGGGGGGTCACTCACCTTCAACGGTCCGATCATGTATAATGATGTTGTTTGGGGGGGCAGCCTGGCCGTTTCTCTCCCTGGGCTGGTCGCGAATCTGGCCAATTTCAATCCGGACAGATGGAAAAACCAAGGGGAATTTGTAATGCAGAAGAAGCAAAGAGACAGAGACAGAGAGACAGACGTCACTTCAAACGTCGCTTTTGGCAAGGGACCTGTTCTGCCGTCTGTCAATGCGCTTGATGCCGCGTCCAGGATACTTGAAATGACGACAGGAACAGACCAACAACAGCATCTCCTTTATCCGCCAACTAAACAGCGTCCAATGAGAGCTTCAAAGCCTTGCTAAAGGAGGCGACGAAAATTTTTTCGTTGGTGCTCTGCTTCTAAAAGAAGGGGGTCGCAGTATGGAGAATCTATTTTTTTCCCCGGCTCTGTGTGCTGCTTGCGATAGGTTCAGCCTTGGGAGACGAGATGCAGGTATGCAACCTCTTTTTTTTTTTTTGCCGTCTTCGACGCCTTCTCCCTTGCATTGTTACGACGGACTATTCCCGCTCTTCTGCACTTATTAGGATGACTCTACACTGTAGTCGGCTAGACGCACCTCGTGAGGTAAGCAGGAGAGCCTGCAGGATTGCAGCCGATACACACACAAACAGGCGGTATTAGATGCCTTTCCAAACTCGCCCATCTCTCTTCATGCAGGGGAATTGATTCATGGCTTGTCCATCTTGGAGAATCTCCAGCAAACCAGCAGTTGTGAGCGGTGTGGTTGGCCGAATTTACGATAGCCGCAGCCTTGACGACTGTCTGGGTTGCATCGTCAGGCGCTAGGTGCCGTCGCATCGGCACCATCTTGATGCTGAATTGTCAACGTTGAAGGACAAACAGAAAAGACGGCACGCGATGGACACAGTTGGTGCGTTGGTTTCGTCCGGTTGAGCTGAATGTTGCTTCAACACCCCTGATGTGTGGATCCATATGGGATGCCAGAGACATACAAGTCGATCCCGTCCGGTTGAATCTGCAGCACTTGCCATTTACTTGCCTTTCAGCAGCTTTGCCAACAACGCCAAACGACGCTATCACAAGGCTCCCCAATGAGCAACTTTGTGCAATTTGCCACTCATGACCGCACAGCAAATAGTCTCTCTAGACTGGTAAAAGCCTCTCTTTTCAATGGCCGAATTGGGCCGACGCAGTAATATAACTCTAGTTCAGCTGTAAAAGCTAGGCGTTGGTTTGGGATACAATCTGAGGAATCGTTGGAGAGCCGCCAAGATTCCATGCAGCTCGGGGGTGCCGTTGCTACCGATGAGCATGTTTCGACACCGAACGTTAGCAACACTCGCAACAAACAACGCAGAAAAAACTAAAGATTGACACAGTTGTCTTGTGTCTGTTTGCGCAACATGTTAGTCCAGATGACCATGGCAACAAACTGTCAACAGGTTGCCGTCGCCGGCCCTCGGCTATGACGCTCCCCAGTTGTCCGCCGGAATCCACGCGTAGATCTGGCGGCTAGTGAATAATTACGGAGCAGTTTCTTTGTTCTAGAAGAAAGTCAGAAAAATATGGCTTTTCCACTCTATCAAAAGCCGGCGTTCCGGCAGTGATACAGTTAGTTGTAAAATGATCTCCCGGGCGGTGCTCGGCTTTCACTGTCAGGCTACTTGGTACGATATGCCACATCCCCGAACGGAGAGCACTGTTAACGGCGTGTGTCGGTGCACTGTATGAGGGTGTTTCCGAACATCGAGCGGCCTCTGGAAAATGCACCATGCAGCGTCACCAGCGTCACCAGCGTTGTCCAGGACGGGCGTTAGGCCTGCTGCTTAGCGTCTCTCTTGGTCCATTAGCTCATCTAGGAAATTTATTCACAGACGAGGTGCAGGAGATTCCAGGAAGAGCCTCAGCTTCGAATCGTATTTCGCAAACGGGCACAGAGCAGAGGGTTGCTGATGCTGGGGCGGCGCACACCCTAATCGTTCTTCTGGCATTGCGTCTCCGCTCCTTGGGCTGCATGTCCTTGCCCTTTTTGAAGTCGAACAGTCTGCCAGGCACGGCCTTGTCTAGGCCACGGAGCACATGTCCGATGAAGAAAAGCCATGGAAGTGCTCCAGAAAAGTCGTTTGAGCCAAAGGACGGGCAGCCACTCAGAGGCGCCACCGACTGCAAGGGAGCCCCCCTGTGATTCCAAGGCTTCTAGTTCCCTTCTACTCCGTGCCTTGTGCTCCGTAATGAACAAGACCAGGACCAGGAGGCCGGAGCTGAGTTGTGATAAGCTGCACGCTAAATTGCCTTTATGACGACGAAACCGACACTCGAAGCGGCGAACAATTTGTGCTCGTACGGCCAAGTAATCGTATTAGCAAGGACAAACCAAGCCCTTCATCTCCTGCGAGACTTGGGGTACGGTGGAGGAATTCACAGCAAAACTGGGGGTGGGCAGGCGTGTGTGCCAGCCACGTTTCCCTTGGCCTTTCGTGGGGGACGTCAAGGACCGTTTTGCGCATCCAGGAATTACGTCCCGTTTCGACGGGTGACTGATAAGCGCATGGTGTCTTGCAAACGTTTGGAGTGAGTCCCCATGCAAACCACCAAAAGCCAGCATTTCCGCCAATCTCTGGATGGCAGAAGTCATGTTGCAGATGCCAGGGGCAATTAGTGCCAGTTAGGCAGATTGTTTTGGATGGATAGCATAATGGCGTTAGCAGGCTAGCATGAAGCCAGCCACGAGACAGCCTCCTTTGTGCGGTGGGCTCGCACGTTGGATAATATTGCGGGAAGTGCCGTCGGCTGTCTGTGCGAGTTGGACCGCTTGCAGCTCGGACCGTTGGATTCTCTTTTCTTGTTGCTTTGCACATCATCTGCACTCCAGGTGACCTGTATTGGCAGACCATAGATAGAGTTGCCGTCATCAAGGTTTTCTCGCGGCATCGAAGCTTGGTCAGCCGTGAGGAAGCCGTGATGAAGCCGTTCTGCGGCAAAATCCATCCGCACGAGCCGCACGAAACAATGTGAGCCATCCAAGCGCCTTTTTTCAGTCTTTGTCTTTTTCCACCCCCTTCACTCAATATTCCCGCCCAAATCATCTCCGCCAGTGGAGGCACTGGAGTCGCTTGGTAAATCGCCACGCGCCACGCGTTGCTCTAGCACGCAGCCTCTTTTTCTCTCATATTTGGATTCGCAGCACTAAGACGAACGAGCAAAACCCTAATGAGGCAACCAAAGAAACGCAGGGTTCGAAGCGATGAATAATACAGCCGGCCTGACAAAGCAAAGCCAGAACAAAGCAACGCCAGACACAGACACGGAACTGCAGAATGATGACATCGTCATACTGTAGACAAAGCGCTTTGGGGGGGCGTGCGTGACATGCCGACCGGTGCTAGAGCGTAATGCCACCAACCTAAATCTCTGGAGCCTGTCTGTCCATGTACAGAACTGTACTGTACTCGTACCATGCCGCTATCAGCGCCATTATATCGCGCCCAATCGCATCAAATCGCATCTACAGGCCTGCCGGGCCCTCGGTGAAAGATCGGTTGTGCGCTGTTCGGGGGAGTCTTGGCCGTTGGCTGGCAGAAATGCCATGCTGGATAATGATGACCGATCCGGTTTCTGGAAAGATTCGAAAGCTTCGCCAGCCCACTAATCCTGCGTACCGGATGCCGGGATTTGCGGCGGTTCCGGCTATGGTTGGGCGCTAAGGCCGATTTTGACAGATTTGACGGGTGTCAAGTGTCAAATACGAAGTGTTGATTCTCGATTGTGAGCATCTGATGAGATGGGAAGCCGTCGCTCTGGATCTTTGGCCGCGCTACGCCGGAAGTCGTCGGAACGTCATTGGCATCCCCCAGCGATGCGATTTCGGTTCCGTTTCCGCTGGTGCGTGGGAGTAGGATTTGGATGTCGAGGTACTTGTGCGTTGCGGTCGTAATTTGCTGACATTTTGCAGTGGCGAAATGCACGATGCTGCATGTGGAAGAAGCGATAGAGAGGGTGGTGATGCTAGATTAGCCGCTTTGTGGTCCCAAGCACACCTTTTGCCCATGAGAGAAAAAAAAAATTGATAATTTGCTGAGATGGAGTTGATGGAGTTGAGAGCGAGCGTATCGATTACCTCATTCTGATTAATGACGTCGTCTTGTATGTTTGCTTTTTCTGTCCCGTCTCGCCCCTGTACCTGCCTGCAGTGGCTTGTACGGTGCAGGTACTTGCTGGGTTCAAGGTTTGCTATTGCTGACACAGCAGAGCCTGAGCCTTAGGTAAATTCTTAGTACCTAGTAGTTTGTTTGTTACCTGTGAATTTCAGCAACAAACAAAAAAAAATGAATGAATGAAGCCAGCAAATTCTGCATCGCCACCACGATGGCTAATGATGTTGCTAATGATGATGATGATGTCTTGCCTTGACCGTAACTCCCGAACCGTCCAATCCCAAGTCTTGGAAATCTCGATCCAAGTACTTGTACCCGTAGTCTCTGCTGCGTTGCCGTACTGGCTCTTGTTCTTGTTCCTCTCTCTGGGCCTTGGGCTCTAAGGGTTTCTGGGGCTAGCGACTGGGCTGCTAAAGATTGAAGTTCTGGCGAGGCGGTCAGTGGCTCTAGGCCGCACATACCTGCCAATCTACACCGCGCTAGCGCACTAAAACTGCACATGCAGCGTGCTACAGTACAGTGGAGGTTGCCGCCTGAGTACCTGGACCCTGCCGCTGTATTGGCCTGGGTCCGTATACTCTGTACTCTTTTGCACGTTCAACCTCTCGAAATCTTCCATCCTAGTCCAACTAACTTGCTAGGCCTTCTTCAACATAACTCTTTTCGCCTGCCGTCAGCGGTATGCAAGTAGTCCTACACCAAGAACAGGGGCGCCAGCCGCAGACGCCATTCGCTCTCGATTGAAACGTGGGAAGCAACAGTCGAGAGGCAGAGGCGCACACCAGGCGGTTTTAGCTGCATCTGCCGTCTGCAGTGCATGGCCAATGGCCAGAATGCCGCAGACGCCGACGGGGGTTTTGGTCCACAAATCGCCGCCAGGCGAGAACGAGGAGGCTGTTGAAGAGAGAATATGAGAGAGGAAGAGAGAACGAGCCAGAATGAGACGGACGAAAAGCGAAAGCGAAGGTATGGGAGCAACAAAGAGAAACAGGAAACAGATCACAAGAGAGCGAACTGGTCCGAGGTGCCTTCTATTATGTCGGTTGAAGGGGAGGCCGAGGCATCAAATCAATTTATGTCATTTGGAATCCATGTCGGTCAACAGCAGAGTTTTGCTTGTTGGCCCTGGTGGTGAGTCCCATTCGTGTTCTGGAATATTGCCATATGGCGAGATGGGGGTCCAGGGCTCTCAGTTCTTTTTTTTTTTCGTGGGCTGGGACACTAACGAGGTAGCGGTGGATAGGCTTCCGTTCGCTCGATAGGCGTCCCATCATCAAATTTGACTCGTACTGTACGATACAGCACGTGCGATGATTTGGGCCAGGGCAGGCAGAGGCCATCACGGAGTAGGGTCGGAGGAGAGCTAAAGCAACTACGCCTGCTAGCATTGCGACCCTCCAGCCCAGATCGCGATCCAGTCCATCTGTGGAATACTGTGCGGACAGGACAGTACTTGCAAAACCCCGAACGTTTATTGCCGCCAGCTCGGCACTGCAGCATGTAACTCCTAACACCTACCAGGCACTGTATCGACAAGACAAAGCAAAGCCGGAGCGTCTGACCATGCCTGAAGCATCCTAGCAGGCGAGTGCCGTCTTGTCAGCGAGGGCCGCCAGCACCGTCAGTCTGGCCCGGCAGAACCACACGGGAACGTGCTCTTAAGCTCCATCAGTCAAAGTCAAGGCCGACGCGAGAGACAATAGTGTCACAGCAAGATCGGCCTGCAGGCCCCTCTGTGGCCTCTTGGTCTCCCTCCGCTGTTCCTCCCTTGCCGCGGCCTGGAGTGCCGAGAGACGAGAGCTGCTGAAGAGGCAAAAACGATCTGAGCTGTGCTTTGCAGTGCTGCGCTGCGTAGGGATGATTGTTTGGCTGTCATGTCCGATGCCTCCTGTATGGTGCATCATGGCTGGCCACCACTCTCCCCAGCTAGTCCCAGCGCCTCCCCCAACGTCCACACGTCCACGGCTCGCCTTTTCTTGCTTGCTTGCATCCCCCAGCTTGCGGCGGTGCGAGTACATGGAGTACGTGCGAATACATGCATGAGTTTCCTTCGACTGGCACTAAGGCAACGCGGTCCGAAGCAGCAGACGCTCTCTGGGCTCTCGTACTTGCACCCAAGCGTCCCTCCCAGTGGCGTCGATGCCCTCACCCCGCAGGCTGGCTGGCCATGCCGGACCAAGCATGAGCGAGCATGTACCGGGCCAGTACCAGCCAGGACCAAACTCGGAACGCTCAGATGCTGGTATCCAAGGTATCCTACGAGTATACGACGCCACGCCACAGCCCGCGTGCACGCTTCTTGGTGCCAGAGCCTGCAAGTCTCGACAGACCCGGTCGTCCGCTGGCTGCGCTGGATATACACTCACGCCCCCCCTGGCCCCCCTGGTCGCCTCCAAGTGCTTGGTCTGGTGCCTTGTATGCAGACACCCCCCGGCCTCTCCACCCAGTACAAGTACTTACCTGAGGTAAAGTACCGTCATCCCTGTCCGAAAGGTACGGAAACAGAGGAGACGCTGTTCGGGGTCCACACCACCGCCTTCTGGGATGGATGGCCTCAGAGGTGTGTAGCAGTATATTATTATAATACGGTACCTGACGGCTTCATATTCTGGGCTCGTTTTTTTTCTCTGTTTCCACTCATTCAAAAATCACGGTCCGGATCTCTTGCCATTCGCATCCGAAACGCAATTTCCCGCCTGCTTCTGACTCTCCGTTTGTCTCAGAGCAGCCCTTTCAAAGCCTTGTCTACAGACATTGTCGAACGTCTTTGTTCACAGCAATTGCTTCTTGACGTTGCGGCATCCGCATCTTGGCTCCAGCATTTGGCGCATTCACGGGCTTCTCTGTCGTGATTGCTCTGTTGACGCCGTTGAATCTCAACCATCGTCAACCAAAGCGAAGCGGGCCCTCGTCTCTTTTCGTAGCGCGACCCACGACAAGCTGCCTCGAGTCGTTGCTGCTGGTCCATCGCCTTTGATACCCTATTTATTGCGATAGCTCCCCCACTCGATCGCCTTTCCACGGCTCCTCTGCCCTCGTCGCCAACCAAAGCCGCCTAGACTGCGGCCAGCCTCATCCGATCTTTTTGTTTGCATGTCCCTCATATATAAAATCGAACACAACATGCCGCGATCATCTTCCGGAGAGCCAACTAAACCGTCCAAGCGAAAGGGTAAGTTTGAGTCTGAGATCCCGCCCTTTTGGCGCTTCACATGTCGACAATTCTTGCCCCAATGCCAACTCCACTGGCGACAATTGCCGTTTCCATTCTTTTCAATTGTCAATTCGTTTTCCATACCTCATTTCGAATAAAAATCAAAAGCTAATTGATACATGTCTCCGACCCCCTTAGGCACCAGAAGTGTTTCGACCCTGACGCCCTCACAGCTGGCACGCAAGCGGGCCAACGATCGTGAGGCTCAGAGAGCCATCAGAGCAAGGACCAAGGAGCACATTGAGCGTCTGGAGCGTGAACTGGCCGAGCTCAAGGGCGTCCAGAGCCGCGACAGAAAAGTCCAGGAGCTTCTCCGTCGGAACAAATTCCTCGAACAGGAGATTGCCCGGCTCCGGGAGCACATGGGCTACACCGCCACAGACTCGTCCTATTCCTCGAATTCCGCAGGTACGCCAGGTACCATGCCCAACAGCGCTCATGACCTTTACTTTGGACCGCTAACTCCAGGCCCATCAGTCTACGACGACAACCTCAGCTCGGGCAGCGGTGCTGTGCCGAGTCCGAGGGTGTCGCCTCTGCCATCCAGTGACTTCAACCAGATCCCCGACTACGCACAGCAGTCGTATGGCCACATCACAGGCGCTGGCGGCGAGGCGTGGCCAGCATCCGTTGCGCCAAACCCCGTCCTGGGCAACATTTCCAGCCCCTCATCTCCCGCCCATGGCGAGGAGTACAACGCGGCCTACATTCCCACAAGCGTGCCCTCGATGATTCCGGCCACTCTCAAGGACATCAAGCAGGACTACGACGAGATGGACCACGGCAGTATGTATCCCTATCCCTATGTATCCTTATCCTAATCCCTTCCGCCACGCACTCATTCACTGAGGGGCACATGGGCTGACTTGAATTGCTTCTCTCCCTCCAGGTGGGCTCAGGCTCAACACCTCAACTCTGCATAATTTGCCACAGGCATATATGCACCAGCAACAGCACCAACATCAGCACCCTCAACACCCGCAACACCACCACCAGCAGGCACCGCCGCCACCGCCGCTGCACGCATATGCTCAGCAACACCAGCAACAACCACCGCCTCACCCTGCGCACAGCGCATCGCCTCACACGCCGCTGCAGCAGCGAACTCCGCAGTGGAATGCCGCGTATTCTTTATACTACCCTCCAGAGATGGCCGATAGCCACGCCAACGCTGGCATTCCTCGATGAATCGACTCGCCATCGACTGCTGGTCGCGTGCGTCTTTTGTGGCAAGACGCCATCCAACCAAGCTCGCATCATTGGCAACACTAAATCTTGACATCACCGAACCTTGGGATTTCGGCCACGACAGCCCGCAAGAGGGACATGCCTGAACAGCGAATACAAAGTCCGCAGCGGCCTCCATGGCCCATCTGCACGCTTACGACCGTACAACCTTGAGGGGCAACAACCAATCGGCACAATCGTGGAAGGGAGAAAAAAAGAGATCCGACAAATAGCAAACGAATCTGGATTGTATACTGCATCGCAGCGGTGGGCACTCAGACCAAGAATCCAGCATTTGTCGCACCAAACAGCCACAAAAGCAGGGTTGCGTTGGACAAGGCCGACAAGGCAGAGTGGAGCTGGTTTTATTTACGTGGCATCAATGAGAAAGGGAGAACAACAACAACGAGCTATGATGAAGCGGATTGGTTTTTACAATTGCAACATGGAACGAACCAACGCAGCCAGGTCATTGAGACAGCGGTGACGGTGGGTGAAGAGGGGAAGGGGAAGAATAGGCAAGGCGATGCCTGTTTTTACGATTACAGAAGGGTGCTCAGGTCTGCTCTGGGACAAAAGAAAAGCCGACACCCGTACACATATAGCATTCATCGGCGTTTGGGTCTTGCATATGCATTTCAATCTTTGGGCGCACAAACAAACAACGGGACGACGGACACAGCACGATGCATCAAGCGGGGCAAATGGGATTCGGGCGGCTCAAGATGGAAGGGTGGTCTATTTTCTTTTTTTCTTTTTTATTCTATACTTTTTTTATTTTCTTGTCATCTCATCTCTTTCGCTTTTTTTTTTCTTTTTCTTCGCCTTGGGAGATACCATGAGGGGAGGATTTTACTCGGCTGGCAAGTCGACTGGACTGATATAGACGGATATATATTGTTTCTTGTTCTTTGGATTCTTCTCTTTTTCTGTTTTCTGGGTTTTGTTATCTTCGCTCTCCTCTTGAATGCTTTTTACGAACCCTTTTATCTTTTCTTTGTCTGTTCATGTATTGTTTCTACTATAGACTTGCGCTGTTACCACGGATTTTTTGGACAACTTCCTATAGAGGAACTATGAGACTATGAAAATTAGATCACTTTTTTCGCCAAGCTTTTATATGTGGTGCAAGTTCGATGTGGATTATTCTATGCCATTGGATTGGGTATCTTATTAGACCATCTCATATATGTATAATGCAGTAGTACAGAACCTAGTCAGCAGTTTATTGATGGGGTTGCGAAATAGGAAGCCCAAGTCTCACTCGCCTCCGCCAACCAACCCCAGATATCAACGGCCGACCTTCTTCCTCTATACCGCGACTTACCGCCTCCATCGCCTCGCCAAATCTAGACCCCCCAGCCTCGGCTGCATCAAAGCTGCCACATGGCGTGGTACCGGAAACGAAAAGCCAAAGTGCCGGTGGTTTTGCTGCTGCTCCTAGCTCGACCAGACTAAGTAAGCCAGGGGGGAGACAAACAGAGCTATTGCCCTTACTATAAGCTACTAGCAAACGGGGGGTTTTATTTTATTTTAGCAACAAAAAATGCAGAGCAACAAGCAAGAAGCTCAATTAGGGGGCCGTAAGCGCCGTTTTCTTTCCTCGAAAGAGGCTATGTTTGGTCGAAACCATGCCTTTTCCATGCGGACGTGCATTCGCGGGCGAGCTTGTACATTTTCCGGCCGCAATAGTTGGACTGGACTGGGGGGCGTGGGAAGGATTGGGACCTGTACTCGTACTAGCACCTTTTGCCTGTTATGTTGTTGGGGGGGGTCGGCACGGGATGCTTATATTAACTTCACACGAGGATCTGGTTGGCCCGAGGTGAGAGCGTGAGCGTGAGCTGAGCACATGGAGCAAGATCTGAGCTTGGGCTGAGCCCAGATGATGGGATGCTGGGGTTGAAGGGCTTGTTGTGAGCTAGATGGAGAAAGGCTGGTCAAATGTTCGTGTACGAATTAACCTGGTAGTTTTGATTAGCTGATCGTGTTCCATTTTCAGCTTCAGCTTCAGCCTCACTGGAAACCATGACCGCCGCCAAGGCAGCTTTCGCTTCTTGGCGCTTCCCTTCCCTGTAGCTGAGAGAATGAAGAGCAAGGCAAACAGCTGGGAAATTCTGTTAAGTACATGCATGCATACATACATACATACATGATTGAACGGTATGTGAGAGAAAGAGAGTGAGAGAGAAAGTGGAGTTTTGAACAAAGAGGGGAACAGGAGAGAAGAGGGGCGTCTAAGGGGGGGCGTGTGAACGAGAAGGGAAAAAAAGAGAGCATCCATTTCCACTCCGGGCGGTGATGGGTACAGTACAACCAATCTTGCTTGGGCTTGTACTATCCGTATGAGTAATATAGACGTGAAATAAAAAAAAAGAGAGGCACGTATCTCACCTCGTACAGTCTCCATTTTTAGACGCCCGCTCTGTGTCAAAGTCGATCCCATTCACGCATAGCTAATCAATGTACCCTCTTTTGACTTGGATTGGGAGATCAAGCAAGGGCTCGCGTCGAATACGCCCGAATAGCGCATATGCTTGCGTAACGATGGTTGGATGGGTGTGGTGAGTGCGAGTGATCTGCTAGTAGGAGCATTAGCTAGTACGGCATGTGTCTGATATGCGGTCTAGGTGACCCCCAACATAGATGGATCCGTCTCCTTATTCACGGAGTACATCGTGCTTGACACTACTGCAGGCAGGAAAATAGAAGGAAAGAAGGTGTAGTAGTGGGATTTGACAGATTCGGAAGAGAGTGCCGAACCCTTTCGCAGTGCATGATTCCGAGTAAAGAAAGGTGATGAGGAGCTGCCACTCCCAATCTCCTTCGGGCCGTGGTCTATGGATCAAAGAGCATGATGTTATTTCCCCTATGCCAGGTACAGTGGCCTCGCACGGAGAAACATGTATAAATAGAAAAAAAGAACGCGGCACTGCATCGCCGGAGGAATATCACGACGCTAAGGATGCAGCGAAAAGGCAATGACCGACCTGCAAGCCAACGCTAGCGGCTCTGTTCTATCGGTATTCACCTCAAAGCCCCAGAGAACATGGGTCCAGGCCTTGTCCTTATCTGCGCGGCGGGAATAAGGGCAGTTGCAGCATTGCTGTACCTTGTGCTAATCAACGGTTGCCCCGATCTGAAGTTTGCTTGAGTCGTTCTCCTCTCGTCTCCCCTCTCTTCTCTCTCTTCTCAACAGACCCCTTCCGTGGCCCATCGGCCTCACTGCGGCCGGTCTAATTCAGTTAGATCTGTGCTCTTCAAGGCACGGCGGCCGCCATTGTTCTCATGTCTGGGGTATCCAGGTTGTCTCGGGGATTATGACGGACGCGGCGCGTCTACAATCCCTACATAGTTAGCAAGGTGCATCATCTCGACACTCTAAACTCGTTGCAGAAACCGAGTCGCTTCTTAGCACGGCCGCTTCGATTTGGGGCATCGTGAAAGGAATAGCGGCATCACCGTATCGAAATAACCTGGGGAAAGGGGGAATGCATGAGGGAGTTTCGTACAACTGCTCTATCCATCCCAGCGCCCGTTGTAAACCAAGTCCTTTTGCACAAAGGAGATATGTATGATGCGTTGACTCTGCAGCAACTGAAACACCAGTGATAGTAGGAAGCCAATTCCAAGAACAGGTGACGCAATGCCTGCAGCAGACAAGAAAAGCAAAGGGCTTCACAGAGTGCACATGAGCCTCTACCATAGCTAAACAAGTTGACGTGCGCATAGCTGGCGATGGTGTCGTCGTATCAACTTCAGCCTCTTATCAGATGCTATGGACACCTATCGCCGCCATGTGTAAACAATTATTTGTCAGAGTAACATGGTTTAAGAGTAGACCCCAGAAGCAGATACCGATACAACGGGATCATCAGACACGGGACGTTGGACATGGCCGCCGCACCTGCAGGATAGCGTTTGAGACGGGACAGGGCCTCCTAATCTGAACACCGAACAGATTCCGGGCTTCTGCGAGCATTCGAAACGGCAGCAACTGGCAGCCGAGTTGATTCCGTAATGTGTGGCTTGCGTGTGCACAAACGAACATGGGCCCCAGTCTCATAGGAGTGAAAAGCGATTGCCGTGCCCTAAACCTCAAGGACTGAAGAGACAAGCTGCATGGTTTCCATCTGCTAGAGAAAATAGAACCAATAAAGAAGCACACAGCGGGTTCTAGCTGGGTAGCAATGGCCCAAAAAGGTATAAGCTGTCAAAAGAGAAGAAAAAACTTAAACAGCGGTATGGAGATGTCAAGCGGCACGGTACATGAGGGTACAAACGGTACAAGCAGGCACAACGACCCAGTTTTGAGCGTCTCATCATTTCTCAGAGGGAGGGGCGTACAAGTATCTTCTTTTTTGCTCTCACTCTCCTTTCGATCCGCCGCGTGCTTTGTTGAGGAGGACAAACCCACTGAAGAGCGCCGGGACTCCTGGTCCAGAGAGCAGAGCATATCCGCTTCCTGCATGCACCAACCTAGCAACGACCCTCCTGTCCCCTCCTAAAGGGCTGAAAAATAGAACAGCCCACCGGACCGCTCCAGACGCTGGTTGGACAGCTGTGCCTTATGCGGTGGGTTTATGGCAGCGGAGCAGCGAAAATAGCGAGTATCAAGTTTGAAGAAATTGGCCGAAGTTGACCGAGCCGTTTCGGTGGCTGACCAAGGGGGGAAGGGCGGGAGAAGCGCGCTAGAAGGACTATCGAAGCTTTGCTGTTGTTCTCTGGTAATCCTGGCCCCGCAGGGGAGGGGTGTGAGAATCTCAAGTTGAACAAGAGCCCTGACATCTCGTATGTACTCGTACTGTACTTCCAACAAGACTGCACTAGCACTTGTGCAGGCATGCACACCCCTCCCCACCCCTCCCTTTGTTGTAGAAATTTCCACGAGGAGACCCTGTTAGGCCAGTTTTGGCTTGGATGATGACATATGTTGAGAGAAAAGAGGGTGCGAGGGAAAAGGGATAGCGTTCGTTGTGGCGAAACAATGAAGAACGAAGAGAGGAAAAAGCGAGCATCCGAACGAATACCGGACAAAAGGGAAGAAGAAGAAAGAAAGAAAGAAAGAAACAAGTCCCCCAAGGAGAGCAAAAAAAAATGACAAAGCAAAGCGAGCCACCGGTGTCGATTCGCGTGGATCAACGCAGCCAAGCAGCGCTTGAGCTGAGGGCACCAGCTGGTGGCTGGAATCCGCCGCTGCCCGTAGCTCCGATCACAAATATCCTCCTCCATTCAGGTTGGGAGACATGGGGGTCAAATTGCTGGTGGCCTGCTGGGAGCTGAAGGGTTGCGACTCCATCGAAACCCACCTGATGTCCCCGTCCAGGCGCTTTAGTTTGTATGCATCAACGCTCATCTGCGGAGAGGAAGAACAGAGCACTAAACTGCATACCGTGGCACTTGCATCAATGACACAAATAGTTGTTGTAAGTTCCCAAACTCCCCCTCCCTCTCATGCGTGCTCCGTACTCGTACAGTACCCTTACTTGCAATCAATATGAGGTTGGTGAGTCCACTAAAAAGACGCATCGTGAGACTCGGGAACCAGCAACCCCGTGGCACCTCGATTCACCCCAAGACATCATCGCAGGAGAAGAGGGAGCGTCATGGTCCTCGGGGGACCCGAAAGGCGTCGCGTAGACAAATGAAATGAGATTGGAGCCTCTTCGTGAAATGCTTCGCACGTGCCCAAGGGAATGGCGTTTCCCATTTGTGGTCTATCACTCTTAGCCTTTGCTGCGATTTTCAAGCAGTAAAGACGGGATCAAGCGATCCAATCCAAAGAGGCCGCCTAACCAGCTGTGTTTCCCTAGCCGCCAAATCGAATACCACCGGCCTCGAGTCAAATCGACCACACAGAGACACACCCTTTGTGCATTCGTCTGTGTTTTCGAGGCGAGTGTGTACCTGTACTGTGCATGCTTCGTTGTCCATACTTCTTTGTACCTGTAGTGCTTCTACGGCGTGGTGCGTCGGCAGTTGGTTGAGAGCCAACAGCTGTGGATACGACGATCCAATGGAGAAAGGGGGTTCCGCCAAGCCTGTAACATCGGTTTCCTTTAGTGCCATCCCCATCCATCCAGACTATCGTGTCTAGATAACGGTGGGATAAAGCCATCAGAACCTAGACTGCTCGACTAGACGTTCTAGTGCCAGGCCGTTCAGGGGCTCTCGCGTCGATCAGCACCAATGGGCTCCCCTGCTTGAGCGGGAATCGCGCCTATGATGTGCTGCTGTAATTTCTCGCAAAAGCCGCTGAGCAGGGCATTCGTGCGTCAACTCGGCAATAGGCTTCATCAACAAAGGCGATTGAGCGGCGATAGCAGAGGCGTGAAGGTAGCTTGAGACATTGCGTAGCATCATGAGCTGAGAGTGCCCACCCAAATACCACTTCAATCCCCATTGGCTGCCTCCAATGAAGCACCGTGTTTGCAAATGCCAAAACCGGCGTCTTTACGCCTCTGCCTGGGGGAGGCGTTTCAACATGACATTCCATCGAAGCCACACTTGGCAGTACTCTTCGGACTCCGTAAACCACCATGCATATTCTTCAAGGAAGCGACAAGAGAAGGCGGTCTCAGGTCCATACGAGTGTAAAAGTGTATCCGCTCAGGTTTGCGCCCCGACTATCCAGCGGCATTCGCCTATGCCCGTCGCCACATGCCGCCGAGGTCGAGCTGATGTGCAAGACTAAGGAGGCGACAGGACCAGGTTCTCCGCATCTTGCAAGTGGTGTTGATGCCACAAAACAAAAGACATGCCGCATTGTATCAAAGTACAAGACTTGACACAAGTAAAACATCGACAATCCCTGTAGTTACTAGAATTAGCCATCATAACCTTGATTTAGTCCCTTTTCCTTGTACCAAATTTCATGGCTGGCTTTTTCTGTGGGCTTATTATTTCTTTTACAGTGACATGACACTCACATGGCTTCATGACTGGAATTTAATCCAGGCCGCATCTGCTTTCTTTCGTCTTTCCTGTGGCAATGCACTCGTAATCGAGCGGGGGTGCGAAGCGAGAAGACGAAACGACTACCACTGTCGCTGACAGCCCGTACGGTTGTATGTTTAGGCGATGCATTCCCCGTCGGCCAACCTTGATGACTCAACGCTCCGTGTGTAATCATCAAATCCCTTGCAGTCGACATCATCAGATTATGTGAATAACATTGGCTCACTGAACGTAGATTGTCGGCCGATCCCACAAGTGGGATATCCAAGCACGCCTGTCTCGGACTTTGGGCGGTTGAAATGGTGAGATTCACATCGCAGGGTCCCCGATCCAGGTACCGGCGCCCCACGCGGACCATCGCACATGTGATGGATGACGACGATCCATGATGAAAGACTAGCAGAGCCTCATACAAGGACCAACTGCATTGGCTTGTTCTGCTCAATCTTGCTTCTACCTCGTCTCTTGCTGCTGTGACGCCAACAGATCCGTGAGAGAGGTGCAGCAGACGTCGAATTGATGGCTCTCGGACAAGCACACCTCTAGTCGTAACAATTGCCGCAAGGAGTATTAGCAGACAGCCGCCGCAGTGAGAAATTCCCTGTCGGAATGTCATCGATACTACCGTTCAGCCGCGGGAAAAGGAGATAAGGCGATGATGTGTCGATTTAGCCCTTTTGAAATATCTCCGACATACAGGTCCCCTGATTAGGAGACCAAGGTAGCATTGGGCGGGATCTCCAGGATCCCACCGTAAGATCACGCATCGTCCAGCCTTACCGGCCCACAAGCCCCTGCGCGGTGCCCTTGGTGATAGTCCCGCTAGCCATGCAGCCCGTCCAACCCCAGATTGTCTGTAGTAGGTAATCCGTGATTTGACAGAGCGTGGAGCAGAAGGCGTGGAGCGGGAAGCCTGTCGCATTTAGATGCCAAACTTCTTCCCACTTCAGTCCGATGTTCGGCCATAAGGAACATTAGGGTCAGGAGAATAAGCATGGCGTCCTCTTGGCAAATTACCACATCTGAGACCATTGTTCGCGCCGTCCAGGCAGACACGCATTGCATGGCTGACCGTCGCCATCGTCAATGGCACTGTAGGAGGTCAGCTGCATGCAGGGAATGTTGTCCCAGGTCGAAACTGTTCGCTAAACCGGCCGGTCTGCTCTGTGGTACCGGTACTTGCGCGATGAGGATTCGGCATGATATGACGGCTCATATTTTCCAGTCTGACAGCGGCGTTGACATCAACCACGCCTCCCTGGAGAGACAAGCATCCAGATGCCTGGTAGGCGGCGGAATGAGGGCGTAAAATGCCATGGAGATGGTACTGCATATAAGAGCAAGGCCAGGACGGAGCAAGGAGTTGTATTCACACAGAGGTCTGCTGACATACACAAGGACCCTGAATGCCAAGCTGACTGGGGGTTGCGAACATGGTTGCTGGACATAGAGTAGTATGCCGAGAACCTGTAACTGCCAGGACACCATGCTGGTGACAGCGGAAGCACTGCCGCCGCGGCCGCGGAACACAGATTCAGCTGTGATGTTTATGCCATCCGTGCCGAAGGACAAGAATGTCACTTGTCTGACAGCATGAAGCAGACAATGTCCGAGTGAGCCGGTATGTCATGGCGGCGAAGTACTGGAGTAACAATGCTGTTAGCCTCCATCGTCAACTCCATCATCAACACCAAGGCCCGATCGTGACAAGTCAAGTGCCCACCTGTTCCCGTCCCCGTTCCCGTGTGGAACTGCCTGTGATCCGACAGCCGGGATCAGATCCACCGCGATCGCCTTTCCCGTGAGCGTCAGTAGATTCGATGGTGGAGTCTTCGTCGAGATAGATCGAATGCGATATCCGTTCCCACGGCGTTTACCCGAAGCCAGAGCAACGAACATCATCACCGCCCACATGACCAAGAGCATCTTCGGGGTCGGTCGGGGAATCTCGCTCGTAACTCACCGAGCCGACTCGGCCAAGCCTCTCCGCACCGGCTTTCGCTTGGGGATGGCGGAGTCCGATGTCGATGCTGTGTCCAATTATTTCGGCGGGCCTCGTACGGATGAATCTGACAGCCTCGACACCGATTGGCTGGAATTCAGCCTCATCTTCGGCGTATCCGCGGGTGTTCGGCTATAGCAAGGGTATACCACGGCTGAACATCCCTGCCCGCAGCTAATGGCGGGGAGCATCGCGGGGAAACTCGTCCAATATCCATCTCGTGATAAGAAAGTTGGGATGATGGCGCGGCTTCGGAGAATCCTGCTGTTGCTTTTCGTTCGACTCGAATTTGCCAAGCTGGGCGAGTAAGCCCGTTAGTGGCAGGAGGAGCTGTTTGCTTGCTGATTCTTTTACGTTTCTCCGAAGTTCTCACGACGAATTACCCACGGCCAATCCAATATGGCGAGCCCCCAGGGATTCCCATCTTTGTGACCGACGGCTATATAAGTTGCCTGGTCTGTTCCTGTTGCTGGTTGTTTTTTCGTTGACCTTTTCATCTTCATCCCTTTCCAGTGTCTTTGTGACAGACTCTGTTTTTCTCTCAGCTTCTTTTTTCTCTTATGATTTGATTGCTGCGGCATGCTTGAGGCTACCCTGCAGTCTTTGTGAATTCTATTGTTGCTATCGTTGAGCAATCTTTGTTTGACATAGAGCGGTGATACTGCTGTATTTTGTTGTGTGTCGAGGAAGAATTGCCTCGTCAGAAACCCAATTTTACACGACTTTTCCCATATCACTCCATATCACCCCCTCACATCTCCAAACATGGCCGATATCGACGTTGAAGCCGTGTTGAAAAAGCTCACTTTAGCCGAAAAGGTCGAGCTGCTGGCAGGTGAGTTATATTATAAGCATACCGACATATTCACCAGATCAACATGTCATGACGATTGAAACAAATGATTAACAAACCCCCAAAGGCATCGACTTCTGGCACACAAAGGCTCTCCCCAAGCATGGCGTCCCGTCACTGCGCTTCACAGACGGCCCCAACGGTGTAAGAGGCACAAAGTTCTTCAACGGAGTCCCTGCAGCTTGCTTCCCATGCGGCACTTCGCTCGGTTCCACATTCAACCAGCCGCTGCTCGAAGAGGCAGGTAAGATGATGGGCAAAGAGGCCATCGCCAAGAGTGCCCATGTGATCCTCGGCCCGACTATCAACATGCAACGCTCCCCTCTCGGTGGACGAGGATTCGAGTCCATTGGCGAAGATCCCTTCCTCGCTGGCCTTGGTGCCGCGGCTCTCGTCCGTGGCATCCAGAGCACCGGAGTCCAGGCCACCATCAAGCACTTCCTGTGCAATGATCAGGAGGACAGGCGCATGACGGTGCAGAGCATCGTCACTGAGCGGGCGCTGCGGGAGATTTACGCGCTGCCCTTCCAGATTGCCGTCCGAGACGCCCAACCCGGTGCGTTTATGACGGCGTACAATGGCATCAATGGCGTGCCGTGCAGCGAGAACCCCAAGTATCTCGACGAGATGCTCCGGAAGGAATGGGGCTGGAAGGGCCTTGTTATGAGCGACTGGTACGGCACTTACAGCACCACCGCCGCCGTCGTAGCAGGACTCGACCTCGAGATGCCCGGCCCCCCACGATTCCGAGGAGACACACTGAAATTCAACGTCTCCAACGGAAAGCCCTTTGTACACGTCATCGATCAGCGTGCCAGAGAAGTGCTCCAGTTCGTCAAGACGTGTGCTGCCTCCGGCGTCAAAGAGAATGGCCCCGAGACAACCGTCAACAACACCCCCGAGACGGCGGCCCTGCTCCGAAAGATTGGAAACGAGGGCATCGTCCTCCTCAAGAACGATAACAACGTCCTGCCCCTGAAAAAGGACAAGAAGACGCTGATCCTCGGCCCCAACGCCAAGCAGGCGACATACCACGGCGGAGGCTCTGCCGCCCTCAAGGCCTACTACGCAGTCACCCCCTTTGACGGCCTCAGCAAGCAGCTCACGACGCCGCCCTCGTACACCGTCGGCGCCTACACCCACCGCTTCCTCCCCGTGCTGGGCGAGCAGTGCTCAACGCCCGGCGACGGAGCTCAGGGCATGCGCTGGAGAGTTTTCAACCAGCCCCCCGGAACCCCTGGCCGCCAACACATCGACGAGCTCTTCTTCACCAAGACGGACATGCACCTGGTGGACTACTACAACCCCAACGCCGCGGACACGTGGTACGCCGACATGGAGGGCACTTACACCGCGGACGAGGACTGCACCTACGAGATCGGCCTCGTCGTGTGCGGCACCGCAAAGGCCTACGTCGACGACAAGCTCGTCGTCGACAACGCTACGCACCAGGTCGCCGGCGACGCCTTCTTCGGCTCGGCCACGCGCGAGGAGACGGGCCGCGTCAACCTCGTCAAGGGCAAGACGTACAAGTTCAAGGTCGAGTTCGGCTCTGCGCCAACATACACCCTCAAGGGCGACACCATCGTGCCGGGCCACGGATCCCTCCGCGTCGGCGGCTGCAAGGTCATTGACGACCAGGCCGAGATCAAGAAATCCGTAGCTCTCGCCAAGGAGCACGACCAAGTCGTCATCTGCGCCGGCCTCAACGCCGACTGGGAGACGGAGGGCGCCGACCGCGCCAGCATGAAGCTCCCCGGCGTGCTGGACCAGCTCATCGCCGAGGTCGCCGCCGCCAACCCCAACACCATCGTCGTCATGCAGACGGGCACCCCCGAGGAGATGCCCTGGCTCGATGCTACTCCTGCCGTCCTCCAGGCCTGGTACGGCGGCAACGAGACGGGCAACTCCATCGCCGACGTCGTCTTTGGCGACTACAACCCCTCGGGCAAGCTGCCGCTTAGCTTCCCTAAGCGCCTGCAGGACAACCCGGCCTTCCTCAACTACCGCACCGAGGCAGGGCGCACGCTCTACGGCGAGGACGTCTACGTGGGATACCGCTACTACGAGTTCGCCGACAAGGACGTCAACTTTCCCTTTGGCCACGGCCTGTCCTACACTACTTTTGCCTTTTCCAAGCTGGCCGTCTCTCATGCCGATGGTAAGCTCAGCGTCTCACTCGCTGTGACAAACACAGGTTCCCTCCCCGGTGCGCAGGTCGCCCAGCTGTACGTCCGCCCCCTGCAGCCCGCAAAGATCAACCGTCCCGTCAAGGAGCTCAAGGGCTTCGCAAAAGTCGACCTCCAGCCCGGCGAGACCAAGACGGTGACGATTGCCGAGCAGGAAAAGTACCTGGCCTCGTACTACGACGAAGAACGCAGCGAGTGGTGTGTCGAAAAGGGCGATTACGAAATCATTGTGAGTGACAGCAGTGCCGTGACGGAGGGGGCTGCTCTCAAGGGGAAGTTTACAGTGGAGGAGTCGTACTGGTGGTCTGGTCTATAAGAGATACGATATGATGTGTGGGAAATAATACCATTCACTGTTTGATATTCTGCTGGTTCTTCTTGTACCATAAAATGAACGACGTCATGGATGAAATTACGATGATAGCTTTTATCAAATTAAGAAGTCTTTTTTTTCTGTCTCAGATTCAGGTTTCCAAACAGCACATTAGAATGTTCGTATTGCATTAAAAATAGGTTTAAACACCAACAACTACTAATAATAATAACCCCCTTGGATACTTTCTTTACTCCGCCAAGTAAGCTTAAGATCCAACAGCAGTAGAAACATTTCATTCGCCAGATTTGTTTTCCCCTTTACTCCCAACATATCAATCAATCCCCCTGTCTCATCTCTTTTTTGTAAACTCAAAACTGGCCCTCACGAGGTAACCCCAAGAAAAAACACATCGCCTATAAAGATATACCCCAAGAAATAGTAGTAAGTCACCACTCCAAACAGAAACAAAAAAAAAATCAAGCTGGTTCGCGTTAGAGGCCGTTAGGTCGTCCCGCTCCCCCCCCCCCCGTGATGCGTCAGTCCCTGTACCATCTTAGTCCCGATACAGACTCTCACTCGGGCTTATCGGTACGCAAATCTACCGCGCTGCCTCCGTCTAACCCCAGTGTAAGTCGAGTTGTTTCCGATTATTGGCGATGCTGTGTGCTGATTGGAAACTCGCCGGGAGCGGCCGCATGTTTCGAATATCAAAGAAAACTCCCGCGAGTCTCTTGCAGGGGGCACATGTATATATCCTCTTGCCACGGAAGTCAAAATCGTCCGGTCTTCGTCTCTCTAGACATTCCCCATCAGTGCGTCACTTGCATGATAATAGCACCAAAAATACCACCCTCCCTCGATGGCCCCAGTCAAAAGCCGAACCCCCTGGCGCCGATTTATTCAATCAGCTCATGATCGTCATTGCACCGTACGTGGGCGACCACCTCCGGAATGCTGGCCTCTCGCAGAATAAACCCATGCTTCTCCACCACGATTTCACCTCCCAGAGGCCCTCTCTCATACACCATGCCTCCTTGCTGGGCATGTCCTCCCCGCAGCCACCGCTGTAGACTCAGGGCTGTATTCGCCGCGTTAATGGCAACATGCCAGTTTTCCAGCCCAATCGTCATCCAGCCGACAACAGACAAAGTCTTGATGAACCGTGCAGGTGGTGAATTGTGGCAGCTCGGCACCGCCGCCGCCATGACCCAGATGAAGACGCCGACCGCCGTCTTCCAAAACGGCACAGTCACCTCCCACACTAGCTCCCAAAGCTTCAAGAAATCAGTCTCTCCCAGGATCTCGGTAGTGGGGACCCGAGCAATGATGGCGCGGTAGTAGACAGAGGCAGTCACACGGATACAGCGATACATGGCGTCATTCTTGGTCCTGGCTAGCCGAGCACTCGCACTCTCTTCCACGGGGGCGGGCGGCGAGCCGTTGGAGGACGCTGCATCGTGGCTCCTTGGCGAGGATGTGTCGTAGTCGGAGCTGCTCGCTGGGGAAGTGCCCGCCCCCTCGTATCCGGTAGTCTCCCACATGCAGTCATCACCCTCGTCGGCCGGATGACCCGTCGCCTCCTCTTCTTCGTAGAGTGGGATGTTTTCCGGCATCCGATCCAGCCTGTTAAGCGCCCACAAAGCGGCGTCTGTCACATTCTGCAGGTCTTGCGCGGTTGGCGATGGAGGCAGGGATTGCACGGTCTGTATAATGAGTCTTACATCGTCCAGGATCTGGGCAGAGCTTCGATGAAGCTTTAATGCCGATCCCGGGTCGACAAAGTGTGGCCAGCCAGATAAAAAGGGGGAATTAAAGGCGGTTTGATAAGGGACCATGAAGTCATCACGAAATTCAAATTCACCCTGGCCGTAAATGTCAGGTTCGATATCATGAGCAATGGCAATGGCAATATCGTGACTAGATGGGTATGAAAAGTTAGCACCACAAAAAAATCAACCAGAGAGGACAGGCTCAATGGCTACGTAGTAGTGAAAATGGAACGACGGGGGGAGACGAGGTGAAACTACGCGTTGGCTCTTGCACATGCAGTAGCACGGCGACTGACAGGCCACGCTATCAAAATCAAGGGGTGGGTATGCAAAGGGGAAAAGGGCCATGATAGTACTACAAACTAGCGGGAGAGCAACACTCACATGAGCACGGTTTTGGCTAGAAAACCACCCATTCCAAGGTCTTGGAGACCGCCCCTCATTCTAATCATGGTCTTGAGGCCCGCCATGTGGGCACGCAGTTCTTCAGTGGTCCCCCAGTACCAGGAATCCATGACCATCTGGGCGGCTCCCATGATGGCAGCATCGCCGGTCTGTGTCGTGGTAGAGCTTAGGTGCTCATTGAGCATACGGTGAACCACGCCTTTGTAGGCCCAGACAAGCATCTTGGGCACTCGGCCCGTCTCCTTGAGGAAGCATACGGCCGTGTAGAGCACTATCTGAAGCAGAAGAGGGTCCTTGATGGACAACGGAACCCAGTGTTTCATAAATCGACTTTCAGGATCAGGGTTTCCGTCTATGGAAGCCTTGAAGCGAGATAGAAGTTGGAGATCTGTGAGGAAAAGATTCGTGTTAGTGTCAGTGGCCCGAATTTCATTACCTTGCTCCCCCCCCCCTGTTCGAGTCTAAGCTGGTTGCCCCCCTTCCAAGCTCTTTGAAAATGCAGCACGCTTAAAGACAGCACTAACACCAATGCTTGTCTCTGCGCCACCCTGATGAGGTATCAAGGGCGATTTTCTATGACTCCATGCACACAGGCATGCATACACATACTTACGGTAATAGGAAAGAGAGGAGGGGAGAAGGGGGAAGGGAGGGGGATTTGTCACGTACGTATTCGGACGAGCTCAATGTTTAACCTGGTTGGCTCCATAGGCAGGTTCCGCAGTTGATCATCCAAGCCTCCAATCATGGCCGGCGGTTGAGCTGCCTGCTGCAAGGCGCGCATAAGTTGAGGACCGTCGATGCTCCATTCGTCGTTGACGATGCGATTAGTGACCTTTAAGCGAGCCTGCAGGATTAGACGCAGCATGGCAAAGACAGACTTTGGCTTGAGCGTGCCCGTCTCGTCTGTGACTACGACGCGAAAAGGGTCCGAGGCAGACCCGGCAGACGACCTGTGCGAAGAGGCATCCTGGTCGTGTGAAGAGCGAGAAACGACCTCGCCTTGAGCAACTACCGGCGCAGCCGAGAGCCCATCCGCGATACCGCTGGCGGCGACGACGCCCTCGACCTGGAGAATGGCATCCTGGATGTCGGACAGGTTGAGATGGGCGTAGCCTCCTTCCAGCACAACCTTGACATTTTTAGAGGCGCTCCCTGGAGATCCGGCACTGGCAGGCCTATGAGAATTTGGCGGTGATGTCAGCTTATCATTCTAAACGGTCAACCTTTTGAAAAGACGGGCAAGTTGTGTGTGCGTCAGTGTGCTGTAAGAGGCAACGGCGTTATAAGCCAATCTCCTCCCCCTTCCTTTCTTTTTCTGGCTTTCCCTTGTCTATTCCTTTGTGTTTTTTTTCCCTTTTCTGTCTGGGTGCGTGCGTGCATTGGCACCCGATTGGGGAGAGACAGACAAGAGAGAGCATCTACCGGCGAAGCTCCAAACCAGGGGAGTGGGTTAGGCTGTTCGGCCTTGTGGGGGAGCTGAAGCCGTAGTCTGTCCATTCCCCACAAGAGCTGTCCTCCGAAGTCCCTGTCCTGTCTGGCCCCCCCAAGGAGATGGATAAGGGTGGGAGGGACGTGGGATGGTGGCAGACGAGTGGAGAGAGGATGATCGGTTCGGTTGTCGTCGTGTGGTTTGATGGGTGGTTGATGGGCAGGGCAAATACTAACCTCTTGTTGCTTCGTTTGATGTTATATTCGCACGTCGGCTGTGGGAATCGACGGACGCAGTTGCTACACGGTCGGCCTTGGTCGCACTACAAGCCATGCTTGAGTCAGTTTATGTCTTGTCCCAAGCATTCATTTTTTCTCTGCTTCCGTCTTTTCCTTCTTCTTCTTCTTGTTGATCATTATCATCATCTTTTCCGTCTAAACAGCCCACACCGGGTTTAGAGAGGATTTGCGGTCGCTTCGCTCTCACGCTGCCCATGTGCCACTGGTCGGTGACGAGGATTCGGAACATGCCCGTCCCTGCCAGCTCCAACCGCAGGGGGTTCGGACATTGAACTTTATATCTAGGACTGCTGGCGCCCCGGGAACTGGGAAATGGGAAAATGGAAAATCGCCCCCAAAAAAGCTCTGGGCAGCACCAGCAACAACTGCATCTACTAACCTTTTGCTTGCGACGTCGACACTCGGTGCACGAATTGCCCCTAGCCTTGATGGCCATGTTTGCGGCTAACCGGCGATGATGGGGCATCTGCCCCTGCACCTGCATTGTGTCGGACATTAAAACGTGAGCACCGGCGCGCGGCCGATGGTGTAGCGAAGCCAGAGAGGCGGAAAAAACAAAAAGTAGGTCAAAAAGGCCGGAAGCGAAGCTGATGGATGCGGTGAGGAGCAAAGTCGAGAAGGGGAGGGGAAAAAAGGAAATAAAGCGATGAGAAGTCTAATAAAGCGCACGCGCTGCTGCTCCCTTCCACACCAAGACGGACAGACGGAGCCCTCCAGCTATTGCAGCTATTGGTAACTCGAGTGGTCAGTTCTGCAGCGACCCGAAGATGACGGTTTTGACGGCTCGCGCCGCTCCCTCAGCCGCAGATTCGTCGAGATTCGGCAGCTGGGCCTATCGCGTCGGCAAATGCGTGCGAGTGTGGGATGGTGGTTTGGTTTTGGACAAATTGAGCCTTGGGCCCCTAGCGTGCGGCTGCAGGACTGACTGCAGGTTATGTGTGTGCAGTGCGTGCAGACTGCAGATTGGATTGGATCCAGGCTGCAGTGCAGTGCCGTGCCGCAGTGAGGTCGAGACTCTGTCGAGGCTGAGATCAGATGGCGCCAGAGAAGGGTCGCAGCGGTATGTATCGTGTGTGGGTGCGTGTGTCTGTCTGTCTCTCTACTGAAGCTCGCGTTGTGTCGCTGTCGCAATAGCCTGATGCACCGAGGAAGATGGTGGAAAAGGAAAGAAAAGAAAAGAAGAGATTAGGAGGATATCCGCCGGCCACAGGCAGCGAGGTGGGATGATGGGTGAGGAGGAAGAGGAAGTGGAAGAAAGAGGTTACAGAAGAGGGTCGCACAGAAGATGACAACGATGGCCGCCTGGAACAATGCAATGCATGCGTCTCGGACTTGTGTCGCTCTCCCTCTTTGCCACGCACAGACTTTCGAAAGGCCAGTCAAGCAAGTCAAGCAGAGCCGAATCAGAGAGAAAGGCTCTGTCTGTCGGATTGATTGATGCGAGTCTCACAAGGTCAGCGAGTACTGATTGTAGCGCTCCAGCAGGCGCACCGGGAAGCAACTCCAGCGATTCGGGGGATCAAAAGGGGGTTGTCGTTTCGTTTCGTCGTCGGCAGTCCAGGAGCAGGAGAGGAGACCAGGCGGTGGTGGTGGAAGATCTGTTTCCCCAATCGTCGTTTTTGTCTCTGTTTCAATCAATCCCTGTCTTCCCGCTTTCCCCTTCTTCTCTTTCTTTTTTTCTCTGCTTTTTCTATTTTTTTTTTTCCCTTCTGATTCTTCTTCCCTTCAGCACAATCCGCGCATATTCCTGGATCGAACAAGACGCGGGCGATTGCAGCGATTCGGATGAGGGCGAAATGATCGGGTGTAACGCCAATAGGGAGCAGGGCAAGGATGATGCGATGCACGAGACCCGGCAGCGGCAGCGGCAGCGCTGGTCAAATCTCGATTGCCCGGCCTGGTGATGTTGATTGGACGGCTCGACGGCATTCCAGGGAAGGGAGAGAGAATTGTGAATGGCCACGGCAAGGCAAGGCAAGGCAAGGCAAGGCTCTCTGGTTTCGGGTTCGGCGTCGGCCTCGTGGATTCTGTTTCGCTGTGTCTCTTTGTCCCGAATTGCGACGGAGAATTGTTCCGCCTTTTCCCCTTGTCTTTTCCCTGTCTCTTCCTATCCTCTGCTGTAGCTGTTTGACCCTGTGGATATCTCCTCCCTTTTTTTTATGAGTCTTCCCTCTGCTGTCTCTTCTAATTTTACCGTCTTGTCTGTCGCAGGTTTCAACGATCGCCGCCGCGCTGCAGAGAAATCAAATGGGATTTGCGAAAAGCGCAGCCAGCAAGTTCAAGCTGCCAAGCGGGTTAAAAGCCGGTGTGACAAGGGCGGCGCAGAGACTAAATGGCATGGTCTGATCTGGCCCGTGAGCCGGTGGCTGACGGCCCGTTTATTAAGTAAAGGCAGCTCGACAAGTTCAATAAGCCGCTGGAGCCCTGGAGCTCAGTTTGTCTGTATTCTGCAGGCTTTGGTTTTAGCGCCAGCAAGTGAGGGGAATGGAGGGTTACTCTTCTCTCTTCCATGGATCCTCCTTGGCTCCAGCAGAGGCTCCAGAGGGCTGCAGCCTTGAATCCGCTCGCCTTTATTCCCCAGAATGGCGCCGGACGGACCTTGATGAACCCTTCGATCCATTTCTATTCGTCTTCATTAACAGTATTACAGTGCATCTTCCATTGATGGCTGCTGACGCTCAATCCCGCATGTACTAACTAGACTATAATCTTCCACGCATTCTTCTGCGCATCCCATCGCATCACATCAGCATCAACGGATCCATCGATTCCAACGCCACCATCCCACTCTGCAACGCCAAAACAACCCCATCAATCTCGAACCTCAATTCATCCACAGACGATCCATCCATTCAAACAACCATCTCCTACGAACTATCCCGTGCCCATGTGGGGATACCCTTTCCCGCCCCTCCCCGCGCATCTCGGCAAACCCGTCCATCCTATTCGACCGAAAACTCTCGATTATTGTCTCGCCTCTTGGTTCGAGATGGAATCGTCTACCGAAACTGTGTGTTGGCGCTTATTCTTCATTAGCCTCCCTTTTTTTTTTTCCTCTGCTCGGACCCTTCGACCAACGACAGCCCACACAGCGCCGCCCATCCTATCGTTCCCCTCCCTCAACCAACAGCACTTTTTGCACAGTTCTGGAACTTTTGTCCGCCCAACCGGTCTATCGAATTTGCGTAGATGGAATGCCGTGGAGACCGCCTCGGTTAGCATCCAAGGCCGTACATAGAAACATCTTGATAACTCTCAGATTCCATGCATGTAAGAAGCCAAGCAAGCATAGCCTCGAAACCTCGATAAGCTACACGCTAGATCGACATTGTTAACAATCCTGGTGAGCTGGACCCTTTTGGTCGCGTTAATGGCCTCCGAGCAGGCAACCCTTTCATAAGCCCTTGAGAAGGATTCATCGACTTCTTGGGTAAGGCGCTAGCTAAACTCGTCCTCCATCAGACGTCCATCCATCCATCTTGTAAACCACGCCAAGTACCATGCATGTTGTGTTCTATGCAGAATCAAACACAAAACGTACTCATTCCAGGAGATATCACATACCAACACTGTAGTATCTTGGAATACTCTTCACATATTCAAGCACCAACAAAGACATGATCATCTCATCACGTTTAGGAAAATCAGAAGGGAAAAAAATGATAAAATATATGTCCATGAATAATGAATATGCGAGGGCAAAAATCGAAAAAAGGTGCCCCCCATCTAAATTTAGAGTACATGCATCTAATAAGTGGCGTCCAATACGGAACAGAACAATTGCCGTCTGACTACTGCTGACTCGTCGATCTGGATCCAAGCAACACATCATTTTTCCCATCCATCACAAAATGTTTCGCCTGCCTTTCCCTTGCAGCTCCCGTGGATCGCAGCAAGCCACCGTGGTGCACTATGCCAGATCCTCACTGGCCACCCGTTTTTATATCCCGCCTCTCTACCTCCCTCCCTCCACAGTCACATCTCATATTCCCAAAAGGAGTAACTGTTTTTGAGCCGGAGCCGCCGCCGCCGCCGTCCGTGGTATCGATCAAAGCAACATGTTAGTCGTAAGAACAAACAAAGATCCAACCCTTGCTCCGCTTCCTTCCTCCCAGAAAAGTAAAAAAAAAAAAAAAAATTATGGACAATGAAGAAAAAAAAGAAGAAGAAAAAATCATGGCATCGTCGTATCACAAGTCGTCATCCATAGCACCCGTAGTTTCTTCCCCTACTCCTCACCCACTAATACTGTAGATAGTCCGGCTTCCGTGCCATGTTGACCGGAGGCGGGCCTTCGTCGTCATCAACGGGATAAGGTGGAATCGACGTCTCCGAATCTCGCGGTCGATGGCCGTATTCGGACAACGGAGTCTTTGGTGGCAGAGGCGGCGCTGTTTTGGAGGGTATTGACAGCGGCTCAATCCGAGAGTACTGTTTGGGAGGCACCACGGGCAGCTGATACTTGGACTCTTCGTCGGGGCTCGTAATGGCAATCGGATCATCGGAATAGGCGACCCTGTACTGGCTCGGTGCCGGCGACATGTCCACAGTCTCCTTTTCAGATGCGGGACTGACGGTTCTGCCGTAACGCGAATGTCCGGTGCCTGGCCGGATATGATCGCCAGAAACTCTGGGGGAATTCAGAGTATTTGCCTGCAGGTGTAGGCTGTCTGCCCCTGATTCAAAGGACGAACGACTCGGGGGGCTTTGTGGGCTGTGGGAGAGGAAGCCAACCGGGGAGTCGCCGGGCAGCTCTACAGCAAATGGCTGCTCAAAGTTGTTCTCCGATGTCGACTTGACCAACTCGGGCACAATAGGATTGCTTCGTTGTTCCCACCGTATCTTTGCCCTGTGAATCTTGGCCAGCCTGGTCGAGATGCCGTGGATCATCTGCTGCTCGTCTGGGCGTTGCATGTATCGCCGAGTGCCAGTGCTGATATCGCTCAACCGGTTCCATTCGTTCATTCCGAACTCGCCGACTCCCACCTCGACATTGAGGCGGTAGTAGTTTTCGACATTGACTCCGCGCTTGGCCAGGTGCTCGTGGAGCATGTACTCGTGGATCTTCTCGCAGCCTTCGATTTTGGAAATCATCTTTCTCCGCGCCTCAGCAAACTCGCCCAGGAAGCCCTCATACCACACTTGCTGGTTTCCATCGCTTCCACGAGGGCGTTTTCCGGTGCCGACGCTGACAAACACTCCGACTTCTCGTCCTGGCCACTCGTTGATGACAGCCTCGTCCAGAGCCTCGGGGGAGGGGTTGAAGGTGCCGGCTCCGTCGTCGTGGAAGACTGACTGACCAATCTGGACGGGCTTGAAAGCAAGGCCGATGGAGCAAGTTGCTCGTCCAGCCTGCCAGATCTTGCAGTCGAATTCCGGCGGTGGCTCTTTGCGAGAATCGTAGGACCGTAGCAGTACGGGGGGTGTTCCTCGTCCGGATCCTTTGTACATTGCAGTCACGGCACTATATCATTTCACCAAGTTAGCCATGTATACAAAAAACAAATGGCGGGAAATTCGGGTTCTTACGTCTTAGTCCTATTCTCTCTTGCATCGTATAATCTTGCATTACCATTTCCGTATTTCATATTAATGGCTGGCCGCGTGGAGACATGGCCGGAAGTATGGCGTGCACTGAAGCTGACGGTGCTGGCGTTGCTGGAATGTCGCTTTGGGGATCCCGACGAGCGGCGGGAATCAAGCGGGTTGACGACTTCTGTCTCGGTGTCGTTTCCCTCCTTGTGGTACACGGTGTGCTCCCAAACTCCCTGCTTGATGGCGTCTTCCAGCCTGCTGGCCTTGAACAGCGTAGATCGGTATGGGATGCCGGCAATCGTCTTGTCGGTTTCGAACACCATCTTGGTCATGCGAACGTACAGCTCCTTGCAAGTCTCCAAGTCCAGACGCAGCCTGCCCAGCATGATGGCAATCAACCCGCCCGTGCCGGTACCGACGATTAGGTCGAAATGATCGCAGGGCTTCGGGATTTCATGTCTGCGAGGCGCGCGGCCTTCGATGTCGACAAATGCGCGGTGCATGAGTTCCTGGATGATGATGAGCATGGAGTAACCACGAACGCCTCCTCCGTCTGTGCGAGTTAAGCATTAGCAAAGTTATTCGACGACATAGCAAAATGAACGATGGGGGAGAGGGAGAAGGAGAGAACCATACCGAGAGACAGAATGCGCAGAGGCGGCCCTTTGGTGGTGTCCGACCTCCGGACTCCGTACGAGTCCATCATTCTCGATGCGAAACAGTCGCCGACCGGTGTGGATGTGTGTCGGGCTCTGAGATGCAAAGATTCGGATCGGAGAATGTCTTGTCGCGATGTGTGAGAGAGAAAGCGATGCTGCTTTGTTCGGGTCGAGATTTTGCGCTTTGAGCGTCTTATCAAAGAGGAACCACGTTTCTTGGGATGCGACCAATCAATATCCAGTACCGCCTAAATTCTTTTGGTGCTGATTCGCAGTCAAAGTCGCAAGTCGTAGTCGCAAATTCGGATGCGCTGGGTTTGTTTGCAATGTCCAGATTCCACAGGCTTCTGTTGCAATATGTCGCGCGGTCGGTGATGATCAGGTGAACAATAGAAGAACAGAGTCGGAAAGATAAGACAAAGAAGAAGCTAAGGTAAGGTGAGAGAACAAGCATGGAACCCTCGGGCAGTCATGATGAATGAATCATTTCTCTTATTACCTGCACACTTCTACCCAAACGGTGCCGTGACGCAATCGCCCGGACATAGCAAGTCTAGGGCTGCTAATAAGCATGGATGGAAAGCGGAGGGGTGAGGCGAGGGGCGAGAGGCGCAGCCGAAGAACCGCTAAGCAACGTCACAGGGCCGTTGGCGGGAACTGTCACGCCTGTGGGCCGCTACAGAATAGCGCTACAGACATCCATGCATTGATGGAGCTACAGTTATAGAACGCCCGAAGCACGAACGAACGGCTGTTTTGCTTTGCATGCGCGCTCAAAGGACGATCCGGTGCGCTGGTCAGGAACGGGCTTCCCGGGACACGCGAAGCTTCAAGTACCGAAGCTGCCGTTGGTCGGAAGATGGATAAACGGCAATAGATGCGGTCTTTTCTTCTTCTTTCTTTCTTTTCTTTTCGTTTCCTTGTTTTTTGAGGGAAAGGAGATTTTAATAAGTTCCGAAGGGAAGCGATTCCGAAGAGAAGCGGAGAGAAGGCCAGCCCGGAAAATGGCTGAGAGAGCCAAGAAGCTGCGAGAATCGAGGCCGGATGCCAAGTCTCACTTGTTGCCGTCACGAGGAGGCCGGGTGTGACGGCTTCAACACGATACGATATGACAGTATTCTATACACGTGATTTCATTCTCTCTCTCTCTCTCTCATCTCTGGAAGCCATAGTATCTGGCATTATTACAGATACAGCTTCTCGATGTCCATTTCGACCTGGAAAACCCTTGTTCCTGTCCTTCTCCAAAAATCCATATTGATCTTCCTTCTGTTTCTGTTCGTCACACCTCTACGGCGTAGAGTCAAACGCTAACGAACCCCCCCATGTCTGTGTGGGTGCTTTGTTTCGTGGGGGATGGAAGTTTTGCGAGCCTTTGGGGGCTGTGCAGGTTGGGATCCCATTGAAGGGTGCCTGGCGGGGCAGACAATGTGAGACACTGGACTGGATGAGTGGATGAGGATGGAATCCAGGCCACGTGATGGCTGCACATCATGATACCAAATTGGAACAGTCTGCTCGTCTCTTATTTCAGGTTCAAGGGTTGCAAGGTTACCATCAACAGAGTGTAGATGCCATCAGATCAACGCCACGGCTAGCCCTACACTGAAGGATGGGAGAACAGTAAGAGCTCTCAGCCGATGTAAGACTCCGATATTGAGGTCAACGTACTATCTACATCTCCCATTGGCACAGGTGGTAAGCTGAGAAAGCCCTTTGTCAGGAGGATGGAAAAGATTACACAATCTCTCAGACCGACTGCGCCCCGTATTCCGCAAGGCTTCACGGCTACGAGCACCCGTACTCGGGATGAGAATCTCATTGCCCCTTCTAGGACGTGCTGCATCGCATTGCATGTTTATTCCATCACGGCATTGACGCGGCGACTGACTAAGACGGCATCACCAGCACGGCCCAAAGTTAATATGATACGTGTAGGTCAGTCAATACTAGGCCTAGTACTAAGGCAAAGACACATGCACGTAGCGTCTTTACGTCAGGATTTCGTATTCATGCTACCACAAGTTCCATCGCCACTGTCGACATAAAGAGCATGAGGCCTCTTAGGAGGACGTTCATTTCATTTCACTTCAGAAAGCTGAGTTCAAGAGGCGAAGAATCGGTGAGAGGTGAGAGCAAGGGTGAGCGTGGATGACTTCGCTTCTCTAGCGCTGGCGGCTCGAGGCGCAGACGGCTGTCTTGTATATAATGCATGCCACGTATGGAATCCCTCGAATGTGTAATCCGGACGTGTACCTGCATCAAGCATTGTTATTGTTGATAAGGTTGTTAAGAGCTGATAACTTCAATCATGTTGACAGCTATGGACCTTTGTTTGCTTGGTTTCACGGCAGAACAATTGAAGACGCGCGAGACAAAAATAGAATGTGGCTGCAACGTTAAAAGCCTGTGGCTGACGATCAAGTCAAAGTCAATTACGCGTAGCTGCTAGCATTCGCAGGCACGGTGGCAAGTTCTTTGACGGATTAGCACCTATGAACTCTGCACAGCTCCCACTTCGTCACGGTAAACATACTGTATGTATACCTGAATGGGAGAGTCGCGAGATGATCTTTAACCACTACGAATTTGAAAAGCGTCCTACGGCTCCTGATTCGGCAGCGTGCATTGCCACGCTTGCTTTAGGAGACCTGAATCCCAGTCTTCTGCCGCCGACTCAGCCTCGCTGTACAACCTATCACGTCTCGTATACGATCCCAGAGTTAGTACTCCGTAGGTACAATAAAATCCCAAAACGCCTTGATGAGAGGAATTCAATATCTTGCGAACAAGAAAGCAGAAGGAAACGAGCTTCTGCAATTGAGTCTGTGAATGCCGCCGGAGTCTTTAGTAGCGACGCCACTTGGAGCTTTCAAGGTGCTGGAGGATGGAGCTGCATGTCGGCATGCATTGCATTGGCTGAGAGGCCAGCTTAGCTGACACTTTTATTAATCTTTTATTAATCTCTGCCCTACCGGGCAATTCAGCCCTTTCGTAGCATGCTGGTGGGCTGCAATATATGTAATAAAGTATTCATCATGAGTCGACGACGCCAAAGGATTTCATATACTAGCATTGATTGGTGTGTGTACGAAAAATAAGGGAAATGTGTGAGGTGCACCTATCAATGGGAGCAAGGCTAAGAGATTGGGTGCACAACACCATTACATACGTGTAGATGGTAGCTACGAGGCTGCTGTACGGTATGCGTGGTGATATGTGTGCCATCGTACTCACATGTATTGAGTGACGAGAGCATCCCCCTTCCCTCCCCCACTTCATGTGCCATGAATGCCTCGAAAATGGCGTTTCAATGCCAGCTGCGGCGATAATAACAGCCGCAAGGGCTATTGACATGTATTAAAATCCGCACGGGTCAGGCGCAATCCGACTCTGTGGCGCGTCAGAGGCAATCAAATGAAACCCAGGCTTGCCTGGACAAGCTGAACTGTGCCGCGGGTTTCGTCCGCATCATTGCGTCGGGCCAGGGCATGTCCCGTCCCGCAGGTTATTTGTGGATTTGAGCGCAAACAGTTGTCACTAGTAGCTCTTTGCCGACAAGACGTGAGATAGGCACAGCATGTACGAGTACTGTACAGGATGTATATCGTCATGTTGATAAGCTGCAAGCTGAAGCAAGCACATTAGCCGCCAAGTGTGTGAGCAGCACGGCGAAATGATAGGCGGCAGTGTGTCTGTGATGGACGTAGACTCGTGCGTGGTTTCAGGCGGCATGGCAGCCTCCCCATTTGCCAGGGACGATCCAATGACGTGCAGAGGACTCGTGCAATAGGTGCTGAGTGATGATGATATTACGAGCACTGTAGCATCCCAAAAGGACAAAAATATATTTGATCCTGGCTGGGAGGATAAATTTACTCACCTGCAGAAACGAGTACCCGCAAGTGCTCACAGACCAGGCCTACACTCGCGTACATACATGTACTCGGATGGACGCTACGAGTACAGTTGAATTGACGGCACTAGCAGTAGCAGCACCGAGCTTCTGCAGCTTTTCCCAAGTACCTGGTCGTGCTGAATTTGGGACTCCAATAAAGTCGCCACTGGCTCCAGGCACGGGACGAAGGCGTGTGTTGATGATGGAGCCCCCCCAAGAAAACGACTCAGCTCAGGAATCAATCCATCAATTCATCGAGAGCAAATCACCAGACGGTGAGCCTTGCCTCGCCCACCCACGGCCTCACGGCTTCCAAGACGAGACACGCTGATGCCGCCACATTGTTACCCCATGCGAGCTATGCCCGGCACAGCCTAGAGCAAGGACGCGACGTCGAAACGGTAAATTGGCAGCGAGTTTCGGCAGGCCGCTAGCTATGTAGTCCCCCAGGCGAGGGCGAGGTGCCCAATCCAATCAGACTTGGCCTGGTTCCATCTGGGTCTCTTTGCAACTTTTTGGTTTTTTTCGGGCGAGGCTGTGAGGTGATTCGCCCTGGGCTGATGGCCGAGGCTAGACAAAGACAAGACGAGAAGCAGCACTGAGGGCAGCGAATCAAGCAGCCTCTCAGGCAACGCGTCAGCCCACACACGGAGACAATCCGCTGCAGTTGGTCTAAGCCGAGTCGAGTCAGCTGCGTCTATAGAAACATGTACGAGTATGTACGAGTACCTATTCGTGCTGCACGGATGGATTACGAGGGAGGACGAGATTCGAGGTCCTTGGCCCGGGTGGCGTGGCGTGGGTGTGCCCGGGGCTGCGGTCCTGGGAGCCGGGCCTCGCTGCTGAAGAATTTCAGAAGTTTGGAAACAAGGCACGTTGGATTTGTGCATGTGTGTATGTACCTATGTACATCCAAGTACATGTATATGCGAAGTCGGACCAGTCACCATGTACAAAGGAATCAGTGCAAGTCAACATGACATGTCAGGTAGCGGACTTGACATGTTTGCTGGTCCCTTGCGCGAGACGAGATTGGGATGGACAAGGTCAAGGTGGCTTTCGATGTCTGGTGAGTTTAGTGCACAGGGCTATAATGGGATTCCTCACTTTCAGTGATTACAGTTGAATAGTACATCAATCCCGACTTGCATCTTCTGGGTACGTGTGTCATTGATATGACTGCTGGGGCCGGGCATCCTTCGGTGTCGGGGGTGCCAAGTTATGTGCGTATTGCCGTGAAGGGCACCCTTCAAGTTTAGTACGATACGGTACTGTCCTGTACAGGGCAACCAGTGGTTGGGCAGGAATACATTGAACCGATTGCATTGCATCAAGTGTCTCGAACGTTGTTCATCCTACAGGGAGTCAAGGATCAAGACTACATGTATTCATCACCTGAGAGTCTTTACGAATTGAACTATCAGCCCGTACGGTAGTGAGAGCTCTGTGGAGCGCCGTCATTGACCATTGATTCAATATATCGACGGGATATGGGTACTATTGACTGCTAGGTACAGGTACGGATCTAGTTTGAGCCCTATCTGCTCACTTCTGCGGCAGAACCGAAGCATCTTGCAACGATCATGATACATCACTTACATGTACTACACCAAGATACCTCAGCTGTATAGTAGACTTGCACAAAGCAAAGCACCTCGTGTTTGTTTGTGTGTGTTGCACCAGATGCACGCATGCATGCACCATATCCTCACCTGTATTTGCCCGAGCCGCAAAGAAAAAAGTCAAAAGAAATGCCCAGTATTAGAGCAGCCTCAAGCACCCTGGACAGATTAAAAATAAAAAATAACCGTCACAGCTTGCGAGCCTCTTGCACCACCCCTTGCCCTCAAGGTGTCGTTTCATCCAAATAAAACGGCCCCCTCTCTTCTCTCCTCTCCTCTCCTCTCTCCCGTCCAGTCGCAGTACTGGTTGCATGTGCCGAACTGCGCGCTGGTACATGCGAGTACCTCCCGGCTATTTGTGCGGCACTCAGTCCGTGCCTGTGACATCCAATCCAGTGCCGTCCAGTCAATGGATGTCATGTCATGTCGGATGTCATCAATGCTACATGTACATGTACATGTACCTGTACCTGAGGCCGCCACTGGCACTGGCAATGCATGGCCTTCGATAGGCACAATCATGATCAATCAATAGCTCAACTGTCAGGCCTGCCCTGGCTGGACTCGCACAAGCCCAGAGCCAATTGCTCGCCACAGCAGATCAAAGCAATCAATAGCATCAAATCAGAAGCAATTAAATCCAATGGGGAATGAAAAAGAGCTCCAGCTTCTCTGTGGACCAGCCCGAAAGGCTCTCTCAGCAGTCTCCGTCAAACCTCGCCTACGGGCCAATGGCAGCGCTGCTGGGGCCTGCACAGCCAGGCGGCCCGCCAACTAAAATATAGCGGCTTGCCCTTCCCTGAGCGCCCCCAGCGCCGGAAGCCGTCGGCCAGTGGCCAGTGGACTGGACCCGGTACCGCCCTCGGTAGCGCATCTCGCAGCGCCTACAGAGTACCCAGTACCACCCGACTACCAAGTACCAGTACCAGTTACAGCCAGGGCCCGCCCAAGGTCAACTGGCTGCACTGACGATTTACAGCCTCGCCCGCCAGGCCAGAGCCTTGAACCACAAACTCCCCTCCCCCCAAAACCAAAACACCCAGCCTTACCCTCTTCTCGCTCCTTTGCTGTCTCACCTCATACTCTGCTTCTGCTTCTCCCAGCCGGCCGTCGTTTTGCTCCTGCTTCCTCGTCCTCACTCCCAGCCTCGAATCCCCCCCAATTGCCGCGTGCTGCTTCTCTCTCGCCACCTTCAACGCTGTGCACGCCTCGTCTTCGCTGCATCAATTCAGCGGGCGTTCGAAAAGCTGCCGACTGCTCCGCCTGGCCTCGCCCAGCCTCAGTCGTCCGCCAAAAAAACTGCAGCTGTCACAACACCCATCTCACCTCGTCTCGTTCTGTCTCTCAACGTCTCACGTCGCTTTTTCCTCTTGTCTTCTCTTCTCGTCGCCGAGCCCGTCGATGGAACCGTCCAGTAAAAAGCGGAAGCTGGCTCCCAAGGTCAACACCTCTGTGGCTCCCAACCCTCAGCCTGCTGCGCAGTATTCCCACGAAACGGTTAGCCTTGCGTCTCTCCCCCAACATCTCGACTACTTGCTGCTACCGTCTCTTTTCCATCCGCCTCCTCTTTCCATCGTCTTCTTCGCCCTCACTACATGCGCTCTCGCATTCGTTGCTAACAGTTTGTCGCCCATTCCCAGCCGCCACAACAACAGCCTTACCCCGTACACGATGCTCCGGTTGCCGAACGACAAGACTTCGAGGCCTTTGCGCGTCATCTGCAGGATGCGGCCATGCTGATACAGCGCCAGACGGAGCGCCCGCCTCACAGCGACGTCTCCGTCTTGCTGCTGAGCTGGGAAGAGGATCGGACAGTGGACGAGGACGTTGCCGCGGTAGAACAGGTCATGCAGAAGCAGTACGGCTTCACCACGCAGCGCTGGCAGATCCCCACCGTCCCAAACCCAAGCATCAAGCTCGGCGTCCAAATGGCGTCCTTTCTCGAAAACGCAAGGCCCAACCACCTCCTCATTATATACTACGCTGGCCACGGATATGCCGGCCCCGATGGCCAGCTGTATTGGGCCTGGTGAGTTTCATCCTTGGGCGCTCGCCATCCCCTGCCTCTCTACATACCTCTCTGCCTCTACATCATTACATCACCACATCACCACATCATGCGTGTCGCCATCGTCATCATCATCTCTAATCACTTGTCCATCTAGCAATGCGCGCGAGGATGCTGCCAAACTTAAATGGGATGGTGTACGGTGCTTGTTCGAAGATGCCCAGTCCGACATTCTCCTGCTTCTGGATACATGTGCCGACCCCGAACCCGCAGCTGCGGGCAGCCACGGTATGAAGCAGGCCATTGCGGCCTGCTCTCGAGAGCACAAGGCCCGACAAGAACCTGGACAACGCTCCTTTAGCTCTTTCCTGGTAGAAGCGCTTCGCAAGCTGAGCGCGGGACAGCAGCCTTTCAATGTCCAGCGGCTTTACGACGAGACTCGTGCCCTGAAGCAGCAGCAACGTGCAAAGAGCCCAACTCCCGCAAGTGGCGCAACAGCTTCCGCCTCGCCCATCATGCCCATATTCTTCACCCTGACTCCCGGCAAAGGGCAAAACTTGGTACTGGCGTCCATGGTCGGCAGGACGCCCCTGCCTCCCCTGAATGGCGTAGATGCGCCAGATGGGCAGAGTAGTCGCGCTCGTGAAGACCATCTCATCGACCCGGATTCCGTAGCTGACATCAGGTTTGAAGAGCCCCGGATATTGGTTTGCACAACATTTGTCGGGGATGCAAGTCCGGACATGTCCTACTTTCACCAGTGGCTACAGAACAAGCCGACCCTGGGCGCTACCATCGCTGTCGAGGGCATGTTCCTTGGGCCGCCTACAATGCTTCTCATCTCCATGCCCCACTCCATATGGAATGTCGTCCAGCACGATAAGGTCTGCTGCTTCTTGGGCTACATTAGCTCTCACAACATGATTCATCTGTATGAAAAGCTGGTTGGGCCTGCCGGTATCCGTCCCTCTGCCAAAGAAGTAGAGGACGGCCGTATTCTGCTGGAAGCCAGGGAGCTGGCGGCGGGAACGCCTTCGCGAGCTCGGCGGGATCCCGACCCCTATCTACACGCGGCAGCTCGAGATGGCCTCGAGTACAGGTCGCAAAGTAGTCCATCCGGGGCCGCCTACACTCCAGCCCCCCCTCGAGCTATCGCTCCAATCAAGCCAAAGGACGAGGTTGAAGATTCCGCAGAGATGCAAGAAGCCGCAGAGCAGCTCAAGGCTCTCAGTCATGTTCGACCCAGAAGTGATGATGGCCCTCCGGCTGCCCCCATTCCAGCTCCTCCTGCTGCTGCCACTGCGCCTCCCCCCGTGCGACACCGAACGACGCTTCCAGATGGCATCCCTGAATCGAGGCACATTGAGCCAAACATTCCACGCGACGTCAATGATTCTGGAGTCGGCGATGCCATGGCACTAGACTCGACCCCATTGCGTATGAAGGCACCTCGACGGTCCCTCCCCAAGCAGGAAACTAGATGTGATCACTGTACTCATGCGCCTTTTAAAGATTCCTCGTCTCTTCGGAAACACATTGCGGCAGCCCATACCCGACCGTTTCCCTGCGCCTTTTCCTTTGCCGGCTGCGCCAGTACCTTTGGATCCAAAAATGAATGGAAGCGCCACATTGCCTCGCAGCACCTCTGCTTGACGTACTATTGCTGTTCGGCTTGCCCGCAGAGCTCGGCAGAAGGCAAGGGCAATGAGTTCAACCGAAAGGATCTCTTCACGCAGCATCTCCGCCGAATGCACGCCCCGTTCCAGATCAAAAGAACCATTGCCAAGGGCGACAGCAAGCTGCAGGCCGAATGGGATGCGCACGTCAAAGACATGCAGCAGTCCTGCCTAGTTACCAGGCGACATCCCCCACAGAAGTCAGCTTGTCCCCGGAAAGAGTGTAACGCCCTTTTCGAGGGACCAACGTCTTGGGATGAGTGGACGGAGCACGTTGGGCGGCACATGGAGAAGGGCGAGGGCCAGCGGCTGGGCATTGACAAGTTGCTGGCGGAATGGGCTCTTGACGAGGGCATCATCGAGCTGAAGAGCGATGGCGAGTATCGCTTGTGCGCCACAAACGGCGTCCTCGCCGGTGGCAGCAACGGCAGCGTGAATAACGGCGTTGCTGGTTCGTCGCAACCATCTCTGGAGCACAAGGAGTCCAATGTCTCTCTGGCGGAAAATGCGTCTTCGGCGGATGAGACCCAAGCCGTGGAAGTCAAGTCGACGGATGACATGGAAATGGCAGAAGGATGAACATATCTTTCTCCACCAGCCTGAAATAGCCGACGCCATTCCCGACACTCTTCATCAAATTTCTCCCTGTGCATGTATACACGACATCTTTCCTTTGCGTCTACAAAACCGAGAATGACTCACGAAAGCCACGATACGGAAGCCTTGTTTGCATAGCTCATTGTCAAGTTTGTTTTCTTCTCCCCTTTTCTCTTCCATCCCGTCAGTCCTTCCCGCTTGCATTCATCTTTGCTATCATATTATAGTGTACTCTGAAGGTTCAAAGGTTACTACTGCCCATGGGCGTTTCTTTTTCTTTTCTCTTTTATTTCCACGTCTGGTTTCTGTCTGGCCCTCGTACTATTTTTTTTTTTCCTTTTTTCTATATTTTTTTTTTATTCTGCTATTCTCATGGGAGGCGTTGGTATGGTTTGAAACCCGTAGGGAAAGCATCAAACGGTGATAAAACGGAGTCTGTGTTTCTCTCATGCTACTGTTGAATAGTGCTCTTCGAAAGCAGGCCAAGGAGCGTTTTCTTACACGACTGTCGGGGGCATGCCTTATCCGAGCGGGAACGGCGGGGGGAGGGGAAGATACAAAGCATACAAAAACTGAATTCAATGACAAAAAAAATCGGAAGTGACTGAAAGGGGGAGGAAAAGGGAGAGAAGATGTGTGTGGTTTCCAAGCTTCATCTATCGATTAGAATGGTAGAGTAAGAGTGCTCCAGCTCGCTCGGATCAGCGAGTCTTTAAACTTTCTTTTTTTGCTGTGTGATGGGGTTTCTTTCCTTTTCTTTTTGAACATGATGAGGATGGTGATGTCCTCATCAAGGTATACGGCATGATACTACTTCCACGCAGACCACAACACCACCTACCTAAGTACCTACAGTGGATGAATGAAGAACAATTCGAAAACACAATGAGCGAGATGCTGCTGGCTTGGGAAGATGCAGTGAAATAAAATAAAAGAGTTCATCCAAAAGTCGTAATTCTTCATACACTAAACTCTACTGCTCTGAAGATACTTTATATACATGAAGCCCGACGGGCGTAAAAGGGGGGACAAAACACCATATCCACAGGTGATGCTAAGCGAGCGAAAAGACATCCTAAAACGGACCGCAGGAACAACTCCTCTAACCGATTCTGACAGAGGCAGGACCGCTAAACGGCAGGTTGACGTTGAAAGTCTGGCTGTTTGCGCTTCCAGAGCTAGACTTGGCAGAGGCGGTCTTACCGCCGATGATGGTGACCTTGGAAATGACAAATGGCACCCGGAGGCTGAACTGGCCGCCCAAGATGAAGAGGCCGTTCTTGTAGGTAAAGGTGACGTGCGTAGTGGCCTTCTGGTTGATGGAGACGCCATCGTCAAGGTACAGCTCGCCCGTCGCGGATCCTGAAGCGTCGAGAGCGATCTGAAGCTCAAAGTTCTGCTTGCGGAGCTCGGTAGTGGTGTTGGTGGACTTGACGCGCAGGGGCAGGATGGTACCGCCGCGGATGAAGAGCGGGATGGACGTGATGTCGACATTGCTGATGAGGTGGTTGGTGGCGCCGCCGTCGATGCGCGCGTGGGTGTACCAGTCGTAGAAGATGTCGTCTGGGAGGTAGACGCTGACGCTGGTAGAACCTTGTTGCGTGACGGGGGCGACGATGATGCCGGGGCCGAAGAAGTACTGCAGCTCGAGGGCGAAGGTGGCCGCGTCGTTCGGGTAGTGGAAGAACATGGGGCTCACGGCCGGCGTGCCGTCAGTGTGCTGGCGGTACAGGGCAGTGTAGATGTAGTCAAGCAGACGGTAGCGAATGTCAATGGCCTTCTTCGCGCTGCTGGCGACCGAGGGCCAGCGGTAGAACTCCTGGCCAATGTTGCCAAAGTCGTTGTGGTTGCGGTAAAAGGTGTTGAAGGCGCCCAGAGAAGCCCAGCGCGCGCAGAGCTCCTCGTTGGTGTTGCCGCCGAAGCCGCAGACGTCCGAGCCCACGAAGCCAAACTGGAAGAAGGAAGTAAAGGCCAGCATGGTGCGGATGGACACGGTGTAGTAGCTCCACTGCGACATGTTGTCTCCCAGCCAGTGACCGACCTTGGAGCCCGCGCCGGCAAAGGTGCTGCGCGTGATGACCAAGGGGCGGAGACCCGGTCGACGAGACAGCATGGCGTCGTGCGAGGCCGTCGACATCATGGTGCCGTAGAGGTTGTGGGTGTCGTACATGGCCAGGCCGTTCTGGTGGATCAGGTCTGTGTTGACGGTGTGGTTGGAGATGCCACCCTTGTCAGAGTTCCACGAGTCCTGGAAGGCGGCCTTGTTGTGGATGGCGTACTTGGGGTACAGCAGATCACGGCCGGGAAGACCCTTCTGATTACCCTTGCCTTGGTTGCTTGCACTGTTTCCATTGCTCGCAGCCGCGTTGACGACGGGCAGACTGCCGCTGCCGGTGTTGATTTGGAGAGGCTGGACTTGGCTATCGCGCTTGTTGGAACAACCGCCAGGCTGGAAATCGCAAGGCCAGCCGGGCAGCGGACGAGGAGGCGCGCGGACCGGCGGTGGGGCCGGGGGATAACCTACGGCGGCGGCATACGGGTCGGCACAGGGGAAGTTGCACGGGAAGTTGCTGGGCTCGTTCATGTCGATCCACAGAGCGTCAATGTCCAGGCCGGTCTCGGCGTTGAAAAAGGTCTGGAACTGGCCGTTCCAGTACGACTGAGCGTTGGCGGAGAACCAATCGGGGAAGACGGTGACACCGGGCCAGACAACACCGATCCAGACGGAGCCGTTAGCCCTCAGCAGGAACACGTCGTCTTGGAGGCCCTGGTTGGCAGGCGGGTAGTCTTGATAGGCGACGGCTGGGTCGACCATGACAACGTAGTGCTGGTCGTTTGCGTGCAGGTGGTCAACGAGCTCACGCATCATGGGCATGGGGAAACGGTCTGGGTCGACGGTGAAGACGCGGCGGCGGTCCATGTAATCAATGTCCGTCCACATGGTCTCGAGGGGAATGCCGGCCAAGCTGTAATTTTGAACAACTTCGGCAACATTGTAGGCATCTTGGTATCCATATCTGCACTGGTGGAAGCCGAGGCCCCAGTATGGCTGCATAGTTGGGAAGCCAGCAAATTCACCGTACTGCTGCACTGCTGCTACGGGGGTAGGCCCAGCAACAAAGTAAAAGTCGAACACGCCACCAATGGTGTTGTATTCAAGATACTGGTTGCCGGAAGCGTCCTGGTTGATCATGATGTCCATGCCGTTGGAGTTGAGGAAAAAGACACCATGAGAACCCGTGGCACGGTGCTCCAGGTAGAAGGGGTGCGTTCCGTAGAGATTGGCATTGCTGGGAATGCCATAGCTGTCCTGGTTCCACATCGTGCGGATGTAGTTGGACGTCTTGAGGCGGAGAGGGTCAGAATGCTCACCCAAGCCGTACAAGTTGGGGTTCGCGGGCAGGCTTGTCCGGAGGCGGAGGTACTGAGACTCGAAGACGAGAGAGGCAGCCGAGGAGTCAAAGAGGACCTCACCAGTTCTAGCGCGGGTGACTTTGAATGAAAAAGGGTTCGCCGTGTAGCTGAATTTGAGGTTGCTAGCCAGGGACAAGACAGAGCCGCCGGGACGAGGGAAGACAGATTCGGGGACTTGGTAGACCTGGTTGTCCTTGTCCTGGATGAGGACGTGAAGGCGGTCCTCTGAGTAACATGTTAGCTTGACAAGCTCAATTGATGATGTTTTGTGGTTGAAGTCATGTTGTGTGTGTGTGTGTGTGTGAGGGAGAGTGTTTTGCTCAAGAAGAATAAACAGCCCACTCAGCCGAGTATGTATGCCGTCAAAGCTGGCAGGGAGAAGAGTAGAGCAGTGCATGCGTCTGTATGTACATGTTTACTTACCAGTCTGGTACGTGACTTGGAGAATGAGATTCTTCAGATCAGTGCCGTACACATTGCAAGCTGCACCGGCCAGCGTCAGGTCGGCCGTGACGCCGGTGGGCGAGACGCGAACATTGGAGGCCTTGTAGCCCGGGCATGAATCCACGGAGCCTGCAACCGCGTCGTCTCTGTGGAAGAGGGCCGCAGCAGAGGCAAGCCCTGCGTACAAGAGGGCCTTCCAGTAAACCATTGTCGCTGCGAAGACGATGGTCACGATGATGAGGATGGCGGGAGAGGGTAAAGATGCTGCTCTGGCCGGGGATCGTGCAGCGCCGTCCCTGGCAGCGGCCATCTTGGGAGAGCCCATCTTTGTATACAAATTTTAATATGCTGTGCTCGTCCGGGTCGGAATCGTCCAAGACACTGAATGCCGTTGCTCCTGCCTTGCACGCTTAGCTCGTCAGCTGTCACCCTCGTCACATCTCCAGCGAGCGTGCGACATTGACATGGCAGATCCAAGTTCCAATTCCAGGCAGTGGGACGGGAGGAGGAGACGAGACGAGGAGGTGCGTGGGGCCATGCATCATATCATGCATACGAGTTGAGTATAACAAGACACAAGACACGGGACCCCGGCAAATGGGGCCCCGAAGCTGGGCTACTAGCTGGGCTGCTGGATTGGATTTGCTCATCTTGAGGCCTTGCGTACCTGAGGTAATCAAGTAGGTAATACGGCAGTCGGGTTGGTGGATGGACTCGATGCAATTGGCCGTTGCCGGGGATATTGAAGCTTGTCTCTAGCGGGAAACGGCGTTTGTGGCCGTGAGGAGAAAAGAACGGGCGCCAAGGTCGGGCGAGAGAGATTGACGAGGCTGTTGCGGGACAAGCAAGGCGCCAAGAAGGAGAGAGTGAGACAGGGCAATCAAAGGACAATTGTTGGTTGAGTTGAACGTGGGTGAAGTGCCGATCCCATTCAAGGGCAGAGTTGAACCCATGCCAATGCCAGTCAGCAGGGAGTCCTCAGGCATCTACGAATTACTACATGTAAACATTGGCATTCGATAAAAGCAACAAACAACAAAGCTGCCCAGCTCAGAGTGTAGCATGCTGGAGAGCCTACAGTACAGCAAGAATAATTACATGTCCATCTTGCAATTTCCAATTCTCATTCATCTAATTGTCTCGAGCATTCGAATAGACCCTCGATGCAACCTCGGAGCACAAGGTTCAACAAAGGTCACAAGGCACGGCGTCAAATTCTCGAGGTGCACAACCCAGCTCACAATGCGGGTGGGCCGTGCCCCCTCCTTCTCCCCAGACGCTACAGGGTTACAGGGGCTCTCAGCGGGCTCGCAGTGGGCGTTAGTGGGCTCCCGGTGGCCTGTACCTGCGCAGCTCCCCAACTTCCCCGCACCAAACTCGCCGAGAAGGGCAGTACAAGGCACCAAGCGGCCCGGGGGGTCTTTTTTTTTTTTTTTTTTGCCGGCCCTAAAACCCCAGGGCCACTTACGACCACTAAGCGAGCGCGCTGGGACAATGGCGTTTTGCCGTCGGGAATAGGTCCGGTGTCTCCTAGTATCACCGACCGCATTGTTATATGGATTATTGCACGCGCGCGAGAGACAGGTTTGATGTTCGCCACAGGGGAGGGGGCAATGGGATATTCAGGGGAACGAAAGTAAAAAGGTGCCGCTACTGTTGCTTTGGGCGCTCCATCCAGGCCGCCGCAACGGGCCGAATTGCAAAGCAAACTATAATTGATGAAAGGGAGCTGGAGGTGGAAATGAGGCACTCGGATGCTCGCATCGACTGGCGCAAGGGACCTTTGAGGTTGTGGTGGATTCATGTTCACGACACGGCCGTGGACTGGAGCCCGGAGTTCAACTTGAGTGAGGAGGTGACGGAATATTGGAAGCAAAGTATCGAGGATCGATACATGCCCTTGAGATGATTGTCAGTTACTCATTATTACATGTGAGTTCCATCAACATCTCGATTCTCCCCCACATCCAAGCAACATCAGGTAAGTACATCTACACTCAGATCATCCGACGTTGCCAGCGTCGCAGCACTACCATCGATCTATCAATCATGCGAGACCCCTTGCGTCCAGCTACGGCACCGGTCCCGAGACCTAAACGTGCAAAGGGTAGCATCTTGGGGTGGCATTGAAAAGCTTGAAGCTCAGGATATCCATCATGGACCGGAGTCTGTAAGTGTGCCCCCCATAGCAGCTTTGCGCATGTGACACACTCATCTCCGTTGTAAATACTTCTCTTTTTCGCCTTCACAAGCATCGTCGGACTCTCTCCGCTTTCCCCGCTCAATCGTAACGAGATTTCAACTTGGAAATCCCACCGTAGCTTCACATATAGGTAGTCTTGTCTAGTATTCACCGCGAAGTTCCGAAGTGCCAAGAGGGTGTGGAGGTTTGTTCGTTCTGCCAACCGGCGGGCTTGGTTAGTGTCACGATCCATGGCTCATGGGATCCCGGTTAAACATTAAATGAGAGATCTCCTGCAGTTCCACCGGGATTGGTAATGAAGTGGAATTTATCCGTTCATCGTTTTACATCCGCAGCCGCATGTGTGCTACACTCTCCAACCACATGCTCGCCACGAGACTATAGCCTACCTTACTCCCATATAGTGCTGCAGGTGTAAGTGGTAGGACCATGTGAACAACAGCATTAGTCTAACAACTTTGCCGTTTCCGAACCTTCAGCAGCTGCGGATCCGTCTATACAGTTGCCTACCTTCTTGTATAGGTCAAGATTGCGCATGAACTTTTTGAGAAAATCACTTTTCTTCGGCTCTGCCTCGGTCACATATGTACAATAGATGTGCTGAAGCCGCTGTGCTGCGATGTAACGCTGCAGCCTACTAACTACATGATACTAATCGCATCTATGTGGGTTCTCCGTTTTCGCTCTGCATGTTGGTCTCCGGAGGGGGCAAAAGTGATGAGATGCCAAGATGCATATCATCGGGTATCCAATTCTTCACTCGTACCGCCAGCAATGCTACAGAAGAACCTCGGCTGCTATTCAGACATTGGGGTTGGTGCCAGAGAAATGAAATGTGATGTAGCTTTCGACTGTTGGACCGGACATGTGTGTTTGAGCCACAATATCCACCTAACCTAGAGAACAAGAAATTCTGGTCGTCTTCACCTTGTTTCTGATGGGCATGCTGATCTTGGAGTTGCAAAAAAAGAAGGAAAGGGAGAAGGAAAGGAAAAGCCAGCTCGTGAATAGGTATTTAATAGTTGATATGCACGATGAAGTAAAAAGATGCATAGCGCGTGGCTGTGTAAATAAGCTTAATCACAATGAGGACGATGGCTGAATTGCAGGCTTGCTATTGAAGTTTAGAGGTACCGTGCTACGGCGGTTTGAAGTGTATCAAGATGATATTGAAGAGAAACCACAGATAATAAAAAAATAAAAAAGAAAGCAAGAAAGACAATGGATGAACCTAGTACAGGACATTATCACCATCCAATACAGCATTGATGGGAAAACGAAACCCCCATCTCAAGCTTTGTTGATTTCCGTATAGAGCCATCATATTGCTCCAAGGTGAGGATTGCACGTGACTCTCTCCTCTTCAATTGATTCAAAGCGCATGCTTGATTGTCTGCGGAAAGACAAAATGGATGGGTCAATTTCATAATACAATGCGCGATGCATAAAGTTGACCGCATGCACTACGGAGAGAGAGACAATGGATCGAAATGATACGCTGTGAGGCGACGAATTGCAACGCGTTAGCCAGAGTCCAGAGTCCCCGCCATGGAGTACATGCGATCCGCCCAGAGACACCGCAGAAACGGCCGTACCTGGATCTGTATCACTTGTGAGCCACCTGGCGGCCCCCTTGCGTCGCTGTCGTCAAAAGAAGAGCAAAAGAGAGAGGGCAAAAGTTGTGGAATTGGCAATCTAAACCTCCCATTGGCATCAGCATCAGCATCGGGCATTCCAATCACCGTCCCGCCCTTTGAAGCGCTGGCTTGGCCCTCTACCTGCTATAGGTTCAGGTACTCAACTAATTGGGCTGGACTGGACCAATGCTACCGACGGCCAAAGTATAGCAGCGCCCGCCATACGCTGTCCTGGTACTTGCATTGGATTGATCCTAGCCCGCCAACATTAACCCGTTCAAGGCCCCAACAATGGCAGCCGAAGCGCCAGAGCCTCAGATCTTCGCTAACCTGCACCAAGATCAAGCCACGCGCGACATGAGCTTTGCGGCTCCGCTCAACCTGGATCCTCTGGCCCAACAGCAGCAGCAGCAGAATCAGATCCAGATTCAGATTCAGATCCAGGCGCAAGCTCAAGCCCAGGCTCAAGCCCAGGCTCAGGCACGGCATCAACAGCAGCAACAGCAGCAACAGCAACAACAACAGCAACAACTCCAGCAGACTCTCCACCAGCAACAACTCCAGCAGCACTATCTCCAACAGCAATACCTCCAGCAACAGCATCAACAGCAACAGCAGCAACTCCAGCAGCAGGCCCTCTACCATCAGCAACAACAGCAGCAGCAGATGAACGGCATGAACGGCGCCAACATGGGCGCTGTCATGCCCGCGCCCACGCCGGCCGGCCACCAGGCCGAGCTCAACTACATCTACGGCATGGTCGAGGAGCTGAGTCGACAGCTGGCCGACAACAGGAGGGTCACCGAGGACATTGTCAGCGGGCTGGGCAGAGTGCGGAACAAGGCAAAGGCCCAAGGGCTGGCCAACGGCGACGTGATTTCCTCTGCCGCCGACGACATCAACGGTGCGTCTTTGCGTCTTTGAAATATCCCTCCATCTTTTGCTGGTTGCGATTTTGCTAACACATGTCCCCCCCTGGCAGCCCAGGAATCCAACCTCGACAGCATCATCTCCGAGCTCTCAGAATCCTTCGACAGGGCCAAGCACAGCCGCGACGCAAACGCCGCCCTCCTCACCCAGTACGCAAACGCCCTCTCCCTCATGCTCAAGCAGTTCCACGACTACAAGTCCAAGCACGTCGCCGACGTCGCCGCCTGGCACCGCTCCTACCGCGCGCAGCTCGACGAGGCCCGCCGCGAGAACAGCCGCCTGCGCGAGCAGATCTGGGAGATGCAGACGCACGCCGCCCGCGCCAACGAGTCGCTGCGCAAGTTCCGCCGCAAGTACGACGAGGACGAGGAGCGGTTTGCGAAGCGCGTCGATGATACCGCGCTGAGGCAGGAGGTGCGCTTTTGGAAGAGGATGGCTATGCCGGAGCTCGAGGACGACGATCCGTACTGGAGCGGGGATGACGACATTATTGACGAGGCGGAGAAGGAGAGGCTGAGGGAGCTGGAGCTGCGTGCGGCTCAGGAGCAGCATATGGTGGATAGCCAGGGCGAAGACAGCGACGAGCAGCACCACTTGTCGTCTATGGGCATGATGGGCGGCATTGCTATGCAGAGAGAGGAGTCTTCTGGACAGATTTTGCCTATACCGCCTCCAAGGCCGCTCAGCGCGGCGTCTAGTACGGGGTCAACCGGTAGATGACCCAGGGCAAATCAAGACGGACAAGAACGATAGTCATTTTTCCAAGAACGAAGCATGGATTGTTGAATGGAGCTTTCCTCATGTACCAAAATGAAACTTGGAGATAAGGGGGTTGGGGGATGAGAAACGAAAGGCCACCTAGCGATATCCTCATCACGATGCCACAAGTGATGGCTGGGCTGGGTTACGAAATGTAGATGCATGTAATGGCGCGATCAGTGTTTAGGTAGCCGACAATTACTATTATTAAAACCAAATGAAATATAACAAACATGACACAAAGATTTTTCAGTCCAATTTAGGGCAGCTCTAGGCCCTTGATCTTATTTGCATCATGTCCGTTCCAGTTATCCCGCTTTCCAAACCCTTTGTTATCCCTCAAAGCCTAATAATACATGCAAGAGAATAGTATATCGTCAAATATGACCAGGTATGACAGTCTAGTACCCGCTTTGCTCTCTTCTGCTGTCACTATCCTTATCCCCGTTCTCCTTGGAAGAAGAAGCAGCTGCTTCGCCCGCCTCCTTGATCCCCTGCTCATCGCCTCGCAGCTTTGCAAAATATGCCTTGATATCCTCCGCGCCCACAGCCTTGCCGCTCTCCGCAAACTGCTTGAAGAATGGCGTAAGCTGCTCCTTGAGGTGGTTGTACGCCATGACGCCCTCGATGGCTCTGACGCGATCCATGTTGCGCAGGGCGCTCTCGCCACGGTCAAGCAAGCTGCCGCTTCCGTGTGTCGAGCCTCCGTGTTCAGAAGCGCCATCGTCGGACAGAGGGGGTTCGTAGACTTCCTCCTCTTCGAGTAATTGGGGGTGGGCGTTTAGTTTACCGTAGCAGTCTGAGCAGTGACAGAGCTTTTCGCGGAAATCCTCCTTAAAGAAGAGAGAGAAGCGGCCCTTGGGAGCGGGTGGTAGATTGGGCAGCTTGCACGAGGTTGGGCCATCTGTCTTGGCGGCTTGTTCTGCGACCTGAACTGCTGGCTTGGCGTCATCTCCATCCTCTGCGGGTTGAGCTGTGCTGACTTCTGCAATAGTAGATTCGGCGACTGGCGCCTCGCTCTCGCTCTTAATGCGCTTCGCGTCTAATTGCTCTTCATCTCCGTCGTCTTCGGCCTTGCGCTTCTTGGACGCAGCTGTGCCCGTGCTATCGTTGGATGGCGACGACGCAGTGGCTTCGGGCTGCTCTAGAAATATGGCTGGTAGAAAGCCCGAGGTTCCTGCATATTGTTTGACCCACGGGTTTGCATCCAAACACTTGTAACAGAGGAAGCCTTCAAAATCATCTTCGCTTGGAAATCCGGGAGGCATCGGTGGTTCATCGTCTTCGTCTTCGACGGCAACATCGCCACTGGTTTCGACTGCGCCATTGTTTGACTGCCCCTCGTCCTTCTCGGTGATTGTCGCAAGGGCACCCCCGTTGGTATGATGCTCAGTCTCCCTTGGTACCGGCTTTGATTTGTCCTTGTTCATCTGTTCGTACCATTTGGGTCCCATACCCACCAGGCAACCAGGGTGATACCAGTCCTCTCCACAGCCTCCAGTCTCTTGAGTCCCCAGCCCAAGGCATTGGAACATGGTTCCCTTTTGCTGGAACGGGTCATAATCGCACTCGCAGCAGCAGAACCGATTTTTGAAATTGTGGTTGTACTTGTTATTGGCATCCGGCTCTTCGGAATGAACGTTGCCCTTGGTATTGGTCCCGCTATTGATACGCAGCGTGCATGGACTGGTAGACGGGATGCGCGTCGTTCCGCAATCGCAGGTAAAGTTTCTCTTCTGGAAGATTTCGACAAGAGTGTGCTCGCCATGGCATGAGACGGAGCACGCGTAGCACATGCCTGCAGGAGTCCAGCTGTCTCCAGCTTTGGCCGGCGCAGGGTTGCAGGTCAGACAGGCAAAGACATTCTGTCGTAGCGGTCCGAGGATCTTGGTGCATGTCTCGATGCTCTGGACAGTATCACCATCAGCTGCTTGTACACGGATGACGCTGATGGCAGGTAGAGGTGGGAGAGGTACGTACGTAAGGTAAGGCTTCGCGAGCATCGGCTTCGAGGATTTGCTGATCGCGGAGAAAGCTATCGAACATGTCTGTTAGTTGCGTCCAGCAGCAGAATCCAATCCAATCCCTAGTCGCGACCTACTCTGCGGCAGTTTGAGAGTCGTCGGAAGCCCGTGACTGTTGGGAGAAGCTGTTGCTGCGGCCGTTGACAGCTTTTGTCTCTGCAATGGACGGTGTGTCCATCACTGGAGGTGGAGGCGAATCGCCAGACATGGTCGCTGGCAATAAAAGAATTGATGGAATGAAATTAGCAGCAGCGGAAGATAAATGGATGATCAAGTTCAGTAGAAGCCAAGATACTAAGCAGGGCTCAAGGTAGCCTGGCTGAAGGCTGGAGATAAGGACGACAGCACTGTGTAGCTTGAAACTGAGACCTGTTTGATGGACATATTAAACTGGACGCGAAACTGGTGATAAAATACTGGACAGATGCTTATCTAATTTTGTCGCCTCATCTTGAGAACGAATTAAAACCACTTTACGCGTCGGTGCCAAACGGGCTTAGCGCACGTCCATTAACGCGTCTTCAGCGCGTCTAGCAGCACTGAGCTCTGGCCAATTGCTCCCTAATCCCGCCCCCACAAACCAAGAAGCTGCATCGCCAGATTTCCGTCCATCCTTGAATTTTCAGCTTCTTCAAGCACCACCAGCGGGAGCCCATTGATAGCCGCCACCATGAGGTACGTCGACTCTGTTCTCTACACAATGTCGTTCTTTTGTAGCTTCTTCTAACACTTTGACACAGCTCTCCCCTTCGTGATCATCCCGCATCCGCCAATGTCGGCTCTGCCCCGCGATCAGGCCGCAAGCGCTCACGCCCTGATGGTGACGATGTTTCCACGCCTGGTGGACTGAGCTCCAGCCCGTTGCCGTCGTCTCCTCCTGGGCCGTTTAATATTGCCCATGGAGTTGACGAGGACGAGGAGATCGAAGAGGAGGAAGAGATCCAGGACGACATTGACGATATTGACGAGATGGCCGACGACGACGTTGACTTGTTCCGTGAAGGCTTCGAGGCCGATTACAGAGACAGAGAGAATGACGTCTACGAAGGCGCGGGATTGGATGATGAGGGCGATTTTGATTCTATGGACTTGGGCGAGAGACGACGACTCGAGGCTCAGCTCAACCGACGAGACAGAGAAGTTGCCCGCCGGCAAAGGATTCCAGCTGCATATCTTCCCGGCGATGACGATGACGGTGACATTGACCTGACGGCACAGCCTCGCAGACGGAGACATCACTACGATGAAGATCCAGATGATGCCATGGATGCCGACATCATGGACGAGGAGCTCTCCCTAGAAGCCCTGGGCGATGTCAAGGCCTCCAATCTGACCGAGTGGGTGTCTCAGCCTCCAGTCCAGCGAACCATCAAGCGCGAGTTCAAGGCCTTCTTGACATCATACATTGATGCATCTGGATCCTCCGTCTATGGTAACCGCATTCGCACGCTCGGTGAGGTCAACGCAGAGTCGTTGGAGGTCTCGTATGAGCATCTAGCTGAAAGCAAGGCCATCCTTGCCTACTTCCTTGCCAATGCCCCTGCTGAGATGCTCAAGCTGTTTGACCAAGTGGCCATGGATGTTGTGCTCCTTCACTACCCCGATTACGAGCGAATTCACTCCGAAATCCATGTTCGCATCTTCGACCTACCCGTTCACTACACACTTCGACAGCTGCGTCAGTCACACCTCAACTGCCTTGTGCGTGTCAGCGGAGTTGTCACGCGCCGAAGTGGTGTTTTCCCCCAGCTCAAATATGTCAAATTCGACTGTGGTAAGTGCGGCGAGACCCTGGGTCCTTTCCAGCAAGAGTCCCATGTGGAGGTCAAGGTTACATTCTGTCAGAGCTGCCAGTCTCGCGGACCCTTCACCTTGAACTCGGAGAAGACCGTCTACCGAAACTACCAGAGACTTACTCTACAAGAGTCTCCTGGCACTGTTCCTGCCGGACGTCTTCCCCGCCACCGAGAAGTCATCCTGCTGTGGGATCTCATTGACAAGGCCAAGCCTGGTGAAGAGATTGAGGTTACGGGCATTTACCGAAACAACTACGATGCCCAGCTGAACAACCGCAACGGCTTCCCCGTTTTTGCAACCATTCTCGAGGCCAACAACGTTGTCAAGTCTCACGATCAACTTGCTGGGTTCCGCTTGACTGAAGAAGATGAGCAAGAGATTCGCAAGCTGGCTCGCGACCCCAACATTGTGGACCGAATCGTCAACTCCATCGCCCCCAGCATTTACGGACACACAGACATCAAGACTGCAGTTGCACTGTCTCTGTTTGGTGGTGTTGCCAAGACTGGTAGAGGAGCCCATCATGTTCGTGGTGACATCAACGTGCTTCTTCTCGGTGACCCAGGAACTGCCAAGTCGCAGGTCCTTAAATATGTCGAGAAAACAGCACACAGAGCCGTGTTTGCGACTGGTCAGGGTGCCAGTGCTGTCGGTCTGACGGCTAGTGTCCGTCGAGACCCCCTGACGAGCGAATGGACACTCGAGGGCGGTGCTCTTGTTTTGGCCGATAGGGGCACATGTCTAATTGACGAGTTTGACAAGATGAACGATCAAGACAGAACTTCAATTCACGAAGCCATGGAACAGCAAACCATTTCCATCTCCAAGGCTGGTATCGTGACGACTCTGCAAGCCCGCTGCGGTATCATTGCTGCAGCCAACCCGTTGGGAGGCCGTTACAACTCAATGATTCCCTTCTCCGCCAATGTGGAGCTGACAGAGCCCATCTTGTCGCGTTTCGACATTCTCTGTGTGGTGCGAGATTTGGTAGAGCCATCTGAGGACGAACGGCTGGCGAGGTTTATCGTTGGCTCCCACGGTCGAAGCCATCCCTTGTCACAGGCCCGCCCAGACGCAACTGCCACTACCCAGGACACCGCCATGGATACCCAGCAGACAAGTGCATCCAGAGGCCAGCGTGATGGGGAGATTTCTCAGGAACTTTTGCGTAAATACATCTTGTACGCTCGAGAACGCTGCAGCCCCAAGCTCTACCACATGGATGAGGACAAGGTAGCCCGTTTGTTTGCAGACATGCGAAGAGAGTCCCTTGCCACAGGCGCGTATCCAATTACTGTAAGTTTGGAGCCCATTTCCATCTGAGAGTCGTATATTTCTAGACTTTGCGATGTGATACTAATGTGAGATACTCTTAGGTCCGTCATCTTGAAGCCATTATTCGAATCAGCGAAGCGTTTTGCAGAATGCGTCTTTCTGAGTACTGCTCCGCGCAGGACATTGACCGTGCCATTGCGGTAACGGTGGAGAGTTTTGTTGGTAGCCAAAAGGTCAGCTGCAAGAAGGCCCTAGCCCGCGCCTTTGCAAAATACACGCTGGCTCGGCCAGGTGCCAAGAAAGGAGGGAATCGATCGCAGAGGCAGCCAGAAGCCGTGATGGCCTAATAGGTTTGACCAAGGATGTGAGGGAATTTGGCATGATAATGGGGATAAGGGGGATCTATGGATGTGTTTTGCTTTAAAAAGACGATGATTATGCCATGGGCTAGAATTGAGGGCGTTTGGAATTGACTCGAGTAGCATATGATTAAAACTAATGTAGTTGCAATTTTTATAATGCTGGCTTTTTACAATCTCGAGAGCACTCTATGGAAATGACTATACTAAGAAATGCTGGTAATAGTTAGACACCTTCTATTGTACATTGTTTCAAATGAAAACAAAAACACAGAGCAAAAGGCCGACTACATACATAGCCGCGGACCGAGGATATGTAAAGCCACCTTCAGAAGTTTGGGAAGTTTGGTTAACTGCTTCCGTTAACACGTCCTCGTTATATGCCCCTGTTGCGGCAAAAGATGCCAGTACATCATCTACGCTCGACTGAGCAACTGCGCCAGTATAACTCTTTGCGCGCCACTCGGCGTCTAATGGGTCAGCAAGCACCAGGTCCGACGCATTGTAGCCCAGTCCCTGAACGGCCGTGAGGTTGAAAGCGTCCATCATCGCATGATCTTCGTGGATGGCGTTGTGGCAGTGAAACATGTACACGCCAGAGAACGGGGCGAAGGAAACTGCTATTGTGACTGTTTCTTCTGGGCCGAGCACGGCGATGTCTTTGAGGGCTGCTTTCTCGTAGGGCTCAACGGTGTTGCGGCCGCCTGAGCGAGATATGAGCTGGAAATCGACCAGATGGACGTGAATCTACCAACAAATGTCAGTATATTAGCACATGATGTTGGATAGAGAACATACCGGATGGCTCCAATATGGATTATGATTCTCCAGAACCCAAACCTCCGAGGCTCCTGATTGAGGCGCTGCAAGAACTCTGTTCTTGACATCGGTAAACGGCACACCGTTAATCACCCACTCGCCATCCCTATTCGTTATTAGCGGTGACTAACTTTATAGAGGATATAGACTCACGATTTGTCAAACTTGAATGTCCGGTGAACAAGGTTGCCAGTGGGTGGAGAGGCTATTGAGATTAAAGATGACGGAGGCGAATTGTTGTTTGCGTTGGAAGAAACTGTTGATCCCACATTGAATTGCATGACGAGATTAGTCTCTGAAAAGTCTTGAGAGTCAAAAACATTTCGTTGGTTCATAAGAGTCAAATTGCGGTTCTCGAAACCAGAAAAATCGACAATCACTTCCCATCTCTCTGCCATGGCGGTAGTCAACTCAGTGGTCGTTACCGTGGTACTCAGAAATCCAGAGTCTGATGCGACGACTTGGAGGGGCAATGTGACATTGCTTCCGCTGCTTCTATCCACTATGCTGAGGATAAAAGTTCGACTAAGAGCTGAGTTTAAAAATCGAAATCGGTATTTTCGGGGCTCGACTGATAGGAATGGCCAAGGTTGTCCGTTTACTTCGATGATATCACCGTAGACGCTGCTGGTTTCTTGAGCTACCGAAGTAAGATTACCGGTGGAAGTGTATTGCTTCGAGTTGAGAGCGAGTAGAATGTCATATTTGCCTTGAGGTAAGCCAAGTCGGGCCTCTACCTCGGCATCTTCGATGATGTAGAAGCCCGCTAGACCACTGAACAAGTTGACAGAGGTGATCATGTTTGCGTGGTCTTCATTTTGTTAGAACTAGATAGACGGATTGGGCGAAGAGGGTATGTATGCACCGTGGTACCAAAGAGTTCTGGCGGTATTCGAGTTCGGAAAGTAGTAGTCCTTGTACTCGCCTGGCTGGATTAAATCCTCGGCCCAGCCGTCCCAGACTGCGCGAGAGTTTGATCCATGGAGATGTAGTACAGATGGCTGATCTATCGAGGCCAATTGTCAGATCCGGCTCAGCGTAACTCGAGGAGTGTCAGGTTACCATTGTGATTTACAACGCGTACCACGCTTTGTACGCCGCGTTGTACTCTAAAGATTGGCCCTGGGGATATTCCGTTGTATCCTACAAGGCTAGTCTTGGCGAGGTTTGGGTATATCTGGGTCTGAAACGATGTGATGTTGAGTTGGTAAAAGTCAATGGTTACGTTTGTATTGCTATCGTTGTACGAGCTATTCAAGATGATTAGTTTGATTAAATCCTAGGAGTGAACAGAATATGCATGGACAAAACGCACCGAAGTGGCTGAATAACTGGAGGTATAGGGACAGGAAATTGGAAACGGTAGTTGTAGGGTGGTGACACAGATGATTTGTCCGAATGGTCGTCATCTGACGATGATCCATGTTTCGATCCCGCATTTGCGAAGGGAGCGGAAAAAAGTTGGAAGAAAAGAGTGAAAATCAAGAGCTTGTTAGTCATTTTGAAGGTGTCTAGAGAATTGTCGATCACTACATAGTCAGGAACGGCGACATGGCCATAAGTTAAATACACGGAAATTTAAGCAATTATACTATAATTTAAGCAACATAGGCTAATTTTAGAGTACAATCAACTTTTTTTTGATACAATAGATGTATAGGAAAAAAATAGCCACTGAGTATGGCGCGGCGACTGCGTAAGCTGCCGGTCCTAGACGGGTGTGGGACTCGGCCGAGTACATGGGCAGAACAGAAATCGCAATTGTCAACACGGCCGGAATCAGGCATATAAATAAAAAGTGAATTTTTTATTTGAGGCACCTAGTGTGTTTCATGCATACGATATGGCAAACGGTAGTTTAAAATTATTGCTCAAACGTTGTTGCAATTACAGTCATATCGGTTCTTACTACGGGGCACCAGTATGTAAAATCTGTTCTATATATATACAATATTTGATCCATCAGTGAGGACTAACGTGTAATCCTTGTGTTGCATACTTTATTATAGCAAGTAATTGTGGTATTGAGGCTGCATAATATTGTCTAGACTCTATTGCTACTTCCTCTTAGTAGCCGATCCAATATTCATCCTGATGTTGTTACCAAATCTACATGTCTTCATCTCCATCCATATGTTGTCCAGTGAGCTGCTTTTAACAGCGTGAATAGTGCCAACCCCTGCCTTAAGCCGACAGAATGGGTGACTAGAGGCTCGGATTAGCAACCTATTGTACCAATACACTTTGCCAATCGCTACTTACTATGTCAGGCTCAAACTCCGTCTCAACGTTTAGCCAGTTCACGGCCAAGGCGACTGTGAATAGCATGCAGTGTGGAGGGAATAGCCAGCCTGTCGCTAGTTGATAACCCACAATCGGAAGGGGCAGATTTTCGCATTTGTAGTGAAGAAGGACAAATCCACACACTGCGAATAAGAGCGATACCAAGTAGTATTTTAGAGCCATTTTGGACCACGGTATGCCGAACTGCCTGCTAGTATATTAGAAGTGCCGTTGCGTAATAGCTGATGGGATAACTATCTTTGTCGAATTGGAAATATCCAGTACAATTGAGTCGTTAAAAAGTATATATATATTTAGTATATGGTAACTGGCATGGAAGGTATTATCGTAGACGCGGAAGAAAGCTCAGAGCATCGTCGTAATCTGCCTCGTCGTAACCTGTACATTCGTAATCCGCTAGATCGCTAGGCTGTAAGAACATACCGTAAGAAATCGGTTATTAACAGGTTGTATACTCGGCCGACAGCATCAGGGCGGCGCAGTTAAAATCCGTCGTACGTTTACAGACAAAAATACAATGATTCCCCGTTTATTCATCATGCTTTCAATACTACCTTGTTTGAACAGCCGCCTTGGCAAGGCAGATTCCACACCGTCTATTACATTGTTTATGAACCGAAAACACAAAGAAAACATCCAACGCTTCAAGATAACATAACAAACATACCACGCTCGTCAAGCTATCGAAACTAAATTTTAAGCCGGTGACAAGCTGCCAACGAAGAAGCCAGCGGATCAATTCTCGAGAAAACCTATATCTGGCAAAAGTTTCAGAACTGAAACTAACAGAAAATGTCCTATTTTAAAACAGAGAGAGTAATGTATTTCCTTCTCCCAAATTACCACACACGCTTGCAATGTACTCAAGATTATTCGACGCGGTGGAATCGTGAGGCCTGTTAAGAGAGGTGCCTCACGGCGGAGAAGGTGCAGACACACAGTCAGCATCGCCGAAAGAATGTCTAGTTTGAAGAGACGACCCAGGAGATTTGTGTTGTCCGGCCGGTTTTGCTCTTCAAGATCTCGGTGGTGCACCAGAATTGCCAGGCTGCATTCCAGAGAAACCCAGTACGAAACTTGGTACTCCAACGGGGCGGCGGGATGCAATGCGTGAGAACGGTGTAGTACGAGGAGAATACGACGGAAAAACATATCCAACGCCATGTAGAGCCTCGGCTTGCCGTGTATGCTACCCAATAAGGCGTCCATGAGTTGGCGCACGTGGTCATTATGCTTCACCACTTCATTGTATAATGGCTTCTCACTATCACTAGTGATTCTGGAGATTATATGGCATATTGACGGGTAGACCCTAATTAACATTACCCATGGGTCATTTGTCTGGAAAGTGGACGGTGGTGAATGTTTGGTGAACATATCGGCTGATACAAGCAATGGCTTTCCCGTAATCGTGGCGACTTGTACGCAAAAGTATACGATGATGGACCACAGCGTCTGGCTAGACTGCCAGGCACGAATGCCCTCGCGCGACTGATCCAGTGGCGCTCGCTGTTTGTGCAAGTCCATTCCAACGGCGGCACGCGTGACAATACCCAGCAACGTCCAGCACGAGTCGAATGTACGACATGTCGTACTAACAGTTTGCTTAGCGAGAACCATGAGGCAGAGAGTCCTTATGGCTATTATGTCTGGTTGGACCATGAAAGGCGTCTTGCTCAGACAAGCCTCTGCTGCCATGCAGAGTTCGATTGTTGCATGCTGATCTCTCGTCACGGCAAAACATCCCAGTGCTAATACCATCAAGAAGCTGGCTAGCCAGGCCATATCTGCCGCTTTGGGGTCATTCCAAAATGCCTCGACCAGAGGTAGAAATGCAGAAGTGTCAATAATGGGATGACTTGTCTGGTAGAGGACCAAGTAGCCATCTACGTAGGATTGGTAATTCTCTCTATGGCGTTGGAGGAGTTCTTGGACAGCGTCCATGGATGCAAATTTGGCAGCTGCAGGGCTGTTGAAGGGAAAGTTCTCGGGCATTATAGAATCATCCGGAACTCCCGTCTTTTGCTGGCGAATAAAGTCGGGGATCAGATCGCAAACCTGAAGGCCATTATGCCCAGCTTGCAGCTTTAGCTGTAATAGCATTTAGTTAGTTTAGTCCAAATTAACCACTCTACGCTCCGAATACATGTACCTACCGTGGATAAAACTTCAGTCCAGTGGGTGGCGCTCCGACTCTGAGAATGCCATGCCTCGATAACGCTGTCTGGGTCTTTTGCAACTTGTTGTGGACTGGCGTTTGACGGGCCGGTCCTTTCTGCCCTGTGGTGATATGCGCAAGACTTGCCCCAGCCAGACATGCGGCATCGTGAGCAGGGTAATTCCTTGTCACACTTGACCTTGAGTCGATGGCATCGTATACAAGAGAGCTGGGCTCGTTGCCTGTTTTTTACAAGGCCAGGTTGCTTGTCGCTGTTGCTTTCCAGGCTCACATGGTGTTCAGGATGTGAGACTGAAGGCCGTGAGAGCTCTGCCTCAGACTGTGGAAGTGTATCGATTATCGAAACGGAGGACCCAGAGTCAGACCCATTCGTAGGTGAACGAGCACCAAGTGAACAGGTGACATTCGCTCTGGTACATCGCTGACATGAAGGTTTCGATTGGTTGCATTGAAGCTTGAGTAGCCGGCAGCGACGGCAGGTACGGATCTCCCTCTTAACTCTTCTGACGGGCATGCTGCAGTTTCGGTGACAACGGATGTGAAGGTGATGACACAAATAGGTTTGGAGATATATTGCGTCCCCTGGTCGAAAGTGATTGAAGAGAGAATAAGCTTAAGTGAAATGTAAGGGCAAATCTACCGTACTGCAACAATCTCCTATATCTCATAACCCAAGGTCTAGCGCTTAGTATTGAGGTTCGGCTGAGACAGCGCCCGCTTACAACCGATGACTTACGACGCTGGTCCCATTGTATTTTCCCGCCAATAACAAGTCAAAAGACTTTACTGCTAATGGTAGTTTAACTGCTCTATGGACCAAAAAGAATAAATTATAAGCATAGTGAACTATAATGCAACTTCCAAACCTATTGCTGCTAGGAATAACAGTTGAGTATCTAGCTATTTACTAGCGGGAGAAAGTTTTGACTTGCACGTGTTTTTCAAGAAGTGACGGGCAGCGAGATGAGTTTACATGTACATGAAATAATATACGACTGTTCTATCGGATGTTTTAACAATGTCAGAAGTTTCTCTAGTAAATGAATCATCCTCATCTACACCTTTACCATAAACTTGGGACCAGCTTTGGCAATCCTTGCCGCCAAAGCCATCAGTGCCCCAAGAAGAATGCACGAAGCTGCAAACATTTGCGCCCCTAGATAGCTTCCCCCTTGTCTCTCTATTATAGCGCCACAGATCGCAGGGCCTGTGAGAGTTGAGAAACTCACAAACCCAAGAATCATTCCGACACGTGTGCCGGTTTTGCTGGGATCGGGAGTCATGGTTGTGGCGACAGCTGGGAAGAGCGCCTGCAATGCTGCAGCAATCAGCCCATATACAATGGCAAAGGCATACAGTCCAACGGCCGACGATACTGCCGCCCAGCAAAATACGAGCAAGCTGGCAGCGAAGCTCGTTGGAATTAACATATTGAGCATTCCGACCCATTTATCGGCCACAATTGTCGGCAAAGTGCGCCCGACGATGCCAACACCGTTGAGAACCATGAGTAAGTTGATTGGTTCCTTGATCCCGATCTTGTCTCGAGCGTAGGTTCCGAGGTAGAAGAATGCGAAATAGAGACCCCAAAAGTTTAGAAACATGCTCAGAGAGAAGAATAGGAATGGCACGTCGCTGAAGGCAGTTTTGTCGGTCCACCCTCCCGTTTTCCGGGGTGGGAGACGAGGCTTGAACCAGATCAAGCATGGGATATAAGTCGCGAGCATGATGAAGCCCATAATTCTTAGAGTCCAAGGAAACCCAAAGTTGTCGTGGAAAATGAGCTGGTTAATCAGGACAGGGTACACGAGCCCACCCACAGCGGCGCCAGCAGCAGAAAGGCCGACGGCAAAGGCTCGATATTTCTTAAAGTACTGGGAGAGAACGGCTATGGCTGGGCAAAAGGTCAAGCCGTTGCCGATACCGAGGCAAACAGACTGCGCTAGAAATATCTGCCAGTAAGCCGTGCAAAGCGATGTCATGAAGATGCCCAAGAGCTGGAGAAACACCCCGCACGCGAATGTGATTCGGAAATGGCCAGCGTCGGTCAGACGCCCTGAGAAAGCACCAATGGAAAAGAGGAAGAAGACTTGGACACTGCCGATCCAAGAGATGGAAGACTGAGATTTGCCGAGAGTCTGGGTGTAGTATTCTTGAAAGACGCCATAGCCGTTTGCTACGCCCCAGGTGTTGAAGAAGATGATGTGCATGAGCAGGACATGCATCCACGCGGTGAAGCCGCCATCGGGAGGATCACTGGGCTTATCTTCGAGCTCTTGGCTACCCAGAACTGTCTCATCTGTATCGCATGAAACGTTCCCATCGGGCCCTTCTACTTCTTTTTCGAACCCCATGATTCAATATGACTGAGCCTTGTGGTTGTGCTCTTGTCAACCGCTGTGTATATGATTCCTTGTAAGTTGTGCTAATATAGATGACTTGGTGTAGGCATACTGTAAGCGTACATGTATAAAGCTAAGCCAAGTTTCTTTCTAATCCGAAAGGCAACAAACAGAATGAATCCAAGTTTTTAATCACATTTTAAAGCAATCAAAAGTTTCTTTCATACTGCCTTGTTATCAACTGCCCAAAGCTGATCTCCGCCCCCGATGATATCCTCTACCCGCTTTATGCGTGATACCCGTTAGCTACCGTTATTCCCGCCAGCGCTATATCTCATTTTGGTAAAAGTCCCCGTAAGTCAGCCCGGATCTCGCAAAAGTAACTTCATTCAGTGTCTCTTGGCCAACCCATCAAGCTGTTGATTACACCTAGGAAAAAAACAATTTATTAAAACATTTACCTTACATAATTCTCTTGACAGTTGATTCTTTGCTCGGTTGAAGCTGTATATCGTGGCGTCATGACTCGACTGGAAGGGCGCAAGCGATCAAAGCTCGCATGCCAGACGTGTCGCGAGCTCAAACGGAGGTGTGACGGCGCTCATCCGTGTGGGACATGCGTTCGGTTCGAGTATCATTGCAATTACCAAGTGGCCAGGAGAAGAAGAGAGCCGGATCGCAACCCGGGCCCGACCGGGGATTCGGCACCGGCGCCGACACAAGCATCAGCGCTGCCGAGTTTGAAGTCTTCCCTTGACGATGTCGCATCATCGACGGCGAGTTCGCATGCCCAGGCTCGCTCAGTGGAGGCGAATTCATGTCCCGCATTTGTCAGGAGCATGGCTCTGCGGCTGGATCCCAAAAGAAACCCCCGGATGCACAGCTTTGCCTGGAACGCCTTTCTTGGATCACGGCGGACTTCACATACTCCGGCCGTGGAATCAATCACGGACGTGGTATCCCAAAAGAGGCTACAAGAACTAGCAGTCGTATATCTTCTAAAAGTTGACCCGGTTTATGGATTCATCGATCGCGAGCAAGTCCTTCAGCATATCCAGCAAAGATGGGCCGCCCGCAATGCTACTCATGCGCAAGATGCTGTGCTGTGTGGTATCGCTGCCCTGGGATGCTTGTTCTCGCAGGTCAATGCTGACACGGCCGAGGTCGCCTTGGTAGAGTTGGCAAGAGTCTTGCTAGAGAAGACCTTGTCAACTGCCCCGTCCGTTGATATCATTACGGCATGGCTGCTCCGCGTTATCTATCTCAGGATTGCGGACACACATTACGCTGCTTGGATGGCAAGCTGTACGGTGATGCACATGATAGATGCTGCTGGTCTCAATATGGAAGCCCCGGAGGAAGCTATAGATCCAGCCCCTCACCAAGATATCAGCCTAGAGCTAAGGAAGAGGATAGTGTCTATTGCTCAGCATCTCAACATATGGATGTCGTTTGACATGGGGCTCACCCGCGTTGCTCTACCTGATACAATCACGACAGTCCCTTTGGTGCGAGAGGGAGACTTTACCAGCGAGCTCATAGAATTGCTTCCATTCTCAATAGAGCTCGACCCGCAACGAAAACCCACGGCATTTGAGTTGGAATATGCGCTTCAAGTAGTGCTCGGCCGCATGCATTCTAGCCCGCCGTCGGTTCTTGCTCAGTGCAACTTGGCGCTCTGTCTTTGTCGCAGACTGCGGTCGATGGACGTTGCACTGACAGATTCTGTGCTCCAGCAGGTGCTCACGCTGACATCAAACGGGATTCGGGCTGTCCAAGCAATATTAACCGCTCGCTCTCCTTGGCATCAGATGACCTATGTGCCTTTTCAGATTGTGTGTGTGTTGCTTGCTATAGATACGGTTTCGTCAATCTCCCAGTTAAGAGACGCAATGCAATGCCTTCAAGATGTATGCGCAGTCTACAACACGGAAGCAACGCAGGAGGCGTTGAGGACGGCCCGCTCGCTCGTCTTACTACACCAAAGAGGCAAAGAGATGTTTGCTTCGGCTCTGAGTGAGATATTGAAGAGCCGCCCAATGAGCCCCGTTGGGGATGTCACAGACAACTGCGCTGTATTGGATGATACAGCTGGCATGAATAATTTTTCGGACCAATTTTTTGGTCTTCAGTATAACGACATGGATCAACTTTTGAGCGCCGACTTCTTCTGGAATATTACCAACAATAGATTTTAATATGCCTAGCAGATTTGTGTTTGGCATACCAGGCTTGTATTCACTCGTGGTCTGTATAACATGTCTCTAATTCTAATCTTAATTCTAATCCCTGCAACTATGCTATCAGCACTCAATGTTTTTGCCTAGAGAGAAGTGTTGTTTAATTTATAAATTTCATCTAGCTTCTAATCTTGGCTGAGTTGAGCCCGTGCCCTTAATTTTGTAGTCGAAGCTCGTGACCGAGATATCCTCAGCAGTAGTAATCGTGGTATACTACTAAATCTCACTGAGCTCCTTCTTAATACTCTCTCGTAGACTCAAGTTATCCTTGATTCCCAATAAGTCGGCATCATTCTTTCCGATATCGACTGGGTCTTTAGAGTCGTCTGCCAGGAAAGTATACTGGACAAAAGGGACCACAGAGTTGCCATAGTCACCTTTCGCCACACTGTCAGTTGCCGCTTTGATCAATTCGCTGCCCTTCAGTTGAGTAATCTGGAACTTGGAACCAGTCTCTTCTTCGAAAATCTTCAAAACCTCGTTTTGAGTGATGGCGAAGGAGAATATAGACAGATACTTGTTTGCAGTCTCTTCTGGCTTCTTCAAGATAGCGGCAACAGCTTCGCCGATAAATGAAACATGTGTCGCTGCGTATGGCTTATTACCAGAGTCGACAATTGTTCCAGTCTTGTCCTTGGCATTGATTCCGAGTAGAAACTGAGTTTTGATGCCCTGTTGTATTTGTAAGATGAATATGCGCTGCACGCATTAGCGGTAGTCGGGATCTTACCCAGTCAAAGAACAGCCCAACTGCCAATCCTGTCCAGCTGAACCAAGGGTTTTTCTTGGCAACCTCGGCAAGATAATCGGTTACGCTGAGCTTGTTAGCCAGGATCCAGCCGAGACTCTTTTCTTCGGTGCGCCGCGTATCGACACCAAACTCGGATGGCAAAAATCGCCGGACCTTGGCGGCGACAGCAGCGTCGATGATTGTTTTCTGGTCGCCTACTGCTGCAGGTGAGATTGTAGAAACAAGAGCATCATGCCCTTGGAGGACACTTTCGACTGCTTCTTTCGAAGTTATATCAATTCTTTTGACAGTGACCTTATCGGTAAATGTGGCTTGCGACTCGAGCCGTGTAATAACTGTGACTTCGAATCCGGCATCCAAAAGTCCGTTGACGACATGGGGACCAAGGTTTCCAGATCCCTATGAAATGATCATCAGCACGACTGAGGAGTTGCGTTGATAAATATATTTCTAGAGTAGATAAACTTACGCCCAGCACCGCAACCTTTTTAATAGCAGCCATATTTGTGCTGATTTGTGAAGATGATGTTTCGTAAGGTAGATTGAAGGGTTTGTTTAGTGAGTGATGAACTTGAGTCTCTTGTTGTTTGTTGAGAAGATACTAAAAACTCAAGATAACTCATGGCTTTATATATTGCTGCAAAACCTGTACATCTGGCATATTTAGACATAACTTAGTGTTGCGTATGCAAATGACGAAAGGTCCGCTGCTGATGAAGCATCACGGAGTTCCACGCTTTCAACTCCACGATTACTATCCTTACTATCCCAATACGCGCACGGAATGGTACGCTATATGGCATCCCGTCTTCATTTGCCCAGGATCGATATCCTTGATTCCAATCCTTCAAGTAGAAACATTGCAGTTGTGTTGATGAAGGGTGGGTACGTGATGAGTAAACGTCCTGGTCTAGTCTCAGCAATACCCGACTCGTGTCGGATTTTCGGCGGTAGTATCGGTGTCTGACGGTGGACAGCTGATAAATCACCGCCAACTACCGCAATATACCGCAACGCGTTGGCCTTTGAATCAAATGCTCTTTGTTGCAAAAATGGAACACCAGCAGTTGGCAGCTCGCATTTCCTGCTTCTCGTGCCGGCATAGCAAGAGACGCTGCGATAAAACTCTACCGACATGTCAGCTTTGCATTCGTAGGGGAGTGGATTGTCGTTATCCTAAGCGCCGAGCCCAGAAGTATGTTGTTTTACCGGACGGAGATGAAACGACTGAAGACAAGATACCAGCAAGACATGATCTATTGGTGAATAGAGCAGCTGATAGCGATCGTTCGAGTGATTGGGAGCAACAATCGCCGTTGGAAACACCAAATGCTACAACGAGCGCCATCCAATCATTCGGCACGGCTACAGCCATTCAGTTTATTGCGCCCACTCTTTTCCGCGAGGCACGTTTAGAGATCCCGCGCATCAACATTACGATTCCTAGCCATGTTGCCGCCCTCACAGGAGAGTTTGAGCAAATTCGCGACATATCTGCTACGTTCTTCTCGCAAGTTGTCATATGGACCCCCGTCATCTTTCGCAAGAATTTCTTCAACATTGCCCTCAATCCACTGTCTCCCCGACGGACTGAAGGCATCCTACTCTCGCTATGCATGAAGTTGTACTGCACACCAACCACCCAAGATGAGCGAGATGGAAGAACAGCACTCTACAAGGCAACAAAACAATTCTACTGCGAAGTAGAAGCCGCTGGAATCCTGTCCATCTGTATTTTGCAATCAGCAATCTTGATTGCCGTCTATGAGATCGGACACGCCATCTATCCTGCTGCCTATTTGACAGTTGGTGCCTGTGCCAGGTATGGCATTGCACTGGGCTTAGATAAGCTGCTTGTGGATTTGACGGGAGAGAATAACACGGGAAAACCTTGGATGGAAGTAGAAGAGATGAGGAGAGTTTGGTGGGGGATTCTCATATTAGATCGGTATGCTTCTCAGTGTTTTTGTTTTGAGAGTGAACCTTCTTCACTCTCTCTGTGAGATGTCTGACTAACCTGAGATACAGATTCCTGAACCTTGGTAACCCACTGAGGGGCCTGACAACAAAAGATCCAGAGTACGATGATTATCTTCCAGTGGATGACTGGACATTTTTGAATGCGGTGAGAACCATTCTTCTATGACTAACAATGGATGACACCCCTAATAAACCCCGCTCCTTTTCAGACTGCAAAGCCTCAAGATAATCTGCGGATATCTGCTGCCTTCAATCTTAAAATGGGCGTGTTTACACGACTAGCCCAAGCAACCTATCTAGTAAATCAGGCTCTCAAGTTCTTGTCATCTCTTCCGCCACCGGGCGACCCAAACGACACCGTCGATATTGCAAAAGATACTGCGCAACTACGGCGCACAATTTGGGCACTGATCTCCGTAACCAAGTCGGAGTTTGACGCTCATGATCTTGCAACCTGTTGTCAAACTGCAGTCTCTTATTGGTATGTAAAGCTGGCAGGGAAGTCCATGATAATTACTAACTTGTGGTTAGTGCCATATTACTACTTCAAGATGCTCATTGGCGGCGCGTGCGCATCAGCTCAACTGAAGACGCTTACAAACACATGTTTGCAGAGTCGGAAAGAGTCTTGGAAAACCTGGCGCGCATGGCATTCTGTCTCCGTAAAGACAAGGAAGAAGGGCTATGCTTAGATGAAGAGTTTCCCGTGTTTCTCATGCAAATAGTGTTTCAAGGAGCATTGACCACAATTGAGATGGGTCAAGGCAACTCAAACAAAGAGATCAAGGAAAGAATAGCAATATACAAATGGCTACTCCAGCACCTGCAGTCCAGATGGCGGGTAGCAGGTAAGTTCAAACACAACAAAAGTCCACGGGAATCGCTAATAGTGTTCATATAGGCATATATCTGTCCATTCTACAATCTAAAGAAGCAATAATGGCATCTGTTGTCTAAAAATTGCTCTAGATTCCTGTAACATAAGTCAGTTCAAGTAGACACATCTAGATGATTGCTTAAACAATATAGACTACAAGTTAAACATATGTTATGAGAGGTGGGCAGATCCCAACCCGCTGCATAAGAAATAAATAACTAGCAGTTTGGGAGACTTGGTGGAATTCGAATCAAAAGCTCAACTCTTGTGATGTATAATAAAATACCACTATGGAAGACTTCTGCGTATTCCTTCTTTGCGATGGCCCGCATACCAGCACTATTTACTGAGAAACGGGACTCGCCAGACCATCATGATGAAGTTTTGTCTTCTGCTACTATGAACAGTGTTTTACACAATGCCGCCGCTGGCGGAAATGTACTGGCCTGTAATCCAACGACTCTTCTCGTCTGCTAGAAGTAGAACCGCATCGGCGATGTCATTCACCGTTCCAACTCTATCTTCAGCTCTTGTGAGAGAAATAAGCCACTTCTTCAAAGCTTGTGACCCAGGATCCACAGCAGGTACCGAATCTGTATCCACTGGCCCTGGTGCTATAGTGTTAATGGTGATGTTTTTGCCGTCACGACCAATTTATCAGCATGTTAGCGACCTTTTTCTGTTTTCCGACTCCAACAACTGATTCCTTATATATCTTTCGGGTTTCATCAATAGAGCGCAAACTCACCTCCCGCGATAGAGTCCAGGTTAGCTGATCCATGGCTGCTTTAGCAGCGGCATAAATCGGCAACTGATAAAATCCCATCTTAGAGGAGACAGTGCCGATGTTGATGACACGACCCCCATGAGGTATATGTGGGTATGCAGCTTGCAGAAGAAGGACTGGTCCGACCACTACTACTCCGAACACTCTGAATATGTCTTCTGGCGGGGTTTGGAGCGTCGGCGAGTAGGTTGCTATGACAGCATTGTTTACTTTGAACAACAACAGAATTAGCATTGAATCAATTTTCAGTAATTGCGTGGGTTGTCTCCAAGACAAGGACATGTGATTACAACAAACGAGAAAGATTCTTACCAATAATGTCAATGTGATCGACCTTGAATCCACTCAAAGTGCCTTCGACAATCTTTTTGGTCCCTTCCGCAGTGGAAACGTCTGCCTGTATCGAGATCACGCTTCCCTTACCGGCAGCAGCCTCGATAGTAGAGACAACTTCCACAGCCCTTGCTGCAGATGAGTCGGACACATGGTTGATCGTGACACGGGCTCCAGCACGAGCTAAGGTGAGCGCGATGGCAGCCCCAATCCCATTCTCTTTCCCTGAACCCGTGATTATTGCAATTTTGTTTGCAAGAGGACCTTGTACCGCCATCTTGAAGAAATTGAGAGGTTGCTTTGATGATGCTGTCGTGTGAATGTGAAGTGCAGGATAATCGAGAAGAGGGTGACTATGTGCTCCTTATATAGTAGAGCTTATTCATGTGCGTTTGTCTGCTTAGAACATCATAACCATAGTTACTGTATTGAAGTACATCGATTCAGATCTATTAAACTTTGTAATCACAAAGCCTCTTGAGCCAGAATCTAGGCGTATTGCCTATAGCAGGCAGTGGTCCTTTTTTAGCCGCATTTTCTGTATTATACAATTGCTTTACAAACCAAGTAGTAACAGTTACTGGTATTCCACTAGCGGTATGTGGAATTGCAAAAGTGTCTCGATTAGAAAGATGTGATTATGAATCTCGTCGTGAATGTTATTCATGGAACATGCCACAACCCAAAGAGAAACAGTGCTCTCCTGGGATTAATACAGGCTTGACTTCTTACGAGACTGTTTAATATCAACATCACGACTTTTATAAAGTACCCAGTTTATTAAGCTAATAAGAATGTCATTAGAGTATACGGAGTAGTAAGCTGATCATTGGCAAAACTTCTACAACAACAGTAACCTGTTAAGGCAAATGGTGTTTCTTGTCTTGCAGATTAGGGGGGGTCAGAATAGAATTTCCAGACCGGCTCTAACTGTAAATATAGGCATGATACTAAGTAATAGAGCATGAGAATTAACCATGTCGGGGACACAAATTACTCCGACGGATAGTAGTATTCGCGACCGGATAACTTCTAGGTGCACTCTCGTCGTAGTCGTAATTCATGAATACACACCTCAACCAGGTAAGTTGAGTGGCAAATTTATATGCAAGCTAGTTGACTCTGTTGCCCAAATCTGGATACATTCCACCACTCTTGTCGCCACGCTTTACTTGAATCGCATAAGCGGATATTTAGCTTAGGTTTAATGTCTTCTTTGGGCAGGGAATTCCAACTATTAGGCCACCGACAAGGTAAAGCTGTATATTATTCTGTTGCTGCAAGCTGATAACTGTTAAAACGTACTGGATATAAAATACGTCTACCGTGGCATCAATTTGCCAGTAAACAATTTGCTCTCAATGCCATGAACATGAAGGAAACATTTTCAGCAATCTGTACTTAAAACCATGACGCACACCCCTCCAGCAGAACCCGAACCTAATATTTCCAGCGAATTCCCCTTCGAGCTCCATGTTATCGATGTATTGGATGGTAAAATCGCATATATCGACACCGGCAATTCTTTAAACGATGATATCGGTATTACACATATCTTCATCCACGGTAATCCAACCTCATCGTACATCTGGCGCAATATCATTCCTCATGTTATGCCCAAAGCTCGATGTATTACCCTCGATTTAATCGGTATGGGTTCGTCGTCCAAGCCCAATATTTCATATCGCTTTCACGAGCACGCAGAATACTTGGATAAATTCTTGGAGAAAGTCGTCCCTACTGGCAAAGTTATTCTAGTAACACATGATTGGGGCTCAGCTTTAGGTTTTGATTGGGCTTTCAACAATGAACATCGAATTGCAGGACTCGTCTTTTTCGAGTTTGTGAGGCCATTTCCAACATGGGAGGATGCATCCCAAGGGGATATCCAACAAGCCTTTCGATCCTTTAGAGTGGAGCAGACAGGAAGGAAACTCTTGATTGATGAGAATGCATTTATCAACAAAGTATTGGTTGATGGAATCGCCCGATCTTTATCTGTGCAGAAATGGATTACTATTCAAGACCATTCTTACAACCATCCGATCGCGAGCCACTGTATAGGTGGCCCAATGAAGTCCCAATTGAAGGAGTGCCGGTAGATGTGAATGAAAGGCTTACAAAATCTCATGATTGGCTTCTGCAAGCAGACATTCCAACTCTACTATTTTGGGCTGATCCTGGGTGGGTTATCAGAGCAGAGAAAGCTCAGTGGTACCTGAATACATTGCGCAATGCCAAAGGCATCTTTGTTGGAAAAGGATATCACTTTTTACAGGAGGATCATCCACACCGTATAGGGACGGAAATACTAGATTGGTCTCAAAACATCTAGTATAATATTTCTTTGTAGCCAATTGTTACTGGTACCATCTTGCGCCTTTGAGTTTGTTGCAGTTTACACCTACTTAACTCCCTGTACAAGCGAACGTGCATTTAGACTGTCCCATCTTATCCAAATTTTTTCTCTTAGAAGAGTAGAAAGCTGTTGAATGCACTGAATGCGGCGCTGGTCCCAAACGTGCCATGGGAATACTTGTCGGGTTTTCTTATCGATCAGAACCGACCTAGTCGTGAAAGGACTGTCGTTATAAACTTTGAAGAGCTTGAATCAAGAGGTGAAGATGAAGTGGTATGAGAGGAGGCTACTTCAAGCTTAGAGATATTTGCGAGTACCTTAAGTCCAACTAAAATGTTGTTGTTTTCCACGAAAGAACAGAGTTATAGTTTATGCATGTTGGTTTCTTTGTGGTGCAAGTGTGTAAGGAACGCGGTTGAATGCACACTCAGTGTCAACCCCGTCCTTGAATAACCCCACCCGTGCCGCGAAGTCTGGTCAAGAAATAGCAATTAGAAGACAAAAGATGAGAACTAGATCTGGCCGATATTCTTCGTTTTTGTCAAAGTAGAAAAACCCGCCTGACCAGAGGAAAGCTGTGGTTTACGTAGCTAATCCGTTGAGTTGCTATCACTCCATTCTCATTTAGTACAAAAGCGGCTAGGCTAACACGCTGTGATTAGGCGCCTAGTTTACAAGATAATACGGAGTGATAACTCGGCATATGAACCTGGTATATGAACATGGCTTATGAAGTTGGCTTGACACTGTTGGAATATGCCAGGGCTAAAAAAGAAATGGCAAAAAGGTTCAAGGCTGCGTAATTTTGATTAGTAAATAGTCGATCTGAACATTAATCAGCATCACTACTAAGAGCTACTGGTGCTCCTTGGAAGTAAACCAAGAGGGTTTTGGTGCTTACGGGCGCCTAGTAAAAGATTTCTTGTGACGGCAAAGGTAACAAAGGCGTTTGATGAAATATTTTTCACAAAGCCTATGACATACAAACAGAAACAAAACTTAAATAATAATATGATCTAGGGTAAGATTTCTTTCGCAATAGGAGGTACAAACACCCTTGTCTATTACCTCGGTAGGTATAGCGGCCCTTGTCGGCGTGTATGCGCTATTGGCCAATTTGGCCGGGTGATAGTATAAGGCTTACGCTCCCCTAGCAAGTAGGAGAGTCCTCTAGGGGGATATTTCACGGGGCCTTCTCCGTGACTTCTGTTCCGAAACATCTTGAATCATCAGCAAGAGTACGGCAATACCCATGTATTCATTCATTCAGATTCATGGAAAGGAAGATGTCAAACCAGTCGATCGCGAACGGCGACAACTCATTCGCCAGGTGGCGATGATCAAAGCTGGAAGGGCCAGAAAGATTAAAACTGCACGCAATCGACCTTTGCCACGCAACCCAATTGTCTCTTTACCTATTAATCCAATGCTACTGGAAACTCAGCAACCACAGTTACTTTATAAAGAGCTAGGATCAGGTCGCCGAGATCCTTTTACCGCTTATCCTGTGCAAATGTCTCTTCGCATGCACGAAATTATTGAGCAGCGTGGGTACCGACTTACAATACGGAACGGACAACGATCGTTTTCCGAACCTATTCTTTCAAAATATACTTACGTTTCAATTAGTTTACGTCGACCCAAAAAAACACTTTTGCGGCTTCCGTTACTTCTGGCTTCCCATAGCCATGGGAGACCCTGCTGCATTCCATCAGCTACTTTGTAATGTTTCGTTAGCAGCCGCAAAATTCACAGGATCTCCAGAAAGAAACAAGGAAGAGTCAGTTATTCACCATAATGCAGCAATAAACAACGTCTTGAGTCGTCTAAGAGTGACTGGTAAGGAGCAGGCCGCCAGCCTTGTCCTTCCCATTCTTGCTCTTGCCCAGCATGCCAATATGTACCGCGACGCTGCAAAATTTGAAGTGCACTTTACAGCTCTTGAAAAAGTGGTACAAATTGGTGGCGGCCTTGAAAATATGACACTGGAACCTTATACTCGCCTTCTGCTACTCTTTGTCGAAGTGAATTCTCGCGCTCGGAATGACAGCCTTCCATTGTTTCCCCTACCAGTTGACCTCTTGGGATCTTTTCAAATCAGCTCCGCCAATATTGAGGATACAGTTTATAGAGATCTCATCTTGATATCGCCGTTTAGATCACTTTTCCCAGATGGCATGGACTCGTTTGCTCAAACATTGTGCGATACGAAGAGCCTAGGAGAAAAATTAAACGTGAGATGCACGTATATCTGGCTTTCGTATCTGTATTTTACTACACAAACTGCTCTCAATTCAGTCCCAAATATTCAGCAGTTCTATAATTACACAGAGTCTAAGAGATGCCACGAGGATTTCTGCTCTTCTGGGTCTAGCAGCAGTCCGAAGACGATTTTTAGCCTTTCAAGTTTTCATCGATATTCACCTCGCAAAATTAAAGGATCTCCTAAACTTTCTATTCCCCATGGTTCTTTGTCATGAAGAAAGCAACGGAATCATATTATTTTGGCAGTTCTTCATGGGAGGTATGGAGGCAGCTGACCCTGAGGACTGGTCATGGTTTGCAACTGGCATTTCGATGTTAGCAACCCAACTTGAAGTTGAATCCTGGGCAGCCGCAATGACGATCCTTCGGAGCATTTTCTGGATTGATTCAGTGCATTCTTCGCGAGGCCGTGCGTTATGGGATGCGTCCCAGAGTATCATGACTTTACTCTAGTAGCGTCGTGTATGTTATGTATACTATGCAGCTATATGTTTTATAAATGATGTTATCTTGCAAAGGTCAAATGTGATTACTATCACATGGTAGTTATAGAGGAATATGGCGATGCAAATATTGCACCATCATGATGGCGGTAATTCCGTACTATTCATTCACGTTCTCATTTATGGAGTATAGCGCGAATAGCATGCATAATCCTTGTTGCTAAGTATCCCAGTAACTATAGAAATGTTGACTTTTCTCTCCCCTGGAGCGTCGTAGTCTCGACGTGTCTTCTCAGCTAACATGTTGTTCATTTCGATCATGTCTGTGAATCGCTCACCGCGTCAACCGAGAGGCTGCGCTCACCAGCATAACGCGCGAATACCACTGGTGCAGAAGTTCCACTGGTGCGGGCATCGGTCCCTTATCGCCTTCTATCTTCTGGTGGCTGGAGAAAAGGCAGCTCTTGAGCGTTAATCGCGCCACTTGAGCATCGTGGTCAACAACAGCGCCAATGGCGAACAAACCATCTGCAGGTCGTCCACCCTGCTCCCGAGGAGTGCCGCCGGCGCGGATTAGAATTTCATTGGGCGTGTGATCAACCACTTCAAAGTGATCTGTCACAGCCGTTCCGACCTCATACTTTGAGGCAGCGAGCTGGTCTCGCGTCCATAGCTGTGAGGATGTCTCAGGACCGTACCATTTGCGATGCAAGTACCACCGCTGTATGGCATAGCCTGTCTTTTATTAACACAAGCGACTATACTAATACGAGAGCTGATACCACCACAGGTGAGGCTGAGGGGTGCCGGGGATTAACAAAAAAAAAAAAGACTCACCCCAGCCATGCCATACGCCACGGCAGAGCTCCAAGGCCAGGTCTCCCTCCTTCTGCAACAATTCCGGGCGAATGCGATTCAGAGGAATTGTCTTGACGCAGATGTCATTGGTAGCTGCGTTTTTATGCGGATTATACTTCTTGTATGCACTGGAGCTGTATATCGCGTCGTTGAGAGGAATCGGCGCGATGATGCTTGTTGCCACATGGAGATAGCCTAGTGCTGCAGCTGTGCCGACAGTCACTCCAACTGCGGTCTTGCGGATGATACCCATGATGTGAAGCGGTTAAACTCAAGAGTTGAAAAGAATACTGAATGATAAGCCTAATATTGTAGCCTCGGACTGAACGACTGATTGCACGTAGGTGTTTTGTTGAAGAGAAAGATAAAAATTTGAAAGCTTTTGAGTTTTTACTGCCCTGTGTGAACCGCACTATCTGCACATTCCAGCAGTAAACATGCGTTCTTCAGCGTTTTAGCGTTGTAATCGTGCAGCTTTGGCCCACCGAACCTTGGCACCTAGTGATTATTGGTTGGTGAGAAGCTGTCGACATCGCGACCCATGATTTTGCGCAGCGTATCACGTACATCTGCCATCTACTGAATGGTGTGCCAAATTCAAGTACTATCAACTACTTTTAGATAAGATGCATGCGACTCGTTTATTACGTGACCTCCAGAAGTTTATAGTAGATGCCTACACCACACGAGTTAATAAGGGACGTCGTAGATATTGTGATTATTGCGCACCAGCTTGGTCTGCTTCAATTATGCTTGCTCCCTCTCAACACCACGGCGGTTGATGATTTCTAAAATGTTCGAAACTGAGCGAAGCGGAAAATCTACAACGATTAGTATTGGGACCGATTTCTCTGGCCACGAGATGATTTGTGCGCCTGAGCAGAACTGGGCACATTGACATCTGCATTCTCGGTTCATCCCCACGCTACTCACTTCATTTTTGCGCTCTACAGCCTCGTGCTAAATAGCCTGTAGAGCTGTAGTAACATACATAGTATGGATTCTGGCTAGCCTCACCTGAGTCATCTGATCGCAAACAATTGGTCGCATAATGAATGCGTAGGGGAATGTATAGTGACGTGGATGGAATAATGTCATAGGGGATAAATGACGATATAGTTAATCAGATAATTTTAGTGACCGTTTGACCTCATGTTGGTCATCTCGGGATGTGAATGCGGCAAAACCTTGACCTTTCTCTCTTCTAGGGTTCTTTTCTCTTTTTCTCTCGTTGAATACAAGGCTCAACATAGCTCCTACAAGTCCTGATGGGTTAATTGAGTTCTCTAACTCGGGTCACCCCAAACCACTTCTTGGGTATTTGGCCGAACCAGAGTTACGGCCCTTCGTTCATGCTGGACACTATGTAAAGAGAACGAGGCGGTTTCATTCTTCTCTACATCTCATGAGAAAATCAGATTGCTGCAATATTGACCTGAGCATTGATGCTAGAAAGGAAAGATATAGCTGCTCGAAAGGATGCTTTCAGGAATATGCTGCAAAGAAGTGTACTGAACGTGGAGTGATTTGTGATAATACCATCTTCTAGGCACGGTCTTGGATGCTTAGACGGGATGCAAACACCTCCGTATCGCAAACACAGGGCTAAGTCGTATATTTCGTGGCATCAGTCACATTTTGATCAACAGCAATGGCTTCTCCGGGCAACCGTTTCAAGATTTCTGTATAGCTATGCGTGGCAATGAGCCATTACTTTAAGGAGCATTGGTAAAAATACACACAATGAGCGCACATGTTAAGATGGAGGAATGCTTGCGGAACTCGCCGAGGCAAAGCTGAAAATAAACTACATTTATCTCATGGTAGGCCACCCTAGTTTGGAGACCCGTAGCTGCAATTCTGGGGATAACGGGTCTCAGCACTCGTTTGCTTGAATTGATGCTAAACCATCGCTCTCTTCCGAGATTGGTTCATTTGGTGATGCAGAGAAGATCCCACTTCCCCCTCCGTCAAGTGCCAAACACATGGCCTGGGTGCTTACGCTTTAGCTCGGCTTGGGTCAACCATGGCATCGGAATCTCCAAGGTCATCACACCTGCACACTCTGATAGCTACCTGAATGTAGTCTGTTTACTCCGTACTTTGTAAAAGTTGTAGTAATAGTGCCTTGTAGCGTCAACCAATAATGCGGAGGGCAATTGACTTCAATCTACACTGTCTCTCCGCCACAGTCGATGTTTAGTTCCTAGTGTGCTTCAGACAATCAAGCCTTCGCTTACCCCAGGCACACACGTATCCGGTGATACGGGGCGCTCCGTGCTCTCTAACAAAAGATCCGGCCAAGATTGCCACGCGCAGCCTTAGTGCCCGGAAGCTTGACCGACAGACAATTTTTTCCGGCCAACGGGGAGCAAATTGCCCACCGAATATCGGATAGTCGGTGCCGTAGCGTCGTGCTATCATGCTGCTAACCTTCAATCTTTGGCCACTAGTGCCAATTCGATATCTGTTCGACTCTGGCCCCTGATACAGATAAACTTGAGTCCAAGCTTGATGATGGAAAGGAAGAAAGGCTCTATGTAGTTCATATAGTTGAGAGCGAGAACAGTGTTCAAAAGCTGCTGTGAAAGTGCTCAGCTATTGAAGGGATGTCGATTTGTCATGAGTCCGAGATGTTGTTTCACATTCTTCTCGACCCCTCACTCGATCAGCAGTAAGACATTAACAATACATACGTGATGCACACTCGTACTACGAACTACCGGCCTGAATATCGTGTCTCCACCCCGCAATATCAAATGATTAGCGTACGTAATGTGCGTTTTTTCATTCTCCGGTTGGGGCAAGAATCGGGTTTGGTGAGCCGACGGCCTCCAGCAATCAGACCTTCTAACTACGGGAAAGGCGAGTTGGTTCAGGCCTTTTTGGTAGCGTACCCAAGATAAGCCTACCTCGTACTCCGTACAATCTTTTTGGGTCGCGTGAGAGGGCGGGCAAAGGATGCCGCTAAGAAAAATCGACCGAGCAGGGGTATCGATCGGGGACTTCCGTTGTCTTATCTGAAGAGAAAAAATGGAATGTTAAAAGCAACTGCTCCGCACTGACTCAAGTTCCAACCGGGAAAAAAGAGGTGCAAGTTTTCGTCTTCTTCCCCAGGCCTTCACAGCCAGATCTTTCCAGATGGATTACGACCCTGAAAGCGGCCGCAGGGCGGCTGGCCATCCTGTCAATGAGAAGGATGTCACGGCCGTTGTATCTGATGATACATCGGGACAGTCGTTTCCTAGCGGACCAAGGAGTGGTCTGTTGTGGCGGCTGCGCAACCTGGAAGCCCAGATGGACAAGAAGCTTGGTATTGAATCCGAAGCCATCGAACGCAAACAGGAAGAAGACAAGAAACCGGTTCCATGGATCGAGCAGTTGACGATGGCCTTGCTATGGGCTAGCGGAACCATGAACACATCTTGCTTTGCAACAGGATTTCTGGGCGCTGAGTTCGGACTGAGCCTCAAACAGGCCATTCTTGTCACAATTTTTGCCTCGCTTCTTGGTGGTGCTGTTACTGGCTACTGTGCAACCTTTGGAGCTGCGACTGGATTACGACAGATCAGTGTCAGCCGTTACAGCTTTGGCTGGTGGCCCAACAAACTCATTGCGCTACTCAACAGCATCCAGCAGATGGGTTGGGCGGCTGTATCATGTATCACGGGAGGTCTTGCCTTGACTGCCGTATCTGACGGTCACGTCTCCCTGATTCTCGGTATCGTTATTCTGGCTGTGGTTGCATTGGCCATCTCGTTTGTCGGACTGAACGCTATTCTGGTTTACGAACGATATGCCTGGTTCATCTTTTTCGTCATCTTTATGATCATTTTTGGCGAAACTGGACGCTTTGCAGACAACACCTCGCCACCAGCTGCCACAGGTGCTACCCTTAGTGGTGCTATTCTCAGTTTGCTGGCTATTGTGTACGGTTCAAGCGCCTCTTGGTGCACCATGGTCAGTGATTACTATGTTCACTATCCGGCCAATGTCAGTCGAGTTAAAGTCTTTGTGATGACTACTCTTGGAATTGCGATTCCTACGTCAATTGGCATGGTTGCCGGTTGCGTTGTTGCCTCGGCGTTGAACTCGAAGCCCGAATGGAGCGATGCATATGACGAGGGACTGGGTTATCTGATCCAAACAATGTTGTACCCACGAGGATTCGCAAAGTTCTTACTGACACTGCTCGTTCTATCCGGTATCAACACCAATGTCATTAGTATTTACAGCGCCGCTATTTCCTTTCAGCAGCTCTCGCGACCCTTTGCTCAAATCCCCCGATTCATCTGGACAATCTTCTGCTTTCTCTGCATTCTTGCTCTAGCTGTCGGCGGCAGAGAACAGCTGAATGCCTACTTGCAAAACTTTTTGAGTCTTCTTGGATACTGGTGCACTAGCTATGCCATTATTTTATTCCAGGAGCATTTCATCTTCCGAAAGGGCAATTTCAACAACTACGACCTTGATGGCTGGAATGATCCCGCGAGACTACCCATCGGTATCGGAGCTTCGGTTGCATTCGGCCTCGGCATTGTATCCTGGGTCATGGGCATGGATGAAACTTGGTACATCGGACCTCTTGCGAAGACCATCGGAGATTACGGCGGTGATGTTGCCAACGAGTTTACGTTCGTGGTAACGGCATTGACCTATGCGCCGGCCAGATATCTGGAATTGAAGTTCTTCGGCCGGTAAAGAAAGCGCCGACATGTATATACGATAGCGTTGCTTTTTTTACGTTGGATAATATGATACCTGGAGAGACGGTCGTGAGCAAGGCGCTCGATGCTCCATTTAGTAGTCTTAATACAGGCAATAAATAAAGATAACGACATATTCGAGCCGATGCCTTCCTGAATTGAATCATCGGTGTCCAGATTGCATCTTGGGTAGCCTAACTAAACTAACAGATCTGTGATCACCTTTGCTAGTGCCAATGTCTTTTCCTCCTGAAGCCTTCTACCGACAACCTGCAGTCCCACAGGGCTTCCATCGTGTATTTCCGGATCATCTGCAGCCATTCTTAGCTCCAATCAAGTGGGACTTTTTACTTGGGAAAGTACTTACATGATTCAAATACCTGCTGATCAGCAGGATTGGCAGCAACGTAGCCATCGTCGGCAACATCGACATTCTTATCAACGTAAGTGACTGGAAAGGTCACTGAGGAATAGTCTAGGACGTTTATAATCGTCGAATATGTGACATAGTGATAAGTGTTAGGCCTGGTTCCTCCATAGGGAGACACCGGTGAAATGAAAGCATCCACGGGCTGTCCCGAGTGTGTGAGGTTAGCAGTACTGTTCCAGTAGTCGAGGTACTCTTTGCGGTATTTGCGTCTGGCAATGTTGTTTGCCGCAATATCACTAGCTCTTTTCTGCTCCACAGGTTTGTTGCCATACCGTCTCGAGATGTGTGAAATGACTGGTTCACCTGAAAGGCCAAACGCGTTATGAATGTCTTCTCCTCCTTCATACATCCAGGCTTCCACCTGCATAGACACAGTTAGTATAGTGAATATCCACAGGTATCGCCTAATGAGACTTACCGCAATGTCCAACCCCCTAGAGTGAGGTGGTGGCTTCCATTCAATAACCTTGAGACAATACTGTCAACATCCTTGTGTTTATCCTTGACTGAGATGAGACACAAACCTCGTGACCAGCATTTTCCAAAGCCTTCACTACCATCTCAATAGCCCTTCGGACTGGTGGACTAGGGAAGACGACGTCGTCTCTTCTCAAGACACCGAATGACAACTTTTCAGAGCTTCCGAGCTTCTCGATCGTAGCTTGTAGCCGACTGGCTTGTTCGTCTCTCCATGGGAGTTCAATCACCATTGGATCATGTAACCAAGGCTGCATGCTTAACAGAGCCTTCATTACAAACGTCAGAGATCGAAGGGTTGTAGCCATGGGCCCGACCACGGAAAGAATGCTCTCCTGGCCATCCATGCTGTTTGGAGTTCTCTCATAAGGTAATCGACCAGTAGATGACCGCAGGCCGTAAACACCATTGAAACTGGAGGGAATACGAATTGATCCTCCAATGTCAGTTCCCATGCCCACAGGACTACCCCGAAGGCTAAGCAGTGCACCTTCACCACCACTGCTACCACCGGCGCTTAGATGACGATTTTTGGGATTGAAGAGGTATCCGACAATGTTGTTGTGAGTCTCTGGTGACATTAACGATGGTGGCACAGTAGTCTTGCAGTAGAAAACGACTCCAAGTTGGCGCAAATCTGCAACCAACTGGCTTTCAAAGTGTCGTTCTTTACCGGTGCCTTTTTGACCTTCAAAGGTGCCTATCCAACCAACGTATCCCATTGTGGTTTCGGCGCCTCTGACGTGAAATTGGTCTTTCAGGCTTATTGGTAGTCCATGCAATGGGCTGATGGGTTTATTGTGTTCATGGTAGTATGCGTCAAGCGTGTCAGCATGTTCTAATGCAACATCGATGAAGATATCAAGCAAGCAATTTGTCTAATAAATTCCTTAGCCTCTGAGTTGAAGAAGGAAGAGAGAATACTGAGATAGCAAATCGATCAACTGACCAGTTGATGGGCGATTGCCGCTCGGTGGCAAAAGGCTTCAGTGACGTCTCGAGCCGACCATTTCCCAGTTGTCGTATGTTCCAAGATCCCCACTGCATCAGTTTCGGTGATTTCAACCTCACTTGCGGTTAAGAATTGCTGGATATATTTGCCAGTGATATCACGTTGTTCCTCGGCAGCGGGGATGGTAATATTTAACCGCCATTGTTCTGGGATAGCATTCAAGATTGCCTTACTCTCGGCAATGGTCTCGAAATTTTGCGACATAGTTTATGTTATCCAACTGCTTACTGAAGTGGCATAAATGTCAATCTAAAGTGCCACGGAGATGGCCATTTCATCATGAGAAGCGGGGGATCGCAGTTGGTGATTGTGTTGTATTCATACCCCGCAGATGGCCGCGAACTCGAGTAGCACAGCATTCCGTCATTAGTCAGTGCCAAGAGCAAGATAACATGTTTATCTGCATGTCTATCGTAGGAAGACCAGTAAGGAATAGTATGTGGAGGACGAAGGGCAGAGAATGGATTAAGTTCCCTCATAATTAGGTAGTATATATTTTGCGTTTTTGGTCCCTTCCACAGTATGGATTTATCTTGAGGATGTTTACAGTCAACCGCCATGCCAACAACCATCGCCGCAACCCAAAATGCTCAAGAAGCTCAACAAGCTTAAGAATCCGCCGAGACACAATTGATGTCTAAGAGGCTCTCATCCATGTTGGTGCAGATCCATTGAGGAGTCTTGCCGCTTGGATCGGTCACCGAAATGTTATGTGCGGCAATGTTTATGCATTTCTGTAAAACTACATGTTAATACAGGCGGCACACTTCGTAAACCTTTACTTACTTCAGTAGAGGAGCATGTCAGAGTCCCAACCTTTGGGTCATATTTGGTTGACGTCGTCCCCCACATGTTCTTAAAAACGACGTCGCTGATGGTCATGTTGGAGGGATACTTGTCGCAGATGGTTTGGTTGCTTTGTCCATAACACTGGTTGATCTCAATAGCCCAGTCGTTGTTGTCATTGTACAGTGTGTCGTAAGTAACGTTCTTGACATATCCAGCTCCTCCGCCTCCTGATAGGCCGGGTTCGAATGGAGTGTCAGTACCGGGCCACACCTTAATCCGGGCACCGTCGCTCGCATTTGACATTGAGATGTTGTAAACGTAAATGTTCTCAACTATGTCATACTCTGCTGGATATTGGCCCAACGAACCGACTGATATTCCATGAGAGCCGTTGCATTGCATACCCTGAACGATGATGTTTGTGCTATTGGGCTTGAAAGACACGCAGTCGTCACTATTATTGACGTGTGAATCTTGGATGACAACCGAGTCGCTTCTGAATGTGTCCCATCCATCACCATTCTTGGCAGGATTTTTGCTCTCACTCTTGACAGCAATGTCGATATTGCTAACCAAGATATCACTACTATTAGCGATGAGGTTAAACCACTGAGAGTGTCAGTATTTGCTTCATACTTATGGTCCAAGAGGTACTCACATCAGGGGAATTCCGCATCTTGAGACCCGTGACGGACCCGTGTTTAAGTCCGTCTAGGACGAGCAAAATTGGCCGTAGAAGAGTAGGCTCGGCTGCAAACGCATCGTACCAAGCTTGGCCATTCCCATCGATTAAACCTTGTCCTCCACCGTAGATATTGACATCTTTCCCTCCGAAGCGCCAAAAAGCGGACGAATTTTGGAAGTCGTACTTGAATGAGTTCTTCACCCAATAGTCAATGTCATTGGTGAATTTGATACTGCCGGTAATCGCCACATCTACAGCCTCCAAGAACGTAAGATCAAGTGGAGAGCCAATAGTATACTCCTCATCCAGTATCACAACTCCACCCTTATTACACTTCTTGAAGGCTTTGAGAATTTCAGGGGCATCGTCATTCTTGCCATGACGGCCAGAGCCATGGCAGCTAGGGACATAACAGGTCTTGTGGCGTTTCGGAGAGTGAGGAAATTGATGTCCTGGCGTCTTGGGTCCCCAATGAAGGTTGGGCCTCCCAAGCACGGTCTTGTGGGCGTTGATGGGCTCCAAAAAGGATAAAGCCGTCACTCCAAATATAATGGTGCTAAGAATAGTCATTGTGATTCTCTTGCTTGGGAAGAAACGGTTTATGTTTAGGGAAACCAGGATGAGGTGAGCCTGAGATACTACAATTCGTTCACGTTTAATGCATTTGAGAGACGATTTATGTACAATTACTTCAATTCTTCCGGATATTTGCCTATTTGTTGCTCGAATCGCGAAGAAAAAGTGAAGATCGATCATTACATATCCCTTGTACCGACGTTTGATATACCTAATATTAGGCGCCACTTACTTCGACCCTCGGACCATGTAAATTAGGAACTGGTATTCGAAGCAGTCAGAATATTCCGCCAATAACAGTTTGAGAAGTCTGTATGATTCTTCCCCCGCAAAAGCATGGGGCGAAAATCTCATCTTCGGATGCGGGGGTGGATGCCCGTACAATGCCAATCTTGGTACTCTCAACCCTTCGTCCAGATGGACTCGCGATCTGGATCCCGTACATACATTTGCGGTGGATCTTACGGCTTTGAATGGGACCAGACTGATGACCTTGAATGGAGCGGCTATCATATTGGCTAATGCATGCGGAAAGACTTATCCGAACGAATGAAGCGGTAGCATGGGAAGGATGTGAACGCGGTTCGGGCTACAGAAAGAATGATGTTGCATCCAACTCCTAGCTCAGTTGAGCTATAACTAAAGCAGAAATGGTATTGATCGAGGCGCAATACCGACCAGTTCCCGAGGTGCTCTTCATGATCATGAGAACGAGTAACGGCTCGGGGTAATTACGGCCGAGTAGAAGCCGACCAAGAGTGCCTCTTAGCTACGCCCTCATTCTAACGCACCATGATACCCTATAAGAGTAACTTCGATTGTCTATACTGTAGAATAAAAGTTAGCCAGGTATACATCTGTCGAAACCCTGTCGGTGAGATTAAATGCGATCACTGCGTCGGTTTCTCCGCTTCCAAGGCGCCTGAGAATCTTCAATTGTTTGTCCGACAGAGTAAAGCTCCCTCGCATTCTCCGTTCTCATATATTATCCGAAAGCGGTGGTTTGCCCATAGCATGTATGGCGAGTGTGGCTCAATAGTCGATTCAACTATCACCAGCACGTTCCGACATTTTCAGAAGCGCACGGAATGTGAATGACATCTCGCTATGCTCAATCGCCATGTACCAGTTAATATGTCTCCCATTGGAATTGATTCAGACAAGTGCCCTATTGCTATTACCCCAGATACTCATCAACATCTGGGTGTGACTGAGCTTGCCAAATGTGGCGATACGGCCTGCACATGTCTAAATTGAGGTTGCCTACCGTTACGACGATTGGATGTTCTTCACTAGGGTATTAAATTATATCAATATGCATGTACTGTACATTATGACTACTGATCAAGTGCGTCCATGTGGCCAATTCGAGGCAATCTCAGCTACCGTTGCCTACCCAACCTCTTCTTCCAGCCATGTGTAAGTTGGCCAAATTGCCATCTGATCTGCTTTCCCACTTCGCGGTATGGATGGAAATTCCAGTTTCCGGCGCTAGTATATTCGTAGGATGCATCAAGGCGCAATTGCGAGACTTGGCGGCTGCATGCCCACGCTTTAACAGCTGGCTGCCGCATACCTCTTGGAGTCATAGCCTTCACAGCGATATTCACGACGAATTAGCCGTAATGGCCTAGGCAAATTACGCGTATGAAAACGTAAAATAAAGCCTAACCACTCAGGGAATCGGTTACTGAAGGAAGCAAGTGGCCTGCACTATCGCCATACCATGCATAAAATTGGCCTTGGCACCTCAGAGTAGGAGCTCGGTGTTGGAGCCAACGCGGTGACTCTGGGGAGCTTCTGTGCCTCTGTTCATTAATTATTTAAGGTTAAATGGGGCTTTCTCGTATATATATCTTCAACGTCCATTCGTAGTTGATCTTTGTATGCCATTTCATCTATATGACATAGGTCGGAAACCAGCTTTTGAGTTTTTCATCATGGCGTCCTCAAAAAGGGCATACAATTGGTAAGACATGACTTCGTTGCTCTATGTATAACAGCCCATCTAATTCAATTTGTTAGGTATATATCCATGGTGGCGGCAATGTGCATGGTTCTCTACGGATATGATGCTTCAGTGTACAACTCTGTTCAAGGCTCACAAAATTGGCTGGCATATTTTGATCTTGATACCGTAGGTGATGCGCAGGTCGCGCTGAGTGGTCCGGATCCGACACTGACATATCGCACAGGAACGGGACACATACATGATTGGCCTGATAAACACATCGTACACTATTGGTGCAATCGTTGCAGGCTTCTTCTTCGGCGGCCCTCTTGTGAGCACTGCCTTGTGCCATCTCATCAAATTATACATAAACTGACAAGGTGTACAGGCCGACTATTTAGGACGACGATGGGGCATGTGGACTGGATGCCTTCTTACTGTCATCGCCACTTTCATGCAAACTTTTGCTCCCCGACATAACTTGGGCTGCTTCATTGCTGGACGTGTGCTTGTCGGTCTTGGGCAAGGCATTGCTTTGACGGCTGGACCAGTCTATATCGGCGAAATGGCACCACCTCCTATCCGGGGTCTTATTATGGCTTTCTGGCAGCTATTCTATTCTGTGGGATCATTCATTGCCTATTGGATCAACTACGCTTGCTCTCTCCATCGCAGTACATTGGGTGAGTGGGACTGGAAAATGGTGGTCATTTTCCAGATCATGGTTCCCATTATTATCATGATTTTGTTACCATTCCAGCCTGAATCCCCACGTTGGCATATAAAGAAGAATGGCAATATCGAAGCTGCCAAATCTGCGCTTCGTAAGATCCGTGAGACTGAACAGGAAGTTGAGGATGAGGTTTTGGCTATCCGCGAAGCGCTTGAATACGAAAAAGAAGCCATCAGCAATAATTACACTGCGTTGTTCAAGGATCCCTCCATCCGCAAACGACTTTACCTCGCTTTTATAATTAATGTTGGACAGCAGCTCAGTGGCCAAGGCACATTGAACACCTATTCAACAGCCATTTACAAGAAAGTATGGACATCGACCCAGACTATTAATCTTATTAATGCTCTGAATGCAACGTTTGGCATCCTGTGAGAATTGTCACCATCCAATATTGGTCTATCGCATCTGAGATCTAATAATGGGCAGGTTCACTCTTAACGCAACATGGACAGCCGACCGTTTTGGTCGCCGCTGGCTGTTCATAGTCGGAGGTATTGGTATGGGTATTTGCATGCGTAAGTCGGTCGTCTAAAGTTGTTGTCTACACAATGAGACTAACTGCCGATAGTGTTGGTTCCTGTAATCGGTCAAACTACTCCCGACATTAACGGCACCAAATCGAAGCCTGTCGGAATATCCATTGTGTTCCTTCTATTTCTCTTCATTTTCTTTTATAAGCCCTCATGGGGCGCCACCACTTGGATTTGGACTTCTGAGATCTTCAGGTAACCAAGCTACACCAGCCAGCAACCGGCCCCGTTGTTCTAACAATCTTATGCCAGTATGAATGTTCGTGCTCAGGCCATCGGCATGTGTAGTCAGATGCAAAATGTCGCCAATACGATCTTCCAACAATTCTTTCCGACATTTTTGAAGAACGAAGGTCTCAAATGCCTATATTTCTTCATGGCGACGAATTTCCTCCTCGTCGTATTCGTCTATTTCTTCATTCCCGAGACGAAGCAAATTCCACTGGAAGAAATTGACGTTCTTTTTGGCGGTGCTAACCACGTTGATAAGGGTGCTCAGATACTTGGTGGTCCTGATATTCACACTAAAGAAGTCAACGTAGTTGATCAGTGCGAGGATAACAAAATATCCGTGGTGTAGGGGCACATTCTAACTACAATGGCAAATAACCGTGCGAGTAACTTTGCTATGACCAATTAAAACAAATGGTCGTATTGAGATGATTCTTTAATTAGATATCAAGGATGCAATTTGATGTGTGCTCAATTACCCTGCTCTCCCGGATTGTCATTCTATAATCCACTAATTCTATTTTAATTCCTCCTTAGTATCCTTCCAGTCCAGCGACAGGAGCTCATTTCATAACCTCGTATCTCGTTTCAGATTCGTTTTCTTCACTTGTCTTTCTTGAAGAGTCTACCGACATTTCGTTGAGTCGTCGTGCAAGATTCTCCAATTTTGCCGCCTCTGGGTCTTTCTCTCGGCCAACAATAGGTATTGGCCATTCTGATTGGACATGTGATATAATCAGAGGATCATCATCTTCTGTAATATTCCAATGGATATACCCTTGCAAGAACCTCAAATCCTGAGGCAATAGACGATTACGTAGCAGCCGATATACGGCAGAGGCTACGTGCACATGATGTCCTTGATCATACAGACCCTTGATGCAAAGAATTAACGTTGACATCAAGTGCTTGAAACGCTCATGATCAATTTCAGAAGACCTTAATCTCTCTAGCGCGGCAAAGCCTACGTTTGAGAGGAAAAACGTAAGATAAGTGTTGCAAGACTCGTAACTGTGACGTAGATAGTAGATGCGGACTATGGTTTCTAGCCGAATCATAGCTGCCGAATTAGCCTCTTGTAACAATTCATTGTCATTTGGGTTAGAAATAGAAATAGATGCGGAAGATCTGTCGTTATCGACAGGCGTCTGCAATAGTCCCAAAACGGTGGCGTGGTATTCCATACTTTCGCGAAGTGTCAGCAAGCCAATGTTAAGGTAGTACGCTAAGAATTGAGGGCTACTCACTGCAATCTTAATTGTGCTGGAAAGACAATATTACTAGGATGTAATGGTACCGAGAGACCGGCTAGCCACGATTCCAGTTGGGCTCGAAGATGCGACTTCACATTGACTGGGAGAGTCCTCTCAACGTTCTCTGGATTGAATAATGAAGTCGCAATGGCGTTGACAAGAATTTTAAACTTTGCGTCCGCATTGAAGAAATGTGGGAAATAGAGCGAGGTGAAGGTGTTATTTGCAGGATATTTTAGAATGAAGTCGCCATACCACGATGGTTCTAAATATGGGTCGGGAAGGGCGAATACAGGCGGGGTTGTAATCATAGGAACTTTGAAGTAGTAGTAGCCCATTATGCTGTTCTTCAGGTCAGTCATTGATAAGCCACAGAAGACAACATTGACCTACGTCTGATACTTATAAAGGCACCAGGCAGTGAAGTTTCTTGCGTGTCTTAGAGTCTTGTCCTCAATGTGGCTATTATCGCCGAATATCTGCAGGTGTTCTGCTATGGCGATTGCTCTGTCTAGGTATGTCAGCCCTAGCTTATCTATGCCATTGTTTACGTATATGCCATTAACAATCATGGCTGCTTGTAGAGTTGGAAGATCTGTCCTTTCTGACTGTAGCTCCCAGAGTCGTCTAAATTCTGCAAGGAAGCGATAACCGATATTCTCGGGATTCCAGAATTGTTCGCGATGTTGTACCCCATTGTAGCAATGCTGTAACGATTAGCTTGCTTCCAAAGTTGCTTGAATACTTCAAAGGGAGGAATCACCGATGCTTCGGCCAAGACGGCGTTTACGAGAAGCGAAGAGCAGAATCGCTCATCGCCGTCTGTTAGGGCCTGGATGAAAATATCTTTTTGAAATGACGTGTATGAAGAATACTCATGAAGAAAATAAGCGTGTAGCAAGGCCCTCATGAGCTCATTATCAGCGGTGACAGCCGTCCAGCGTGATATGTCGACGGTAGAGAGTCGTGTGTTTACAATCTCAGCACTGTGGTAAGGTTGTGTGTAGATGTACTGTGGCGATCCCGTTCTGCTATTTGGATTCAGGGGTATATTCAGCTGTTGCTGGTTTTCGTCGTGAAAGTTTACCTCGAAGATTAAGGACCTGAGATATAGGTTGTCCCTAGTCAAGAGGGCCGCTGGCATTGTAGTGACGAATGGGAACTCGTATCGACGTTGTGTTTCGGGAGCCAAAGACAGTTGAAGAAGGAGGTTCCCTTCCCGAATCTGCCGCATTACTGTTTTGATATCCGCACCTCCTCGGATCATCTGAAAGATTGCCTGAGAGTCAGTGTCTGGCAGACCCCGAAGGGAGTCGTAGAATTCTTCATAATCGCTCGTCTTTTCTTTGACTTCTCGGAATTTCCGTTTCAGTACTCCTGAGTTCGTTTCGGTCGCGTTGGCTGATGTGTAGTGGCAGTCTATCCCTTTCTGCACGCACGACAGACATTTCGGCCGACTTCCACTACACTGAAATGTACAGACGCTTAGCTTTCAAGTCTTTGATTTTGATTACCTGCAGCAACTAGACATACTCGTGTTTTCCTTTTCCGGCAAGCTTCACAGGCGACACTCACGCCGATCCGTCGAGATGGTAGACGGCCTCGGCGTTGGGCAGCAGCAGGAGCTGAAGCGGATTCGGAGATAGGGCCTGGGGCAATCCGACGAGGACCCGATGCTGTCGCGCCAGACGTACTCTGAGACATTGCGAGGTCGGGAAATGTATGAAGCTCCCTAATCGCGGACGAGGTGGTGAAGCCTAATCAGCACGGAGAGTGACTCCTGCCCTTGTGAGCAACATTGTTTGACCAGGGTCTCAGCCATCGAGGTCGAGATGGCATGGTCTTTCGACACGTGCGGCTGTCCAATCAGAGGGAGTGGAGGCAGCTCCGGAAGACCACCAGCAGGAGAGGATGTACGTCTGGTACTTACTGGAGAGTGGTACAGGCACCGTTCTGATTCGTACATACGTAGGACGCCCCGCTACGAATCTCGCATTTAAGTGGTAGCCGTGGAATCTATTACATCGTTATCTCGAATGGGCATTCGATTTAGGATAGTTCTGTGTCCAGAATTGTGCGATTGGCCAAATTGCGAGTGTGAAGGGATGGGAAATTAGCCTTGGAATTTCAAGACCATCAGAATGCTAATTGATTAGTACGCGTTTAGGCTTCACTTGACTTAACCTGCAATAAAGGTCTTGACAGCTGATCATGTTAGTAGACAGCCCGATCGCCAATCTAACAAATGCGATTTTCACTTTTGCATCTTGCGCTACTATCAACGGTAGAGACCCCCACAACGGCCCGAGGCACTTGTATTACTATATACAGATGAAAGTAACGTAAGAGTAGCCCGAATCACAGTGCTCCCTACAGAAGGAGACCGTGGAGCAGATGCGTCACCAGTGGCTGTAAAACACCCAAAGTTTTCTTCTTCGTAGACATCAGAAGGCTGGCAAGTTAAGACTGCCATAATGCTACCTCTGTTTATGACGTCTACGAATATATCGAACGCAAATGACCATGGCCTCTGTGAAGAGCAGCGTCAACGGGAATATTCGCAACATATTGATCCAAGTTCAAAGCTTGCAGGTCGCTCGCAATTTAGCTCTAGACCGACTGTCCCTGCTCACCAGTGCTGCTGCTGAATTCCTTCTCCATCTCGATGAAGCAAATGTCATCGGGTAGCGCCACACTGGTGAACCTCTCTCGTGGAAATGGTGACGTTTCTCCCGTCTTCTGATATCCCTGACGCATATACCACTCAATCAGCGTCTTGCGCGTCGACAGGGCGTTGAGTGAGAATTTTTCCACGTTCCAGGTCTGTCGACAATACGCTTCGGCATAAGCAAGGACCGAGCGTCCAACGCCGCCTTTTTGATAGCGTTCGTTGACTGCAATCATGGAAATGCGACCACAGTTAATGCCGCGCTTAGCGACCTCGATGGAAGCGACCAGGTTACCGGTGTCGTCCAAGGCCACAAGAACCGCATTGTCAGGGTTGACAATCCTGGGCATTACTTCTTCAACGCTGATTCGAAAGGTTGACGCGAGTTCTGCATTCCCCGTCCAATCCGGCCTGCTATCTATCGCGCGAAACGCGGATTCAACAAGTTGCTGAATTTGGCCCGCGTCTTCAACAGTTGCTTGGCGGAATCGAAGGTTGATGGAGGCCATTTTGTCGATAGAGCTGATCTGGATTCGCGTTTTGTGCTGTAGTCTTGTTCAAATGATGGTGGCGATTTAATCCTATTCTTCGAGTCAGCCTTTGTGATGTTTATATACTCTTCTCTTCTCTTCTAACTTACGACGCATCGCGTGTTCTTGACATTGACTTCATTATTTTTAGAGCCTTTGCTGAAACAAGGGCGCTAATGACGCTGTGGGATTTGTTTCCATGACCTCCAGGGCTGTAAATTGCGCTCTTAAAGAGCTATTCTCCCACAACGCGTCCTCTGCGCAACAGGAGCTATGTCAAGATGCGATCCAAAAGGCGCGCAAATAGCATTAAATACACGCACTCATGACCAAAAGCAGCGCCCTTTGGCGTTCCAAAAACAAGATTCTTTGACAATTATTCTTGCTTGGCGTTTTTGCGCGAAATATGGTATTTTAATTCATGATGCGTGTTGGATTAATATGAGAGATTTCTGAACACCCACGCTCTGCATTGGGCTCACCGACTCAGTAGACGCGAATTACTAAATACCGTCAATCGCATCCAGTTCATACATAGATCTCTTACAACTTTGCTTCCCCAGGAATTCTCCTCTCGGCGCATGGATTCCGGCTGAATTCTCCCGGCTGCTCGCTTGCGCCGCTAGAACCTCCATTCACCCCCCACTGGCTGGTAATTTGACGCGACAACTGCCATCACGGGAGGCGCTTTAACTCCCCGAGACTGAGGAGGGTGGGATGGCGATTCTAGCGGCGCAGCCATATTAAATAGCTGTAGTAGTTATTGAATCGCACTGTTTTCCTTTTCTTTTATCAGTTGCTATAGCTTTCATTTCAATCTCCTCCCGATAAATAATTTTTTGATTGAATTATTGTGACTATTTTTATAATCATGTTTGGCAAGATTGCTCTCGAAGAGTGCTGGACGATTCAGGAAGAATTGGCCAACAATGATCCTGGTAAATTCGTTGCAGCCGGAACAGGCTCTCGTTTGACAAACGAGCTGCTTGACATTCATGGCACGCGATTGAAGCAGATGGACGAGAATAATGTTGATTTCATGGTTCTCTCATTCAACTCTCCAGGATGTCAAGGCATCTCTGACAAGTCTCAAGCCGAGGCCCAAGCCACTTTGGCAAACGATCGCATGGAAGCTGAGGTGATGAAAGCACCAAATCGGTTCGCGGCCTTTGCAGCTCTGAGTATGCATGACCCGGCTCAAGCAGCAGCAGAGCTCCGTCGTTGTATGACGGAGAAAAAGGGCTTTGTCGGAGTACTGCTCAACGATTATCAAAGCTGTGGAGAGGATGGCAATGGCATGCTGTATTATGACCAGCCAGAGTACGATGTATTCTGGCAGGCAGCTAATGACCTTGAAGCTCCTGTATACATGCACCCACGCCCCTCAAATAAGCTGATTCACAAGTTGATGTGGGACGGCCGTCCTTGGCTCGACTTTTCTGCCTTGGGATACGCGGATCGTCTCAATATGCATATTCTGGGCATCGTCACAAATGGTGTATTGGACCGATTTCCAAAGGTCAAGGTGATTTTTGGGCATATGGGCGAGCATATGTAAGGTTTCATGTGCATTCCCAATTCTAGATTCTACGCTGATGCTGACCTCACTCACAGCCCGTATGACATCTACCGCATCGATCATAAGCTTGATCGCAGCCGGTTCCCCAATATGCCCATGCGCAAGGATAAACTCGTTCGTGATTATTTTGGCGAACAGCTTTTCATTACAACTTCAGGCCATTTCTCCACGCCTGCGTTAATGTGCGCTATGGGTGAAGTTGGCGTACAATCTATCATGTTTTCTATAGATTATCCATTCGAAAGCATCCCAAATGCTTGCGGTATGTTCACCCCTTGCACCAAGGTCCATGAAATAAGCTCCTCTGATAATTTTCAATACAGCATGGTGGGATGAGCATGTCTCGGCAAGCGTTAATCAACACGACTACACCAACATGGGTCGTAACAATGTGCTGAAAATTATCCCAAAGCTGACAGAAGAGCCACATAATTTGAAGACCATGACTCCGCAGGAATGTAAGGTAGGAAGACTGGCTGCGGATCAGGGTGAAGTATGCTATGGTTTATACAATAAATCTTGGAACAAGCGGGAGATTAAGGTTGTGCCTTCTTAAGCAATATTTATAGGATAAAGTAGTATGACTTTTACACTCTGAAAGATAATAGAGCCGTGATAAGTTTCTTTTTTTCCCTGACATGTTCACACTTCACATGAACTACATGGGTATTCAATGTTCACATAAGCGTTTCTTATTGCCAATTACTGTGGACAGAGATATTGCGTATGAATTACTAATAAATTAGATGCAACAACAGAGCCTCCCTTTGTTGATGGCAAATGAATAATAATAAAGTAGCCTTGACGGTTATTACAAGTCTTGGTGAAAAGTTGGCTTGCCAAGGCGCTTCCTCCACTCCGCACCCTTATAATATAGAGGAATGAGCGGCAAGAAGAACGCAAAAGTAATCATTGCCAGCGTGATCCAAGCATCCTCAATCCCAATCATGTTTGCAAAAGGAATGGCATAAAACCCAATGGTGAAACTGTACACTTGCCTCCCGAAATTGATCAACGAGCCGAGTTCGGGGGCTTGCGGTTTGTAGCACTTCATAGTACAAAGGGTTAGCTTGTTATAAACATGACCAAAGGCAGAGGCTGATTTAACTTGACACTCACTTCTGCGGTATAAGTATAAACTCCCGTAGTAATAACCTGCAGACCAAAACTTGCAATGGCAATTCCGAAAGCGACTCCAATCCAATGGGTTTTATTCTGAAGACAGACACCCTCGATAATGATGCCAAGAGGAACCAGGAATGCGGCTGGAATGATGCCCAGCAGTCGATCTTCAGGGCTGCGCTCGCCGCCACGCCTCAGTGCGCGCCTTTCGCTGATCCAGTCTGATACGCCTCCAGCAAACAATTCGCCGATAAGACTGCCAACCGTAATTGGAATACCCAACAAGAGGCCAGTTTGTTGCGGTTTGAAGTGGTAAATCTTGCCAAAGAGATTTGCGCTGGTGATGATGAACAGAATGCTACCATAGGCGAAGCACAGCGAGTAGCACCAAGTCGGTATTGTGACGCTTGGATACATCATCATCTGGAATGGCCGGAAAAAGTCTATAAGCCGCACCTTGCGCGTGGGATGTGCCCGCCTCTTCATGAGCATATTCGACCTCCATGATTGGGACGGACGCGCCAGAGCCGCAGGAGTGCGAGAGTACAGCGTTTCGGGAACAGTAAAGATGAAGATGACGAGGACGCCCCCTGTGATTATGGCTGGGACATAGAAGCACCAGTGCCAGCTCAGGTTCTTCTCGATATAACCACCGATGAGAGGCGCGATGTGTCCACCGGTCAGGAAACTGATAGTATAGACACCCATATAGAGGCCTCTCTCATGGGCAAAATACATGTCGCAAACAGTGGCACTTCCCAAACCCAGTGGCACACAACCAAAGAAACCGTTGAGGCATCGAAGAGCTATAAGAGTCCCGTAGTTTTTGGCCGCTCCAGACGATCCGCACATGGCAACAGCGACGGCGACAGTGCCGATATACACAGGCCGGCGGCCATAGACGTTGGCGATTGGGTTCCAAAAGACTGAGGAGAAACCGCCCAGCAAGATGAATGTGCTCGTCACATAGGCAGTTGTAACCAGGTCCTTGTGGAGAAATTCCGATAGAGGAACAAATGCTGGCGTCTGAAGTAGACCAACATCTCGTTAGTAAAGCTCACGAGCAGATTTTCGAATTGAAGATGTGGAAACACGCACAATTAAAGAGGCACTGAACAAGGCAAGAAACGAAAAAAGGGAGACCTCGGCCAGAACCATCAGCTTCAACCAACGATTCCAATTGAGCGGGTCTTTCGGGTCGTCCGTAGGCTGAGGAGATAAAGGCAGACCGCGAGGGTCCAGCTTCAACGGCCCAGGAGCCTCTTCCTCATGTTTAGCAGTGCCGCTATTCTGGGAATGATTTTCGGCAGCGGATGCCTCCGCCTTGTCCGACATTGTGATCCGGGTAAGAAATCACAGAGTGGAAGTCGAAAGTGTCTTGAAGTGGGTTGAATAAAATGAAGAGTGGTAAAAAATCCAGTGATGCATCATCGAGAACTAAGTCTGGCCATTCTCTTCTTAAAATCTGTCTTTATGCAACGTTGCTGCGTGTGGTATTTATCATCTGCAGCGCGCTTGGTCTTGTGATGAAACGGTATGTTGGTCGTGATGGCGGACGGCTTTTCGGGGGGAGTTTAGATGTATCCCCCACACTCTTAGACGCCACCAATCTACGGCAGATAATACCTGAACGAGAGGCTATGCAGCAGTAGTTTGCCAACTAGCGGATAGCGAGCTGTGGGGTAGAATGTCACTAAAACAGCGGTAGAGAAGAGCTCGGTCTGGGGTTTACCGGCCGGGGCAGTCGACGCGGAGATGCTTCGCCTAGCTGATATAGATGGATGCTATTCTGTGTATGTAGGTATGTTGTTCTACAGCCATTGGCAACACAGTAGGCTGCAATTATCCCGTATTTACACATCACATCGTATGGCATCAAAGAATTTACAGTGACTAAGTAGTATACCTCTCATGTTATTCCGGACCGAAGAAATACAAGGCCGTCGTGCCAGTGTGAAGCTCCAATTCCCATCATCTATCTCAGTGAATATAGTCATCCGGGGATTCCGCTAAGAGCCGTTGGAGACTGCATCAGCGACTCAGCACCGGGATTCTCCACACCCCACGACCACGTGGCCGAACCTAGAGATGAATGGAGCTCTAATTGGGAGCCTAGATCCATTGTAAGATCCTGTGTGGTATCCCAGAGAGACCACAGGTCGACACCGCCGTCTTCCATTGCCTCATCTGCTGTCATTGTTGTGCAGTTACTGTAGATTGTGGTTTCTGCTGCTCCCCGATTGCTTCCTGTCATGACGGTTGGAGGCGTGCTATATCGCTCAAGTGACCTCCGCCTGTCTTCTGGCATAGTTCTATCTAGTACTCCAAGCAATTGCTGCAGAAATGCATAGGCTCTCTGTGCACAGAGATGGTTGACAGACATTTGCCGAATCATATTAACCGCTTGGTCTAGATGCATCAAAGCACTCCGGTCATCTTGAAAATCTGGGTCAACGACATGAGATACAATGATGAGAATGGAAGTGAATACTAGAAAACTCTGTAAGCTAGGGTCATTTCTCATGGATAATTCGAATCAACCTACGGTAATACAAGTTAAACCAACTTGGTCCCATTGCACTCTTGGTCTGTTCGTGTCGTTCGGCCACCAGCCGAATCGTTTCCTCAGCTGTACTCACACAGATCTGCCGACTCCGTTGCAGCATGCTGGTTCGTAGTCGGCCGCCTTCCCATCCTTTGGTAGATGGTATTGAAGAACTGGATACTGACGACAACGCACTGAGACCTGACACCAATGACTGTCTGTGAATCAAGATGCACACCATGTTGGCACGGAGCGCAAGGATTAACGCGGCCTCATCTCCACGTAGAGAAGCTTCCCGAATTCGGAGCCTAACAGGCACTTCGGCTTGCCAAGTCTCAAATTCTTCGTCCAATCTGACCAAGTCTGCCAATGCCGGTTGGTCACCTAGCATTGTGATAGCTTCCAAAAGGCGGTATAGTTTGGAGACTTGTAAAAAGAATGACATGCTTGAAGTGGTGTGAACAGAGGGAAATAATAGCCTGTTGGGCCGAATGCAATCGTCATCTAAATCCTCTGGTGGAGGAGTTGTGAATGTAGCCGTAGAGGTAGCAGCAGGACGGCCGTATATCATGCTCAGCAATTTATCCAAGCCGAAGCACGCGTACCATACACGTTTACGAACTTCTTGATCTATGCAATCGAATTGGTCGGGGTCAGGTGGCCGGTGTAGCTCTAGATCATAGGCTATACGGATCGCAAGTCCCAAGACTGTCCAGCATTCGTCACTGTAGCTAGAGCTCTGTAGGTAGCGGGCACCGAGGAGCAGAGCCTGGACCTTTTCGATCTTCCAGTCTGACAAGAGATTGGGCTGCATCAGCTGCATTGCCGTATTGTAGTATTTGCGAGAGGTGATATCGGAATCTCCATGATTCTGTCGACTATGAGCCTCGGCTAGCGCACAGATCATGTTGAGGATAGCTAGGATGTAAACATGGTCGCTGTTTGCAGAAGAAACACGATTGCTGAGAACTTGTTCAAATTGGGCCATAATAGAGGGAACGTGGAATATCGGGGTAAGCTCATGGTGGAAGTCGAAGTATATCTGGAGCAATTCCCGGACATTGGCAGGTGGAGAAAAGAGATTATCTGAGCCTCTCACATCGACGGAGCCATCTCGGGGAGAGGAAAAGGACTGGGCGTCGAGCTTGACGGACGGATTGTTCATAGCGTTGAGTATCAGCTGGGTAAAAGATTCGCCAGCTTTGCCACTGAGGAATATATCTGGAGTTGTTGGAAGAATGTTTTGATGCTGAGGTTGCTGCTGCTGCTGAGAGTGACTGGCTGACCACCCGGTTGGCCGAACAGGTCGCTGGATTGGCGGCATTTTTGTCGCCTCATACTGACTGGTCGATGGTACAGGGGAAATGGTCTGAACAGTAGGTGCTGGCTGTTGTTGCATCTGCTGACTGTGGTGATACTTTTTCGCATCTCGTTGAATATCTTCAAAGTTGCGTACACGCCGTTCCAGGGACCGGATATATCTGGAGTCAAGTCAGTATTTTTTGACCTGGGACATACAGCAAATGTATTCAAATCGTACACTTGTGCCGACTTGGTCATACCCCGGAGCATCTCGTCGGATGCCTGCGCAGGGACAATGTGATCGCATTTTGTCTTGCGTTGCCGGCAGCTACGGCAGGCCACAGTCGCTCGTCGACGCTTCCTGGGTCCGTCCTTGCGGTCGGACACAGCATCTACTTGCGCTGTTGATTGTGTAGTAGAAGGGCCTTCCATTGTATCGTGTTGATATGTGAATGAAGGCAGACGCAAGGTTGCGACGAATTCTCGTGCGCTTCACGGTGAAAGGCAGTGCTCAGGATGTTGAAACCGTCGCGAACCTCGGCGCTCAAGCTGCCAATAGCACCTGTGCACACAGCTTATGGTGCTGGGTTGTAGTGAGCTAGTGCTGTAAAACGATATCGGTGACAGAATAGGGAGATGGATCGAATTTGCACAGTCTGAGATAGCGAGGGACCCAAGCAACGCTTCGTCTACAGTGACGGCGCTTACTCCAAATTGCCACCCCCAGAGTAGCCACCCCCAGCTGGATGGAATATTCATCTGGGGTGCATATCCGGGGCATTGCGAGCGAGGTAATGCGCCAGGAGACGCCACTACTAGTGCCAGGTCTAGAGTCTCTCAGTCGGCTCAAGTCGGCGCCAATCTGTCCGTTTCTCAACGAAATGGTAGATAGCGGAGCTGCTGAGCTGTCATGCAGTAATTCAGATTGCTCAGCTAGCTCAAAGCCTAATCCAACTAGCTGAAAAGCTATTCAGATCTATCCATGGCGGTATAATCAGCAGCAAGCGCCACAGCGGGGAGATTACGAGGACGGCATACCAGCAACGTCCATGCTGCAAGGTCCATTCCACCCACAGAGTTTCACGAGCTTCACGAGTTTCAACGCTCCAGGTGCATTTCCGGTCATTAGCTATTGAGATCAGATATGAAAGATGTCCATCAGATTCAGTTCTGTACATGATACGACTATAACCAATAATTTACTTTAGCTACATATTACACACCGACCCGTCTTTATATATCTACCAAGAGAGAAGAGAACACTATTCTTGCCCAACCAACACGGCACGCTCTGTTAGAGAGTTTATCATCTTGGTGTCTCTATACATTTCACTGTTGCTCTCATCCTCTAGAAGCTGCTTCTTCGCTGCATATTCAGCTTCAATGTCTCCGGTCCATATCCACTGCATACGATCCTTCAAGCTGTCGCGCACAAGTGGTAGACAGTCTTCGTAGTTTTTTCCCTTCATCTCTGCTGTCTGCATTTCATAGACTTCTCCAGCTTGGCGGGCAGTTGCTTGAGCCTTCTGGGCGCGAGGAAGGCGGACGTCTTGGTAAAGCTGCATCCATTTTTGAAGCGCATGGATGTCTCTCTCAGGAGACGCGGCAAGGTAGTCCGCAATGGATCTCCCTAGGATGTATCCATCCTCGATGGCTTGACCAGCTCCGGCTCCTATCATATGTTAGTCAAAAGATCCATTTTTTAGGAAACCATGAGAGAAGCATTCTATCCTTACCTTGATGTGGAAGCATCTAAAATTATTAAAATATCAGTAGATGCCCAAATAAAATGTTACGTGTATGCCGTGAACTTACTGCGTGCGCTGCGTCTCCCATTAACACTATCTTGCCATCTCCGTATACCCACTGATCTAAAAGCTCGCGATCGTTCAAAATCCACTTCGAAGGGTTCTCGTTCATAAACGATATAGTCTTGCGAACAGTGGTATCGAAGGATTCAAACTCTCTCTGAACTTCGCTTCTGTGACCTGTAGCGGTCCAGCTCTCCTTGGTGCGGTCATCATCAGAGTAGACGAAAGCCACAATGTTCAATAGAGTATTTTTGCTGATAGGAAAGGCCAGAAAGTGCTTGTCTGGACCCAACCAGCTCACCGAGTACGAATCGAATGGCCACCACGATTCGAGATCCTTGATTGGGACCAGACCACGATAGCACATACGGCCACTGTATTTCGGGTTGTCAGAGCGAAACTGAGAGCGAATATTGGAATGGATGCCATCACATCCAACAACCAAATCCGCTGTCGTGGTCGTCCCATCGGCAAAACATAGCTCGACAAAGTTTCCTTGGTCCTAAAAGTTGTTAGACTGCTGTCTTCTTGTATTCAATGGAGTGTTGTGGCATCTACCTTGAGCTCGATGCACTTCTTGTTGATGTGAAGAGTAGCCGCATTCCGTTGCTTCACGTGGTCAAACAAAAGCGACAAGAATTCAGCTCGATGGACAGGGCTTTGCCTAATCTCTTGTCGGTCGTCAACCGGAACAGTAACAATCTCGCTGCCAGTGTCGTAACGTCGGAACGAAATCCAGATACCATTTCGATGACCAGAGATTTTGTTGAGGTCTTCCCCCACCCCGATGCGGTGAAGAAGCTTGGCAGCATTTACCCCAATACCCAAGCCAGCTCCAATTTCCTTGTACTCTGGTGCTTGCTCGTATACATCGATGATGACACTTCCATCCTTGGGACAGTGGTGGTGAATGGACAGAGCAGCGCAAAGGCCGCCAATGCCGCCGCCAACAATGGCGATATGGAACGGGAGCTTTTGGCTTGGCATGTTTGGACGAATTATGGTTACTCTACAACAGCAGTATTGAAGCGTTTTCGTTCCTTTGGTATCGGCATTATTTATTTCCTGGCGCCCTCGCAATTCAGTAATTTACAAGGAGCCTTGTGGTAAACTGTCGTCTCCTACCCGCCCTCCTCCCCCGGGCCGGGGCCAACCGGCTGAGTTGTTTAACTCCCCGAATGTGCTTCTCCCCGCAATCTCGTGCGGGGAAGATGCATCTGTTTTGCTTCCCGGAAGTCGCCCGGCCTGTCGCCTGGCGTGGGGCTAAAGGATATAGCGCATATTATTGACAGAGTAAGATTTGGAGGATTGCTCAAGCCTCTTGGGAGAATATCGACCATGTCACCTAATGTGGGCTCAGACCGCTTGCCTATGATGTTGGTGACTATGTCTTAAAGTCACATCTATTCAAGCTTGAAAGGGTCGATTGAAAACGACTCCCGCTTGTTTGCTAGCCAATTTCGCAGCGTGTCAAAATTGCGACATGTATGGACCTGGATTGAGTCGCTATAATAGTACGAAGTCTTCTTGTCTGGCCGGTATGGAATCGGGGTGAGGTCGCCATGGCATTGCACAGATTCTCGAAGGACATCGAGGCAGTGGTCTATAAAATTTAGCAATGCACGAAGCTTCTTTGCATATTCAGAGTCGTACCAGTATGGACGCGAAGAGGAGGGAGCCCTTTCGGATAGTAGAAGTCTGCATCGATGACTTTTCTAAGGTGATTTATACAATGAAGCAGATGAAAGGTATCGAGTCTATAAAGAATTAATCGCTGTTGAGTCAATAAATTGCTAAATACTTACTGCACAAAATCGAGATAATCTTCAGCCTTCTCGCCGAAAGCATTGTGTTTTTCCTCGGTTGTGAGGTTGAACCATCTTTCTTCAATCTGTTACTTGATTTGAACACAATTAGGGACAATAGGGGCCATGTCAACTTACTTTCTAATATCTCATTCCACGCCTCGTCTATTTCGTGATATGAGGTTCCTACAAAAGGGCGAGTGGCAGCGCCACCCGTGATTTTAAATGTGCCTTCATCCAATACTATCCCTCCAAATTGCACTTGGTGATATTGTATGTCTGGAATCGCCGGCTCTACTACAAGTAAGGGACTCTATTTTAAAACATGAGTGGAATGAAGAAGACATACCGAAATCTGTTTTGGATGAAACAGACTGTACGTCGGTATTACCCACACAGGAGGATTTCTGCTGCAGCAAGAACAGTAGGAATAGACAAATACTCAGCAAAAATGCAGAGCAGATAGGCCAAAATCTTGAACTTGGTGCCTTGTATGAGCCAGAGTCTTCGCGTCCGTCATCATCTTGGAGCGGCTTGTACAACCTTCTAGACCATGTGAACATGTTTAAAGGAACGAAGATGATACCCCATTTGTGGACGTATGGTGAGTATGATGTGTGGGAGATAATATTATGTTTGCAGGAGGGCTCAGGGAGCCAGGGTTGTAGGTGTATTTAATGAGGATGATAGCGATAAAATGCCGACGGACCGAGTTACTTCATCATGTATTACAAGGTTAGCCCACCATTAGCAAATATAGCGGAGGCTAATGCAAGGATATCAACAAATTATCGAAGCCGAAGGGATAATAATATATTTCAACCAGGGCAAATGAAAACCTCGAGTGCCTTTGTCAAGCATGGCAGTGAATCCTGCTTCATGTCCTTGAGCGAATTAGGAAGCTGCGTAGCAACTACATCGTCAGCTTACCCGACATTTCCATATCAGGATCTCGTATCCCTGGAAATCAATCTCTTATTCATGGAAAAACGAAAGAATGAAGTACTTAAGTATGTACCCCGCATCAAACAGTAGATGAATCTTATTTTAGGCTGTAAATGTGTTCTGCTTTGGGTGTGTACAATATCTTATTAGTAAAACCCCTGGTGAGTTATTGATGTCTATAATTTTGATCTTTGATGTGCTTCTGATCTGACTAGTGACAATCGAGCAAGATATGCGAGGTACTAACTCACATAAATGCTAGACTCTCTCAGGAATTGTAAACCAATCTTGGACTTGATTGGTGGGATATTTTTATGTGAACAGTGAGAATCATGAATGTGCACTCCAGCAGTAAACTTCATGTTGATAGCAATGGCTATTGCTTACCGGTAAATATCTCATGAAGATAACCAATTCCCGAACTCCATGGATTGATTAGTTTCATGAAACATGAGGATATAAATATGAGGACATGTCTCCTTTCTGAGCCAACAGAAGAAATCACGCAACCACCGACAAAGAGTTTCTTCTACCGTTTACCTCCTAGAGCATTGCAATAATACAAGCAACCTACCAACAATTCACCTCGACCACCCTCAAAATGAAGAACCTTTTCACCCTTGCCGTTACCCTTGCTCTGGCGATGACTGCTGCGGCTGCTCCTTCTGACATTTTCGAGCGTGATGGCATGGTCTTCGACAAACGCCAATGTGGTTGTGTTGCCGGTCAGTCGTGCTGCGTTTCTGGAGACGCAACACTTTGCTTCCCTGGCTGCTAAGGTATGCTTATTGAGATTGAATGCCAAGTCAACTTGAACCTAACATGTTAGTAAATAAGGTAACGCATTTGGTGGATTTATAAAGCAAACGAGGTCGCACGGTGGAAGGCTCGAAGATGTTCTGCAGTTACCATGTCGATTTCAGAATAATAACATCTCCTAATGGGGATAATATAATTCTATTGCCTCGTGTGTGAAAATGACCTACCCAGAAATATCCACAGTGTCTCTCAATTATGACTTCATTTGCATAGATCTTATTTACCCCAGTAAAATATTATTACACCGAATGGTGTTTACTTGAGCCCAAGTTCAATTAGAGTTGGAAATACAGTGTAGATAATAATTTGATACTGTATTTGTTATAGGAATTTCGATCCATTATAGGCTTCATAGTTCATAGCTTGGAATTCATAGCTTGGATTAACGTTTCCCCGTAACGTCTGTCTCATACAAGCACTTCTGTTTGCATACGGCCCTTCACTTCCCAAGACTTTTTCACTCTCTGCGTATTTCGCATAATGCCCAAAGGCGCTCTTTACAACTATTTTATGATCTGTGCAATATAAAACCACCCATTGAGCCTGGATTGACCGCCATGGAGCGCTATGCAAAGCCTAGGGTTTCCGTAGCATGTCTACCCTGTCGCAACCAACATCTGAAATGCGATGCGAGTCATCCAACCTGTGCACGCTGTCAGTCACTGGGTAGATCATGTTCATACCCAGAATCCCGCCGGAGTGCCAAGTATCGGAACTCGGCTTTATGGAAAAGCAGACTACATCGCATCGATCCAGGTTCTTCGACTCTTCCCAGCCCGTCGGTATCAATGTCTCAAGAAGATGACCTGTCAGCTAATCCTGAACTATGCATCTCCCCTTCTATGCTTTCCGTCACCGCACTTGTTACCGAACCTGCTAGCGGATCTACTATTCTTTCTGTGGATAGTCATCTTTTAGATCTTTATTATGAGCATTTCCACCCGAGCCATCCATTTCTATTGCCGCGGAGGAGTCTTGATACGAGGCTAAGAGCTGGGCCTCCATCTCCGACCCTTCAACAGCTGACTACTACAATGGAATATATTGGATCGTTCTATCGGCACAATCCGATTGGAGCCGAATTATTTCCTGGCAATGACGCTAGCATTGAAACAGATGGATTTGTTGTGCAGAACACTCTCTTACGAGCAATGGCTAAGAGTATGTGTGACGACAAATCTGGTGCGGAAGTATTTTTGGCTCGTGCTATTCAACAAGCAAGTTTTATTGGTATGCATGAGAAAAGCTTTGCCGACACAGTTGCTGATGACGACCCCATTCTCGCGGAAAGCTGGAGACGTACTTGGTGGATGTTGTATTTGACAGATGCCAATTTTTCTGTCACAAGACGTGATTTTGTACCTATCATCACAACACCAAGCCACGAAGTCGACCTTCCGTGCGAAGATGGATCTTATGAACAAATGGTAAAGTGTTTTATGGCCTTTTATTCGTGGGATTGTGTGTTAAATCGTGTGATAGGACATTCCTCTTCAGGCAGCCACGTTACTCGATTACCGCAGTCGCGAATTCACGTTGGATGATAAACCCTTTTCGTCCTTTGCATATCTCATTGATGCCACGGAAATCTTCATCGCCGCATTGCGTGCTTCTACTCAGTACCAGGACATCATTGAAGCAGAAACTTTGTGCGGCGACTTGGAGGCGAGAGTCATCAGTTGGTTCCTAATGTTACCACTGAACAAAAGAGAGCTCACTGTGACGCCGGGCTTAATGGATCAGCTCATGTTTCAATCCCACATGATGATGTATACGTATGTCATGACCTGTTCAGTCGGAGTGTGCGGCCTTTTGCTGACCTGCCTAAGATCTCTTGCCTTTATTCACCGGCCACTATCAAACTTGAGATATGACCCAGCAGAAGACATTTCTACTTGTGGCCCGCCCCCGCCGCCGTTAGAGCAGAATTCTGGATATACCAGGATTGCCCACGGCGTACATTCCGAGAAATTGTTCCAGGCAATCCGGAAGCAGACTCAATGCTTAATTTTGCTACCCATGAGAGCGGCACAGCTGTCGCCGTTTGTGATTTGTATGATAGCTTGCTCGACTATCGCATACCTAGTGGCGTCAAAACTGGCGCTCAAGGCAGACGAGGCCGAAGCAGCTCGCAGTCGGATCCGCATTTCGTTGGCAACGCTTCGAATGTACGAGGATGCTTGGCCACGCGCGAAGAAAATCTTGATGGAATTAAAGCGAATTGCACAGGCCATTTTGCAATCGGCGACAGTATCACCAACTCCGTCTATTGACTCTCAGCTGCTTACAGATGAAACCACCGTCACCGCAAGTTTCTTTGACAATGAGTGGCTGTGTGCATTTGAGAATACGACATCTTAGACGAGATTGGGGGCTATGAAACGAATTCACATCGACTTAATATTGCAGAATAGACGCTAGACTTAGAATCGATACCCTTGAAAGTATGCTTAATTAAAAAATTTGCCACGAGTGGTTGCTCTCTGTCTGCTTCAACAAGATGACGTCCTTGTGCCTGAAGAGATTTCTCAAATGCCCCACATACTTATGCATAATCCCATCTCTTCCGATCAAGAAAATGACTGTCTATTGTATAAGTTTCCATTGAATAGATCGTGAAGCTTCATCCGATTCCGATGCACACACGCATCCGAATAGCCTAAGCTGATGTAGGGCCGAATAAAGAAGCACCGGCCTAGGCGGCGAATCGTCCCAAGCTAAGTCTTGGGCAGGAGATAACGAGTCTCAACTACTGGAGAATATATATATATATATATAGTTTATAGATTATTAAGATTGAATTAACAAAGCCTATAACTCTTATTTCAACATGGCTGCGCTAATTCGAAACACAGCCCTCGGGGCCGTTGTAAGATTTATTTCACGGGGTTCTGTTCTTACACATCCAAACCGTCCAAATACCAACCTCTCAGAGCGTAGCAAAGAGGTCGAGAAGACTTCACATACAAAAAAAGACATTCAGGGGCATATTATAGTAGGCTGGTAAGCATCATGCAAACATACGTCTGCATCCAATAATTAACGCAGCATCTAGGACTACGGATAGCAACCCCGAAAATCCTCAGAATTAGCCCCTTTCATAGAAGATCTTTGTTAGTTCTTTAATATAATGAGAGACACTGGCCTATAAATGTCATTTGTCTTATTCTAATCAGATTGGGGAGAAGCATTTACACGTTCACCGTGTATTGCGGTTCTTCTATATATATCCCGAGCGAGGCGTACGTTACCTTTTATCCCTGACGACGAGCAAGGTCTTAAGTGAACAAATAGACAAGTGATGAAAGAGTTTAACGTTTCCGAGACGGTTGCCTCCCTTGGACTGGCACTTTATGTTCTTGGGTGTAAGTCGATGATCCCCATAACAACCACGCACAACTGACTCTCCTCTATTAGATAGCCTAGGGCCTCTTGTTTTTTCACCTCTTAGCGAAATACCACTCATCGGTCGAAATCCAATATATATCATTACTTTCGCCATATATCTAATTTTTCTTATTGCATCCGCAACTGTACACAATTTTTCTGGATTTCTTATTATTCGTTTCTTACAAGGCTTTTTCGGTAGCCCGTGCCTAGCTACGGGAGCTGCCTCGTTAAGCGACATGGTACATGCAATTGATACAGGAGCCTTTTAAATACTTATTAATCATGGAAATAGTTTCCCATTACTCGAATCTCATATCCCCTCGCTGCTTAGTCCGGAGCCATGTACGCTGGCCCTGCGCTTAGCCCCTTATTATCAAGCTTTGCCGTTACTGCAAAGACGTAAGTTCTAGTCACACTCCGATAATAATACTGCTTGCAACAGTCTCTGACAATTAACAGATAGAGGTAGGCCATGTGGGAAATAGTCTAGCTCACAGCTATTATCTTTATTCTTTTATTTATCTTTCTTCCAGAAACTGCGGCACCAGCATTACTCTACTACAAAGCACAGCGGTTGAGAAAAGAAACTGGGGATCCTAAATATATCTCGGAACATTCAGCCTCCCAAAAACTAAGCCGCGGCCAAATAATACAGCTGGCACTAGTAAAGCCATTCGAAATAACAGTCAAAGATCCTGCGATTGCGTTTGTCAATCTTTATGTTAGTGGAACCCGTAATCGATCTTGCAATACTTCAGTTACACTGACTTATGAGTACGCTAGACTGCACTGACGTACGGTATTTACTACTCCTTCTTTGAAGTTTTCCCTCTCGTTTATCCCAAAATCTATGGCATGAACTTGGGGGAAACATCTGCCGTATTCCTCTGCGTGCTCATTGCCTGCATTATTGGCACAATATGGTATTGCACCTGGTACCGATTCTTCGCTCAAAAGCGCTTCGATAAACTCGGGACTTTTGATGTGCAAGAGTCGTTCCTTCGTCCAGCTCTAGTTGGAGTATTTGGCGTCCCCATTGGAATGTTCCTTTTCGGCTGGGCGGCTCGCGAATCAATTCCTTGGGAAATTCCCACGCTCGGTATTGTCATATACTGCGGCTGTTCGTTCGTGGTCGGACTTGGTATTGTTATTCACTTGCCATGCAGCTATACACAGTATTCTGCTAGTTTATTCGCTGCAAATGACGCATTACGAAGCGCATTTGCGAGCGCAGCAATACTCTTCGGACGCCCTCTCTACGTCAATCTCGGTGTAGGCAAAGGCTGCACCTTGCTTGGTGGGTTGAGCATATTTGGCGTCATCGGCTTTTGGTACTTATTCATTTACGGTGACAAGTTGCGGAAGCGTAGCAAATTTACGGCACATACATGAATGCGGACCTCGGGGTACGGCACAATCTGGTATTAGACATTGGGTATAAAACAAAGATGCGGAAGACCCTTGGACTCTCTTCTCCTTCAAGTTAAAAAAAGAATCATAGTCAAAACTTTTATATTTCTAATTAAGCTTGACGGCTACTCTGGAACCCTTCCCATGCCTACATCGTATGTCTTGGCTCATATACTTCTCGTCAAATGCCCATTGTAGTCAAGGTATACACTCAAAAAGACTAAAAATCACTGCAAGCTGACTTCCTTCCCAGTGCGTCGCCGATTCTCTATGAAGTTTACGGTATGCAGTCAAAAGGCAAAATTTGTGCCGTTTAATGCATAGTCCATGACTGGTAATAAACACCGGCGTATATTCCTATAGTTTTGAAGTAATGATGCCTAAGACTGTAACTAATGTGTGATATTTCTGTACTCTTCGTCGTATTCCACCAATGCAGCAACGCCTCCCCTCTCTACAACCTCAGTATCGACAACTAACGTTGCAAAGAGAGTAGCAGAATCCGTTAGGCTATGATTGTCGCTGACTTTGTGATGGCAGCCTGGGGCCTCGAACCAGCTCTCCCCTTCCTGAAAAACCTCAGTTGGCCCGTCGTTCATCTTACTGAGCACAGTCCCTTCAATCACAAATGCAGATACGGAAGCCCCTGCATGACGGTGAGGAGGAGTGGACCCATTGGGAGGGTAAGTGACACGGAGGCCGACGCTAGATTTCCCGGGACAGTTTGGTAGCTTGTTCTGGTATATAAGCTCCACGGTTGGGAGTGGTCGACTACCAGTATGTATTAGTTATGTGCTTATTTTTGAAGGCGGTTGTGGCTCAGAGAATCCTCTTCTCACTGCCTGAATTTGATGGATCCTCGTGTCTGGTATCATACCCTCTGTCGTACTTAGGAGGATCCGGCACGATCTTGTTCTCACCCATCTTCTTAGCCATCAGAAAATGAATTGAATGTAGCTCAAGTGGCAGTCATTTGTTGAATGACTTTGGAGTAACCTTGAAGAACAGCGTTTATCGAATAGCTGAGGACTATATATACGTCTTTCAGATGTGGTCTTGGGCTCATTCGGTGGCTTAGGCTTCCTGGCAAGCCCACAAGCGCTGAGTCATGGTGATGGCTTATTGCCATGCATTATACAAGACTGGATTCCGAAGTGATTTTACAGAAGAACCGTTGCTCGATATACAAGCTAGACATCTACAGGCGATATCGTTCCATATGCGGGCCGGGGCGTAATAAGTGGTTCTCCAGCAGGCCTAAAGTAAAATAAGGGCGCCCGTCATTGCGCATCACCATCTTACCCGCACACTGTGGCACTCCTGCAATGGGCCCAGCTGTTAAAAAATAAGATACCGTACATCAAGGCTAGTCGGATAGATCATGGTTAGCTGGATAGATTAAAGTTATTCGGATAGATCGAGAAATACGCCACGCTGCGCGCCTGGGAGATCCCAAGAGCAACCTAACAGTCATTTTCATTTTAACTCCCGACCGATTCAGCCGCAGCAGAGATGGCACGCTCATCAACATCGTGGAGAAAAATCTAGTCGATTCCGATAGCGCAAAAGTAGTTTTCTTGATACTAATGCGAGACAATCAGTGAAGATTGAGAACTTGATCGACGGCCGGTCGTTGACTCGTGCTTGACTCCAATGCTGTAACTGCGGCTTTCAAGAAGAGTGAGACGGGATGTGCCTACGGGAAGATTGATCTTAGAGGACCTAACGTATGGTGCGTTTCTCGTTCGATGATTGTAACGTGAAAAATGTGGCAAAGTCAAACCGGCAGTCGAGCACGGTGTAGCGATTAGCGACAAGCATAGCTTCATCCACGAATAACCCATTATGGGAGCAAGATATTTTGAACCTTAGTATTAAAACTATGAGTGCTGACTTCCCCATCAAGGCTGTTTATCTCGAGACATTTAAAAAAATATATATGTATCCTCACTTCTCATCTAGCATACCAGATACATATCCGTTCTTATTTCTCCTCAGCAAACATTTTTTTTCCAACCATGGCCCCAGAAGCTCAAGACTATAGTCATCGTGGGCGGTGTTTGAGAGGTGAAATATGTCCTTGTACCAGCCAGGGGTTCCGCAAGACATGAGGTGATGACCAATAGGCTGACAGGAGCCGAAGTCGATGAGCTTTGGTTCTCCCTCTTCGCCCAACATTATATTTGCGGGATTTATATCGTTATGCGCCAATCCAATCGAGTGCAGTTGGTCAACCGCTGCCCGTAACCCGGACATGATACGGTTCTTATCTACCAAACCCTTGAATAGCTCCGGCCGTTGAGCAGCAAATCCTAGATCGTACTTGAGTGGAAAGGTTTCTAGGACTAGTCCGGTGATTCTGCCTCTCTTAACTTGGCAGCCGTGATAGCTTACAATGCTCGGATGGGGCCTCTGTGCAAGAAGCTCCATTGTATGTGCTTCCTGAAGCATAAGCCGAGCAAGAAACGTTGTTCCCTTGACGTCCTCATAGTCTACCCATGCCGTGCGCTTGACATATCGGCCGGAATAGTCGTTTGCTGCTGCGGTCAGGCCTGTCACAGGAAACCCCGGATATATCTCTTCATCCGGTACAGGTCGAACGTTATCTTTGACAACCTCCACGGTGAGCTCATTTACCCGCATTCTCTCTTTGACGCCATAATAGGCGTTGTTATCAGAGTCGACTATGGCGAAAGATGTCCATGGGGTCTCGTCTCCATTAGACTCAACAATCCACTCGCATCTAGAGCAAAGATCCGTCGGTGTCGTAATCTCGATCATTTTTAATTAGCGAGCGGGAAAGAAAATGCGCAAAGATACGGGCGCAGAAGGAGTTGTCGACGGAAATGGCGTGTTACGCTCACGGAGAGGGCAGCCGAATTACGAGGCTAAAATTGATAAGATGTTTGTTTTCTGCTTCGAATTACGCGAGCCATGGCAAAGCTGCCTAAAACATATGACGTGGCAAATGCAAGGCACGTTGGTTACATGTTGTTGGCTGCGTCAGTTGCTTCGATGGGAAGCTTCATCGTCTGGGAGGCTAATTGTAGCCAATTAGGGGCACTGCTGTTCGATTCGAATATCTTATGTGCACTTATCGTGGTGATCCTCATCCGTTTTAATATACTTGTACTTTGCAAATGGTAAGGTGACCAATCAGTGTTCCGTAGGACCGTATATCTTAGTATGTAGCTATATGCTACTCAACCGTCGCACTACTCATGATCATTCTAACCATATACCAGAGACACGAATAAGTGGCAAAGGCTTTATTGGTAACATTAACAGTAATTTCTTGTGAAGCTGCTGGTCTCAGAGCCTCGAGAGGTCTAGCATTTACAGTAGAGGGAAAACAATTCTGGAATACTACAGGAGAGATTGCCTAAACGCCCAATCGATACTTGGTCAATGTTTTGTTCATGTGAAAAGAGCTCATTGTAATACAATGGTAAAACTCCATAGCGTATTGAGATTAAATGCAATTGTTAGCGGGAGTCGGAATCGAAGTCGGAGTCGGAGTCGGAGTCGAAATGGGTCTAGGCTATCACTGGTTCTGCACTCAGGAAAGCTGAAAATCACCAGCAAAGAGCCATTTTGTAAATATGGAGCGAATTAAATCATGCTCCCGTACCGTATACCGTGCTACAAAAGGATGCCAGAGTACGAACCATACTCGTTGAATAAAAAAAGACAAGCTTTTTCTCTTTTTCATCTTTTTTTGCTTTTGAGCACTATTGCATGCTCGTCTGTTAAGAGATAAAATGGCCGAGTCATCTGAAACAATTCTCAAATTAAGCAAGAGCATTATTCGGCGCTATCGCACGTCGGATGCCGCAGCCGTAGTTGAAGGCGCGGATACACCCCTGGTTTCTGAATATATGTCAGCATCCTTTCCAAGTCCTTATACTCTAGAAAGGGCATTGGGATGGATTAAAATCGCCAACGAAGAAGGAAGTCTTCATTTCGCCATATGCACCATCGATAGCGACGTTGTTATTGGTGCCTGTGGATTTGATCATCGCACCGGCGTGGAATCTCGGACCAAGCTTATTGGTTACTGGCTGTCGCCCAAATACTGGGGTCAGGGTATAATGACGGAAGTTATCACAGCACTAAGTGGTTGGATTTTTGGGCAAGTTTCAACGCTCCTAAAACTAGAAGCCACCGTGGTTGAGGAGAACAAAGGGAGCATCAAGGTTTTGGAAAGGTCTGGGTATCAGCAAGAAGGGGTTAAACGCATGTCTGTGTTCAAAAATGGCCGGGTTAGTAACGCTGTGCTCTTTGGATTGACTAGGAATGATTGGAATCAATGGAGTCAACCTGTATGATAGAGAGTAAATGTGGCTAGTCTGGTAGAGCGAGAGTGAAACAAAGACATCGCATTCAAATATTACTATGCGTACTTATGTGTTAATTGCTATATATTGATGATAATAAGAAGTCATTGTAATGTCTCGACTCAGTTGTCGACATTGCTTCCGTTCGCCATCAACTATGCTCAATTGTCTTGTCTATTCATTCGTCAGCAGAAAAGTTGCCATATGAACGAGAATTTTCCGTCATATTAGTAATTACTGAGGTGGTTCCCCGCTGGAAAACAGATATAAATGTTATACAAGCCAGCTAAAAGTGTCTATATCCGTCAAATCATCAAGACAAACTTTTTCCACCGTTGAATCTGTAGCGGAACGATCAATCATATTAGAATTGGGATTGAGAGCTTGGTCCAACACCCTTAAAATGAGATCTTTTGCCCTGTAGCAGTGTTCAGTACATGGTACCTTGACCAGCAGCCAATCCAAGAAGGCTCCGAGCAAGCTCAGTTGATGAATGATGCTAGAGATTGAAGGTGTAAAACAACCATGCGATTCTGTTTCAATAAGGCATCTACACAGAACGACAGCTGCTGGTAGCGCATATCCTATGATGAACCACTCATGGTCACCTTGCATGCCTAACAGAGTATCGTTTCGAGTCCAGAATGTAACTGTGACTGATATAATATCCAGACTAGTCTGTACTAGACCATCAAAGTTTTGGCTGGGCTGAGTTTTTTGTAGTAATTTTTCGATGAGAAAGAGGTTTTGAAGATGCTCTAACCGGATAAAAAGCTTAGTATATAGCACATGAGGTTCAAGAAATTTAATCTTCAAATCGACGTCGGCCAACCGTAGACTGCTAGGTAGGCCGTTGAAAATATGGACTTGCTGTGATCTCAAAGTACTAAATTTCGAATCTATGATTAGCATCGAGCCAGAATCTTTGGAAGCCATGTTACTGGAGCGATCTTACATCAATTCTCGTGGATCTCTGGCCCTTTTGTTCAAGGCAAGGTTTAAAACTTGTTCTCGGATATGCGCGATCAATCCTCTGGCTCGAAGAGTTGTTGTGGAATAAATTTTGCCATCAACATTCCATCCCTCATCATTAACGCCCAATGAGGTAAGATTTACACCTTGACTAGGCCTCCAGCGTAAGAGAATGGTATTGCAGATATCCAGCGGCAATGCCGTAGAGCAATGGTCCGATACTAGCAGGGGCAGTTTGCCCCCAAGAGTAGCAGCAGTCTTATCTAAGATATAGATGGCCGTGAAGAGACGGCGTTCAGACTGCTTCAAAATGCGAGGATCTTGTATTGATATATCGGCAATAGTGTTCAAACCCATGGAACAAGCCAATGAGACGGTCTCCGAGTGAAGCGGCCAAAAATTGGGATCTGAAGGCAATCAATCAGCACTACTAGACTAGCTTTCAAGATTATGGAGGAATTTTACCATTGGGTCCCTGTAAAATTGATGAAACAATGCTTGTGCGGTATAACAGATACAGGAACAGCACGTTATGGGCTTTGATATCTTGGCAGAATGTGATACAGCTCTCCATAATACCAAAGAACTTGAGAGCAAGAACTCTTGGTCTATATCCATCGATATCTTCTTTGTTTTGCAGTGCGCTCAGTGCCCAGCTGCTGAAGAGCAGCCCAATCAATTCCCATCTGGTATTTGGGCCAGAAAAGCTTGTATACCACTCTTCAGGTCGATCCCACTGGCTGTCCGGGAATTTTTGTGTTGTATTTGAGAAAATGGTCAATGCGACGGCCTCGAGATGTTTCTCATTCCTCTCTTGCAAAAATGCATAAGGAAAAGCATTTCTTAGCTCGACCAGCAATCTTGTCGTGGATAATGGAATCCATCCGTCAAACGGATTAATATGAGGCTTAGCAAGTATGTGTTCGGCGTCAGGACTTGGTAAGCTGGCCAAAAAGTCCAAAGCCACTTGCAAGTCTTTGGCGCTTGGCCCCGAAGAAGCGTGCCCATAATGCTGGCTATTAAGAACTTGGCGTTCAGGAGCAATCTTGGTAGTGTCAAGGCAGGTGTTGACTTCGTAGATACTGAAACTCAACTCGGTTTGGGTTGATTCGGCGGTGACCTGAAGATTTAATGCATGTAATGGATCTTTAGTGAACGTAGAACGATTTTGCGCCAAGCGGGGAAAGATTATGGTTGAGTTGCCAGAATGGATGGCCGACGTTTGGCGATTCTGCGAAGTTTGGTTGAGATATCTACAAGGTGTCTTTGTCCGACTTCGCTGGCACCGCTGACATGTTGGAAAGGCGCGATCGCAGGCATATTTCCGGCGCTGGCATGGTTCGCATGCAACTAAGCGACCATTTTTTGTTCGGGGTATAACTGCGAGAGATCTATCTGGATCCATTGATAGCTGAGTGGTAGAAGAGTTGGATAGCTGAAGGGGATTGACAACGAGTGATTTCGTCGTCACAAATCCATGGAGAATTAACACGTGATGCCCGCTATATCACGCTGAGCTACAGCATGCATCAAGAGCTTACAGCGGTAATTGTCAACCTAGGAATGTAATAGAGACGGACAACCTTGAAGAGAACATCAAAGGTCACCACCGATGGCAATTTTGTTATTTTGTTGTCAAATATTTTGTTTAATCCTTTCTATATGCCGTCCAATTGTTATTTTTTTTTCTTAGAAAACTTTAAATCATTCGTCTTGTTGTGCATCGTTCATTCCCGTAGTCAACATTTTGGACCCTCTGCAGCTGCCTCTATACATTAAGGTACGTCGAGCAACAGCTGGACTAACATGAAGTTGAGTGCACACCCACAAGTCGCTGACTCCTTGGTATACCTATGTTAGATTTCATGAGTAGGTATGCGGCAACTCGTCTATGAAAGGTTTTACGTGATGCCCGTGTATGCCAGTCCTCAAGATTTCCTAATGCTAGCGCCTATTCTGGCCAAGGCAGCAGTTTCATCCCCCGTCGCCATAACCGGCTCAGACACATCTTGTCATTTTTTTGGGCATGTCGGAAATTATCACATTCATAGGAGCTATTTTCATAGCGGAGGAATTTGTATGATAATATATTTTAAAGTTCAATGGCCTGCTTCAATGACCTCTCGGATCTTTGGACATGGCTTTTACAATTATTCGCCATTGATGATTGAATCCAATATCCCAGCTGTAGCAACCAGCGCCTCGTCTTGATGCCGGTAGCCGACTACCTGAACAGCGATTGGGAGCCCTTCATATAATTCGGGTCCAGTATCTAAAACAGGCAAAATAATAATCTCAGCTTTGGTCATTCATTATATATTACAGTTGAAGAGTATTCGCTTACAGAGCTTGTAAAGTCCGGCATCCTGATGGCCGTATTTCGCGTTACTGGCGTCATCAATGGCATCTGAGTCCGTCACAACATCTACAGGAACCACCACCGCCGGGTAGTCCAGGTAGTTCCACAAGCCTGTGGAAGTGACGGTGGTCCAAGTATCCAAAGGTAGCGCAGTATGAGGTGCTGGGGGCATCAGAATAGCATCCAGATTGTTGTCGCGAAAGAAACGACGATAGGTACTAGCGACTTCAGCCCGACGTACATTTAGATCGAAAAATCCCTGAAGCGTTGTTTTCTGTCCCGACAAGAGGCCGAGTGCTTTGACCGATGGCACCAAAGGCTCTCCTGTTCGGTTAAGCTGTTCAAGGTAGTACTTTTGACAGCCAATTTTAGTAGTCAGTTGAGAGCGGAAGAGCTATGAGCGACGTACCTCATTGCCCATTAAAGTATAATAAGAAAGCAAGTCATCATACCAACCATTACCCTGCGGTAGAGTCAAGGGAACAATTTCCACGGCGTTGCTTTGTTGAAGCTTGTCCACTGCCTTCTTCAAGCCTCTCCTCACGGGGGGCACTGGTGTATAGAAATCATCATCTTCGACTAAACCAATTCGTAGTCTTTTGCTGGGTTTCGTCAGATCTCTCCATGGCAATGAGATGACATTGCTATCATATTTCCACGTGTCAGCCTGCATTATGGACTTGAGAAAGAGAGCGCAGTCTCGGAATGTGGTTGCCATTGGCCCAACACTCGATCGCACTCCATCCGTGCCCGGTACTGTAAGCTCTCGCGTACCTCCATGAGGAATTACGCCTGCACTCGGTTTCATTCCATAAATTCCGTTACAAATAGATGGCACACGTATGCTTCCGCCGATATCAGTACCAACGCCGAGGACGCTTCCTCTTAGAGCAAGCAGGGCACCCTCACCGCCTGTGCTACCACCCGCAGTCATTGAAGCATTTCTAGGGTTGAGGGTCCTGCCAAACACATTGTTATCACTGTCTCCAGTCATGACAGTCTGCGGAACATTTGTCTTGCAATAGAGGACAGCACCGAGGTCAAGCAACATAGCGGCGATAGCACTATGTTCTTTTGCCGGTGCATTGACGTAGCAAGCTAAACCAGTTGATGTATCATGGCCTTGAATTTGAAAAGTATCTTTGATTGAGATAGGCAAGCCGAACAGTGGAGGCAGTGTCTTGCCGCCTACGAATTCTTGTCGCTGTTTATCAAGTTGGCGAGCGCGCTCGATTGCCTCGTCGAAAAAGATTTCTGTCAAACAATTTACCTTTTCACATACTCCAGTCAGTGGTGGGACCAGTTGAAACCAAGCTTAATGGAATTTACCATCTGGTGAGCGATAGCTGCCCGCTTGCAAAACGCTGTCGTGACTTGCTCAACTGACCATGTACCGATTTTGATGCCCATTAGCAGGCTTGTTGCGTCGTATTTGGACGTGATATCGATCTCGGTATCGTTTAAAATACCGCAAGTAATTGGTACATCCAAAGGATTAATGGACTCTTGACGCTTGTCATCGTCGAGTCTCCAGGCGGTAGGAATCTTTTGACTCCTCTGTAGCCTTTTTTCATGGGCAATAGCCCTGTAGTCTCCTTGGGTCATTTTTATCGTCGAGTGATATTGTCTAATGCGAGATGATGGAGTGATACTCTTTTTCTCTCATGAAAGACGCATCCATGTGCGTATATATACATCTGTCAATCTATTTGCTATACTGGATTTGCGATCCCACAATCTTCTAATCTACTGGCCATATTCACCAATTCAGAGGATCTGAATGATATTGGCAGTGACCGTTAATAAATTCTCCGGTTCCGGTTCCGGTCCCACGATGCCCACGCCAATCCTACTCATTGTTGCAGATGCGGACGATGCCCATCCAAGCAGAACTTTTGAACTAGGCAGCGCAATTCGCCAGATCTTATAAATGACCAATGGAATCCAAGGCGCCCCGCAACATCCCCAATTTCAGTCATACCTTGCCATAACCTTCCGGTCAACCTTCCGGCGGTTAATTTTAACAGTCAGCAGCAAATGAGCCCCAACAGTTTTCTTTGCTTGCGGGTCGCCGAGTCTGAGTAGAATCGTTGCCGAGAACCTAAGATCTCATCAATCAGTTTTTGTCTTCTACTACTCATCATACGCTTCGGGGAACATTTCATCTCGCAGCCACACTGAAATAGACCGAATATATGGCGACATTTAAACGCAAAGGCTACAATTCAAGAACGGCATGTGATCGATGTTATGAGCTAAAAGAGCGATGCGCCCGCTCGGCTATTGACCTTGCCTGCGCAAGATGTGACCGATTAAGGCTTGTTTGCTCCATTGTTCGCCCTATACGGCCGGCTGGTCGCAGGCCAAACAATTGGAATAATTCCGTCAATGCTACCGCGTCATCCGAGTCAAGCATATATGGAACAAATAAGGAGCATCAAATGGACATTGATTCATGGTTTCATAACGGAATCAGCGTCGACTCCAGGGAAAGACAACTGTTGCGGTTCCTCTTAAGTGAGCCCAAAAATTTCGGCCACCACCTCGTGAGCCCTACTTTTGAACCTACCGAGCATGGATCGCTTGTTGCTCTTCTTCCCACAGCCATGCCGTTCCTGAAAGACGCGCTTCTATCCTATGCAAGTGGGTTGAAGTTTGCTCAGACAAGTGTGGCGGCAGATACATATATAGATGCTAGCCATCGCTACGCGTCATCTGCTATCGAAACATTGCGATCGTTAAATGTTACCAGTGTACAAGAGGCAACATTATGCCTTACCCTCGGGAAAACTTTAGTTCTAGCAGTGTATTCCTTGATAGGGGTCGGCGCTGCTGAAATTTGTCAATACTGCCTGAACGCCACAACGGCATTTACAAATGTCGCCATATCATGGGACGAAGACCTAGCATCGCAGCATAGCTTCCTTATACTTATGGAAACTATGGATTGCTTGGTTCATTGCCGAAAGCCTGCGCAGAGATTTCCACCACGACACATCGGAAGTATAGACCGCCATCTTGGACTTTGTTTGTCCTTGTTACCTTGCTACTATGATTTATGTGTCATCAGCCATTCAATGGTTGATAATACTGAAACAGCATCCCTTGTTTACCTTTACAAAAAGCTTGATGAAGTACGAGTTGCCGTGGAAACATGGCAACCGCCACCCCTGGGAGATATAACCTATCAGGTCAAAACAGTAGACATGGTTAATCTCCTTGCCCAAGCAAGAGTATATCGACTAGCGGCGTTGCTAATCATTCATCGGCTACAATACCCATTTGGCCAGCAAGATTGCCAGGCAAATATCTGGTCAAATGAGATCATGAAAGAATTTGAACTCGCGGACTGGGCTACCAAACAAACCACTCGCTGTGTAACAATGCCATATATTGTCGCGGCAATAGAAATTCAGGACTTTGGCTCACGACTCAAGGCGCTGGAGAACGTGGACAAGTATGTCGACAAATTTACCCCAACGGTTCAACGAGCCGCAAGGCGATTTCTTTCTCGGATTTGGCTAGAGAGAGACAACAAGATAACCTATTTTTGGTTTCAGTCAGTTTCTAAACCTTGCCCTATTCTACAATCTTTCGAGTTCTAGATATTGTGATGACAACTCTCAGTAGTATGGCGTATCACGATGAAGGTATCAGTGATTTGTGGGACTCTACCCTAGGCTGTTTAGCATAGACCGAACTAATACAACAAAGATTCAAAAGAGTGTAATTCTGGATAGTTTCATTGTTTACAAGGTATATTTAGCTTTCAATCAAGACTGACATTAGTCTCGTGGTAATATTACTTTGTTACCCAAGCATCACAACAATTAACCTGCCGCTTTTTACTAAAATTGTTTACGGGGATGTGGGGATACCACTACATATTCCTCTAAATCAACATTTCGTAATTCTACAAATTAACATTCTTCATCACTTGTGATGATCTTAGCGGCAACTGTTTTTTTGTTCGACTTGCACTCAGGTATTTGGAGACGTTCGTATATACGGTGCGCACACGCGGTCTCACGATGCTCTGGCCAGGGTCTACGCGTTCCTGTAAGCTTAATACGAACCACACCAAGGATGTATGCATTCTTGTAAGCTTAATGAGCCCCAGGGTTACGCGTTTTCTGATGCGCCAAAAAAATTCACATACGCGTCCCAGCTGAATTGGTTTTGCTAAAGGATTAATTTGTCATAATGGATAAAATTAGGGTTATTACAGGATTCAAACTGACCAATGGCGTCTCACGCAATTTCTCTTATGCAATCACCTGCTGCAAGTGCAACTTGAGCCTCTGAATTATCAACGGCCTTTATGGCGGCATGCGGTTCGTTTGTAAATGGCGGTACTCCGATAGGAAGGTCCATTTCCGACATTCACTGCCACGCTTGACCGCTACAAGCGCGGTTGAGAAGTAATCATCCCACACAGCAATACCCCCTTGATGTTAGAGGATGCTTTGAGTAGACATTCAACTCTTTCTTATATATTACATCAAATAAACCACTCTGGATGAATCTCCAATATCCCTTATGTCCATACTTGTTTACTCTTACTTATTGGTTACTATAAGGATCCCTAGATCAAAGAATCATGGCCTGGACTCGAGCGGTTGCGTATGCTGTTTTAAGCTCGCAATTCTGGCTTCCCACCAAGGCTGATTACATTTGGCCGAATGCGCAGATCGATGAGCTTGAGAGAGAAGTATTCGAACAGGAAAACCCCTTTGACGGTCCCGGCAGCACTGTTTCTTTTGTGGACGGATGCAGTGGGCCAGCTGAGCGTGCGCTTGGTATAGGGCGTAGTTTTGGTGCTGAATGGATTAGAAACGCCTATCACGACATGGCAACAGCAGATGTGTCTGCTGGAACAGGTGGCCTTGACGCTTCAATTGTTTTCGAGATGGATCGTTCTGAGAACGTTGGAGATGCATTTCGGGAAACACTTGGCATTTTTCAGGGCAGCTATAATACTCGAGCGTCTATGGCTGATTTATTTGCCATAGGCGCTGTGATGGCTGTTGGCGCGTGTTCAAATGGAAAGGTCATTGTTCCATTTAGAGGCGGTCGCGTGGACGCAGCTGGCCCAGGTCCATCTGGTGTTCCGGAGCCTCAGCAAGACCTACCTACACATACTCTCAGTTTTGCGAAACAGGGATTTGATACATCTGAAATGATCGCACTCGTTGCTTGTGGGCATAGTGTTGGAGGTGTGCATGGTGTGGACTTTCCAGAAATTGTCCCTAATCCTGTGCCAACGAATGATGTTCGTAATTCTACGTCTCTGACCGACGGCGGGTTGGTGAATTATCATGACTCGGTTGACTAACTTCAAGACAACCTTTTAGGCAACGAACGATAATACCGTTACTTTTGATACAACGACGGACAACTTTGACAACCTTGTGTTAGTTTTGCTCTTGCGTCGCCCTGTCTGAACTCCACCAAACTAACGTCTAGCTTACTGCCAGTGCCAAAGAGTTCGTCGCCAATGTTTCCCAAAACCCACTTGCGTTTGGACAAAATGAAACAACACGATCGGACTTTCGTATTTTCAACGCAGATGGCGGCGATATGATTTCACAGATGGCGTCGTCCAATGACTTTTTCCTGAACACGTGCACCACTATGTTTGAGCGCATGATCAATACAGTGCCGAGAGATGTTAAATTGACAGATGTTATTAAACCTCTTAAGATCAAGCCTCGAAAGTTGTCTGTTACAGTTAACGATGACCAAACGCTCTCAATATCCGGATTCATACGAGTCAGTGCTGCTCTTCTACCCGCCGCAGAAGTTAGAGATCTTGAATGGCTAACTAATAGCAATTTGAACTTACTAAAGATTGTTGATGACCTAATTGGTGCAAATGGAACACAAGTTCTTATCCATTTAGCCTCGCGATCCGGTGAAGCTTTGCCTGTGGCCACTGGAACGACATCACAAGGGCTGACTGCAAGCTGCGGCTATCCTAATTGCGGTCCAAGCTACACCTATTTCAGATTCAGCTCTACAATTCCCGCTGAACAGGGCGTATCGTCTTTTACTGTCGAAATTATCGACGGCTCAACTGGAAAGGCTACAGTTTTCAACAATGGTGGCAGCGGATTCCCTGTATCTGATGCTATTCTGCCAATGTTTAGCCTTTCAAGTCAGAGCAGGATAACCATCAATGGTAGTGACGAGTTACAACTCAATTTGACCGCAGCAGTAAGTCCAATCCATGTATCATGCGGTAGTTCTTTTTCGCACAACTGACCATTTGACACCGATAAGGTTCTCAATGCGGAGATGTATGCAAACGTTTCACTCATTGTTCCGCAACCCTCAAATAAAACCGCTCCAATTGGCCCATGGACTCAGGAAATAGTTCATATGGAGCCTTTGAGCAAAATTTCTGGAACCAATTTTACACTCTACAGAGGCATATGGCAGAGCAGTGGTCCATTGACAGCAATCTCTTCGCACCCTTTCGATCTTGTTGCTCAGGGATCGACAAAAACAGTTTCTAGTCTCTTCAACTCCTGGGATGATGTTGAATTTGTTTGAATACCTATTGTCATATCCATGTGAATATAGAATATGGAACAAGTTTATGCCAATGATCTCCTATGCAATTAATATCGTGTTAATGAATTGTGTTCCATATGCTTGAATGAATCCAAGTTATCTTCCACATACATGAAAGCCGGAATGTTTTACGACAAGAAGAGGCAGTGTGATACTTCAGATATAGACCACTGCGACTCGACTGAAGGACGAGTACAACAATCATACAGAGGATTGATGCTCTTACCAAGCTTCCCCATAGAGAAATGAACGCGTTTGTGTTCGTTCCAGATCTAGATATAGTTCAATCTCCCGGGTTGAGTCTCGCAGCATTGGTGACACGTATTTTTGGAGGATGTTCTGGGAAAAGTATGAGCTGCCCAGCAAGCGTCGTATCTCCAGATGGTGCATGAAGCTACATCTTGACATCATCATTGATCTGATGTCTTTCAATCGCGACGGTATATGCCATATATGCTTTAAACATAAATTGAAAGAGCAAAAGATTACAACCCTGTTCGCCATGATTAGAAAATAGCACGATAGAACGTGAAAGAGGCGTACCGGGTGGCTCATGCGGCATAACGTCACATGTACAGTGCACAAGGGATCGAGGGCTGCGGTGTGGGGTTGCGGAAGTGTTTGCTGTTCTAGGCAATATTCTCATGATAGGAAGCGCCGTATATGGTTAGGAGGCTGCTTGGTTAGGTAACTACTTGCTCCGGGTTTGTACGTGGCATCGCAAAGAATCCTACAGCAAGATTTTCAGCTGGCTAAATGAGAAAATTGATGATGATTGTAAATGTCTTTCTCATGCTATTCCCATTTTCATTTCATCCTACCTCTGGGGAGAGGCGACCGTTACTGAATTATCCCCACTGTACATGAGCCACGATTGCCCCAGTCTAGCCTTGATCAGACAATAAAGATTAACATTATAAACCTTATTAGATACGATGAGTGGAAGACCGTATTTTAGGGACAATAATCCCTTTTTTAGTGTTCATTCTCCTGGCATCCTTATTGTGATGCTGGCGGATTACTCGGCAGACACTTCGCCAACCCAGAAAATCGTAGTTTGCTTACTTGGCAAGCTCCTTTACGACGTCATACAGCATATGTAAATCACTCTGTATGGCTACAAATCACAAAAGTCGCTAGATTGATAGTTTACAACAGCGTAGAACCCGATAATCTAGCTGGTTTGTCAGTGCTGAGGAATCATAAATGAACTCGGTTTCGCCTCTGCAAGTGGCTATAATAACCATCAAGAACTCTCACTTTCGAATTTATAGACGCTCAACAACAAAAGATAATTCTCCTATTCGTTAATTACTCCGCATATTTGTTCTTTGAGATCTATTGCGCTGATTCACACTTCCACATTGTCAAGATGGCTCTTCCTTCGACACAGAAAAAATGGGTTATTATGGGACAAGAGAAAGGCTATGATGAATTAAACTTTACCGATGGGCCTATTCCAACAGTCGGAGACTATGGTGTTCTGGTCAAATTACATGCAGCATCACTGAATTATCGCGATCATATGATTCCAAAGGTGAGTCTACTTCAGATATTTTCCATTCGATGCACGAAGTAGGTTGTTCCTTTACTTACTCATGTATTAGGGCACTTATATCTTTCATCTTCATCTTCCTATTGTTGGCGGTTCTGATGGGGCTGGGGAAGTTATCGAAGTGGGACGTAAAGTTACCAAGTGGAAGAAGGGTGATAGAGTTACCACGCTCTTCAACCCAGGGCACCAATCTGGACCTATGACCAGGGCTATAATGCGCAACGGAAGTATCGGCGGCTCTTTCGACGGCACCTGGCAGCAATACGGAGTATATGAAGAGAATTGGCTAGTACGCCTTGCTTCTAACCTGTCGTATCTTGAAGGTGCTTCTCTCTCGGATTGCGGATTGACAGCGTGGAATGCCCTTTATGGATTAAAGGCAGTTAAACCAGGTGATTGGGTTCTAGTTCAAGGAACCGGCGGTGTGAGCCTCTTCGCCATTCAGGTAACTCTGCAATGCTCCATATCATTGATTAATGGTCAATCTCACACGAATACTAGTTTGCAAAAGCCGGAGGGGCTAAAGTGGTCGCTACAACGTCGTCTACTAGCAAATACGAGCTACTCCAACGCCTTGGTGTGGACCATATTATCAACTATTCAGAAGATAAAGACTGGGGACTCACGGCACGGAATTTCACCCCGAATGAAGAAGGATTTGACCATATCCTTGACGTCGGGGGCCAAGAAACGCTGCCTCATAGCGTGAAGGCGATCAAGCCTGAAGGCATCGTTACTGTAATTGGAATCTTGACAGGCGTGGAGACTAAGAATGCCAGTATTCTAGATGCGCTGTTGAACACCTGCACTTTCCGTGGAATTCATATTGGTTCCAGGGACCAGATGGATGAAATGATGGCAGCAATAGATGCCAACAAGATCCAGCCAGTTTTGGACAAGAGAGTGTTCAAGCTAGAGGAGCTGCGGGAGGGCCTTGAATACATGGTAAGTACTCTGGCTGGCGCACTACTTATGACGCGATGATGCTAATAAAATATGTAGGAAGCTCGAAAGCATACTGGCAAGGTAGTAATTGAGATTCCTTGAGAGAAAGCCTCGCGTATGTGGTTGGATCTGTTCGGCATTGGATTAAAACGTATACAAGTTATTATCCATTGACTTTTAGATTGTATAATAATACGGAATTCCGAATATTGAACTCATTTGTGTCCAAATAAATCTTGACTTGGTGCATTTCAAGCATAGAGAGTAGCCCGTTGGTTGCTCTCGTGCGTCTGAACTAACTGAGACACCCCACTATTAGAGCATATCGCTAAATATACAGCTACAAAATACCATCAAAAGTGGCAGTATCAAGCCTGAATATTAATGATTCAATTTACAACATATATGAACGGTAAAGTAAATTCAAATCTACTAATAATGTATAGTTATTTTATATTTAAAGAGTATTTCCCTTTTATTATGTACTTTGCCGCATCTCGTGTGCACTGAAGCTGTGCTTCATTATCTCATTACCACTACTAACTTTGGTACAACTTTCTTATTTTTTTTTTGGTTCGCGTTGGCAAATTTTGGCCCGTGACTGTCTCTTTCATTGCTTCAATTATTGCAACTACTATAATTTAAAGCAAACGTTGATTTTTTGAACAGAAAACTGGACTAAGCTGCAGTGTCTTAACTCCCACCAATCATCAGCCTGATGGTAAATGATCATAGCTGCACCTTGATAGATCTCGATTGTTATATTCTGTGCAGACGCTGTTTCGTCTCTGTTATGCATTATGTGAGAAATTATGAATAAAATATCCGACAGCTCTCTATTGGAATTACATCTTGTTTGTTATTCGCAGTCTATTAGTATGATATCAACTGTAAGCTACCACGGCAGCTCATTGCCACTCCAGTCATAGAAATTCTTCTTTCCCGCCTTAAATGACTGTATAACATTGACACTAAGTAAAAGAATTAGCACTGATATGTGATATAAAATGATCCCGAGTAACTTACATGCCAGAGACACTCTCAGAGATGTCAATATCACCATATGGATTCATATCTGTCTTTACCAATCCTGGGTGAATAAGGACAACCGGTAAGCCCTGTCGGCTTAGCACGATGTCAAGTTCTTTTCCCAGGCGGTTGAGGGCGGTCTAAACCGTTTTATTAGCCGATTTAGTTCTCGCTGTTGTTTTAGGTTTACCCACCTTCGAGATATTATACATTGCTGTCGCATCATAGCCACTCCCGAACAGTGACTCGTGAACCGCTGAGATTTCGTCACTCAATTGCATAGACGCGAACGAAGATGAAAGCAGAACCAGAGTCTTCTTTTCGTACTTGGACTTTAACAAAAGAGGCACAAACTCAGTTGCGGTATAGTATGCTCCATAGACATTTGTCGTAATGTTTTCGATCAATGGCTGAATACCGACTTCCAAGAGGTTTCCGAAACCATTTAGTATACCGGAATTGTATATCACAATATCCAAAGAGTCAGTTAGTCGACCAATCTCTTCAGCAGCTAAATGAAGCGAGTTTGAGTCATTGGCATCAGCCGCAATAACTTGAACGCGACCATTGCTTGCATTAACAACGTCTTGAAGCTCATTTGCTTTGCTTGAATCTCTTGCAGTCGCAAAGATAGTTGCTTCGGGGAAAACAGATAACTATCGACATTGTTAGCTAGTCTTAAAAGAGATTTTTCGGTTGAATGGCTGAACTTGCGGCCTGCTTTACAATACCCAGCCCAATACCACGAGAGCCACCAATTAGTAGAATTGACTTTGGAGAAGACATTTCGTTTCGTATGGATATTGCAATAATGTTTGAATAACTTTGTATCTCGTTGTCGATTTTGATTGTAACTTGGTGTTTCAGAAAATAATTCTGGACGCCCGCTCGCTATTTAAGACAACTCTCATGTTCCTAAACGTTCTACGAATGTCTATTGCAGACTCCAAGATATCAAGTATGTTCCTAGTTTACAAATGCAATGATAATGGAATATTAAATTTATAATGTGATTAGTTGTGATGCCCTGCGGCAAGTAGCAGATTCAAGGGATATCATTTCGCTACGTAAGGTTAGAGCCAATAAGTAAATGACGTCGCCTTGCTCGATGTGGGAAAGTTAGCCGCCGAATTCCTAGCCTCCTGCTCGCGACCTGTGCCCCATTGCTGAGGATTTTGCTTTCAAATGGCCTTACTAAGACACTGTCGGGCGCCGAATGCTTTCAGCAAATGCTGTAAAAGGAAATACGCAATTTACTGAAAATGGAAAGCACATGAGATGGCGTTATATAGATTATTTTTACAATAATAGCGCGGAAAATGCCACCACGTAATTCCATCGAGACCAATGAAGCTGGCAGTTACTACGGCATGCCAACTGAGGTCTTGCTGTATTCTGACTTCAGTCCCTGTGAACTATCACAATCTATCATATTTTGACCATTCATGTGGACCTGTATAGCTATTCCTATACGCAACATGTAAAGAAAGTGCTCCAAGACACTTTATTCATATTATTTTCACTCTCGCTCTACTCCATCAATTAGATTCATTGGATATGTATGGTTAGCACCATTGTTTATGCTTTAACGCGAAGCCTAAAACCCGTCTTAACAAATTATGCTATCGCCATCGTTGTTACACCAGCTAGGAACATAATGCTGGCATAAATCCTAGCGCTATCATACCCAACATATTGTACAATAGCACCTGTAACAGGGCTTCCGATAAGCGACCCGAAGGCCATTGCAAGAAAGCACATACCTATTCGGCCACCGAGCTCATTCATATTGGCCGTCATACTAGCAATAGCAGTTGGAGGCACAGAGACGAGGGATCCTGAAAAAAATCCATATAGTATTGCGATAGCCATAACGGATCCCATTGATTGGGCAGGTATCCAAGTAAAGACCAACACGCCGGCAATGAGAGTCGCAGGAACCTGAATATTGAGAGGCCCGATCTTCTCAGCCGTGTAATTGGGCAGGATTCGTCCAAAGCTGCTCGATGCATTGGTAATAGTAAGGATGTAGTATGGTGCTATGCCGTCTGTATTGAGCTGAGTTGCAATAGCCCACGATTCGATGAAAGTATAGAAGGTGAAAAATCCAAGGAAAGCCAGAAAGATGCTTAAGCAATAGAGGCCAAATTAGATTTGACCGAGCGACTTGAAGTCTATGAGAATACGGCGTTTGTTGGCGGGTAGGACGTTGTTTGGAGATGGAAAGCGGCAAGATGAGCATAAATAACACGATGAATCCCATGACGCGAACGGCCCAGCCAAACCCAATTATTGGGATGAGATGGCGTAAGGAAATTGGAAAAATAATGCCCCCCATCGATGCACTAGTACTACCTAGACCGATGGCGAGGCCTCGGCGCTTGACGAACCACGTACCTGGCGTCGCAAGAGCTCCAAGGGCAACAAGACCCATCCCACTGCCAGTACATAAAGACTGAGAAAGAATGAAATGCCAGTATTTATTGGCCAGCGAGGTCATCATGAGGCCAAAAAACATCAAGAAGGAGCCACAATACATCATGGTCCGGAAGTATCCGGCGTCATAGAGCGTCCCGGTGAGCGCGGCGCCAAACATGAGAAGGAAGGCCTGTAGGCTACCAATCCAAGCAATTGTTGATGATGATGCTTCGTCAACAATCCCACCACCACTTGTGTAATATTGTTGAAAAGTACCGTAAGATACCACAGTTCCCCAGGAGGTGAACATGAGACAGAACGCCCCGGCAACCTGGATCCATGGCATAATACCGATGTCTGGAGGCGGGATAGACTTTTCAGTAGGAGTTTCTTGTCGGCTTTCGGTTGATTCCTCGACCGCATATCGACTAATGCTTGTGCCAAGACACAAGTCCATCTCATCTTTTGCGAGGGGGTTGTTAGGAAGATGTCCTGAGTCGGATGAATAAGACATGATTGAGATATTATGGATATCCAGAGTGATTTTATTCCGCCTGTTTTCTTTTTTGAGAGAGAGAGAGAGATTTGTTGTGTTCTCAAGAGTGGTTAATAGCTACATATAAAGTCTTATTCCCCCTTCTCGAAAGCAGCGATGTCCGTAAATAGCGGGCCCTTAATGGACCTGAATCATCCGTATTCAGTCCACTTAAAAATCTAAAGCGTCTTGTTACATGTAATATGTGCTAATTGATTGACCTTCAGTTTATGTTTCGATGCTACGTGAAGAGAAAATCCTTGTGTCAGACAATCCAGCAACGGCCAAGAAGATGAGGCCCACGAATGTAGGTGGCCTTTATAGTAAAATGGAACATCTCATTCAAGCTATCCGCAATCAATCATCGCGTTTTTATTTTGTCGTCTTTGTCTTTATCAATGTCAATTACTTCTCCGTTAGAAGTTTTCTCAGATTTGAGTATCATCAAGACTTTGCTGTTGGTAGTAGCATACGCGGCACAATACTTTATTGTGAGGATGCTCGTTCAAAGCACAACACTGACTAATATAGTGTTTGACGTGGGATGGGGCGAAGTAAAACTAGACGGTAGGCCTAAAAGGAAATTTGATGTTGACTGAATTGACCAGTATAATACTAGCGTGGTCAATGGATTACATATTGCCCGCTTGAGCCTACAAAGGGAAATGTGCTCCGCCGCAGCAACTGAGGTTAGTCAAAGACAGATTATAAATGAAGAAGTGTATGGAGGATACAGCAAGAGAGGCACTTATAGATAGTAATATTATAATACTTGACAAGTTGGATGAGATAATTGCTTATGTATGCTATTCCAGATTCGCTCAGGCTCCTCTTGAAGACTTTAGTTTCGTCATTATTTGGCCTAACTTCCAGACAGCACAATTCAACACCTGGTTCGTTTCGCAACTTGCCAACATATACCTAATCCTGTCTCACATTCTCCATTTATTACAATCGAATTAATTAGTAAACTACCGGTTACGCGTTTGGCAAATTGTGGGAAGATGGACCTTTTAATTAAATAAAAGTTCAAAGCCATGGAGTGTAACTACATCTAAAGCCCTTACCCAATACCACCGATCGGGTAATACCACAGCTCGAATTGCTACAAAGCCAGTACTCTTGAATTCAGGAATATTCAGCAAAAGATTGGACCTCAGAGAGAGGTGTCTCCAGCAGATACCCAGGAGCCATCAGTATAAGTTAAGCTGGCGAAGTCCAACAGTGGCGACATCCAAATAAGCTTAGACTTGCCTCCAATAGAAACCATCTCATATGACGTTGTAATCTACGTTTATTGTGCGTTTGTTATATCCATTGAATGGAAGTTGTACCTTATTGAAGTATGCAGACACGGCGTCGCTTTGGTATGATGGCGTCGGGAAGACGTTGCCAAAGCCTTCGCCAATTACATACTCTGAGTGTGCCGTAACCTCATCGAAAACCACTTATGGTAGGGAATATTTGCCTGAGGGGAGCTGCCATTCATTCCTGCCTACGGACATAGCGTATTGACCTGAGTTTGGATCGAGCTCAACAAAAAGCCCGCGTCCGAGCCCTTGTAATACGCTGCTTCACCAACGCCATATTCACAAGAGGGCACGACAGTCGATCTCCGCAGAGCTAGCTTCATAAGCTGAACGCATTGGCGCATCATAAATGAATCCGGATAGAAAAGCTCAGCGATCTCATGAAATATCGATATGACATTCGTGGGTTCCAAAACAGCACACTGTTGGGTCTTATTTCTTTGCTTCCGCTAAATTGCCAATCAACGTAGTATGTATAGGTTCATCTCATATTCCATTATTCACTAATCATTGTATGTATATGTAACGGTTATTCTATGATCCAGTCGGCATCGATAGCACCGCCTTGGTTGGTACAATACTTGCACTTGACCACTTAGATGTGACGGTTTTGAGCTGAGTGTAAAAGTTCACTCCTGGTTTCCCGTAAAAAGTACTGGCCCCCCCTCCAGCTACGCTCTTCTTATTTCCTGTGAATGAGAACATTGGAAGAGGCACCGGGATTGGCACGTTTATGCCCAGCTGGCCTGCTTCAATGTTGCGCCGGAATTTCTCTGCAACTGCGCCTGAGGAAGTAAAAATAGCAGCACCATTCCCGTAGTCATTCCCGTTAATGAGATCAATACCTGCCTCAAGAGTGTCAACATTGACACATACTAGTACCGGGCCGAATATCTCTTCTTTATAGCATTGCATAGATTGCCTGACGTCGGTGATTATCGTTGGAGCAACCCAGTTGCCATTCGGATACTTCTCTGGCTTATAACCACGACCGTCAAGAAGGATATGAGCACCTTCGACTTGGGCACTCGCAATTAGTGATTCAATCCTCGCTTTGCTCTCGGGTGTAACAACAGGACCAAGATCAGCACCATGCTCAAAGCCCGCATCAACTCGTAGAGTTTTCGCTTTCTGAACGAGTTCATCAAGCCACTGTCGGCTCTCCCCCACAAATACTGCTACGGACAGTGCCATACAACGCTGTCCTGCAGCTCCAAAGGCAGCACTGACAATGGCATCCAGAGCCGCTTCTTTGTCACAATCGGGCATGATCAATGCGTGATTCTTTGCGCCCAAGTTTGCCTGCACCCTCTTCCCAGTTGCGGAGCCACGTGTGAAGATGTACTCTCCAGCTTTGTTGCTTCCAACAAAACTAATGGCTTTGATAACGGGAGAATCGATGAGAAAATTAACGGTATCATGTGTGCCATGTACCACGTTGATAACGCCCTTTGGAAACCCGGCTTTTTCGGCCAATTCAGCAAGAATCATCGCAGCGCCGGGATCTCTCTCAGAAGGCTTTAGCACCATTGTATTTCCAGTAATAGTAGCAATCGGTATGCACGAAAGAGGTATCATTGCAGGAAAATCTTTACGCGATATTTGTTAGAATCATACTGGGTGTTGGATGAGAAGTAGAAGAACATACTGAATGGGCAGATTGCGGCGATAACACCAAGAGGTTCCCTGTAGGTCCTGGTCTCCATGTCCTTGGCGACCTCCAGAATTTCTCCCTTCATATACTCGGGGCCGGCGCATGCGGCTTCTGCAACCTGCAGCCCGCGCAGCACATCGCCTCGCGCATCTGCAAATGTTTTGCCCTGCTCCAAGGTAATGGAAGCAGCGAGTCTATCCCAGTTCTCTTTGATCAAACTGACATAACGAAACATGATCTGCTGTCGGGCAATTATCGAGGTTTTGCTCCAGGAGCTGAAGGCATTCTGCGCCGATTCAATTGCGAGCTGTAATTCGTCACTGGTCATCATCGGTACTCTAGTAACCAAGTTATTTGTCGCAGGATCATGGACAAGGATGAAATTCTTTGATTGAGACAGTCGGAATTCATTGTCGATAAAGTATGGCGTGTCCTTTGGGTCGGATATTTTTTCATGAGTTTGAGGAAAATGGGTAGAGGTTGAGCCTAGCAAGCTCGCCGCGGTTGGGTTTGAGTCTTGTGTCATTTTCAATTCGCTTAAAAAGTAATGTTGATACCCGTTTCAGGATGCGAGGGTCGCACAATTATAAGCAGGGCTTGAGATTCTTATTGAGGGAGGCTGATTGTGTTTTATTAAAGATTGAAGATATTCCCATCATTCACCCCCGCAGTAGTAGATGAGCCCAATCTGCGGAGATGCCCAAATAACTATTGGGAGTTCCCAACTCCCGTGTGGGGAATAAGGCACACATGCTGGTTTGGTAAGCACCATCACCGATCAAAGGGACCTGAGCTGAGAAATTAAGACACGAATGCTCTAATCTAGACATCTCATCATGGCGCTTTTTGATCTGAAACCGGCGCAAGGAATCGATGATGCGGCTTGGAAAATTCTCACCTTTCCAGCGTACCATTCAAGCACCAGGTATTTTGCTACTGTGCAAAGAGACGACTGTCAGAGTTGCTAAAGGAGTATGATGACGTTGAACAAATATCGGAATTCTCGCGCCGGAAAATGTGAAAGGTACAGTAGCATCGATCAACAACAGTGTTAAGAATAGCCCGATAGATCGGTACAGTTTCTTTTGTCGATCTCTCTACTCCGTATGTAGAAGGCTATTCTAACCACCCACTCCACCCGTTTTCCCCCAGCTACCAGGGTAAATTTATTATTAGTACTTCTCTTCAGTAGCTTTGGAGTCGGAATTTTTCTTTAAAGATGGTATGAGACTTTATTAAATTGGAATCAAATGCTATGTAGTCGCCGCACATCAATGGAGGATGCTGAGAGTGTGCGGAGAAATTAGCTGCTTTTATTTGCGTTTGTGTATCCAGTAAGTCTACTGCCGTACATTGAGGTTGCTCATCTGGAAATCGACTCGTTCTCCCACTTAATTGCCTCGATAGAGATGCTGACTTGGCACTGACATTGGGTGAACGAAGAACACCAAGAACAGCCTAGGGTATAAAAGCCTAAACATGCCAAGCTATATAGCAACACCTTATGCACACGCAAATACCTAATTATTATAGCCGCTCAAAGGGCAATCTGGTTTAAATAAATAATGGACTTATTTTTAGCTTTTGTGTGAATAGTCATATTGCGATCTCTGTTGCTTGAGCATCCCCTTAAGCTAACTGGAATTTTAGAGCACTCTAGTTATATCGCTTGAGATGCCATTGCTGTAGCAGTCCGCTCCGTCCACCTGTTGTGATTCGGAAATAAATGAGTTTGCAAACTCCGTCTGGCCTGAGGCTTCATCCTCTATCATGACAGATAAGAGCTTGTTTTACTAGATTTATTTTCTATAGGTACTCACAGCTCAGCACTAGCATATTAACTTTCTATATACGATCGAGACGCGAAGAGCGATCAACAAGTAAATAATATTGCGCAGAAAGAGAATATGGAAATAGTAAGAATTAGATAAGCACTAATCAGGAGCGTTGCTGAATATATTACTTTGTACACATCGAATTGTCTTAGGTTGCAGCCACAAAACTTTATATCCTGGAATCCAGATTAATCTTACACCGCATTGCTTTCTCCTTTTGACTAAATGCTCACATCTCCATAATACCCAGACTTACCAGATTTATATAAGAATATGAAGGAGTTCTTCCAGTTCCTTATCATATTTCCCTTCCGTGTAGCCGCAGAACTATCAATCTATGTCAACTACTGAAACAAAAACACAAGTTATATATCCAGCATGTCAGGCAAAGGGTACCTCGAACAAACCAATTTGCATACGGAGGCAAAATGGAGATCGGCACTCTTAACATATCCCGGAAACCTACAGGAGGCTTTGCGAGAGGCTCAGAAGGATTCTAAAAAGACCTTATTCGGTGTTGCACAGGGGGTTCCGAGCCCATTTTTAACGAAAGTCTATGCTTCTACCCGACCAGACTTTGTATGGTTTGATGTTGAACATGGCATGTTTGACCGTTTGGTGCTCCATGAGTATGGCATCCTATGGACTAGATCCAATTTCCCCTTTCATCGACCGGATTAGCTAACTACCATAGCGTCATTCATGCAGCCCAGCACCACTCTGAGGGTCAGACGATGGCCATTGTCAGAGTGCCAAAAGAAGATGAGATTTCTTTAACTACGGCATTGGACGCGGGCGCTGCTGGCATCATCATTCCACACTGTGAAAGCAAAGAAGAGGTTGAAGAATTCATGAAGAAAATTTACTACCGTGAGTACGATGGATTCAAAATAACAGAAACAGAAAAAGAGACTTTGGCTTACCATTAACGGCATAATTAGCTCCTCTTGGTGGTCGTTCATTCAGCCCATGGGTTTTCACTCCCGGTATCTCAGACGCGTCTTTATATGCGAATGATGCGTTCAATATGAAAACCTCGAACAAACATGTCGCCGTTATCGCACAAATAGAGAGCGTCAAAGGTATCGCAAATGTGGATGAGATTGCATCCATACCCGGAGTCTCAGCACTGATGTTCGGGCCTGGAGACTTCATGGCAGATGCGGGACTGGAGTTAACTTTGGGACAACCTCACCCTACTCTAGCGGCTGCCATGGAAAGCATGTCCAAAGCTAGCAAAAAACATAATGTTCCTCTCTTCGGGTATGTTCATCTTTTCTCCATACATAAGATTATTCATGCTCAAACTAATATGGTATATGATATAGCGCAGCTATGAATCTCGATATGATCCCAATGTTGATAGAATCTGGTCATAGAGCTATTATGGTCATGCTAGACGTATGGGGTATTGCTAATACGGTAAAAGCGAACCTAGAAAAGGCAAAAGGATTCCTTTCGACTTGAAAAGCCATTTAGCTAGGAACTCTACACTAAAAGTATTATGTGTTGAGGAACGCAGACATCTTTGCTTTTCTAATAATATACATCTACAGTATAGAAGACGATAGAAGATTATTATGATCATGGTTTTTATTGTCTTCCATGCTTTTATTTTTAACTCTGAGTCCCTTCAACGCGTGAATTTCCTGATGCGATGATGAAATGTCTGCAAGCAGCGCTGTGTTTTGTTACCGATATAAATGAAATAAAGCTGGCATGCTATAAGACAGATAGGGTGTTGAATATACTTAGAAGTGCATTCTATACGTTGTCTGAGAGCCAAAACTAAAGATTAAAACTCTCAGAAGAAATGTAAGAAGCCAGTATGGCTTCGGCATATAAGAAATCATGCATTCGAGATATCCATACTGGGGCATCCAAGCGATTTCCGAAAGCTTCAGGATTTCTCCCCGGAATATGTGCCTGCAAGTTTTACTGCCAATGCCAGGAACTCACTCTCGAGGGCAACCGATGCAGCACCTGGGACTTTCCCAGCATGCATTGTACCGACATTTCCCAGCACTGCAACTGCTACATCTGTTTCCTCATTCCAGAACATACTTCCATTGAACCCCAAAGTACTTCCGTTGTGTCCAAACCATGCATTACCATCGGCGGTCCGCATCTTGAAGATCCCATGGCCTACCCATACTTTCTCTGTTATCGGTATGAGATCCATCATGAGTTTCAGCGAAGATGATGACAAGATTTTCGCATTTCGAATAGCAAGTGCCAGAGTGCAAAGATCTTTTGGATGCGATAAGTTGCCGCCGGCGACCCATTCCGTCGACATGTTGGATTTGCTTGCGTCTAGGAGATCCGGGCGAGATTTAGGATATGTGAAAGCAGGGCAGACACCAGCTGTCGATAAGAACGTAGGGGTCACCCAGTGGTATCTATTGGGCATTTGACCCGCTTGGGGCGATTCAAACCCCTCGAGGTAGGTATAGTTCAAACCCAGAGGTTCGAGTACTCGCGAGCGAATCAGACTTGCAGCTTTGACGCTTGAATGCCCAACTGATGCATGATTTTCGAGGGACACTGTTTCTGAGGAAATAAATTCCGCAACCAGACCTAGGAAGGTAAAGTTGGTGTTTGAGTAAGAGTATTTACCCGGGGTTGGCTGGGGATTCGGCGCTTGAAGATTCGGATCACTCTCATAACGGATATAGTCCAAAGTTTCCGTGCTTGTCCAAATCTTATCAGGATCAAGATCTGACCCACGGCCCTGCCGGATCCATTGGGGATCATCTTCCCAGCTTGGGATGCCAGAAGTATGGCTAAGGAGCTGGCCGATCGTAGCTCCGGAAGCATGAGGAATCCCCCGAAGAATTTCGGCAGAGACATACTGTTGAAGAGTATCATCAATGCTGAGTCGCCTTTCTTCAATGAGCTGCAAAATGACCACACTCATGAAGACTTTTGTGATGCTTCCAATTCCAGAGACGTGTTCCAAAGTAAACGGGGTTTTGGTTTCCACATTCGCCAGCCCTGCCGTTCCTGACCAGAGAAGCCCCTCCGAGGATGCGACCGCAGCCGTTATACCAGGAACGCCAATCTCAACGCCATCTTGAAGGCATTTCTGCAATGCACCTTGCAAGAAATCTTTCGTATTATTATGTTGCTCAGACATTGAACGAAGTTTTCGACAATGAACAGTTTCAATTATGCGGCATAAGACGTTTGCAGGAACCTCACGACGCTGATGAGTCAAATTAGAATGTTTATAAGGCCAGTGCTTATTAGTCACAGCACGTCGTGCACCGCCTACACGTGATCAATCATTCCGCCATCGGCACTGATTGCAAAGAGAAATGACTGCAACATTTGTGTTTGTGCCCATACGGTTTGTAGGGAATGAGTAATAATTTCCTGCTGATATTTGTAGCTTTGTGTTGAAAGAATGGGGATTAAGACATCAAATATTGGGAAAGCCCCGCCGGCCATTACTAAACAACGCGCGGCCTGAGTGGCAATGGTAGCATTAAAGGCTTTCCGACAGGCAGACCAAAATCTGAGAGTGCCGATTACCTTGTATTTAACCTTACTGAATTTAATACATGAAAAGCTTGGCGATGTGTTCTGCAGATCTTTGATGGTGACTAATGACATAGGCCTATGTCCTTCAAATGTCTCATATCATCAGGTGACTTCGATGTGAACAAGAGACAATGCGGCTGATGGAGCGTTTTAGCAGCGCACGACAGCGAGAACAATAACAATATCGAATCGCAATCGATTCATATGTTATTTTAATCTTTTCTGCAAAATGGCTTGACTGATTGGTTTTAAATAAAACATCAACGGCCCATATAATTTTTGTACCTCGTATTAATATGGTTCATGGGTCAAGGCCATTTCCCCGTTGGATAAACGTATCGCAAGATAAAGCTCCTTCTACGGCAGGAGGATAAATCTCAAAGCAATTACTCAACTTAGAACTCCCAATAGACCTACACTGGATAAGCCGTAAAAGGACCGAGTTGCCGAGAATCTTCAAGCTCCTTCTTCTTTGGGGATTCTTCGTATTAGTGCTAGCCCCAGATCCGTCGTTCACGGCAAAGACGGCAAGCCTTTAATAGCGTTTGATAGCATCACGACACGAATCGTATGGTGGATTAAATATTCAGAGACGTCTCGACCTAATATATTTGATGTTTCCAGATTGGGAATCTTCTGGATTCCCAACGTAGACCGCATCGTGAAATATCGTGCGAATGAATAATGTCACACTCGCCTTCCTCGAAGGTTTTAGATCGGTCCACCTACTCCGTATCCTCTGTTGACTTAGAAGTGTTCATATAATCCCAATTATCTATATAAGAATGGTCTTTCCATGTATCTTGGAAAACAAAGAATTAGCCTGCATTAGCCATCTTCTGCATTACAATCTTCAAGTCAACTCCACAAGACAAAGAAATCAAAATGTTGTTCACGGCGGCTATACAGCTGGCAATGACAGGCTTAGCCTTGGCTGTTTCCAACCCTTCAGGCCAAAAGGTGACCAGTTCGTCAGCTTTCAGCAGCGGAGCCGGCAATAACAACAATGCCAATATTTATGACGGCACTGGAAATGCTGGATCAGACACATACAGTAAGTCCCCAAATGCACATTGCGTCCAATGTGTAATCGTGCTTTCACCATACATGTTCTCTAACAATCGTAGGGTGCTATTATGGCGGCTGGGAGAGCTTCCCCCCCGTGTCTGAATGGATTGAATTTGACGCCATGTGGAACTACTCAAAGAATGCCATGGCCGAATCTTGTGCCGACCTCGGCATAGGATCTTGCTCGAATGGCGCTGGTGCTTTTGGAGCTGGCAACAGCGGAGAGCAAACTGGCTTGATCTGGAATGCTATCCAGCAAGTTGCCCAGACTTCTTTAGTTGATCATCGATTCATTCTCGCTACAATTTTACAAGAAGTAAGCTTTCAAATTCCAACCATCAGACTGTTATTGCATGTGTGTGTATTCTGACATTTACAAAGTCCATCGGTTGTGTCAACGTCTGCCCGACTAACAACCCAGATCCCTCCCAGCCAGATAACCCGGGCTTGATGCAGTCTGATGGCGGAGTGACATTTGTTGGCAATTCGGCCAGCAACTCGGCTCAACAATCTAGTATTACCCAGATGGTCATTGATGGTACACAAGGAACTGCCTTAGGTGATGGACTGGTTCAGTGCATTAACCAATACGGCAACATCTATGAGGTAAGTCAAAGAGAGTGAGATTAGTTCGGAGAAGCTGGCTGACACTTCGTCTTTTACCTAGGCGGCTCGTTGTTATAATTCCGGTTCAGTTAACGCTGGGAACTTGAATGATGGCCAAGGAGCTACGGCATCCTACGTCAATGATATTGCCAACCGCATGACTGGCTGGCTTTACTCTAACTCTAAGTTCAACCAATGTTAATTGAGCGGCAACATCAATATGTTTTACCATTCAAGTATATAACTTACGGCTATTAGCATGTATATTCATTAAGAAAAGAAATCTGATCTACCTGGTAATTCTCCTAGGCCTGCGTTTAACATTTGTCCCACTGCGCATGTCTGCATTTAAGTGCTCCCTATGTCTTTTCCTCTTTTTATGATGCCTATGGACCTTTCCAAGTTTGGGTAAATAGTGATCACTTTCAGATTGAACTCCAAATATTGTATGTAGGGTAATGCTTCCGGTACGTAGGTGAATGGACGGTAGCGACACATTGGGGAAATGGTGGGGTATCTACTGCCCCTGATGCGTGGGGTGTCGGCCGGGATGGAAAGTGAGAGATGGAGTAAAGACAAAGATTTCAATGCTCTGTAGATATAGCCATGAGTATATAGTTCAATTTTTTCTTTAGGTATAGACATGAACAAAACTGTGCAAACGATAACCTGGTAGAGCCTATGAGGCTCTAATGATATGCTTATGTAGATATACTACCTCTTATGTCCGCAAACATGTACGGATTGCGTTCGAAAGGATCGCCTCGTAAGCGACAGTCATCCCACGAATCCATACCCCGGCACAAACGTCGTATTTATGGAGACACTGGAATAACATTTCTTGGCGTGAGAATATTCTCCGTTAGCAATTGATCCTTAGTATTCCTCATAAAGCGAACGATCCTTTAGTAGTCGGAGGAGATGTGTACTCGTAGCGTGTAGTCCGCGTCACGCGACCACAGCCATGTCCGTCTCTCGCATTAACGCAGCATTCTGCGTCCTTTGGATTCTCCTCTTCATATTTTCCGCAATTTTCTCATACGATGACCCGTCATCCATCTTTTTCAATGCCGATAGAGCCTACGAACAGCGCTTTTCCAGTGTGAGAGCGGCTGAGGCGGACGCATACATTCGCAATCTACCCGCGAGAGTCATACCGATCAAACCTGTCGACAAGCTGCTCTGCATCGGCATTCCCAGCATTAATCGCACGACCGAGTCGTTCCTTTCCTCCACGATTGCTACATTGTCCGATACGCTCACGCCAGAAGAGCGTGCGTCTATCCGTATCGTGGTGTTACTGGCCGATAAATCGCCCTCGGAGCACTTTGCCTATGGACAGAATTGGCTCGAGCCGCTTGTTGACGAGGTTCTCCTCTATGGCGAGCCGCCTCAAGGAAGCACCAAGTATCGCCGTATACCGCTCGATCTGAAAGAGGGGAATATTCGTGGTGATGGCCGGGTTGAGAACATGAGACTTGACCACTCAGCGCTAGTCGAAGCGTGCAGAGAGCAAGAATACCCATACTTTGCGCTGGTGGAAGACGACATTGTTACCACTAGGGACTGGTTTCCTCGATTCATAAAAGGGCTGACATACGTCGAGCAAAAGACCAAAGAGACTACGAGAGAATGGATATACCTGCGATTGTTTTACTCGGAAATATTAATGGGATGGAACAATGAGGAATGGTTAGGCTATTCCAAAATCATCTGCCTGGTATACACCGCCGTGCTGGCTGCGTTTCTGGTTGGGCGGAAATACGTACGCGTCGGCGCTTCGAGCGGCGTTTCACCGCACGCGCAGCGTTACCTTGCGGCGCTCGTCTTTGGTCTTTGGTTGCCGGCTCTTATTGCTCTGTACTTCCTTTCTGGTCGTCTATTCACCGGCAGATTGAGCCCCTTCAGCTTGAGCACATTGCATGGAGCACGCGAGATGCCACACTACGGGTGCTGTGCTCAGGGACTTGTCCTTCCCCAGCGACACCTGGAGGGTTTCCAAGCCCTGCTTAGAGATCCGCCATACGACTTCCCGGGAGACATGATATTGGAAGACTATGCAGAAGCTCGTGGCCTTGTCAAGTGGGCGCTGGAGCCAAGTGTGTTCCAGCATGTTGGGTTCAAGGAATCTTCCGATGGAACCCGTAGGGCTGAAGTTTGGAACTTTGGATTTGAAAGGCAATATAGGATCTAATCGTGGGAACAAGTTTGTGCATTAAAGTAAGCAAAACAGTATATGGCATAATATATTTCTCGGTCATAGCAAGAATATGTCATTCGCACCATCCATCTCCCCCATGACTCCCTGGACATCCACACGGCGACCTAAGAGATCTTGTTTCTCTCGTACACGCATCATTAGTATCAGGATAAGCCTGTGGTCAGTCAAACTTTCCCCCTTGTCACCAATTGAAGTATCCATATACTCTCCGGTAGCATGGCTGCGCTCTCGTGCAGAGCCACTCATGGCCGACGCCATTTCATCCATGAATTCCGAAATCCAGTCCGCATAAATTTCGTCCGTTGTCTCAATTCCTGCGATAAAGATGGGCAAAGGCCATAGCATTGAGCGAGGTACCTTCATTAGAGACGCCAACCGGCTCTTGCGGTGTATCTGTCGAAGTTGTAAAGCAATCTTCAGTATACCGCTGGTTGCCATTGCGGCAGTCGAATCACTACGAATATCTGGGTACAAAAATCGTGACCATAAAACTTTGGCAGATAGAAATGCTGCATAGCAAGATAACCACTGCAACGAGGCTCGATCGATGTCTCGTGATATACTTGCAGGCAGAAGTGGATGCGGAGATAGACTACCGTTGGCAGTGTGATTACGGGAACCTCTGTTGACAATGTTTTTTCCCAGGCTTGTGGCAACGTGACGGAGTGCATTTGCTGCAGGATTAGTCGCTATTGCAAGATCAAATTCTGTATCCATGCGCCGTATATCGAGGTTGATAGCGGTCTCTTTGGCTTCTGCGAGCTCACGGTGTTCCGAGAGACTGGAGTTTTGTTCTAATACATGTTTCCACGAGCGATACTGAAGCATATTAGAAATGAGGCAAAATGTTTCATGCGTTCGAACTGATACAGGCACTTTTTTCTCGTCCTGAACTAGCTCGTCAGCAGGATAAGTTTGGCCAAAAATCTCTGACAGGTATGAATGCGAATGCGATAGAATGTATTTATAACTGGGATGGCGTATGAGCGCGTGTAGCAACGTAGTCATGGCGGTGCTTTCTCCACTGTTGCTGGATGATAATGGTGAGGAGAATATCCTTAGGCGGACATCGATGTAGCAGAGCCATAAGAGAAATTTGCATGCCAAGGCAGAGAGAGACGTATTATCTAGATGACACGCTAGGTGCTCTTTTAAATTGTCCAACCGCCTGAGAATCGAAGTAGCGTCGCCATTCAGAACGTCGCATCTGCAGAGAAACAACACAGACGATATTGTGATTTCAGCTTTTGATGAAATGACACATTGGCCGGTCGGTGCAGCTGAGCTAGGCTCCAAGAAGTGGTCATTTGAGTCAGTACAGCATGATAAACGCCCAAGGCCTTGAATCGCTTGAGCATAGTAAATTTTCCACGATTCGTCGTGGGATGTAGAGGTTGCTGCTAAGTGTTTTGCAGCCCAAGCCAGGACCGCAAACCGGAATGGAGAATGGGGACTACAATGATCACTCTGAATGTAGTCTAGGACAAATCTTAGATAGTTTCCTTTACCGTCCTCTTTGAGAGAGTAGCCACAGCTGGCAATCCACCGCTCGAAATGAGTCAGATAAGCAGTGTCTTTATTGACGTGTGGCAGGGGCATTTCCTCTAGCTGCGGTGGGAAGCCTGTTACTTTGGCACGCTTCTTTCCGTAGGGTGCTGGCTCTTCCATCGGCTGTATCCGGCGACTGCCTTCTCCGATATCGTCAAGCTGGTATTCTAGCCCGTCCATGGAAAATGTGGAATCTGGCCAGCTGGGAAACTCAATGTCTTTGTCAAAGAATGACTCGAAAGAAAAGTTAAAATCCGAGATATCTGAGATCTGGAAGCTGTTCAATCCAACAATATCTCCCTCTGGCCGTTGGCTGTCGAGGCTCGTGATATCATGTGTGGATGACGTTGTCTGCTCAGAGTTCCATTTGGATAGCCGTGTATTGGATTCGGACTGCCATTTATCTTCCAGATCTGTATACACCATGGCAGCTATGTCCGGGGATTGGTGTTCTCCTATGTCCAACTCTGTCGCGCATGTTTGCTGATGGTCACTGACATCCCCAGCAACATCCGGCTTCGTCTTGGGATGTGATGCTAAGTGAAGCGTCTTAGGGGCCTGCTGCCTTGGATTGTCCAGGGATGTGCCTAAAGAGATTCTCATATTGCTATCAAACGATGAAATACAGGCTGCTTTTAGTCGGACGCAGTTTTGACACGGATTGCCTCCCGAGCAGCGGACTTTTCGCTTCCTGCAGGTCATGCATCCTGCTCCGTGATTAGTTGATCATGTCCACTGTCCTACAATATGCCCATTTCAATACGGCTGTTGATCCCCGCCGAGGATTGCTTGCTTACCATGAAAGCTTCTGCGTTGTGTGCGATCCATTGTTGAAACGATTACTCAGGCATCTAATCAATTGGATGGGATCAATAAGAGACGGATGTAAACTCAGCCGCGACTCAAAGGAAGATTGTTGGTGGCCTGTTCAAATTAGCGCGCGGTGAACAAATATAGGCTATATATGAAGACGCCACTGTGATACCAGGTCCCCTCAGCAGTGCGGTATTGGAGCTATCTACTGTGGGTTCAAAGGTCACATGTGGCGATAGTGAGTACAGGTTAAAAAATCCCAATTCTGTAATGAAAGTACGGGGTCACGTAACGATCTAAATATTTTAGAACGTAGTCGAGCATTCTCTCATTGCGAGTAAACAATTCTTGCAAAGGTGTTCAGCTATTTGTCCATCGATCTGCCTCACTGATGAAGAAATTCCAGTATATAACACCGACAGCAACAAAGTTTTCTCAACAACGTGGTGCATTTCTTAGGACATATACATTGAATTGGATCACCCAACTTGCTACTCTTTCCAACTACATATCCTGTCATTTATTTCATCTTTCTTCCCACCAAGATCTTCTTCGTTACATTGCAACTAGCTACCAAGCATATCGAAAGTAATGCAGCTCTTTGTCAGTCAGGTCAAGGAAGTCATCTTCCTGTATGGCATTTGGATCGACTTTGCCATATTTCTTGTCACGTTGTTTGTTTTGTAAAATTAGGTAGGTCATCAAGATGAACGCCAACACAATCAAAGCCACAAACGAGGCAATCATTCCCCGAAAGCCTGTGGGGTAGAGGGGTGCCTCCGAGTCAATGAAGAGCTGTGGTGCGACAAGATTTCCGGCCGAATAAGCAAGAAATATTCCTGCAGAAACGGCCGTCTTGCGCGACATTCCAGCGAAATTAGAAGCAACGAGGCTCAACACCATTATATAGCTAATGGTGTTCGTGAAGAGAATGTACACGCCAGCCAAACGAGTGAGTTTGTCGGATGCCGGCACGTAATACACTATCAAGCTGCCAACCAAAGGAGGAATGTTGGATAAAATAATGACGACGCATCGAGCGTTTCCTATATAAGAACCGACGATACCACTGGAACCATTAGCCTACTATAGGTATAAAAGAGGTGAAGAATAACTTACGCAACAATGACACTGAAAAGCTGAATGGCATGCTCGGGCATAGAATATATAGTCGCCTCGAGGTTGGTATATCCGAGTCCCGTTAAGATCAATTTGTTGAACTAGAAGGTCAACATAGTTAGCAACCCATTAGGTTTGTGATTGATTGGATAGAGGTAGGATAAGATGAGCGTTGCGTTGAAAGCATCGACCTGGCGGCGAAAATGTGGAGTAGCGAAGACTCGAAATGTGGGCAGCGATTGCTCGACACCTCAGAAAAAAAAAATGAAGAGGTGAAGGGGATAAGTTGTACTTACTGCTGTTAGTCCACCACCTGGAAGGCATTGGATAAATGCAATACAAAAGAATATCCACGCTTGGGGGTCCACAAGAACAGAGACCGCTTGTTTCCATTGCCAGTGAGAAGAACTTATCCCGGTATGATTCGACATTACACGCAAAACAGCGATCCGTTTCTCTCGTTCGTTCAAAAATTTCATCTTCCACGGAGAATCGGGCAAGAATAGCATGAGGACCATAGACCAGAGGACTGTGAACCCTCCAAAGGTGATGAACATGTACTTCCACGGCGAAAGCGAGCCATGGCCATGGCCAATACCGTAGGCAATAAGATCTCCAAAAAAGGACCCAACAGAGTTGCCTGCCCACCATATACACGAACGAAGAGAGTGTTCCTTGCGAGTATAATATTGGCTGGTGATCAGCACAAATGCCGGGTTCGTAACGGATTCAAAAAGGCCAAGGAAGAAGCGTGAGGTAGCAATGCCTGCAAAGTTCTTGGCTGTGATGCCTAGTAAAATGCAGGCACCCCAGCCAAACACATTACCGGCCAACCATTTACCCATAGGGACTTTGTGAAGCAAGTATGCATTGACTGGCTGTCCAACCATATAGCTAAAGAATGAGCGTTAGTTGTTATGCATCGACCGTCGTTCGTATCGGCGGAACATCATACCCAAAGTAAAAAATGCTAGCAACCCAGCTGTACTATTGACCAACGAGATGCTGTAATAGCATTAGTATCTGACTTAAAAGCTTTCGCCACAAACACACTTACCGTATCATCTTTAAGTCCAAAGACTGACGCGTTAGACAGAATTCCCTTATCTAGAAAATTCAAGGTATACGTCCCAAGTAGCTGGAAAGAAGTTCTGTCAGCAGGTTCTTCTTCATAGCTCTATAGGTAGCTTATAAAACATTCCATGGACGATGCCAAATATACTCACCAGTGGCATTAGCATTAAATCGATTTTCCACCGCACACTACTCGCTTCCTGATCTGTATAGACGAAATCTTGATCCTCTGTAGTTTGGAGAAAGTCAAGAGCATCATCGTGATGTTTGTGTAACTTCTTGGTAAAGATGTCTTCCCCAATCTGATGAACATCACTCGGCTCTACAACAAGTTCATCGTGATGGGCTGAGTTGATTGCATTCTTGTCTGAAGCCATGGGTGTTTCCACACGAAAAGACAGCTATGCCTTGCAAAAATTGTAGGTTTTGTAATTATACTTGCCAGAGCCATTATCCCGGTGAGCACTGTCCTCTTAAACACTTTTTACATCCATCGAAATGCTTTGGCCGCTGCTTATCTCGGTCTTTGCCAAGAGGTGAGGAGAGCTTGCTATACAGCTGCCGAGGGTGGGAGAAGATAGGCATCTCGCCATGACTACCAAGAAGGGTTACTATGCCGACCCCACAAACCCACAGCCAGACAAGCTAGCCTCGTACATGGTTGCCATGCCGAGATGGCGATACCTTCAGTGATATCTTCGGAACAGATCTTTATGCCGTTCTATGTCCGATTACCTCCTTGGATGGCCACTTCCTGCACTACTACATTAAGGCCATCTTTCCCTGCTAATTCCCAATGGCTGTTAAGTTTCTTTGGCCAATCGCCAGCCTCCAGAATCTGCTCACCAGAACAGGCTAGGTTGCCTAGCGCCAATCCACCATGATGCTGCCGTCGAACTATCAGCATATTGTTCTCAGGGGACTACCATATGAACGTGGCCATACCCATGGAGAACAGGCTCGGCAGAAGATTCTTGATAGCCTTGCTCACTATCACGCCCCAGGAAAATTACTTCCATGGTATGGATTGAACTCTTGTATTTTCTAGTCCTTTTCTGGTCCATTAGATATTTCCGTATTTAGGCATCTGTATTCCACATTTACTGACCATGTGCAGGGAGACGTCTCTGCGCATCATCAAGGAGGTATATCTCCCAGGTATAGAGAAATATTTTCCCGAAGCACTCCCGGAGCTTCAAGGTATCGCAGATGGAGCCGGCGTTGATTTGGATGAGATTTTGTTCCTCAATGCCCGTTACGATCTTGCCAGGGTTCGGGGATCAACTATTCGACCTTGTCCCTCGAGCTCAAATACAAGCCCCTCAAAAGCCGCCGTAAATGCCCATGGAACTCAAAATGGTGACAACCGAACCCAAAACGCAGTTTTGGGCGATGATATCTCAGATATGCAAGAGCTTCAAGAATGTACCACTGCTGGATTCCTTGCTGAGTCGATGAGCAATGGTGACATTATCTTGGCCCAAAATTGGGATATGTCAGCCAACGTTTACCTTAAAGATACGGCTGTATACCTAGAGATCCACCCAGATGCATCTGAAGATCTACCCGCTATGTTTGTAATGACTGAAGCGGGCCAGTTGGGTCGCTCAGGCTTTAACTCTGCAGGACTTGGCGTCTGCGCGAGCTCTCTCATGTCAACTGAAGATTACTTCCCACTGAATCTCTCTCTGCCTCCAGGGAGTCCACAGGAACCACTCTTACCAATGTCGCTGGTCCGCCGACAGTTCTTGCACAACACCAATTTTGCCAATGCACTTATAAACGTCAAAAATGCCCCGAGACACCTATCGAACAAGCTCATTGTCGGAACTGCAGACAACTTTATCATGTCTTTGGAGATTACGCCAGGCGCTGTTCACCTCGGATATCCTTCCAACGGAGATAACTTTGTGGTAGCATCGAATCATTTCACCAGCGAATCCTTCCAAGCAAGTCAATGGAACGATCGTTACCCCGGTGGTAGCAGTTGGTTCCGCGCCGTCAGAGTCGCACAAAGAGTCCGGCCATCGAATAACAAACAGCTCACGGAAGAGAAAATAACCGAAGCGTTCTGCGATCATTTGTCACTGCCTTCATCTGTCTGTCAACACATGGAGGATTGCACGGTCAAGAACGTACCAGATTATCCATACAAAGGTGCCCAGACAACTTTGGCTCATGTTCGATACAACCTAACCAAGCGAACGACGAGCGTTTGCAAGGGCCCGCCTTGCATGGGCAAGTTTGATCAGTATTCTCTACCTATTACAAGTAATTTGTAAGTTGCAGTTAAGAATAGTAGTATTTCTTTCATTCCATAGAGGTTTCATTTACTGACCACTTTGTCATAGAGGTCAGCATGAAAACAGAGAGATTGATGCCAACTACACGATTGTAAATGGCAAACTCAGGAAGCAGGAAACACCCTAATAGTAGGATTACAGGTCTAACATGAATTGTGTTTCAACAGTAGCATTCAACACTGATTGTGCTTAAAATTTTGTATGGTGCAATGTTGGTCAGATACTGGACATTGCATGTCAAGTGAGCAAAACGGCATTCATTTGAGCTAAAGAATAGAAAGCTGAGAAAATATTCACTTATATGAAATACAATAATACCTCATTATATTTACTAGTTATATGCCATCACAAACAACATCATAGATAAATATAAATGCAGAACTGTGCTCGTGATTGGAGATGATACCATATCCAAGAACAATAGTCCGAAATTAGTTGCATCTTCAATACAATGGTAGCATTTATTTTAATATTGTACCTTCTGTGTTTGCGAGCTGGTCAGAGTTACTGATCACCATCATGAAAAGAATCTTGCACAGTAAAACGATACTGATCCCCTCTCTCAAGATACACAACACGCTCTCGCAGGCCTTCCTGTTCGACTTCATTCTTGAAATCTGACAGTGGTGACAGGAAAATGTCATAATCATCAAAATGAATTGGTATCGTAATATCTGGGTCAATAAGATGGATCATCTGGATTCCTTGTTTGGCATCCATAGTGACCATGACCAATGGCGCAGAGGGCCCCGGAATAGTTGTGCCTCCCAGATGAACTAGCATAAGATCAATTCTCTTGCCATTGAGTCGCTCTGGTATCTCTTTCAACTCATCGACGAAAAGAGTATCTCCTGAAATGTATATGCGGTAACCCGTCTTGAGTTCCTCATCAGTATTCTGGTCGAAGTGGTGATCACAATTAGTAGTGATCCATCCCAACTCCAGGAGCCATCCATTTGTGGGTGGTACAGCACTCAGTATATCATTGATGACAGACAGAGGGCCCGGGGGGATATGTTTTCCGGGCATACCGGTCACTCTAATCACAGATGTGGTTGAGTTACCATTTGTTGGGTCGGTATGTATGCTTGTTGGGTCTTCCAGTAGTATACTCTCGAAAACGTCCAGGTCGTGAATAGCCCTGAAAGGCTCAGGGATAGACTTGGATGTCAAACATGCTTTGGCATGAGGAGTCGTAATAATCGGAAAGTCCCGATTGAGTGAGTCCTCAACCAGCTGATCAAAATGATCTTCATGGTAGTGAGACAACAGAATGCAGTCCATTTGAGGCAATTTGTCGAGGTCAACAGCAGGATTGGTCTTGCGCCGGGAAGTAACACCAGGCCCTAAATGAACATGGTCTCCCGCATGCAAAAAGTTCGGATCTGTCAAAATGCGAAAACCGCCCCATTCCAGGACAGTTGTAGCGGTTCCAATAAAGAAGATACTGGCATCTTCCTTACCGTCTGAAACGCGAGGATGTGTACGGACATTTGTGATTGGTAGACTAGTGGGAATTTCTCTATCCTGAGCTTGTGAACCAAGCAACGAGACTCTGGACTTAGGGCCAAGGATTAGTCGCTCTGTCGGTTGCATTGTTGATAATAAGAATGGCTTATTGGAGAAATTAGTTGGATGAAGGGAAATTAACCACATGAATTGTAATATATGAGACCCGGCTGTGTAGAACACTTCACCTAGGGCTCCAGAGCCATGATGCTTGATGACGCCACAAAGACGTAGCAAATATACAACCTATACATCTAAAGAAGGATCACACCGCACGGCGCTTATTCTCGGGTGTGGCAAAGGGGAAAAAAAAAAGAGCAGCTGCATTGCCAGGTATCTAATAATGTTGGTCAAATGATGCATTGAACTTCTTTACAAGCTAATATTTCCCGAGCTATATCCTCGGTAATTATATGAATCTCCATATGCGTGCTTATTCGGGTACTGCTATAATGGCGCTCTGTCCCGTGGCATCATTGTATACGTTTTTGCTCAAGACTTTTAGGCCAGCGTTGTTAAGCAGACTAATCCACTGCTTTTCAGTTCTTTCAGTTGAGGCAAAGCTAACCATCATGGTCATGTCGATTTCGGTTGATCGCGAGTGGGCGCCTTTGTTAGGAATAATAATCTCGTCGATAACGAGTACCGATTCTGAAGACATCGCGGACAGAGTATTCTGAATGATGGCGATACTCTTTTCGTCTGGGTAATCATGTAGTATGTTACGGAGGTAATACACCTTTGCACCTGTTATTGTGTTCAGTATACTCGCAGACGCGAATGGCTTACTGTGGGCGTACCTTTAAGTGGCTGCTCGGTCCAGATATCATAGCTTTGTTTCTCGACTCCTTCAACTGGAATAGCTTGTGGAATAACAAAAGGTTGGTCTTGTAGCACAACACGGCCTAGCAACTTAGGATGGACTTTCTTGAGCAAAGCGCACTGCTGGCCAATGCCACCGCCAATGTCCACAAAGAGAAGGGTGTCTGCAGAAGGATTTGAAGCGTGTTCGGCGAAATCAAAAACATCCAGCCAAGATTTCCGGCCATCATGAAGCTCAGACATCCACAGGTTAAAATCGTCCATGATTCTTGGTTGTCTCATAGCCCATGCAAATGCTGGTTCTTTGGTGTTGTGGGCGGCTTGGAAGGGACTATGCACCAAGTCATCTGGGTTGGCATACTTCGTATCGGCTAAAAATTGAGGTGCAGCCAAAAGACACGGCATAATGGCCATGAATCTATTGATCACCGAATTAGTGCGGAAACAGGAGCGCTGTGTAAGAGAATTTGACCTACGAATGCGCGATTCCTGCTTTAAAGCCTGGGCGAGCTAAGGTGCGAGTAATTGTAGTGGCAGCATAGCTGTTCTCATCAGCCTCCATGATAAGATCATGAGAGGCTAAGAAGCGAAGAATACGGCCTTGAGATATGGATTAGTATGCGTTAAACTATATAAAATATACTCAACGTCGTTGAAAGCAAGGGTGATGAGCATACTAAGTAGCAATGGATCAGCTTTCGAGGACTGGGCGAGTGTCGTAGTCGTGACTGGAACCATAGAATTGGCGAGCGAGTTGAAAATTCCGAGCTCACAAGCAATATGAGAGAAAGTAAGGATCATGGGCTGCCGAAGAACATGTTAGTTGTGCCCCACTACTGAGTGAAACACCGTATTGGTATATTTGACTTACTGAATTGTTCACTCGGTAGATGGTATCAAATGGGTCCTCGGTAACATTCAGTAGTTTCTTAGCAGCGTCATAGAGCGCGCGTCGTTCCCCAGCATCAATGGGCGGGGAACTGGCGGCAGCTTCGAGCTGTGATGCAAGGCTCAACATCGTGGACTGAGATGTTGACTGGTTTTTGGCTTGATGTTCAACGAATGCGAACAGTAAAAGTCTAGTTGGGAGAGAGAGCGTACTTAAGTAATAAATTGGTTAAAGATACATGGACTAAGAGACTGTTATAATAGAACCATGATAATATCGAAAGATGGAAGGCTATTTCCTGGGCGAATAATGCCCACGATGCTTAAGCTGCAGCCCATTGGCAGAACCTGATAGTAACGGTAATGCTAGCTGCACTGGTGCATACTAGTAGTGAAGTACATCCACTGCGCCACTTCCTTCGAAGCTATCTGTTGGCACTACTGCAGTTACTAAATGCTTAATACTCCTTCAGGATTGCTGAAGTTGATGGGCGTTCCAATTAAATTCCTGCGAAATGACACAAGGGAGGAAGATGGCATGAATCGTAGACAAGTTTGAATGGTACCAGTCTTTTAGGACAGGATACTGGGCCACCTAGGTAGCAAAGGTGTTAAAGCGAGCTTACTTTCTTTAGTCAGCGAGTCTCGACCTGTTGACAGAACCGAGCTAATACAAAAACTCAAATACAAGTAATAGATCGCAAATATATGGGTTGACGTAGTGCGTAATAGTACAAAGCCAAGAGTTGCATAAGAATTAGTAAGATAATGATCAAAATACCTGGGCTTTGGGAAATTGGCTGGCTTTATGTAGTTGGGGCCAAAAATATATGCATATCAAGTAACTTTATTATGGACGTTGTGTATAGGTTATCTACAGTACTACGAAGCATGACTGAGAATTATACGCGGCGCAAATCGAGAACTGACTCATCCCTTTACGTAGGATCTTTCAACAATGGCTTCATCACGTAGGAATATCCCCCAGTGCTTATAAACGGCAAGACAATACCATGCGCTTATAAAGAAACCAGCGAATTAACGTATTGACCAGAGGTAACAACAGGTATTCACTACTCCATATAATTTGAACCAAAGGATTAAAAATATAAAGCAAAATTCTCGGCCCATAGCCAAGACGATGAATCGTCAGACAGCTCATGGGGTGGCGACATTGTAAGCAGATAACTACGCTTGTTCTAGCAGACTGGGCTTGCCATTGTGGTACCTAACATATGGATCTTATGATGACATATTTATTACATAAGTATCTAAAATAAAATATTTGTAATTATGAACCTCTTTCCGACAAATTCTTTTCATTTTTTACGTTCCTTTGATACGGAATCAAATACGCGGTTGGTTCATCTGCTGATGTGAAAAATGATGGCAAATCCAGAGTGAACCGTTCCACTAGTGCGGAGTTTTTGCTAGCCGACCGTATTCAGAGAGATGCAGGAGAAGGAGAATGAGTAAGCTGTAAGCCATTCTTGCCAAACTGAGACTTCTCGAACTGCCTTTTCCCCTTTCTTATCGGGCATATATATACCGACTCGGCTGTTAAAGGACAAAGAGTATTGTCAACAAACACCATGACGAGGCCTCCGATACCCTATACTCTTTGAGAACAACTGGCTTTAGGAATTCCGCTTAAGCGAAACCCGTGCACCGGAAAGCAGAAATTTACCTGATTGGGCAGATCTTGACGACTGGGGAGAGTCGACCTCTTCACCCTTCCGCAGATGACGGATGATTATTGATTCATTGAACTATACAATATGGTCTACGAGAAAAATGAAAAGACTCTACAGGTTGAGTGAGTCTGTCGCAAACAAAATATGTTCATGATCCAAAAGCAAAGTGCCTTCTCCTATGGGAGATTTGGAAAATTTCCGACGATGTTCTCTTTGCAATTTACGATTATCTTTCAACACTCAACATCTGAAAAAAATGCTGATACAACTAATTGCAAGCGCCGAAGATTACAGCTCACATTAAGCAATGTGGCTTCGCAATAAATACTACAGTTTACTTCGTATTAATGCGTCTATGTGGGGACAGATTGACTGCGCCTCTATCCAGATGTCAGCGTTTATCTCCAATTCAAGGGACAGATAAACAACAGATGCGCCTATACCTAAACCTTAGCACTATCTTGAGCTAGGAATCTACTGTCATAGGCTGTCCTTAAATAATGGAAACGCGTAAAATCTTATCCCGGGGTTCTTGAGCTGTCTACAGGCCACACGCAGTATCGATTTGCCCCGAATCCCGACGTGTTCTGGCGCGGCTAGGTGATACCTCTGGGAGACGCGCGTTTCAAGATTGGAAAATCTGAGAGCACAGCCTTTTTGAAAAGGGGGAAAGCCTTCCATTGTAACATATTTAAGACTCTAAAAGCATCATGTGTGTCTATGATTTTTAATTAGATTACGCGCCAACATTCGCTTCGTTACCTCTCAGTCACCTTCGTTTCTCCTGTTCGACACTATATTGTCATTCATAATATTTCTTTTTCAACAATTCAAAATGAGTTCCGGTGATAATTGTATTGCGGACTGGCAGCACGTGTCATACTCCTATTATAAATATGTCCCATCTCTTGCGGCTGCAGGGATTTTCAGCGCACTCTTCTTTTTATCACTTGCCGGCCATTCCTTTCGCATGGTCAGAGCAAGAGCATGGTTTTTGACGCCATTGGTAATTGGTTGCTTATGTACATAGCCCGAGAGAAATGATACTACCCGAGGAAGTTGCAAGTAACTGACCGCTTCGAATAGTTGAGTTTGTTGGCTTCGTTGGCAGGGCTGTTTCAGCAGAGCAGAAGCCTGGATGTTGGACTGAGACACCATATCTTGTCCAAACACTATTTATATTACTTGCTCCAGCCTTATTTGCAGCATCGGTCTATATGTCACTTGGACGCATTATTGAGCTTGTCGATGGAGAAAAGCATGCGATTATAAAGCGAACATGGCTTACCAAGATATTTGTTTGCGGTGATGTGATCTGCTTTCTTCTTCTTGCTGGTGGTAGGTTTTAAAGTCAAGGCATATTGCACACCGTTTGGGAGACATATCTAACATCAGAATAGGAGGCGGTATGCTGGCTTCTGCAAAGACCAACAAGGCCGAATTCGATGCGGGAAATAATATAATCATTGGAGGCCTGGTGTTGCAGCTTCTCTGGTTTGGGCTCTTTGTTGTCATAGCACTTATATTCCACCGTCGAATGATACTAGCTCCGACCGCACGAAGTCACCAGGCCGATATAAAATGGAGAAGCTATCTCCACGCACTCTATGCTGCAAGTGCGCTTATCATCATTCGAAATATCTTCCGTCTTATCGAGTATTGCCAGGGCAGTAATGGATACTTGCTGACTACAGAGGTTTTTGTCTATTGTCTGGATGCCCTGCCAATGTTCTTGGTTGTTGCTTGGTTTCTTTGGAAATATCCCGGAGAAATGAGCCCTCTCCTTCAAAAGCAGGCCCTTTACAACAATTCAATGCACGAGATCTAATTTCATAGAGTCCAAGATCAAATTATAGAGCTACTAGAGCAGAAAGTTCGAGATACACATATGTTACCCGCTTTCTAGCATAAAATTGAACTTCTTCTGGGTGTTATCAAGTCCTGTTATTAGTTTTTATCCCGGAATATCTTCTAATAATCCATATCATTATAACGCCAACTGACACTGTCGTGCAATGGGAGTTCTATACCATTGACTGTGCACATACTCCATACTAATTTTTGTGTCCATGTTGAAGGGCTGTCACTACAGTCGCAAGAATAGTACTATTCTTATTCAAGAGTCTGGAAGAGAGTTACTCGATTGCATATATTAGTTCAGTGACATTTATTCTTCGGCTACTTGAACAGCATCTGCTTTGGTCATTTGGCGTTTCAATGCCAATTTAAGTCCTTGATGAAACAACTACCTCAATTCTAGGTAGTGATCAATACTTCTATTACCGCAACATTCTCGATATCGTGAAAATACTACAGATATCTATCTTGCTATCAATCTCTTCAGCCAAGTCTTTCCAAATTTTGAAGAAGTCTCATCTATCGACGCAATCGTTTTGTGTTCTTTGTACTACGTCTCCGGTCCACTTTCTGCTTTCTCTGAGTGAGTGTGAGTGTTTCAGTGTTCCTTGCAGATATAAGACCGAAATATAAAAGTGGTTACTTTACGAAATCCGATGCCGTTACCGGAAAATTGATAGTATTTCTTTGAGAAGGCCTTCCAATCCTTAGAGCAGAGACATGTGAGACCTACGGGTATGGAAGGTAAGAATAAGAACTAAGGATTTTGTCAAGTATAATGAGGCAGCATGGTGAATATGCGGTGGCTGAAGTTATATACGTCTTTTGCATGTTCATGGAGGAGCGTTGCTTTTGATCAGAGGATCAACAGGAGACGAAAATTTCGTCCTTCTCATTTTTTTTTTTTGGATAAGAGGTAAAAATTAACATTTGTTCTCGTATACTAGAATGGAAGATTCATAAACAATTACCGGGATGCTAGAGCTATTAAGCATTAGTCGATCCTCAACGTCAGATCTTTGGGTATTTTGACTGATTATGGGCCATATTAGGCAGTGGATGACATCCAAGGCCATGTTTGTCAACCAGCATAATGGTCTGAGCAAAAGAGGTAAGAAAAGAGAGGGAGATAGAAAAAGACATAGGGAAAAGCATTTATAGCCTATTAGTGTAGTTCGACTATCAAACGTAGCAAGATGTACAGTACTATACAGGTTTAAATCTTCACCTTCCACTCTACATCCTCCCAGCCCGGTCGCCGCCTCATCTTAACGTTATCTAGCCCGATTGGCTTCTTCGCTCCTGCATTCAACGCATAATTCTGCGTAACAAATCCATTCTCGGCTTCACAGTCTAGAGCCATAATAACCAGAGCGCCAGAAGCAAGGATCTCCATCTTGGCGAGATGGCGACCAGGACACAAGTGAGCCCCACCGCCATATGGTACAAATCCCTGAGTCTTGACTTTGCCTTTACTGTCCGTTGCAATGCCGCCTGGTAGAAACTTTTCAGGTCCAAAAGTTTCAGCGTCTCCACCCCAAAACGTATCCCGGTTATGCAGGAGGAATGTAGGTATAGACACTCTCCAACCCTTTTTAAATAAAACCTCACGTCCAGTATCTGGGTCGGTGAGTACAACGTCTTCGAGAACCGCTCGATTACATGTCGGCGTAGAACCAATGCGGAGAGCCTCCTGATAACAAGCATGGAGTAATGGGCATTCAGTCTCGGCGCGCCCAATATCAAGCTCCGCTTGGCGACCGTCAGGAGTTTCTTTGACAGTCAGAACGGATTCAAGCTCTTTACGGAGGGCTTGTAACAAATTCGAGTTGGCAAGAATATTTTGTATCATGGCAACAGCTGTAGGAACAGTGTTAACCGTAGCGACGGATACATTGAACACTTCGATACGAGAGTAGTCCTCGATGCTGACGTCCATCTTGCGTGCAGTGGTAATGCCTAGCTTCACAGCATCACTAGCAAAACTTTCATTTCCACTTTGGAAGAATTGTTCGAAAGCCTTGGAGATTTTGTTGAGAGTACGGACACCAGTGGGTGCGATGAGATTGGGGAGGAAGCCCCAGCTAAGCCGTAGTTGGTTCTCATCAAAAGTCCTGTAATTATATATTCTTTGAGTATTAGAACGTATGAAAGAGCTTTGGAATCTCTTACCAGATGTCTTCAATGATGCTCTTATCAAGAGCCACTGGGCTTCTTGGCCCGTATAAGCCATTAGCTGTGCCCAGTGTAATGACATCCCGTAGCCATTGGTAAAAGTCTCTTGTTGCCCATTCTGCATCAAACGCATTCACAGCTTCTGCTACTACATCTGAGCACATCTGGCCAGGCAGATTAACACCCGGACCAGGGGCAAGTGCGTGACCGAACTCTTCACGTCGTTCTCTTAGGGCTGGGGAGCCGTTGTAAAAGCCTGTGTGGTCGATACCAAAATGGTGGCCTGCATCCTTGCTTAGACCCAACATCTTAGGCGCCACATATGCGATAAGAGGCTCCATAGACATTGATTTGGACTTCAGAGCGGCATGTGATAGTCCCGGCGTTGTGACAACATACGTTTTGTGGCCCATGACACTGAGTGTATAGGCAGGCCATGATGTGTGATGCCTTGTCAATTTAGTATGCAAAAGCATCCATATTCAAGGGATATCAGTTGTTCTTACCTCATACGGTCCATATAACTGACTCCATACCTATAAAACCCTACAAAATGACCAATGAGTGGTATAGATGGCTTCACAATAGGTGGCTCTCTAGGATCGTGCCCCGAGACGTCAAAATAGTGCCAGAGAGCTAGAAGGACACAGAAACCGAGACCAACATATACCGACGAGTGTCTGGTAGCCTCCCCGGTGAGGTTGTCAAGGGGTAAGGAGGAAGAGGTTGTGTGAATATCCATTGTTGGTAGCTGTGAGACTCCCTCTTTGTGAGAGACCACTGATGGTATGGCTCACACTCAATATGGTCTGGCTATGTACGTGTATGAATGACGACGCCAGATCCCAATTATGTATTTTTGCGTGTTAGAGAATGTCGGGAAAGTAATTATATGTGCGGTAAGCTCTAGGGATATTAGCACAAACTGAATACTTACCTGCAGGAAGTTCCTTGTCGACTACGTCGCTTATCGTCAATCTTACGAGTGCTTAGAAGAGTTTTGTTTCATCCTTGGTCCAACGTGGGCTTGTCTATAATATGCTCCTGCATCGGGTAGTGTGCAACGGGCGCGCGATTTTAGATCCACGAACCAGTAGGATATGTTACTTCAGCCAATCATCTACAATACCGTTTCTTGGGCAGAACCTCTAAAAATAGGCCACGACGGCGTTCTCCTCGATAACATTGCCTGATTAAAGTTCTTTGTGCATCTCTTCTATCCTCTATTTGGCTAGTGATAAGCGAGATCTTTTAATGCAACATAGGATCTTACAGTTCGTACGGGATTACGCAGGAGGGACAGGGAAACGCCTGTGTTCATGTTAGACCGACGGTGGTGTCAAATGGAGATTACTGGCGCTAAAGTAAGGCTCGGCTATAGTAATAAACTGTGGATGATCGAGGCCTGTGCCTGGTGGCTGTGGCAGGTCCACAAAAAGTAATCAAGCAACACCAACTGGCCCAAAAGACAATATGGATGGGCGTCATCACAGACCCCATCGTGACTCAAGTGTTTACTCGCGAATCCATCAGGATTGTGTGATCTATCAGATTTATTGAGGGAAATTAGTCTTGGAAGGGACGTGTTTAGTAGCAATAAACTCGGTCCGTGTCATCATGCCCTGGTGGCTGATTCTATGCTATACACACCCCATCAGCACCAACACGAACCTAATCAGCTCACAATTGTGAGTCTGCTCGCAGTTTGGGACTTCAAGATATGAATAATTTAATGGGCTTGTTGTGGCTCAAGCCCAAGGCGGAATTCACCCTATGCTTGCCTACTTGACACTCGAGAGCAGGAGTCACCTACACTTGACGGTATTTCGTGTCGTGTGTCTTTTATGCTCGTTATAAGTTCTCATTTTTCAGGCATTCACTCGCATACTGTCACATTAATACTCCGTATTGCATACTCTCGAAAATTAGCAGAGATGGGTGTCCAGTCACTGCTTGCACTGGTCGTCGCGGTTGGCGTCACCTCGTATCTCAAGCTCCATGGCGCCTCATACACTGCAATTCTACTTGGTCTTCTAGCATCTACAGTAGCCCAGCTAGCTATATCATTGGTATTCTCAAGTTTAATCTACCGGTGGTTCATATCGCCAACGAAAAGTCTGCCCCATCCTAAAGTACGAGATCCGAACACTATGAGATTCTCAGGTATGAAATATGACTCACTTTTGCTAGGATACTCCCTTTATCTTGGGCAACTTGATCCCATTTCTGAGCGAGCCATGGGGATTTCCACTGGTACGCTGGCAGCGTACGGTGCCAACCACTACTAGTGGCTTTTATCGTGTGTTTCTGGGCCCATTTGACTATCTCATCCCCAAGAGTTCACAAGCAGTGACGACGGTCATGACCCAGCCGTATTTGTTTCATAAACCCGCTGCGGTTCGAGATGGACTTGTTGAGAGCTTAGGGGTTGGCCTCGTTGCTGCTGAGGGTTCTGTCCATAAAGTACGTGGTCTCAATTTGCATCTCAGACTGTCATCATCGACTCTAACTTTCCTCATAGCGACAAAAAAAACTCCTTACGCCTATATTTGGGATGAGTCGTAACAGACGTCTCGTTCCTCAGATGTGGGCGAAAGCCCTTATCTTGGCAGACAAGATGCAAGAGCTTGTTACCAAATTTGATGGCAACTCGGACATACTTTTTATGCATCCTCTGACCATGGCAGCGACTCTCGATGTCATTGGTGTAACCACTCTGGGTGTTGATTTCGACTCCGTGACACGGCCTGATCAACCCATTTTAAAAGCATATCAGCGCGTCTTTCCATCATTTGAGAATCAAACCGCGACCGAGAAATTTTTCGGCGCAACTCTTCCCGCAATAATTTCACCGCATCTGCTCTTCAAATTGCCATTGAAACCAATCCAGGAGTTCCATCAGGGCATGACCTTCTTACAAGATTTCTGCTTAGCTCAGATTAGGCAAAAAAAGCAAGAGATTGAGGATGATAAAAATGACAATATAGATGTACGGGAAAAAGGTAGGCTAATAATCCAGTCAACGGCACACACTCTTGCTCTAACACCACTCACAATTTGTGACAGATATTCTCTCTGCTATTATTGCTTCTGGCCTTGAAGATGAAAGCGAGATTCTTAGCCACATTTTGACAATTCTCGCTGCCGGACATGAATCTACAGCCATAACGTTGGCGTGGGCCATCTTCAAACTCGCGCAGCACCCCATTATCCAAGATAAGCTGCGGGCCGAACTGCTAGCAGCAACAAGAAACATGAAAGGAAAAGAGATGACACTTGATGAGATCAACTCTCTAACGTACCTGCGATGCTTCCTGATGGAGGTCTTTAGACTTTATCCAGCGTTTCCAGCAATGATGAGAGAAGCAGGCAACGGAACTCTGGTCGGTGATCTCCATATTCCAAAGGGAAAACAAATCATGGTCAGTCCGTATGCCGTCAATCGATCACAGGAGCTGTGGGGAGACGATGCAGACGAGTTCAGAGTCGAACGCTGGGAGGAGTCGTATAGTGGCGGAGCCAAGAGCTCTCAGGCCTTTTTGACATTTTCCAGCGGGCCACGTATCTGCATTGGCAAAGACTTTGCCACACTGAGCCTGAAAGTATTCTTGGCGGTTTTGGTGTCAAAGTTCCGATTTGAAGAGGCAATTCCCGGTTGGCACCCGATCATACAAAAGGGGACGAGTCTTAAGCCTCAAGGGCTGAAGGTGAAAGTGACGCTGCTATAATGGATATATTGTAGTAAATAATGTATTTTTTATTAAGAATAATTTGTTACATTCACACTTTTAGAAATCACTAGAGGAATGGCAAAATTGTGTTTAGGCAATGGTGGATTTTCCTATAAAGAACTAAAACATACTGGAGCACCAGTCTGTAGACATTGCGTTTTTTCTCGCATCTATTCGATTGCTCTTGTCTTCGGAATCAACCCAACCTTGGTACCGGATCCATTCAACAAAGTGATAGACCATTTTTCTACCCAAGGTTTCTCACTCCGCTTCTCCACCTGCTGGAATTCTTGTAACATTCGGCTCAATATGTATATCATCTCTGCATATGCATATGTTTGGCCCATACAAACCCTTGGGCCAACGCTAAACGGCAAAAACTCCCAGTGTGGGTTTAGACTATCCCACCGCTCTGGTCGGAATTCCTGCGCATCAGGCCCAAATACATCTTCGCGACGCTGGAGGCTGAATGTGGAACAGCTTATCACAGTTCCTTTGGGAACGAGAACAGGAGATCGACCATCGTGACCTCCACCACGAGGGAGTATAGTGGTACGATTTGCAGCGCGGAAGAGTCCTGGGACTGGAGGATATAATCTCATAGCTACAACGAAACCATGTTGGTAAGTATGTTATTAAATATGACTTTTATCAGGTTATACTTACTCTCATCGATTACCTGTCGCAAGTATTTTAGTCCCCTAAGGTCGTCATATGTTGGCTTTCGTTGTTCAAGGTATTCTATTTCTCCTTGAAGTTTCTGCCAAATATCCGGTCGTCTTGCCAAGACAAAAAACAAATTGCTCATTACGCTGGCTGCTGTATCCCGTCCAGCGAGAAGCAAACCCAAAACCTCAAACCGAATTTTCACGAGGTCATCCGTGCTGTCAAGAATGCTATCCAGGAAAGAGTTGAGCGATTTGTGATCTTTTCGTGTTTTCCGTTTCAAGTAAGCCTTTTCAATAATATCATCCACGAAGTCATGTAGGATCTTGCACGTGGCATTCATCTCGGTATCCCGGTAAAAAAGCAGGAGAGGGCCTAGAGCGGCACGCCGGTTGACCAAGTTACCAACGTTCTCAAAAGCTTCAACGACCTTGTGTAGACGGGATCCTGGTTGACAATTCAAAGTAGACACCTTTTTATCTAGAAAAAGCTCAACAACATTGTCAAATGTAAGCCGGAAGAATAATTGCTGTAGATCTACTGTGGAACCATCCTTGGGGAGGCATGTAAGTAAGTTTTGTATGTGACCTTCCAGCTTGCTGAGATCTTCTACTTGGCCCTTGCCAAGATGTGGGCGAACCAGTGCCTAAAGAAAATGTATGAGAAACGAAACCTCTTCTAGGTAAAATTGAGGGGGGCTGCTTCGAACCCTTGAATGCTTCCACAAAGCTCCATCCGTAGTCAACATACTATCTCCTATGAAAGGACCAAAAAGACCTTTCTTGCCACTGTCAAAGTCGCTGAATTGGCTGGACAACAAAGCCTTGACGTTTTCCGGATCTATTGTACTAATGAAAAACTGCCCCATGACAACTCCAGAAAATGTGTCGCCAAACAGTTGAAAGCGATTCTGTGCTTCCTGCAAAGATCGGCCCTCCCGAGCTAGAGTGACTTCTTGCCGGTATAGGCCATAGCCAATGAGTCTTTCTTTCTGTGGTATACGCTGGCAAGGTTGGCATCCATTTTTCCTGGCGAATTTACGCTGCTCGAGTGACAAGATTAATCTCTGGACAGCCCAATAAGCCAATCCCAAGAGCAACAAATAGTAGTAGTAATACATCATGGTAGTATAATATGCCGTGACAATACTGCTAAAGGAAAAAAAATATCAAGAAATAATCGGTAAGAATGGGCTTATGCATGACAATATTAGCCTCGCAAACGTTCAACGGCTCTCTGTGCTGGCCCTTTGAATCCGACAGTTTGGGGACTGCCGCCAACAAGTCTGCAAGGCATCTGTGTTTCACCCCACTAACATGATGTGTGCCGGTTTTGACCGACTCACTCCCCGCCATCATCAATTACACACCATCAGCACTGTAATTTAGTGTGATGGAGACAATGGGACTCCGCCAAAGTTCATTCACTCCAGAACAATTGTCCCGCAAGCGCCAGATAGTGCAGCAACAGTGGACGGTCAGTGGAGAGCCAAGATAGCCTCGAGGCAGCGCGCGCACATTGCTTATTGTGTACCAAAACAGTTTCAGTGCATAAAATTACATTGTTAGTGTCTCCATTCTCATTATGTTGGTAATCCATAGGCGTCGATTACATGGCTGAGCCGTCTGTTGTATTTTTGGTAACATTCCTTCAGCCAGTAGGCTAATCCAGTCTCCTTATGGAGATAGTTGTATTTTGTTATTCTGCGTTTTCTTTTACGCAACGGGTGCCTTGCTTTGACCCCTCATATCTCTTTTGACTTATACAACTCCCTATTACCCTGTGAAAACTTCCATATTGAGTCTCTTTGGTCTTTGGTCGACCCAACACAGATATTCGGCATGAGCTCTCTTCCTCCTCCACCTGCAGGTATCGATCCAAATCTCTGGAACCAAATTCTTCATATACGTACTGGATGTTTTCCACAACTTCTTCCTCAGATAAAGAATGATTATGGATATTGGCCAAGTCTCGGGGCTGGCATCGCCTTCGATGTCCTCTTTGGATTAGCTTTGATCGGTCATGTTATTCAGGCGATCCGTTTCAGACGCTGGACGTCTATACTCTTCGCCATTGGAGCTCTCAGTACACTTTCCCTTCTCTCCTACCTCCTATTATGCAATTTGGTTGTGATGCTAACTAGTATATCATATATAGCCGAAGCGATAGGTTGGGCTGGCCGAACATGGAACGCCAAGTGCCCCTACAATCACGATGCATTTTTGATGCAAATCACCACTCTCATTATTGCGCCAACTTTTTTTGCAGCCGGCCTTTATGTCCTCCTTGGCACTCTAATAAATGAACTTGGCCCGCAAACAAGCAGCCTCTCACCCAGCTACTATGCTATAATATTCTGCACATGCGACGTCATCTCTCTTGTCGTGCAAGCCGTTGGCGGGGCTTTGGCAGCCAGAGCTACTGTTGAGGTCAACGGCGACTCATCAACTGGAACTCACATTATGGTTGCCGGGATCGCATTCCAATTGTTTACAATGAGTGTCTTTGCTCTACTCGTCGTTGACTTCCTCCGTCGGGCTAGGGGCCTAGTGATAAAGAGACCTATAAAGCTCGTTCTGATAGGGCTCTTCGTTGCGTTTTTGATGATATACATCCGGTCCATCTACCGCACGATCGAATTGGCTGAGGGGTGGACGGGGTTCTTGATTACCCACGAGGGGTACTTTATTGCACTCGACGCGACTCTCATGGTGATTACTGTGACTGTCCTTCTGTTATTTGACCCAGCCGTGCTACTGCGTGAGGAATCTGTTTCGTGGGAGGCAGGCGATAGAAAGGTTCATGAACAAAAGCATTTGCTTTCGTGGTTTCAAGTTGCAAAACGAACATAGCGGCCGTCACAAATTTTATATCTAGTGATAGGTAGGTAATTTAAGTATGCACTCTCTTATAGTGTTAAGTATGTAGATAGGTACATTTAGGGACCCCCATCTCCAAAATATAGCTGGCTGCCTTAGCACCTAAGCTCTTTTCTTCTTGAATGTCACAAGAGACACAACATACGAGATTCTCTAGCAATCCAATCGGAATACGCTCAAACATTTATACTAATTAATGATAATACATATATTTCCTACTCATGGATGCTACCTATGGTCGCAAATCTCAAACAACACCCGTCCAACGGCCGTTCTCATCATACAGGTCCACCATGTGCAAAGAGTCGAAACTGAGGCGGCTGACGAGTAAATTTCTCTCAGGTCCACTGACCGCTGAGTAGTCGTTTTTCACGGAGCTGGTTTCGGTAGAGGGCACTATGACTGACAGTGCAACATCTCCAACACCACTACCATTATCATTATCACTACCACGACCATTTTTATGTTCGCTGTTGTTCGTACTGTTGTTCAGTCTTGGCCAGGGCAGAGCCAATGCAAACAACAGCGCCAACCCTGCCCATGCTAACGAAGGCGCCAGACCTATTCTGATAGCCTTGCTGTAGGCCTTAGCGACTGCAACTTTTGCTCCAGGGGATAAATGGCTATTTATTCCACTGCCTTCCTTGAGGGATGAAACCTCATCAGGTGTAAGCGAGAGGCCGACGAGGTTATGGGTCAAGGTAGTGGTGAAAGCAACCGCAGATATTTGAACAGCCACGGCCCTGTAGATGGTCAGCGACACAATGCGTAATCAGTACACAAGCAAAGAGCTATATACTCACGCCCCAATCTGCTGTAGCATGCGAGAATATCCTAGCGCGGTTGCCAGCTGGTGTTTATCAAGAACTGCTCTTGGATAAATAATTTCTGCCAGCCAGGCCATTCCCATTCCAAAGCCGGCCACTATTTCATAGCCAACCACCTCTGCAACTGAAAAGTTGGACTTCATAGCAATAAATAGGACATTCGAGACCAAGAAGATGACGGTTCCACAAATTGCTAGAGGATTGAAATAGGGAATTTTGGTAGATATAATGGAGAAGGCGAAAGTGCTGATGGCGAGCGTGCCTGCGAGAGGGAACGAGAGAAATCCACTGGTACGTGGATCAAGATCTTTGATAACCTGGGGACGCAAATACATCAATATTACGGTACAAGATTGCAAAGAGAAATGCACATACCTGGAAAAGGAATGGAAGGAATAGTATAATCACGGATACCGATGACAAGGCGCAGAAAAAGATGCCTGTAGTAGTCCACACGCTTCTGTTGAAAAGAATGGCGCGTTCGAATATTGCCTCCTTTGCTATCCTTTGGTGTAGCAACAGCAATACAAGTGACACGCCGAACACAGCAAACATGACTACACTTCGAGGATTTTTCCACCCGTATGTCTGCCCAAAGTCGAGGGCCAAGATCAGAGGTACAAGGGCCAAAGCAAGTAAACTTGTGCCAAGCCAGTCAAGCAGCTTCAGTTTCTCCCAAAACTTCAAGCCATACTTTTCTCCTCTGAGGTCGGGGCCGCCCGTGTAAGTTACTCCGATAACCAGTAGTAGGACGAGACCTATTATGGGGAGGTTGATCCAGAATAGCCAGTGCCATCCAAGATGAGATTGTGTGATAGCGCCACCGATAATAGGCCCTATCACAACGCTTGATCCTAGGATGAGAGAGAAGGCGCCCATTGATACGTTTTGCTCTTTTTCTGCTGGCATCAAAGCCAGCATACGAAACCCCCCTACGCTCAACCCTACAGCCCCCAGCCCCGAGAGAGCTCGACCGCAGATGAAAGATGGCGAACTCTCAGATACAGCACAAACGATAGAGCCAACTAGATCATGAATGTCAGCGTGCATGATGGACCATTGTGAGTTTAAGGAGCGTTACGGATAAAGAGTAGTACCGAGCTAAGGTACACCGAGCTGAATGAACATATTGAATACAGCCTATTGCAAACCGGTTGCAGAACACACTGCGGAATAAGGTATGCGGAAGTGTAGGCACCGATATCGTGCAGAGAGGAGAATTGAGCAATGATTGTGGGTAATGCTGGCTCTACAAACTAGATATCAGTGTAAAGTTTAGATATAAGACAAGATCCTTTACTTACCAATGATGGATTGATCTATGCCGACCTATCGAGGCAATCAATGAGCTGTGTCCCAAGCGAGTAAACAAACCAGGGCAATGACGAACCATGAACCCCGCAAGAGCAAGAGCGAAGGTGATTGTGCCCTTTCTCCAAGGTGCCAGTGGAATGTCCAAGTCTTCGGTAGGCTCTCCTTTGTTGACAAGGTCTTTAAGCGCCCACAGCCTGCGTATAGTAAGTGGCCTCTGCCCACTGTGTTTCCCACCACCAAGCAATCGTCGGCCTAGTCCAGGGGCATCATCGGAATTCATTGCTATCAGGAGAAGCTAGCCCAGTGTCTTGAATTCGGCTACGGGTCTTGACCACGATAGAGATCACAGCGAGGGGATGGGGGAGAAAGGGGTTTGAGGGGTAAAGGAAGCCCCTTTTGGGAGAAACAGTCTGGTACGCTGTCGAACGCAGAGCGCAAGATTGAGACTAATGCCCATAATACGTCGCCGAAATAATGGCGTCAATGCTGCTGCTGGCCACCAAGTGAGCTTCAGGAGATTTGTAAATAATACACAAACGCTCGTGCCAGGAAGAGTACACGAGTTACCCGGTGCAGCCGTGGCAACTGGTACTGTCAGATCCCAACCCAGCCACGTTCGAAATAGCAATTCTCCAGTGCAACGACATTTACCAATTCAGCAGTCTACTTTTGCCCGAACCGGAGGAGCAAGTTTGCCCAACTAGACTACAAGAGCCTCGCCACCGAGCGCGGCCGCTGTCCAACGGTCACAATGCGTTTGTTGTTCATTGCCGTGGGGCTACTTCTCCTGTAAGCCTTAAGAGGTTCTCAGCTTGGCAACACAGCGCGCTGACGGCATTAGAACGTATGCAATAAACGAGGTTCAATAGCAGCTTTCCAGGGATCTACCGTCGAATTTCTCACAGGACCATGTTCCAGACTTTCGCCTTCGTATAGGGCTAGCCAATCAAGCCCAACGCTCGGACTAACCCCTGAAACTTTTACTTCAAACTAGTGCGCAGCCCAAACATCCTACAAACCTAGGTGAAGCCGATGGTAGATCTGTGCTCCCTTGGTGTGTTGATACGATAAAGCTAGTGAAATCTGTACCATGACTAGTCACATCATATCCAGTCTCAGCAATAATACGAGATTCTTTTGGGATGAAAACGAGTGTTTCTAGTCCTTGTTTCAAGGTTTCTCTCATCCTACCAGTTGATGCATAGCGGTTCCCAACCTGGGCATCACTGGATTATCGACACCTCAACGGTTCACATCTGCACGCCTCATTGCCTCTCATACCTCGCCAGACGTATGGGAGAGATTGGTTGATCTTTGGTCGTATTGTCACGCTTATCATATATCTCTACATCTCAACAAATTACTTACAGGATGGATTTGCGAGGAACAAATGGGAATTAGTAGGATATTTACGATGAGTTTATATAGATCACTACGTTGGAAACGGATCACGACCCATGCTCAGTGTATATGTAAGATACAAGACGAATCCATTCTATTCACAAGTCCACGTGTTTCTGGACATCTAATATATCGTAACGAATCTTTAGCCCCTCTTTCCAAGCATTTGCAGCAATTCCAGCGACTTTTCTTCCCAAAAATTGAACATCGCCTGACTTCCAAATGACTCCCAGTACAGTAATAAACCACGTCGCAGCCAGGAGCTTTATGGCTACAAAGCGCCACCTCGGGAGCCACCATGCAGTTGAGGCCACCTTCGCCATGTGCGCTTTGGTTTCATTCGACTCCTTTGGGTCTTCATATGTAGTGTTGCGGTACCACTCGTCAAAGTTGTAGAACCACATTAGCCATTTCCACTGCATGCCACACTCGACCAAAACCCATCCAAGCGGTAGATAGCCCCAATGTCCAAAATAGGCGAAAACTTCGTCGAACCAGACTAATAGATAGGTAGTGCAATAAAAAGTGCTGGCAATAGTGGATAAAGCTAATACCGGAAGAAGCAATGTGAAATAGAGATACGCGTTACTAGTACTGGATCTGAACCATGTCTTTCTGAACTGGTACAGAAATACCAGTGTGGTTGTTGTAGCACCTGAGATTGTTGCTCCAAAAAACACAAATTGGATGAGCAACCGACATAATAGTGCATCTGAAGAGGTGAATGATGAGAAGCAGAGACGAATCCATAGTAGTAAGGCTGGACCCATGATATGATGCAACGTAGCGGCCTTGTCATTCCTTGTAACGGTAAGATCAATGATATAGGCTCCAGTCAAAATAGCGCTGGGAAACAACCGTCAGTCGTTGTCCAAAAAAGTCTTTTCGCACCCTACATACCACGATAGCAGAGAATTTGTTGTATCACTCGCTGTCCATGTCTCCATAGGGGAGAATCCATTCAGTACAAGTGGCAGAGTGAGGTAGAACAAGACGATTCGAGATGGTATAACGCCCACTTCAACGGCCAATCTGCTCTTGACTGCTTCATCAAGCTTAGACCACTCTGATATCGACCGCTCAAAATATTGCCTTGCACTGGTGCGCACCACAGACGTAATAAGGCCTACCACGCTGATGACCCCAAGATCATAGACCCAAGTCGTCGTTGCGGTCATGATTGAGAATTATGAGGATGAATGGTAGGTAACGCAAGAAAAATATAAATGGAACAAGGTATTCATTCAGAAGTTAAATCATGTATACTTAACCATCACTCATAGCTTTTTATGTAGATGGTTTATCACAAGGCATGACTAGCTGGCCTTTACATTTACGGGTATCTGATATAAGAAATGCCTTAACACATTTGTTATTACTCTACGTATGTGGTAAGGGGGGAACATTGATGCTACGACGACTTTTGCTAGATTAGTAATTATAGTTCACGCTGTCTTACACCTACAGAAATATGATATTCCTTCTCTTAGCTCTGCACCAATGTGGAGCGTTTATCGGGTATTGTTCTTGCACGCCCTTATTGATATCGTCAGACTACCTGTGCTCTCAATTAATTCACGCAAAGCACAAGCCACCCTAGCAGAACACGGTAAGGGAAAATGGATAGGAGCATTCTAACGTAAGTAAAATCGTCGTTGTGTCTATTTTTATGCATTCTTTCACGTGTTGTAGTTGGATCTCTGTTTACTTGGAAGACGTCCCAAGATAGTTTTGGTTGGTCTCAATGGCGCTAATTGCTGGCAATAATACAAGTTAATATATTTTCTCCATTCGATGACCTATATATAGTATATACGCCACAGAATATAATTAAGGAGCGCCCTAATGTAAATGATAAGGTATAACGCTCAAGTATTGCAGCTGTATATATAATCAGTAAGAGGGGGCCAATAAGCTTGTTCAGTCGAAGGCTTTGGGTAATGCTCTAGTATAGCGCACCAAGACGTAAGCTGCAGCTTACTGAATCCACCAGATCCTCTGCCCTTTAGCACCAGTTGATGAAGTGATATACTACTTATACGCGAGACACTCTCTACTTCAAGTATGGAGGTTATGTTTATAATCAAGAGGGTCGGTAAAGCTGCAATAGCTAGTTTAGAGGAACGCTCCGCCCCAGCCTTTGAATACCTAGGTATATTGCATAATTGCATTTTCATTTACAAGTTTGTGGATCTTTCGCCACTGATCTCCCCCAAAATCTTATCCAACAACCAACGAAGTTTGCGTCTGAAACAAGTAGGGATTCAATTGTCTAGTGATCCATCAACATCCTACTACCTTGAGTATAGCGTGCTATTTTACGAATACCCCTACCGCGGATCCAGGACCACCATCTTGCAAGTGAAGTTTTTCGCAGGAAGCAAACCACGATGGCGTCAGCAGCACAGTCCCACTGTGGTCCCTCAACGGGCGCTCTCGTGCATAGGTTCTCGTCTCTAGCTGTGGTCAAAGTTGCCTATTGTGATGTATTCAATTTGAGAAGTCATGCCACAATAGGTATAAGCCATATTTCGGGGATTTTCATTGATGGATTAGCGACAGTCACGATACTTCGATAGACGGGTAAACTTCACCTCTGGCGAGGCTCTCGTCTGGCCATATAGATTTCGTGTTTTGCTTTTTTCTCTTGCTCCATCCGCGTTGCATTTGTATTCCATCTGCGTTCAATTAACGTTTTTATTCCTTTTGGCGAACTGAAGCCATGGCAGGCACACGGTTGACTGACATGGACATTCAGATTGCATCGTCGTCCTTCATTGCTACCGGTCTCCTATATGAATATACACACAGTTACTTGGAACGAAAGCTCCCAAAATGGGACTGTTTCCCACAAACTCTACGTAACCGGATGTGCATCGAGATTGCCTGCATTCCTGTCCGAATAGGCCTCATCTACTTTTCTCTGCCCTCGGTGCTCTTAGCCTTTACGCCATCGTCCAACTGGACGGCCGATGATACACAGCGCTCACTGATTGCCTGGTTTGTATTACAAGTCTTTTTATAAGCCTTGATACCTGCTAACAATGAAAATCCAGCTCGTTAATGACCGGCGCCTATTTATTCGACTTGATGATATACAGAGAGGACTTCTTCGGAATTCTCCATCACTGCATGGGTCCTGCACTATTAGTCTGGATAAGGCTGTGTTTCTCTTCGTTCACGCCGGCCGATGCATTGGTATCTCGGAGCTTGATGATGTTCATATTCTTCGGTGCGGCCACAGGAGGTGTGTTCGCCAGTGCTGGAGTCTTCCTTCTACGAGTTGGGAAGAGATACTTGGAACGCGGCACGCTATACAAATATTTCGCGATTTGCGTCGCGGGTTTGACGGTTACTACGGTACTGAGCTGCTACCTCAACGTTCTCTACTTTCTGCATACATGGGACGCAGCCTACGTTTACTTCGGCCTGGCTGCTCCGCTACCCATCATCTGGGAGACCTTTGAGTGTTATTTGCAGTGGCGGTGGCTTCTACGATTCTACAGCATTGAAGCTAAACTGTGTCGAGGAGACCGCAGACCGAAAGATTTCTTAGATGAATCTGAATCTACGTCAGATGAAGCTGTTATTGAGTACAAGATACCCTCCGCATTTCCCCGAGGGACTGTATTTATGCTGCAAGTTCTTGTTTGGCAATGGGTTGTACTGCTTCTTTGGCTGTATTTTAAATTTGCGAAGGAGTTGTACTTGCGCCAATCATTTTTGCCCATTCGATTTGCATCCCGAATGGAAGAAATGGTTCAGAATACTACGAACTGGTAGGTATTCATAAGAAACGTATGAAAGGCATCTTAGAGACGATACAACGAATAATAAAGTTTAGGGTAGGAAAAGCTTTGGGATAGAGGAAGATACCAGCAATATAGAGCACATTCTGCGTAAATATACCTCCTTGTCTGTCTGATTCTGATGTTTTCCATGGTAAGGGAGAGATTCTTTCCTGTTAGGTTCAACATTTTTTTTAGAAACCTTCAGTACGGCGTAACTTGTCTCACAAGGCGAGCAGAGAGTAATGGCCTGATTGGGCTTAGAGATCAATGATATTATCGCAGCTCATGGCTGGATTGGTGGGGCAGCAGCGGCCAAAAAATAGCGGCCAATTCAGGTTACAGAGGTTCTTCTAGGTGGCGCAAGCTGATGGTTCTGTCCAAATATAGAAGCACGAAATTTTTTAAAACAGGGCTAGCTGCTACGTGAAATCTGCTACAGTTTCTCTGAGCAATCCTGTGTCGAGTAAGATGTTGTGCACTGTGACGACAAAGATATAACCCAATCCAAGCTGCAGGTCTCAAAAAGACTTATTTCTACGCCAAGAACTCATCTTCATTTACTACCCTAAAAAGGTTCTTATTCAGCATGGATTGGGAGTATTTGTCCCCTCTCGACCAGATTCTTCCTCGTATGTACTTTGGCGAGATTCTCTGCTTTCCTTCTACGGACACGAATTTGTTCCCACTTCTACAGCAAGGGTTAAGCAAAGTTGCGGCCAGCGTTCCGCATTTAACGTCCTTTGTTGTCCACGATGATGCCCGACCGGGGAAACTTCGACTAGAACGCGGACGCGATAGCATTGACAACATTTTGGTATATTTTAACGATCCATTAGAGGAGATGCCTGATTATGAAAGCCTGAAAAGGACCTCATTCCCCGTCTTCCCTCAGTCGCCTCTCTTCTATCCTCATATCCCCAATGTACCCTGGACGGCCCCATGGCCGGTCATGCGAGCCGAAGTCACTCGTGTTCGTGGAGGATTCGTGCTTGTAGTTTTAGTTCACCACTGCGTTTTTGATGGAGTCGCCTTATCTGAGTTGCTCAACCTGTGGGCCACTTGTTGCTCCCTTAATGCTTCAGCACAACCACCCGAAATCGATCAAGCTCGTCTGAACCGCACGGTACTTCAAGGGGAAGAATTGAAACAGGAGAGCTCTCCGCCGGCGGATATTCTCAAGATCGTTAACAAACAGTCTTTCTCATCTCAAATCATATCACTCATCAAGCGAGCATTCAACCCAATCCTACCCAAACCTCTGTCGCCCACCTGGCCCATAACTTTATATCGTTTACCATATGATAAGCTACAAGGTCTCAAACAAACTCTGAACCAGTTTGCTCCCAGACTTGGTGTGCGGTTTCTATCCACAAACGATGTAGTGAGCGCTCTCATATGGAGCTGTGCCACAATGGCAATGAGCACCTCATTCCAACGTTGGAATTTTATGAGTTATTGCTCGACCGGCGTATCAGTCAATATCCGGCCAAGAATTCAGCCACGCCTTCCAGATAACTTCATTGGCTGCGCAATTGGAGTTGCCTACATTGATATGGCAAGAAAAACGCTATGTGCTGCCGCAGAGGTGGCATCATTTGAGTCTCTAGCCCGCGTAGCTGCTGCCATACGTCACGGAGTAGATGGAATAACTAATGAGAAAATGACGGAAATATTAAACTATGTCGACAGTCAAGAAGATCCGACAAAGTTACAATGGCGACCAAAGAAGCTGAACGAGTTCTACATTTCTAGCTGGGCAAATCAGCGGATTTATGATGCCGATTGGGGCCCTCATATTGGGAAGTGCGAAGCTCTTCGAGTTGCCCAGATAGCTTTAGCCCCGATGTGCGTAATACTGCCACCACGAACGGGGGTTGAATCAAAGGACGGTCAATACGGTGACATTGAATTGGTTGTTTCACTGGAAAGTTTGCACATGGATCGATTTAGGAGGTCAAAGGCTATGAGAATGTTTGCAGAAATAATAGATTGTTGAGTGTTACATGCAGGTATAGGGAAATCATATTGTAGCATAAACGAGGCCTCTTGAGCTATTTGCCCTGTAGTATAACGAAACTCTTCTCTTCGGAAGGTCTATTGGAGCCTTGAACGAGATTACAGGGCTAAGCATAAGAGCATAATGGCGTAGTAATTGTTGCCTGATTGTCTGTCCTATTATTAGGTATGGCATTTGATACAATATTCGTCACGATACCGTCAAGATTTTAATTAGTGGCATGTAGGTCACTGCCCACAGTCGTCCTTATTAGCAGGTATTGATAGAGATGGCCTTCTCGTTTAGTGTTGAATCAGCAATCGAGATTTGCTTGCTGTTTGAATGGGGTTGGATTATTCTTCAACGAAAGGAGAGTATTTACAAAAGAATCTTTCCTTTGTACATCCAAAGATTCACCGCGGTGTATTCGGGTGTGTTCATATTTTATAGCCTCGTGACTTGATGATCATTCAACAAGTTATTTATATCTATACTGCTGAACCTCCATTTCCAATAGCACTATATATCCCGCCAATGACTGTAAATTGGAAGGACGGACTGGGTCAGTAAACAATGAATCACCCTATAACTGGTCGAGGATCACAACTATTCCCTCCGCTTTCTATTTTTGCCGATGAAGTAGACGCATTGCATATAAATTCGCCACTCTTAGCAGTGGATAAAGCTGTTCACAGTTCATCCTGATCAAGCTCTCAATGCGGGAGCTTGGCCTGTGACCATGACTGCAAAATACAATTATCAGAATTGGATATTAAGCGGTATAAATGCTACTTTTACTTGCTTCGGATAGTTGTCAGAGTCGCCGAAACGATTTCCGGTAGATAGTGGTACCATGACCTTTTCTAGTATATGCTACATGGACGAATGTCTAAGATGCTTCCCACTAACATAGCCGTCTGCAGTATCAACAAACAAGTTCCTGCCTTTGACGTATGACACCAATGCGCCCCATAGTTTCCAGCTACCAATCTGCCCCGTCGCGTACTTTCTTCCCAGCGATAGAAAGATCATCGTTTTTTTTACAGGCTGGTAAGGTGCAATAGAATCCTTCCCTGTCAAAGCAGTATCTAATGCGCCCGCCAAGTAGACAATCTGGTTATCCGTTACAGTGAGCTGCTTTGGACCAGCGTTGCTCACATCGCCAATAGCCCAAATGTTCTCTGTGCCCACCACGCGCATATTGTCATCAATATTCACATTGCCCTGGGGATCAAGGAAACCGGTGGAAATGAAGCCGTTGTTTAGTCGAATTCCATGACATGGAAGATATAACTCGGTAATCACCCTTGACCCATTGTCCAGAATCAAAACTTGTGTCTTGCCATCATCACCGGCCTCAACGGCTTTCACACAAGTTTTGCGGATGAGTTCGACACCGAGCTTTTGTAAGTCTTTGTCTAGAGTTGTTCGAACAGAAGAGAGTACGTCGCTGGAGCTCTCTAGTGGGACATCACCACGCATAATAAGCGTAATTTTTTTAAGCTTTCCAAACTTTGCGGCTAACTCTCCCGCAATCTCGACACCAGTTGGACCTGCACCAGCGACGACAATGTCTCTGGCGCGACTGACGTTTGCTTGCAGCTCATGCCACGCGGCGAGGGTCTCCTCATGCGTACCGATAGGTTTTAGTGGCAGTCCGCCAGCCAATCTCGAGCCTGTTGCTATCACCAATTGATGGTATTGCAAAGTCCTACTCCCACCAGTGTTGGTAAGGATAGTAACTGAATTCGATGATGATTGGATGTCAGTGGCTCTGCCAAGTATAAATTCGAATAGGTCGACCGCGTAATGGTCAAATCCAGTAGCAATGGGGATAAACATCGATTCATCTGGAATCATTCCGGGAATAAGACCTCTGGTAGCCGCCACGTTCCAGAAGAAATGGCTGTTTGGCGATACCAAGATGACTTCGATGGCCGTCTTAGAAGAAGTATATTTAAGTAACTTGTGGGCGAGCGGCAAACCGGCCCATCCCGCACCAAGAATAACAACAGTTTTTTGGTCAGTCATAGCCGCGATACTGTCAGGAGAGCACAAGTCCCTAGGAGAGGGAAGTCATCATTGGCGTCCAAGATAACGTACAAGGAGTTATTAATACAGCTGGTTGCCACATCGGCATCGGCCATCGGTCGTAAGACCTCGCATCGTTGCCAATCCGAAAGCGACAGTCGATAATGGGGGCTAGCCTAAACATTTTATTAGCGGCGCTGGAGTTAGTTGACGGAGGACTTGTTATTGATTCAGACGTCGATGGAGTGGGGCTGGGCGGCGACAGAGGATTTGGACCGAGCTCCGTGTCCGAGATCTGGTGGCTTGTAACATCTCATCTCACAATTTCTTCGACTGTGCTCGATCTAGTCGCACTTCTGCTCTCCAAGAAGTCGGCCTCGCCCAATTCATTCCCGAGAGTTCTTCTCCTGGAGCCTTTATCGGCCGATGCGCTGCGGTTATCCGTTGTGCTGACAGAGCCTGCCCAAGCCATATTGGTAGATTCCTCTTCTGCCGCCGTCATGTCTACCAATCATTCCACAGCTGGCGAGATCGCCATCGCCGAAGATAGTTTAAGAATATGGAGCTGCGTTACATGTCGGCGTCGCAAAGTGAAATGCGACAGAAAAGACCCTTGCTCTAATTGTGTCAAGAACCAAATCGAATGCCACTTTCCCGTCACTGGTCGTCTTCCACGCCGACGAGATCCCGCGGCGTGGAAGTCCCCAACTGAGAAGCAAGCCGAACTACTAGATCGATTGAGGCGCCTTGAATCACTCGTTACAGAACTTGCAGCACAAGTGGAAGACGGCCCGGACAAGATCCAATCCCTATTCACGGGGCCATTGACCAGTGCCACAGGTGTCATCCATTCTGGAGAAACAGTCAACGCTGCTGTTGGGAAGCAAGGACCACCAGATTCGGAGTCACCCATGGCAGTTGGCGAATTGATATCTGCCATGAAATCTTCATTTCAAGGAGAGACAAATGAAGACTTTGGAAGATTGGTTGTTGGAAAAGAAGCCGGTTTGCAAATCGGAAAGGGTTTCTGGTCCATTTTCTGCAATGAGGTGTGGCTGAACTCCCAGCACTTATCCACAAATGAGAGGCTAATGGTGATTGATTAGGTTGAGCACATATTTCAAGGTATTCAAGATGTGACTTCCGATATATCAGGCTCAAACCTTGAGGCCACTTCATCGAACAGCCAAAGACAATCACATAGCATCTACTCGGACTTTTATTTAGGAAACCAGTATACAAGAGATGTCCCTCAAAGCCTCGATGCTTTATACCCCCTACCATCACAGATGTTTTTCATCTGGAGGACATATGTAGAGAACGTTGTTCCATTCATTAACGTCATTGATATTGCAGCTGTGGAAGAGGTGGTAAATAATTTGAGGGGCAATTTTGACTCCCTTGAGCCGAGCTTGCAGGCCTTATTATTTGCGGTATCCTTGGCAGCAATCACATCATTGGATGAAGAAGAAACTCTGGCTTGTTTCGACACACCGAGAATTGGGCTAATTGCTCGATTTCGCCTTGGAACAGAGCGGGCGCTCGCCAATGCCGAGCTGTTGATGACGAGAAAAATTGAAACTATCCAAGCATTCGTAATATATCTCTCGCTTCTACCATACATTGGAAGCCAGGAACTGTTATCGCCATTTATGGGCCTCTTACTAAGGATTGCGACATCTTTACAGCTGCACAGAGATGCTGAAAACTTCAAAATGCCTACTCTGACCAAAGTTGAGATTGAGATACGTCGCCGACTGTGGTGGCAGATTATCTTCCTTGACTCAAAATCTCGATCAAAACGTACAGCAGGATTGTCAGCATCAGATACAATGTTCGACACTAAAACTCCAAGCCATATGTTGGAAGATGGTAAAGGAGCATTCTTGGATCCTTCTAACGCACAAAACCAGTCTATTGTTTGCATCATACGGTGTGAAGTATGGCTATTGTCTCGTTTCTTGAACGCAAATCGGCCAAATCCCTTGGAGCAGAAACTCGATGCTTTCAATCGGACAAGATCAAGGCTAGAGACCTTATGCATGCCAAGTGTATCATCAAACCATGCTCTAACATCTCTAGTCAAGACTATGACATCACTTGTGCTTTCTAAAGTCGAGCATGCGATATATCTACAGCATCTTCACAATCTGAAAGAGCTCTCTCAAATGCCATCCCAGGAAATGATGCAACATCATTTAGACTTATCAATAGATATCCTCAAACAAGCTCATTGTCTACGAACAGAGCCTTCTTGGAAGAGATGGAGATGGCAACTACAAGGAGACTTTCCATGGGCTTCAATGAGCGTGGTGTTCATCCAGCTCTGCCAGTCTCCCTGGTCGGCGATTTCTGAGAAAGGATGGGCACTAACACACCTAATTTTTGAAGAAACCAGAGACAAAGTAAAACTTAGTCCATCCTGGAACAAGTTAAACAAGCTTATTATCGCCGCCGAAGTCCATCGAGGGAGGAATCCAGCAGAGGGGACATTACGCGTGCGTTCCCAAAATAAGCCATATACAGCCAGCCTCATCAATACGGAGGAGAGCATCAGTGGTGCTTCCGAAACCTTAGTGACTCAATCGGCCAATACTCATATTCCGCTCGATTACCCTGAGTCCAGCCAGGCCGCATTCGACAATAGGTCAGAGATTGATGAATCGAATAAATTTGAATCTGCTATGGCATTTTATCCTATGGAATGGCACCCATGGGATGAGGGACTCGCCAGTGACAACGAATTTTTGGACTTCGATTTTGCAAATATCGAAGAATCGCTGGAACTATAGCGGAAAGAGGTCATTAGTAATTATAAATACCTATAAACAAAAGGGGGGATTGTTCCAGATGAGTAAAATTACGCGGAGAATATTACAGAACAGTTTTCAAATCAGATATTTTATCGTAGGAACTGCGCTAAAACAGGATGTGTTTTTATATCCGATCTGCGGCGGATATAGCACGAGGACTAGATTCCCCGAGTCCTGAGGTCAATCGGGCTCCTTCGCCTTCCCCTAGCCTCACGGGTGAAAAATAAGCAATACTTAGACATATAGTTCGCATTAACCGTATTACTACACCCTGTATCTTTAGGAATTATGTATGACCATTTGAATTATCTATTAGTAAGTCAATGGAAGAGGTGGACACTGAGAGACGTAGGTATTATCCCAAGACCGCCTTTATGTGGGCTTGGCTGATATTGCCAGGATTTGAATGGTTGGGCCAGCCATCTCAGCTTCCATATATAATATGAATACTCGCCTGTAACAAAGCCGTTGTTTTCTCTACAACAATACTTTAATAGTGTCACAATGATTGCGTTGAGCACCATTACCCTCCTCAGTGTCCTCTGCACCGCAGTGGACGCGTTTTCCGTCCCAAACGTGAACGCGACGTTCAGCAAGTCGCCCAAGCCGTTTGAGATTCGTGTTGATCGAAATTTCATTGAGGATACAAGACTTCGAGTGGCACATGCTAGGGCTCCGGTCTTCATGGGAGCGATCGGCGAAGGCCCAAGCCCTGAAAATTACACCAACGTTCGAGACTACTGGGTCAATGAATACGACTGGAATACCACCGAGTCGTCCATTAATAGAAAGTGGGTTAAAATAGCTGTTGAACTGTCTTAATTACTGTACTAACAGAAATTGAAAAGGTTAAAACAATTCACGACCGTTGTTGCACCAATTATCGGAAACAGCTCGAATCCAGTTCCATTACACTTCGTTCACCACCGTTCATCGCGCGACGACGCCATTCCTTTGCTCTTTATCCATGGGTGGCCAGGCTCGTTTCTGGAAGTCAGCAATATCATCGATGACTTAACGAACCCTCCTAACAGATCTGTGCCGGCGTTTCATGTAGTCGCTCCGTCAATACCTGGATTTGGATTTTCTCCGGCACCTCAGCGCCCGGGGTTTGGTCCGGTCGAAACCTCTCATGCTTTTAACGCATTAATGAATCAACTGGGTTACCAGAAATATGTCATCCAGGGCGGCGATTTTGGGGGTGTTATTCTTCGTTTCCAGGCCCATCTTTTCCCAAAGAATGTCGTCTCCGTGCTTAGCAATTTTTGGATCATCCAGCCAGGAGAAAATGACATCCGCAGGCTTGCCGAGGGGTTATCAACTCCGGATGAGGTCGCCTACATTAACATTTTGGAAACATATATCAACCAGGCATCTGGATATCGCGTCATGCAAGAAACGCAGCCTCTTACAGCAGCCTTTGCTATGTCAGACTCTCCACTGGGCTATGCGATGTGGATCTTTGCTTTGATGAATGAGGTCATTGACCCAACAGTCAAATCTTGGACCCCCGAAGAGATCATCACCTGGTCAATGATGTATTATATACAAGGACCTTATGGTGGTATGCGTTTCTACAAGGAGGTTGCCAATGACGGGGCCTTGGAAGCGGCTGACTTTGGCACTCTCCCGCTTGTGGAGGTGCCAGCGGCGATCAGTCAATTTCCTTATGATATCACTTATCGAATGCCATTGGAATGGGCTAAGCGTGGAGGAAACGTTATTAGGCGGAATGTGCACAGCCATGGCGGTCACTTTGCCGCCTACGAGGTGCCTCATCTTTTACTCCAAGATATCTGGGATTGGTTCGGTGATGAAGAGACTTCCGGAACGAAAGCTTTCATAAATTAACTGTCAATCATGGTAAACGTTATATATTCATTTGTATCTTATGAGAGACAATGAATGCAGTGTCTATGTTTATAAACATGATTCACCGGGTTCATTAGATCGTAATTCATCATAGTCTCGTCGTGTGACTGTCTTAACCACCTGCGAATTAGATGGTTTGTAGAGGATGCTGTGACTTCATGATTTGTGTTTTACAATCTATCAAATTAGCTACAAACGTAAAACGTGAAGGGCAAGATTTGTTTATGAGTAAATGCGGTAGGTAGCATTAATTACCGACCAATCTTACGAATTTCTAGCCAGCGCAAAGGGGGGAATACTATCATGGCCCACGAACAGCCAACCCAAATGCCAAGATCAGCGCCAGTTGGACTGGCGAGCTTAGCAATAGGACCAACATAATAAATCTGGTACATGCATAGGATTGCCCCGACCCATCCAATGATAAACGCTGTGAATGCAGCAAGACCGAGCGGCAACCGTTTTGGATCAGACCAAGCCGTCCAGTCAAACCCGCGGGTTTTGCGGAATATCAAATGTTCTTCCAAAGTGATTACTAGGAAGATGGTAACCCAGTAGCCCATCAGAGCTAAAAAGTTCTCAAAGATATCATAGAGGTTGTTGCGCCCACCCAAAGCACATACAGTGTAGATGACAACACCAACACATGAAAGGATCCAGCGGGGTATTCGCGCACCGTATCGACCCAGCACTTGGAAACATAGAGCGGCAGAATATGTCCCGGGGATATTGTTTGCAACAAGGCCGAGGGCAACAATAACGCCGAGAAATTTTCCAAACCCTCCCAGCCCTTGGTAGCCTGCAACAACAAGGGCTCCAGACGACACATCGTTTGCAGCGCTCCATGATGCGTCAGTAAAGGTGCCAGAAGCAAGGCCAACACCTAGGAGGTTGGCAAAAGCCATCGCCAGACCGACGCCCGCGGTCGTCATCGCGAACGTCTTCCACTTCTTCGTGTTTTCCGGATAGTATACGTAAAAGTCTGCTCCCGCGGGGGTCCAAGCTACGGCCGAGGACAGGCAAAGGGAGAAGAAAGAGAGGCGGTTGCCATTAATGGTCGAAGTGCTCCCAGTTGACTGGATGGAGGTGTCAAATTTAGGGCCAGCAGAACCAACCAAAATAAAGGCTGCAATGAGCTGCGGAAGCCATGCCCATCTAGAGTTGCGCCATTCGGTCAATCTCCAAGGCACTAACTTCGACAGACAAGCGATAGAAAAGGGAGTCAGTCTACCTACCTTTCGTATGTCTGAAAGATTGACATGCCAAAAAGCACAATAATCCAGGAAATGACGGCAATTATGATGATGCCGACAATGACGGTGAGGTGGTCATCAGCGACTGCGGATAGGATTTGCCCCCCGACAAGGCAATCAATCATGCCATAACCCAACATAATCACAATGTTCAGGATGGTGCAAATCTTGCTGGGCCAATAGCCCATAAAATACCTCGCCAAAACCTAGGAGCATAAAGAATCAGAGCCATAGGGAGATTATTGGGTTGGCCCACGCAAGCCCTGAGGGTTAAAATAAAGAAGAGGGAAAGGGAAACACTCTTTCATACCATGGTGCGATTCCCGCTGACTGGGCCAAAAGTGCTGATATAGGCAACTCCCATAGCTCCTAAGATGGCGCCAAAAGTTGCGCATAGCGCTGCATCCGTGAAGCCTAGAGAATAGTCAAGTGGTCCAAGCATGCCAACGGCCATGTTGTTGGCGGTGATGTTGGAACTGAACCATAACATCGTCATCTGCATGTAGCTGGAGGCACCAACTTTCTCTAATCGCTCCGTGACTGGCACTCGCTCGATCCCGCGAGCCTCGAAATGCTTAAGGCTGAGAATTCGCTGATTTACGCGAGCGAAGAATCCGCTAGGGGGCGCCACTCCCCCTTCTGAGATCTGGCTTTCCAACGTGGGCTTAGAGCCATCAGTTGCTGTGTCATTCTCGGCCTTCTCCATCGGTGCGGTGTTGGATGGAGGGAACGAGACTCATTCGCGCGGAGACAAAAAGAGGGGAAGCAAAAACGAAAATAGAAATGAAGAAATGAGAAAACGAAAGGAAGAAAGAAAGACAGGAAGTAATGGACAGATAAGAAAGATATTGAAACTCGACTCGTGCAAAAACAGAGAGAAAAAAACTCTTATCGGCCGGTGTACACAACGGAAAACGCGGAAAACATGGCAACTCGGCAACTTGGTCCACTTAAATCGACTTGAATCGCAGATTTCAACTAGCTCGCGTGACTCATATTGTCAATCGAAATTCTCATTAATATAAAGATTGCTGGTCGCTTCACTTACGTGCTTACATGAGGAACATTCCTCAGAATAGTCCTATATAATACACGAGGAACAATGCGATTAGGTGCTGTTCCATGTTGTATCAGACTGGAAAAGAACATTAGCGGCGATTCCTCTGCAAGTAAGCGATGCCTCCGCAGTGGATCAAATGCTACGAGCCGCCCTTGGTGTGTCGCGGCATCAGGAACCGTGCTCCCATCCCGCGCGGGCTGTTGCTTCGGGAGGTGATGCGGCGTTAAGCCAAGCACACATTTAATCAAGCGACCAATCACTTTAAGCATGGATCCGGATCTAGGTTTGGATGAAGCTATAATCAAGTACATAATGAGATCTTATGTTCAGTGCTAGGCTCGGAACATTGTTGTGTAATTGGATTACGTATATAGCCACCATTAGTGTAAGTTGAAGACTCACATCCTCGTATCGTCGTGCCTTGTAGCTGGCCCTCCGGATATTTCTGGCAAATCAGCAGCTACAGCGGTCAACGGAAAAACGAGGTTAACCTCACTCCTGTACGCCGATCTCGAGATCAAGACTCCACATGGACGTCATTGAGGAGGGAGACAGAGCATCATACGGCTCAATGTCGCCCATGGACAGACAAACATCACGACGAAACATACAAAAGGGCAAAAGACTGACGAGATATACGTGAATTTGTGCAGTGCGACTGGGAAAACTTGAGGCTAAATGGTTCACCTTGCTCGCCACTGAAACCGGTTGACCAGGGAGAATGTTTGCGGGCTGACGCAACAATAAATGGTTTTGTTCCCATCGTTAACATGTCTGAGGTAGTCTCCGAGTATTTTCTTTGGCTGCTAGAAACTCAATCTTAAATGTAGTGATTGCACATCGTGAGCCCCCTCCTTATCAATAGCGCAATTGCTGTCATAGCACAAACACAAATAGTGCTACAATTGAGTTGAAATAACTGCGACTTTGTGTATTATCGTACTACTTTATGAAATGTATATTTAAATCGCTCCATGTAGGCCGTACTCAATTGACCAGTTGGTACTCTTGACTGACTGCTCCCAAGCCATCTTTAGTATAGAGTGCGAGGAAATGCGTTTGATCGACGGTATACAGCCCGGGCCAGTGCGAGCCCGCATCACCTGTGATAGTGGTTCCGCTCCAGGTAGAGCCTCCGTCCGTGCTAGCAACGACTTTCATCTGGGCTCCATCGATACCATTGCCACCGGTGCCGGCCACATCCTCGTTTGTCATAAAGCTTGTAACAAGGGTGCCACCAACATTGACAACCTGAGGAGCCCCTGCATTCTTCCCATTGCGCGCCGTATAGAGACGCGCTCGCTGTCCCCATGAGTTACCATCATCATGCGACAAGACATAGTCGATAGAGAAGGGACCCGACTCTGTATTCTCGAAAACGGCACTAATTATACGAATTATTATTAGTTTACAACAGTATCGTTGTTAACAGACGGCAGTGTAAGCTCACATTAGATTACCAGAGTTATTGATATTCGCGACGCCAATCATTCCATCGCGCGATGTGCGATCACCTCCAGAGACCTTGATCCAGTTCGACCAAGTCAGCCCTCCGTCAGTGGAGCGCTTCATGTAGCCATCTTGATCATTAGCATTGTTCTCAGCGGAGTAGTAGCACTGTAGTGAACCGTCTGCAGCAAGACGGAGAAAAGGTTCCCAGAGGCCATTAGGGGTACCTGGGGTGGCTGCTTGCTGCTCCACGGTCGATAGGTAAAGAAAGCTGGCGCCACCATCATCGGAGTATGAAACGGTAATTCGGTAATATGTGTAAGAGCCTCCTGAGCGATCATGGTTCCGATAAGCGTATACGATACGTCCACTGGGAAGCTGCAGGGGTATAGCGTTATCAACGTCATGAGCAGTTGAATCGGCACGGTAGACTTCGCCAACAAAGTGCCATGAAGTACCGCCATCGTTGGAGCCAGCAAGCCTAAGAATGCTTTGATTGTTTTCATGGGCGGTATAACCCGCAATCAAACCTCCATTGTTGGTGGAGCTTGCCCGAATATATACTCCATTTGTGTCTATAACATTAGGCGAGCCAGCCTGAGTCACAATGCCGGGTGATCGTTGATCGAGACTGGCAGGATTGCCTAGAACTCCGAAAGGAATGAGTAAAGCTAGAAATATTTTAGGGGAAAACATTCTTAATAGCGGGCTAATGCTGGACAAGTTGATATAAATACAATCATCAGCAGCATTGACAGGGAGACTGGTAGTTTTTATATCTCGAGCAAGGAAACATACAGCCTAAGGCTGCGAGCATGGACGTTTACCCCATAGAATGCTTAAACACCATCTCGCGGTCCGTTTCAATTTTGTCATAGCTTCCTATCCTAGTATAGCCTGATGATCATCCCCGCTGAAGGATTTTGTTTACTCTGGGAGTACTCGATCGGGAGTTCCGAGCCGGCTGCCTAGCAAGAGATCGTCGTTGAAAGAATCCTGTTGGTTCCACTTTCCAAGCCGCAATTGTCAGACTCGAATGTTGTATCTTTAGGTAGTTTGATCGCTCGAAACAGGTATCGTATCCCGAATATATTTACGAACTCCTGTCTTGAACAAGTGGCCATAGAGCATGTTTACAACACTCTACTATTGGAAGGCGTCTTCCATCGTACTGGACTCCCCTCTCAAAAAATATCAATCATGTCAGGTTAGCGGACAAATAAACTGACGAGTACATCTAACCCACAATTCAGAATACCAGAATAGCTACATAGTACACGCTAACTGGCTGCGCAAGCGAGATGTTAAGTAACTCACGAGACGCGAATACGACTCCGCCTTTACGTTTCCTTGTAATAACTATATTACTCTAATGGATCCGTATAGCTCGGTATATTTCCCAAATCCTGGGTAGCAGTTAGAGCTAAAGGACCGGTAACTGGAATCAGGTGGTTTCAAATACTACAATACAAGCTCCACATTGATGCGAGATCAGGTATGGATTATTTGACATTCATTCCCCTATGGCAACGTAGCCCACCTTGGCAAATGAGCGTATTACCCTGGTGACTGAGCGTATAAGTGGTACGCTCTTAGCGTCAAAACTTGGGTTTATGCGACCCAATCCGACGCAGATATGGTGTAGCATTGCATATTCGGGAACTACGGAGTACCGGTGGATATATTTACTGTCTGAGCTTGAGAAGAACGCCTTAGTTACACGAAATCTGTTACACGCTACATATTTATTGTGGTTTTGGAAGCAAATTTAGGCTAACCTTTTTTTCTTCTTCGTTCCATACAAGACCTCCCCTTTCGTCTACAAGATCTTTCATTGAGCCACAATTCATATCAGACAATACAAAACTCAAGCTAACGAATCTTGCGTCTCGGCTTGGATTATTCATCATAACTCTCAGTCCAAGTCTCGGTTCGGCTGAACATCTTACATTACTAAATCTTTTAAAAACGCATCTTTGGCATTTCAAATTTAATGCCAACACCTCTCACGGGCCGGCTAGTTCATAAAGCTCGCCAGCTCCAGGTTGGGAGGACTTTGGTAACTCCCTCAACTTCAGACTTGGCCTCGGGATCGGTTTTGGGGTTGATCTCTAACGCGGCAGAAGCTATCGCTAGTCTCGCCGTAAACGAGGCTATTGCGGATATTGTCAATCGTCCTTTTGTAGTTTTCGTAGCTTAATAATTTATACATAAGTGGGAGCTCCTCGTTAACCGTGGTAAAGAAATTATAACATGATAGTCTTGTATAGTGTTAAAACATATATGTAATATGCTCAAGTGTTGTATTTTGTTTGGGTGTAGCTTCGTGAGAATAGTAGTAGTAAAAATAGCAATATTCTACGGTGAAAATAGGAAGACTTAAATTTGTAACCTCTGATGGAAGTGCAGGACAATACCTCACCATAAATCTCGAGTCTCATCAATTCCGTAGCAAATACATTGAGCGTTGCCTAAAAGTTATATTTATTGCGAGGATAATGGTAAAAAAGGTGCGACGACCAGTTGAGTGAAAGGCCCTGTCTCAGCTCTTGGCGCAATGTCCAATATCACCCCTTGTCTTATTCCGATCGGGAACGGCCGATCGAATTCAACCTTAGAGGTCAGGCCATACCATTGGCGGAAGCAGATAAAGTATGACCGATAAAGATTCAGCTGCAGTTGACTGTTGTACTTAGCTTATTTGTAAATCTAAACCCAACTTCTTTCGTGAATTAAAATACATGTTCAACAATATCTAAAGAGTACAAATAAAAATTTAAGCATAAATCCGTAGAAAAAGTTGTGCTTAGTGACTAAAATTCGGTTTGCTGGAACAATTTGATCAATTGTACTCTGTAGTCCACCGATGGAGATAATCCTGAAGTGGCTGCACAAAGCCTTTCCTCTCCACTTTCCAACGCACGCCTTCAGCAACTTTCACGACTAGATATTAACCCTGGGCTAGTATCAGGCCGCTCATTCTGACTCTATCGTGCGGAACTACTGCATAAATAAGAACCTTTACCTGAGTTTCCTATTTTTTGTTTGTTCTAAGGCAGCAGTCATTATGAGACTATTTATAATCAGCATGCACATGTAACAGCACAACCAACACAATTCACAGCCAACACTGAACTTACATGCAAAATTTCGTGGCAGGGGGAGAAAATAGCGCAAAGGTGACACGCTTTTCGGAACGATTGGAAGATTCCAATCGCTGTATAGTAATGCTTCAGAATACTTGAACGAAGGCAGAGATAAGAACAAATAGTACCAATATAAGCATCCCTTCGTTGCCAACAAGCTTAGAGGTATTATAATAGAAACCTACCGAGCGTAATGTTAACCAGCTGATGAGCTGTTGCCTGAAATCTACTTAGCTAAAGTTGACAATACAAATATCGGTAGCCTGGGGATTTTATCCGCCTTGCTCAAGGCAACGGGATTTATCCCTGGCAATTGCTAAAGTGCTGCATGAGCAACTCTCATACTTATAGCGCCAGTCGCAACATTTCGCCGGCTTCTTAGAATATACCCATATCTCATTTTCTTTACTCACTGTCTCCGTTTAGAAACAAAAAGATGGCTCCTTTAGTTCTAACTTGTCCCATTCCACTTTGGGAAAATGGCCGGTTTTCAACTTGCGTTCAAGAGCAGTACTTGGGAAACCTAGCCCCGTTCGCGGCGGTCAGCGTATCGTTGGCGCTGCTGCTGTTGTCTACATTCCAACCTTGGCGACATCTCCAACGACAACCAGAGGGGTTTGTACCGTTAGCAAGCTCCGATCCTGATACCAACCATCGGCGAACTATCGCAAACGCCCCGTCATTAATTGCCACCCATGGCTGGTGGCTCAGCCGCCTTGAAGGTTTACTCCTTGCGGCAATCACAGCCATACTTTTTTTCTTCGTCTTGTTCGTAGAACGAAGATCAGACAGCATCTCTCCGCTTGGGCTTCTCTTCATGTCGGCATATAATCTTGTCATGTGGTACGTACGGCAATGGAATCTGCCTGTGGAATCAGGAGTTATGAAGCGCATTCGATCTCACTCTAGCTAGTGTGATTTACGTATTATACTGGCTCTGTCTCGTCTTTATCGTCCTATCGACCGGCAGTGAGCAGCCCAACAAGGCCTGGGCTCTTGTGAATATTCTTTTGGGTGTCCTTTTTACACTTGTTCTTCTGCTCCATTCCAGAGCACCAAATATTATTGTGGAGGCCATTTCAGGCTGGCTTTCTGCATCAATTCATTTAAGCGAAGAAACCTCAGCAAGTTTAATATCACGCTGGACTTTTTCATGGGCAGGCTCTGTTATTTGGAAAGCCTTTAGAGCTCATCTGAGTACCTCTGACCTATACGAGCTTAACTGGGATGACAAAGCCAGAATCACAAGTCGGCTGTTCAGCAAAGCCACGCCTGTAACACTGAAACTTGTTTGGAGACTCTATCACTTTACAAAACATGACTTGTTTAATCAGGGTGCGTGGGCGGTTCTCTTTAGCTTAACCAGCTTCTGCCCGGCGTTTCTCCTTCGATACATTCTTGACTACCTTGATTCGCCAAGCACCATGTCCCAAAACAATGCCTGGCTTTGTGTTGGGGGCCTTCTGGTTGCTGGAATCGTGAAGGGTATTGCAGATTGCCAGTGTGAATCGCTGGGTCGCAAAATCAGTGTAAGACTGCGGGCTATCATGATCGACCAGATATTTTCGAAAGTACTCAAAAAAGGGATCTCAAGGCCTACAAAATCATCACCAGAGGAAGGAAATTCCTCTGGCGACATTCATGCTACCGATGGAACAATTCTCAATTTAATGGCCGTAGATGCGGCTAATGTTAGTGAAGTTAGTGCACACATGCACCTCACATGGGTCAATTTCCCTCTCCAGGTTTTGGTCGCATCTCTATCGCTGTATAGCATACTAGGTTCTAGTGGCATTCTTGGCGTGATGCTAATGATTGCTCTTCTGCCACTAAATGTTTTGGTCTCAAAACGCCAGGTAGCAGCGCAAATGAAAGTGTTGAGCGCAGCCGATGCTCGTGTTCAAGCAAGCAACGAACTCATTACCAACATCCGCGTCATCAAACTCTGCGCTTGGGAAGAGGAATTTCGGAGAAAAATTCGCCTATTGCGAACGGCTGAGCTCTCGGAGCTGCGGGTTCGTTTTTTCTGGTGGTCGATATCCATGACTGTATTCTATTCCTTGCCTTTCATCACTACAATTCTAACGTTGTTCATCTATACGATTGTCGAAAAACAAAAGTTAGAAACCAAAGTCGCCTTCCCTGCTCTAGCCATCTTCGCAGTCTTACGCATTCCATTAGATAGAATGTCGTCCATGATATCATTCCTTCTTCAGGCACAGGTCTCCATCAGCCGGATTGAGAAGTTCTTGAAAGAGAAAGAGACCAGCCGAGAAGAACAGTTAATGGGAAGTGATGCGCGAATGATTGGCTTCGATAATGCTACACTTGAATGGTCAGTCCAGGACGTTGTGGGTATCGGTGCCGGAGAAGACATTCAACCCGCTGAAAATCCGCCTACGCAGGAATTTCGTTTATCAAATCTTGAAATAAAATTTCACAAGAATGGCCTCAATCTAGTTTGCGGCCCCAGTGGATCAGGAAAGTCGTCACTGCTGCTAGCGCTGTTGGGGGAGATGGAACTCCTGCGAGGCCGTGTACATCTACCACTTGCAGAGCAGCCGATTGGCGATGATACTTCAATCAGCGATGCAGCATACTGTCCACAAGAGCCCTGGATAATGAACCAGACTATTCGAGCTAATATTTTTTTGGGCTGCACTTCCAAAGTCACCGTTACAAGATGGTTCTTGATGCTGTGGCCCTAAGCCGCGACATCGCAGTATTTGAGAACGGCGGTCTTGCCATTGCGGGTGAGCGCGGTAGTCGCTTGTCTGGTGGTCAGAAACAAAGAGTTGCATTAGCAAGAGCATTGTACAGTCACGCTCAATTCCTTCTTTTGGATGATTGTCTTAGTGCACTAGACTCGCGTACTGGAAGACATATACTTTTTCACGCAATTAAAGGTCCCTTGATGGAAGGCAGAACATGTATTCTTGCGACACATCATTCTCAGCTTGTTCTCCCTCATTGCGACTATGCGGTCTTCCTGGAGAATGGCATAGTAAAGCGGCAAGGAACTGCTTCAGAGCTTATGCAATCAGGTATCACTGGGGAGAACACGCCGGCTACAAATGCGAAAGACGGGTTCAGGCCGATAGACTTTACACATCACCCACAAATGGTTGCATCTCCTTTACTTTCGCCCGGAGCTTCTGTAACAGAACCGCCAGACAGCTGGATTGGAAATATAAATGCAGTCTCGGAGACTAAAGATGAATCGATATACTGCGAAGATCAGATGAGAGGAGCTGTTTCTCTGTCTGTGATAAGAGTCTACCTCAGATCTATGGGGGGGTGGTGGTTTTGGGCAGTTGTGTTCTTTGCATTTGCCCTTCAGCAAATTACATCTCTCGGAACAAACCTCTGGATCAAGGTATGGGCTCATGAGTTCGATGAGGCAGAGGAAACGCCACCAACGTCTCATGTGAAATCTGTTTACTACCTTGCAGTGTATGGTCTCATCTGCTTGGCATACATACTTGTCTCATTTATTCGCGATCTCACGACATTCTCTGGAGCACTCAAAGCCTCAGCTCAAATACTCGACCGCTTACTAGACTCAATTATTCATGCGCCCCTGATATTCTTCGACAAGGTTCCGTTTGGTCAAATCACGAATCGTTTCTCCAGAGATGTGGAAGCAGTTGACCAAGAAGTGGCTCCTCACTCAATGAGCACATTTTATACATTCTGTTCGCTGAGCACAGTTATTATACTGATTTCTATCACGATACCTTTATTTATTCCCGCAGCAGTCATAATTTGCTTGGCCTATTATACCATCACTGTTATATACATCAATAGTGCACGGGACCTGAAAAGGATTGAGTCTGTTCAAAGATCTCCACTGTATCAGCACTTTGGAGAGGCACTTGCGGGATATGTCAGCGTGCGTGCGTATGGACACGCAAATCGATTTACAGAAGAAAATCACGTCTTCATCGACGGATACAATCAACCTTACATTCTGAATTGGGCGGCTAAAGAATGGCTGACATTACGCATCGCTTCTCTGAGCGCTCTAATTTCTTGGCTGACGGGAACTTTCTTGCTTCGGGGTTTGGGTAGAGGAACCGTGAATGCAGGGATTGAGGCCTTGTATTCACTTACACTGCCACTTTCAGCGATAACGTGCTTTGGTTTGTCCAGTTATATGCGATAGTTCAGCAGAGCTTTAACTCAGTTGAGCGGATTATGGACTACACAGAGATCAAGCGTGAGCCAAGTGAACCACTCGAGCCATCGGCCTACGACCTTTCAACACAGTGGCCTATCCACGGCCATGTGCGTTTCCAAGGATATACTGCACGGTATGCTCCGGAGCTCAGTCCAGCTCTGTTTGATTTAAATCTTGATATTCATGCTGGACAACGAGTAGCGGTAGTCGGGCGTACCGGGGCGGGCAAAAAGCACATTGGCGCTGGCCCTTATTCGAGCAGTGGAACCTGACGCCGGCCGCATCACTATTGACGGCATAAGCATTGCCTCAGTACACTTGGTGCGTTTACGACGGGCAGTAACTGTGGTACCACAAGATCCTACTCTTTTTGGGGGCAGCTTGCGCCATAGCCTGGATCCGTTGAACCATTATTCTGACGATGATCTTCATGATGTGCTACGAAGATTACAGTTCTTCCAATCTCTACCCTCTGGAGATCTAGACCATCCGGCTGCGGCCTTATCAATGGGTCAACGCCAATTGGTTTGCATCGCGCGGGCACTACTCCGTCGCTCTCGGATCCTCATTCTCGATGAAGCCACGGCATCCATTGATCATGCCACGGATGCTTTAATCCAGGCAGGGCTGCGATCTAGTATTGCGGATGGAATAACCGTTTTAACCATCGCCCATCGCCTCCTCACTATTGCAGATTATGATCGTGTGATGGTCTTGGATTCTGGTCGGATTGTAGAACAGGGATCCGTCGCTGAGCTTTTCCAAAAGCGAGGCGATGGTGCCTTCTTTCGGCAACTGTGCGAGCAATCAGGGGATTTGGCTCACATAGAGCGAATTGTACGGGGCTTATGAATGAACTGATAATTTGTGAAGTATATGATAAGATAAACTTTCTTTTACCGTTTTTTCGGTTAAATATATTATATCGATTGAGTATATTGTGCGATGTAGTGGAACTACTGACGTTCCTTGACTCTAGCGTCATTTAATGGTAGTGACAACCAGCTATGGAATTGTGAACTAATGAGGTGGTTTTAGAAGTTGACTTAGCCAAATGACTTCGCCTCAGCTATCAATGACTCAAGGAAGTTCACTCATACTCGCATTTTACCGACCTCATACCACAGTCATAAGGGAGCACCCCGAATGATGTGATCGACTGCTCATTTCATCTTATAATGACAGTTGGGAGGAGTGGTTATATATTCGTTTCATCTTAATTTAATTTGGCTACTGTACATATATTGCAAATGTGAGCAGTCTCATGTATTGGCTATCTTTCCAAACATAGACTCAACGTTATATTAGATGTTGACGCAGCCATAAATTCGAGCTAAAGTTCCAACAACCGTTTGAACATCTTCATAGTGATTCAGACTGATACGACTACGAAATCTCTATAATAAATCGAGCCGCACGCTCGGCGATGCCGTATACTGCTGTTTGAATATGCGCAGACGGAAGAACGGGTATAATGCTTGCGTCCACAACGCGCAAATTGTTGGTGCCGTAAACGATCAGTTCCGGGTTTACCACTCCGCCGTCTTTCTTGGGGAGCATTGCACATGTTCCAACAGGGTGATATATAGAAAGCGTAGTGTTGAGAACGTACTGGCGCCAGTCCTCATCCGTCTGTACAGCCATCCCCGGTTCGAACTCAGATACCCATGCTGAAGAGAGCGGCGACGAGTTTGCAATCTTGCGACAGTATTTGATAGCCTCGATGGCGGCCTGCACGTCGTACTCGTTAGATAGGTATTGTGGGTCAATTAGCGGTTTCGTATCGACATCGGCAGACGTTATATGAATGTTGCCGCGGCTGAGAGGATGCATAACGACGCCAATAAGCGTGAAGAAGCCCTTTCCATAGAGAGGAGAACCGATGGTGGGGTATCCCTTTACTCCAGTGTAGCCATCTGAGAAAATGACTTCCACTTGCGGCGATAAAAGTGATCCAATGTACTGTAGCTTTTTCTTATCGACAACAGACCCAAGGGAAAGTACCACATTCTGGGCGAGAGAATTTAGCTTCGCAGCCATATTGCCTACCACCTGGTGCCAGTTCAGATAACTGTACCCACTACCAGTGTAGTCATATAAAGAAGTCTGTTTTGCATGCCATAATGCCAGCTGTGTGGCCGCATATGTGGTGTTGTACTTGAGTATGTCAAATGATGTAAAATTGTCCTTCAATTGGTATGATGCTTGGTACCGAACGTGGTCTTGCAAATTCTCTCCTACACCCTCAAGGTCAATAATCTGATCTATACCAGCCTTAGATAGCACCGCCTTGCTACCTATGCCGGACAGTTCTAGCAGGCCAGGGCTTTGGATAGCGCCACAAGATAGAATAACTTCTCTTCTGACACTGATGATGGTGCCGTCTTGCAGCGTAACACCGGTCGCAGTATGTGAGTTTCGACCCTTCCGTAAATTCACTTTGGCTACGCGTGTCTCTAGTAGCAGATGTAAGTTGCTCCCCGATTTCGGGATATAAGAATTAGCGGCGTAGGACCTCGTCCATGTTCGAGAGTCGATGTTGCTGGGCTGGTTCATATACCCTATAGGATTGCCACCTAAAGAATTTAAGTTATGAGGGATTCCCAGATCAGCCATAGATTGCAACCAGAGTTCTTGCTGCGCGGGTATAACCCTATTTATTATGGTATGGATTGGTCCACTGGTGCCAACTCCTTGGTCGCCATAGTTGGATGAGTTGATACCGGTAAAGGTCTCCACGTCCTTCATTGCGGCGATCATATTCTTCCAGTTCCAAGATGGGTTACCGAGTTGCTCCCAGCCGTCGTATTCCTCAGCGGCGGATCGATCCCATGTCATCAAGTTCAATGCTGAGCTTCCTCCAAGCACTTTGCCTCTGTTAGCTCCGAGAACTCGCCCATTGAGTCCAGTTTGCGGTATAGTCGTAAAATTCCAATCATAAAGAGTGCCGAGCGTCGACCCCTTCATGCCGGGGATATTTATGCGATCTTCGTCCAACGCCTCAGGGCCGGCCTCGATCAGCAGGATGGTTTTATCTGGCAGGCCTTGGCTTAGCCTAGTCGCTAGTGCTGAGCCAGCTGTGCCTCCTCCCACCACCACCTACAATAAAGTGTCAGTAGCTACAATTCTAGTTTATAGCGAGTCTACTAGAAGATGAAGACTTTTCAAGACGGCGCTGAACATACATAGTCATAAACTTGAAGTTGATCGGAATTGGAACCAGCTGTGGCAATTGAGGCGGCCACAGCAGCCACGAGCCAGGCTTTTAAGGTCGACCGTGTCATTCTCTTTATTAACAACGTGGTTGAGCCTAATAGAGGCCGGGGGAGATTAAAGCAAAAAGAGGCGAAAGAAAACAGCCTGAGCATTCACAGATATATACAGTCTCCCGATAGCCCACAAAACCCACTTCCAATGATAAATCGCAGGATATCTACGTTCTTCATAGTCTGCGCTGCAATAGGTGCAAAAGCTATAACGAAACACCACACCGCCTTTGTGTTACATTCGGGCAACGCACACAAAAACTTCGTTGCATATTGCCTAAATGTGCCGTTTAGAATCGACCAACAGCTCCGGGCAATTTCGGATCTTGACACTTCTACTCCATAGAGGAGAAAGAATAACGCTCATTCACTCGTATTCGGCGCGGAAGTCTTCTGATTTCGCCATTCTAACCGAAGTGAACCCTGCTGTCGAAAGGGACATCTTGGCCCCGAGACCAGGGTCTGGAGATGCACACTGGTTAAGAACCCTTGTCATGGGTCCAGAGTTAGCATGGGTAAACCAACAGCCTTAAAAGCTGTAGGGAATCGTGTGTCACCTTCGCTACTACGGAACAAGGATCGGGGAATCCGGAATGACAAGACCACGCAGTCTCCTCAGCATGAATCCTTCCGCCATAGCTTGTACGTGTCTTCCATGTGTCTCAACCGTAGAATGCAGTTTAGCAACAGGCCAACGACCTCAATTTCTTACCTCCATGAAGAAAACGACGCCAACAATTTGCAACCAACATCAACGATACCTTACCTCGAGCCCCCAGGTCGCAGATTGCCGACATGCTGTACGAGTTGCAGTCACTTATACATAAGACCAATGGCTATTAGCGGAATAGGCTATGTCACAGGCTTCCCTGTACCATTTAATTGTCCAAGCTTCTGATCCAAGTCAACTAGAAAAGGTAGCTCCAGGGCACCTTTGCCAGCGAGGATCATTCAGGGGATGGCAAAGTTCGTTCTCTATTATACGTGCTGTGCGTCGATTGATAAGGTGCGCATGACCATAAATACGGCTTTACATTTTTAAATGCTTATTCTCTGCGAGTGTGATAAGATCAGTCATCATGACTCGCACACCACCACCTGATCCTCTTCCACCGAACCAGAATATCGGAATTACACTCATTGTCGTTACGAGCATTCTAACTGGCTTTATGCTTCTAACGACTGGCCTGAGGATCTACACTCGCTTTTCTCTCAATGCGCAGGGCTTGGATGACTACTGCATCATTATCGTTAGTGTTTTAGCACTTGCTCGAATGGCCATTCAAGTGGTGCAAGTTGCAATTTATCACAACGGCCGCCACCGTTGGTATATTAGCGAGTCTGACTACATCAATAACAATATGTTGGGGTGGTACGCACAAATTCTCCTTTTTGCTAGTGTGTGTTTCCTGAAGTCATCCATTTTATTCTTGATCATACGTCTTAGGGACGAACCAAAGGTCCGCCGAACCCTTTATGCCGTGGTCATAGGGCTCTTCGCTACCAACTTTGGTTCTATTTTCATTCTCGTGGCAGAATGCTCTCCCCCATCCGTGTACTGGACCCAAAAAGGTGGGAAGTGCTGGGATACAAGGATTCGCATATATGCTATATATCTTACCATAGGTAAAGTTGAAGTAGATTTCGTAATACTGGTAGAAGCCGCTAACATCTTATGTCCTTCGCAATAGCATATTCAGTAGCAACTGACATACTCTGCTCGTTGCTTCCTTTGTATGTTGTGTGGGGCGTTGGTATCAAGATGCATACCAAAATCGCTGTGTGTGGCTTAATGAGCCTTGGTCTCCTGTAAGCCCATTGTGACAACCTCGGAGCTTTATTCATGATCCTTAATAATAGCTAAGTTGTCTGTGGTAGCGCTACAGCGTTCGGTGTGGCTAGGGCCGCTTCTCTCGGCCTGGTGACAATCGATCTCAGCTGTATGTAGATCATCTCCCTTAATTCCTCGGGACCTCTTCTATATCAACCCACCTAACAGAACGAACGGCAGGGGATTACGCAATATCGGCGATTTGGTCCAACCTTGAACTCTTCTTAGGTATCATCGCCGCAAATGTCGCTATCTCACGCTCCATATACGCTTTTTTTCGTCAAGATAAGACGGCCGCCAGTGTGTCGGGTTACAGTTCCGCAAATATCCGTTTGGGCTATTTGAAACACGACGAGCTACGCAATAATACTACAAGTAACTCAACCTTAGCGATTATCCGTCGGCCGTCTGTTTCCAAAAGCGAAGGAAGTGAAGCCCCTTTGACAGCTATGTCTTACACGGTGGCATCGTCCTCAGCGCTAGACAAACTGGATAAATTCGCTTAAACAGGGCAAGATATCAGGATTAGAGCTAGTTCAATCGTAATTACAATTGAATCCAGCATATATGGAGGCATTAATAACTATCCAACGGTTGTATACTATGTAAGAGTCGTTGGGCTTGATTACCTGTGACTCATAGGTTTGTAGCGGTGGGGTTCGGTGGTAGGAAATAGGACAGGTTGGGGGGGTAGGCGCGATCTCTGTTGCTTAAATAAGTACCAAAATCCTGCCACCTTCCTTTCAGTAGAACTTTAATTATCGAATCGTCTCCGTTGTTAACTTTTGATCGTTTCATCTGCGTTTACGACATTATGGGCTTTACTAATCTCCCAGCCGGCACTGGCCTTACTGGTAAGCTGTTGTACAAGCCGGAAACGTCCATCATGAATTGCTGACAACGATGCAGTGCTTAATAACTGGTTGCTGACTCGTTCTTATATCACCGGGTATGTTTAATTCCCTCCGAGTATTCTCGATAAATCCCACTTATTAAAGTTTCATTATCGTGAATAGCCACGCTCCTACACAAGCCGATGTTGCCTGTTTCAAGGCTCTCAAGAGTTCTCCGGATATTGCCAAGTACCCCCATGCCGCTCGATGGTTCACACATATCGCCACTTTTGAAAGCGAATTTTCTACTCTTAGTGAAGATGCCACCAAAACCCTATACTGTCTAGGGTCCGGAGGTCGCTGAGATCACCGCGCACTTCTCTGTGGCTCTTGCAGCTGATGATGATAATGATGACGTCGACTTGTTCGGTAGTGACGATGAGAATGAGAATAAAGAAGTAGTCCGTATCCGCGAGAAACGTCTAGCTGAGTACCGCAAGAGGCGGGAGGGCAAAGCCAAGCCCGCTGCTTAGTCTCTTGTTACTCTGGACGTGAAACCTTGGGGTATGTCACAATCTTGACCTGTATTCAGCTCTTCGAGTTTTGCCTCCTCATAGAAGTTTGGACTTTCGGCGGGCAGTTGATTCAGTATGAACTGACTAGCTTTGCAGATGATGATACTAGTATGGTTGCCCTCGAAGCGGCTGTTCGTGGTATTGAAAAGGATGGCTTGGTATGGGGTCAATCTAAGCTAGTAGCCATTGGATTCGGCATCAAGAAGCTGCAGATCAATCTAGTTGTTGAGGATGACAAGGTGTCTACTGATGACCTTCAGGAGCAAATTCAGGATTTCGAGGATTATGTTCAGTCTTCTGATGTTGTTGCTATGCAGAAGCTTTAAGCTGGTTCTGAGGAGTAAACCATGCCACGCTAGATACGAATATTCATAGTATAAGGAGAAGTGCAAGCAATCGTCGGTTGGAATTTACGTGGAAATTACTCTGATATACAAAGACGTGCAAATGGACAATAAGCCAGACATACACAAAAGTAGCTATAAAACACGACTTATTGTTATTTTTTCTGCTTTCGATAAGTAATAACTGACCTGCCTTATCTCACAGAAAGGCATTCTCAATGGCGACGACAATCTACTAGGTAGGTAGATTAAATGCAACTAAACAATACAGCCCGTGCGAACAACCTATCCAATCATCCCAAAGCTCAGTCTACAGGGAATGATCATCTTAACGACTACTGACTAGAAGCACGCATAGGTCCAATACCCGGGAATTGGGCTGATACGCGCATCATTTTCAGGGTCTTGTAAATATTTATCTCAGTGATAACGCTCATTTGCTAGCATCTCTCAACTAGTTACATGCGCCGTAAGTCGCGACGATAACATGTTCGCCCTGTTTAATAGCAGGGCTATGCATCCGGCTGTACGCCAGGTCGAAATCGCTATGTATGAAGCTAGCGAGTTCCCATGTGGTGAATTCAATTAAAGGTCAAGTACTTGGACCTATAAGATTTGTTGAATGCGTTTGTCACAGTAAGAAAGGCAAGAACAACAAGAAACAGAGGGTGATAACGGATACAAAGTAAGAATTGCTATGAGGAATCGTTGACACGGCAAGTGAGCAGGCTGCAGTGGAATCATTGGGGGGAAAAAATGCAGCTGCTTACAGGTCACACTAGATATTTTGCTCATGCCATTAATGAACTGCCCTAATTGGTAATAGTGACGTTGTCCCGTTCTCTGACAACCGTTGATGCACGCTTCCTACATGCAGCGGTGGCTTTTTGCACTACTATGTACTACTTGTAGAATCTTCGATAGAACGCATTTATACTCGATTACAAGGATCGTAACTTAAAACACAGTCCAAACGACCGCGGTCATGATGTTTTCAACAATTATTATGCCTCACTGTGATGTCTTTGTATATATTACCTTTTTTTGGGTTATCATTATACTATCCATCTCGTATAGGGTACGTGATACAGTTGTTCGTTTTGGCAAATTATGAAGCATAAAACTTTTTTATGAAGAATCCAACGATAAGAGCTATCTGTTAGTGCCTGATACGCTTCCACTGCGTGTACATACTGGTCTACGGAAATCAGTATGGTTAGACGAAGTAGTCTGAGTTTGGTGCGGAATGGGGTTATAGTCCCAAGTCCAGGCTGGGATTATAGGGCGGATGGAATCGAATCATGCGGCGATTGCTTGGACGTCCTTGAAGAGTTTTCGTTGCTATTTGCGAAACTATCAGTTCCGAGTTCCATCTTTTGGACGACAAATTTGCGTTGGATCAACACGTACCGTGAAGAAAACCGAAACGACTAAACAGACTGCGCCTCCCACAAAGACAGGCACGAATACACTCCGAAGGGCCACCACGATAGACGCAATTGCTTGGTCACGGAGTGCATCCGGAAGAGATCTGATAAAGTCACCACTTGTGCCCGCAATTGCAAACTGAAGCTGTGACCGAGGTATGTCGGGTAGAACCGACGAAAGACCAGCTAGCGACTTATTGATGAAGATGGATCCCGCAATGGACAGACCGAGTGCAATTCCGCCAAGCTGGGCTATCGAGTTTTAAAGCCTGTCAGACCATTTCATTGTAAATAAGGTGTATTGACTGCGCTTACCGAGCATCATGAAACTGATGGCATATGCTAGGTCGGTTGGAGATACCACAGCCTGTATCACAGCATATCCAGCTTGAACAAAACACCCTGTCCCGGCACCAACCAATACCTCAAAGCCATAAACACTAGCAGAGGATGTTTGTGGTGTAATTCGATCTGCCTTGCATTATTACCCACATTCCAATCATGATGACTAGTGACTTACAGAGTAGAGCTCCGCCGATGACTGTTAACACACTTCCAGCCGTATACCATGGCTGAAAGTAGCCGAACTTTGACATTAGGTGGCCATTGCAGAGTATAAGCACGCTTAAAGTGACAATCATTGGCAGTAAGCGGACTGCCGATTTGATAGCGTCGTCACCACGAGTAAATTGAAAGTATAGAGGGATATAATAAATGGGGACGAACGCGGAGGTGTTGATTGCCGACGCACAGATATACAAGAGTACGGCATTAAATTTGCCTAGAAATTGGCAGGGAAATATTCTATCAGTCCCACTGGTGAATAGTGACAGGTGCTGCTGAATGCCGAAGCCAAGAAACAATACGCCCGACGTGATGAATAGGGCAATTGTTTGGCCACTTCCCCATGCATACAGCGCACCGCCAAAGTTGATGGCCATGAAAAGGGACATGATGGCACCGACACTTAGGATGGTACCAAAGAAGTCGAATGCACAAAGCAGACTAACAACTTTGACCCCAGGTCGTGGTTTGAATGAAGGAATCAGCCAAATATAAACAGGCGCGAAAAGCGCTGCTACACACAGGTTCATATAAAAGGCCCATCGCCATGTGGCCTTCGATTCTGCAAAAGCGCCGCCAACCACTGGTCCAAGGACAGTGCCAATGCCCCAGATTAAGCCCCTAACATCCATGTTAACCATTAAAAAAAGTCAAACGAGCACTATCCACTTACACGAAGCTTAGATAGCCTGGCCTTTCTTTATCAGACGTGTTGACGGACAGGAGGGTCATAACTCCCAAATACATGCCGTTGCCGCCCATCCCAGCCAGAACACGGCCAACGATGAGGGCTTTCATAGTAGGAGCTGCGCCACAGAGGGCTGAGCCAATGTTGAAGAGCACAGAAGACAAAATGTAAAGCCATTTCGCATTAAAAAGCCCATATAATCTGCCAAAAGGTAAGACCACAGCCGTACCACCGAGGAGAAATCTGCAGTGGTGAAGAGTAAGTCAGCTAGGCAGCTTAAGAATTGCAGGTTTTGACTTTTGACTCACCCAACTGAAAGCCACGGCAGCTCTGCAATGTCTCCAAGATCATTTACTGCAGCCTTATTCCCAAGTCTCGTTAATCGTCTTCTTGAAATAGGCGGGGAATTGTCATTTGGATGACCTTACAGGTGTTACATCAGCAACAACAGTATTGTCCAAAGCATAGAGAAAGATGCTGGAAAGGATTGCGATCACGACCATGGCCCACTGTTAATGAAGATGATTATATTAGCCAGGCGCAACACACAGAACTCCAAGATAGAACTTACGGACAGGCCATGAATTTGCCTTGGTGAAGGAGCTGGATCGGTACCCGCCACCTGGTTGTTGTCGGTATCTGGGGAAGAGAGAAAGAATTCACCACCATCGCTACTTCCTGGTGATTTATACGTTTGCGACATCTGTATCGACATCTTCGACTCATCCATAAGTCTTGAACCGTTGTGAAGGGTGATAAGTACTAACGCAGAGTTTTGCTATTTTCGGGTTTCCTAATTCTTGACTACATCACGCTTCTAAGTGGTATGTTACGCCTATTATATAGTTCGTCGCGTGGCGGCATTGTCCCACTTCCAAATGTTCAGCGATCCATACCAGGGTTTACATCACTTCTACTTACATGTCTCAAGTTGGGACTCGCAGTCTTTGAAAGAACATTAACAATCACATAAACTAGTGTTCGTAATCAAGGGATTTTGGAAAAGAATGAACACAATGGCTCGCTTATTGCAGATTTGGGTTGCAGAGCCGTCTTCCGGATCAGGAAATTTGCACGGAAATATTTGGGAGGGCGGAGACGGAGTATCTCGGAACACCCTGGGGGCTGCTGAAATAGGTAACTTTCTCGGAAATGGTGAGCCAGAAGGATTGAATAGGCAACTTGTCCGGAAATGATGACGAGACACCTTCGTCCCCCGTGATTTGTAAATAGACCAAACGAACGGCTTCCAGTCGCAAATATTAGCAACATATTTCACAGTGTTTTTTTTTCTTCAAGCTGTATAGGTTGTGGCTTGAGGAGAAAGCGAATCACGTAGCATGTTAGGAATAAATGGACCGTTTGATGGTTCAAATCCTTCATTCTATTACCCCATCCCATACGCGCCTCTCGTTAATAAAGAGAGGAGCATCATTTTTAATGCACTTCGAGAGTCCACAGACACATCTTCTAGTGAAACTCCGCAAGCTTCCCTCCTACATCTACAGGTACCCCACCTTTTGGGTGCCTAACCACCAAAAACCCTCACTCTGTTTGACTAGCTATCAGACAAAACGACCTCGTTTTTTACTTTCACGGTCCCATCTGGGGACTCTGGAGAGATGGCAACATCTACAAACCCTCCGGATAACCAGAACAGAACGAACCCCGTCGCCCCCGGACCCGCGACAGTCTTTCAATTTCAGAAGGAGACGACCCCCTCAGGCCCAAGCACGGGAGAGGTCATGGTCCTCCCCTTCACCCCCAAGAAGAAAAGGCGCTTCGGAGAAGCCCTCGGTATGGACAAAATGCCCACACCCAGCTTCAACAGAGCAAAACCAAGCACAGCGGCGACATCGACCGCAGCGCAGACAGCCTCGAGAGGCCTCATCGCCTCCATTTTCAGCGGTGCAAAGGAAGCCACCGACCCAAGCAAAGAGGGGAAATCACTCACCAAAAACAAAATCATGAGCCAAATCAACGAGATCAACGCCCAACAACGGGCCAGACAAGACGTGGTATTGAATATAGCTATGGCTATCGACTCCTGCCTGGCGCAATACACATCCCAACTCTCCTCAGCGGTGGCAGAACAGGTCCGAACATGCCTGAACACCGCACTCGAAAACTTCGTCACCTCCCACATCAACCCAGAGGGGAGGCCCAAAAACCCTGAAAAAATGGGCAGCAAGGAAAGAGCTGCCCAACCATCTGAGACAGCGTCAGCCAACTCATCTCGCAGCGAGGAAGGCAAATCAAACGGCCCCAAGAACCCCACCACAACGGGACCTCCCGCAGCCACTGGAAAAGTGGGCCAGAAGGCCCCCAAGGTCACGTGGGCACAGGTCGCGTCGCGGAACACCACTCACAACAAAAAGCCGCAAAATGACAGCAACACCCAGAAGAATCCTGCTCCCAGCAGCGAGGGGCCGGCCCCCGCTGACAGAAAACAGAACAAAGACAAAATCACATCGGGCAACCAAAAGCCCGATGACCGCATCTTCATCCGGGTCCCGCCAGACCATGTCTGGAGGAAGATGACGGCCATCGGGGCTAAACAGGAACTGATCAGCCTCATGAAACTCAACGTCGAAGACATTACCTACTTCCAGGAGGTCCGATCGGGTTTCGCCCTCCGGGCAAAGGATCAAAACACCAAGAACAAAATCATCGCTCTCAAGCCAGCCGCAGAGAGCAACGACCTAAAAATCGAAGAAGCATGCACATGGAAGATCTTCCTCGTGCGTGGCGTGCCGAAAACTTATACTGACATGAGCGGGACCCACCCCACGGACGCGCTAATCCCCGAGGAGGCGCGCGCCAGGGCTGGGGCCAAGAACCCACCAGTGGCCTGCCGCAAGGCCCCCTTCGGGGAATCTCTTGACACCTGCGGCTACTTCATCTCGTTCAAGGAGAACGTCAAACCCGGCTTCAGACTATTCAATATCTCCCACCCGGCGGAAGTCCGGGTGCAGCAGCCCCGGGTCACTCAGTGCCAACGGTGCCTCGGTTTCCACAATCCCCGGAACTGCACCAGAACAGAAAGGTGCCTTAAATGCGGCAGGCCGTCATACAGGCACACCGACAACATGGCAGACTGCCCGTCCCCCCCGCAGTGCGCCAACTGCAATGGCCCTCACACGGCAGACTCCCTAAAATGCCCTGCTAGACCGGCGGTCAGGAACGGGGAAAAAGTGCACACAACCCGGGCCCAACTCCAGGCAATCCGGGAATTGGGCCAGCAGGAATACAACAAAGCCAACCCACCCAAACCCAAGCCTGCCCCCGCCCCGGCCCCCAATGCCGAGAAAACGTCTAACCCGGAAACCCGAACGGGCCCCCGCATACGGCTGCCAATATCCAGCTCGGCGCCACCCTTCCCCCCTCAGGCCCCGGCCAAGAAGGTCATAGTCGAAGTCGACCCGGACGAGGAGGACCCCCACGAGGGAGCCTCCCCCGCCAGGTCGGCAGTCCACGTGGCCGGCCCGGACAGCGAGGAGGAGGACGTAGAGACAGAAGGGGACGAAAACATGCTTGACGCTCCCCCCGGAACTGACGGACCCCTCGATGCGAGCCTATGAACGATAGGCCCCGTCGCAGCCGCCGAAGAAACACTGGCCTCAAAATCTTCCAAGCCAACGTCGGGAGGAGCGGTCCATACCAGGACATCGCCCTATCGCTGGCATGGGAAGGTGGCTACGACATTGTGCTGATCCAGGAACCCTACGCCCAATGGGACAGGGTGTCGAACAGAAGGCAAACCAAGAATCATCCTGGATATCAAGCATACAACCCCCTGAACAGCTGGAGGGACGCCAGACCCTCAGTTCTCACATTCGTTAGAATCTCTCCGAACCTCCCCAGCAAACAACTCTCTCCCCCAGGCCTGGAGGACGGATGC